CTGAAGATGCGAGATATAAAAGTTGATTAATAGATGTAGATATCAGCATTGGTGAACACAAGTGAAGAATGATATATGTTCAAGATCAGCGGGACTGACTTCTCCAACCTAGACTGTCTCATGATTTTATGAAATTGCTATTGGCAAATAAGCAGTCAGCTCATATTGTGGTAGGCAGAGGTGCATATTCGAAGAAAACAATCGTATATTGGAAGATATCCGTTTTAATTTTTTGGCAGAGTTCAACATTTTGATACGAAGCTAAACTTATATGATGTCAGCGCAAATTATTTCTAAAAGGACTGTATATTTCTGATGTAGTTTCCGTTATTTTGATTTTATTGCAATACATCGGCCAAATGGGTGATTACACGATTGAAATGTACTTTTTCTTTTTTTCTTTCATAGCAAGTTTAATGACACCTCGTGAAGGAAGATGCGTTCTCTGTATAAACAATTTTTTTTTTTGAAAATCTAGTGGAGTATGGGAAAAGCTTATCCTTGTCGTTGACTAGGTTGACGCGACGAAGTTAGAGAAAATAAAAGCCAGATTGATATTAAATGACAATGGTCACTTACCGAGGTGCGCAGCGAATGATATCGTCGACTCTGAGAATCATCTCAGCGGCTTCAGATGCAGAGAGGAGGACCTGCTTCTTCAACTTGAAGGATTCCGTGATACCCAATTCTCTGACATCTCCAACCTTTCCGATGTTCATATCTGCGTAGATGGGTAAAGCATTTAGACGACGAACACAACACTAGTACCATACGCATAAGTCCATTGTTTCAACTTACCGAGACCGGCCGTTTTGTGGCCTTCAGTGTGTGCGGCTCTCAATTGTGCAACCAACTCGGATGAGTCGTAACCAGCATTGTCGGCAAGGATAGTGGGCATCTGGCGAAGAGCCTTGGCGAAAGCCTCAGCAGCAATAGCCTTCTTACCAGCAGTCTTTGCGGCGATCTCATCGCAAACCTTGGACATCAACATTTCAGAACATCCACCACCAAGGACTGTTCGTGGTTCCTTGACAGTCTGTGACAATACAGACAAGGCATCGTGCAATGATCGCTCAGCTTCATCGAGCAATTGTTGTGTAGCTCCACGAAGGACAACGGTACAAGCCTCACCAGCAGCGACACCAGAGAATTTGATCAGCTAATGTAACACGATGGTTAGGTCAGGTCACAGCGTGATAGGAAAAACTGTAATGGAAGTTGCCTGCACATACCTTGTCTTCACCAATGATGATTTCTTCGATAAGGTCGCAGTGACCGAGTTTGACGAGTTCAGGGTGGTCGAAGGTAGATGCGATTTCTCCACCTATAACACAGGTATATAAGCATCTTCACCAGACTTAAGATAACAAAGGAAATGCGGATTAGCCTTACCAGTAACAAGAGCAAGACGCTCAACGCCCTCAAAATCAGCATGCTCAATACTGGCGATACCAGAATCGGCGAACAACTGTTCGGGCCAGTTATAGATCAACTGACGGTTAACAAAGCAGTTAATGCCGTGGGCCTTGATCTTTTCAACCTTAGCCTTCATCTTTTCACGTTCGGCACGTTCAAGTTCAGCGAGCTTTCCAGTAGCATCGACGCGAACTCGGGCGCCGAAAACCTTGATCTTGTCTGTATCCATAGCTAAAATCCCAAAATGTGAGAACCGGTGTAAGGGGTTGCAAAATATGAGATGCCTGCTTCAACTTACGGGTATTAGCAACGAGAATGGTAGCATTCTCGATACGCTTGGGGCAGTTAACACCGATCTTCTTGTCAAGAATGAAACCTATGATATGGTGATAAATGGGGTTAGTATTGGTGTTTGCGCTGTCATCTCTTCAGGTGATCATTTCCAAGAATTTTAAGTAGCTAACCTTCATCGAGATATGAATCTATGAGTCTGCCACCAGCCTTCTTGATGATTTGGATGTGTTCCAAGTTAGTTGAGCCCTTCAATCTGAGAACGGCATCAACAGCCAAGGTAGCAAAGTATTCCTTGTCCTGAGAAAGAACTTTGGAACTCAAGGTGGTCTTTGCGATGTCGATCAAATCCTTACGGAACTTGGCCTGATCGTTGCTGTTATCAACTGCACTTGCTTCCAAAGCTTTGTAAGCGGCTGCGCTAGCTAAACGGTAACCTTCAATAATGGTTTGAGGATGGATTCTTTGGTTGATAAGACGCTCAGCCTCTCTCAAAAGTTCGGCAGCAAGAACACAGACAGAAGTGGTGCCATCACCAACTTCGTCATCTTGAACTTTAGAGATGTTGACTAACACCTTAGCGGCAGCATTGTCGAGGGCGATCGATTTCAAGATGGTGGCGCCGTCGTTGGTGACCATAATCTCGCCAGTTGTAGCAGATTGGAGAATTTTGTCCTGAGGATGACAGATTGAAGATTGAGCACATGTCAAATGATCGACGAGTAAGATGAATCAAAACGGGACGGAATTCTCACCATTCCCTTGGGTCCAAGGGTGCTTTTGACAAGATCTCCTACAGCAATAGCACCGATGAAGGATGACTAGATAAAAGCATGGGTTAGCGTACCTGCTGGATCCAAGATCTTGATGAATGCAGTAATGCTTACCAAACGAGCATTCTCGGCTCTCTCTTCAGTAGCTTGTTGGTCGAAAATTTGGACTGGAGCCAAAGACTGGAACAAAACAAAAGCAGATCAGCTATGCTCTACACAACGTAATCAACCTATCTAAAATCTCTCACCATTATGCAGAAGATGAAAAGTGATGGATGCTTTCAGCGATCTCGTAATTATTATTTTTTTCAGGCCCGAACGCGTGTTCCTATAGTGTCTGAAGGCGAAAGATAGTGTGCACGTGTTATAAAGATTGTATTTGAATTAACTCACAAAATCTTTTCTTCTCGCTTTAGAAGGTATGCTGCTGTAAGCTTGTTATCACCATATTCTTGATAGATATATGAATATTTAATGTATATCAAATTACGTAAATCCATTGCAACAGATGATCCTCTATACGGTTGCCAAATGAAAGCCACCCACTAATGTCGCGACCGTTGTTATTGCTTAACGTTCTTGAGTTCTGGTAAGCCAAGTGAAAAATCAGAATCCAATTGGAATCCTTAAAGATTAAATAAAGTAGTCATCATCATAGTTACTGTCCAGGTGATGGATAGCAACACGTACTCACGCCACAGGCCAAGTCGTAACAGATCGAAGGTACATATTTGCAGCTGCTTCCATACTATGAGGAGCAAAATACACGTACAATGGTGTACTGTTGTGCATTTTCTAATGCATTCGGGATTAGTAGCGTTCACGCCAACGAGGGTGTGTTCTACCAATACGAATGGCACATCGTTGATCCATGGTAAACTGAAACACTGAGCAGATCGTATAAATAACATACTCATTAAGCGAGTATGTTCGAAACTGTAATGATCTTCACAGTTATGAGATTGTGAAGCAAGGATGTGAGATTATTTTGTGTTGTGCTGCTTTGCTTCAAATTTCTTGCAAAAATTCAATTCAACAAATTGAACTTGAGAAACCCGATTTCATTATTTCTCTTTGTTGTTTTCAGACCGTTGTTTCCGAAGCAACTAGACTTACCGAGCCGCCTACTTCAGCGCGCAACACATAACGTACTGTTGCTAACTTTCTGAGTGAGCATATGTCTCTGGCTGCTGCCAAAACACCGGGTAAGATGATTTTCTTCATGCTGCTAATTGGGGGAACGGACGGATTCCATTACTAGATTGGTGGATCCAACGTACTGTCTAGCATCCGCACACAACCCCCCATTTTACTTCTCGTTCCACACTTTCAGTTGCCATTATGGTTACCCTACTTCCTATACTGCCTCATTACACAGGCATGCCCCATTCGCATTTGTAATCCTATCTCATTTTGTATCGACCCTTACACAAAAGTTATCAAATCTTCAACCCAACTACACTTTCGTCTTTTCAAACCTGTACCATACTATTCACCACCTATCCCGTTATTTTTTCACCTCAACAGCTTTTATTGCATTGCCGCCTCACATACCCTCATACCCACTCTTCTTTCGTATTATCGTGACGGTGGCTTGTGCTGTGCTACAGCGACCGTAGTCCAAGCAACTTGACTTTATAGTCAATGCGTCCCTGACTTTCGATCTTTTATGACACTACTAACCGACTTCTGAAATCTACCATTACAACAGTTGCTGCTAATATCATGTACACTGAGGAGTCAGACCAGTATTTATCCAGCGACAGTCTCAGTGATGTGGAAAAGGACCTGCGTTCTCCTTTCAATGGCTGGGAAGAGCCCAGCGAAACGGAAGCTGGAAATGATCCCAACGCTTTATTGCGTAAAGCTCGTCGACGAATAGTGGCATCCAGTGACGAAGAAGGCGAAGATAATGACGGCTATAGTGACGATCAGTCTGATAATAGCCAACAAGAGTCGAATGGGTCACCACAGCCAAACTATGGACATACTTCATCTAAACAAAATGAAGATGTCGACTATTTGGATCCAGACTTGTATTGTTTACGTCGCTCTGGGCGAACCAACTCTCGTTCAAAGCTGCCAAAGGTAAGCTTCAATACCATTGCTAAGTCATGGTATATCTTGTCTACATTGTACTGATCGCATATATATTATTATAGCAAACTGGAAAGAGACCCTTGTATGCTGAAGATTCATCAGAAGATGATACGGAAGGCGACAACTTATATACTGCTACAGCTACCTCACGTCGACGGACTAAGCATGGTATGTTTTGTGGGAATAGCTGTACTTAAACACGATAGAGTGTTGCATATTGATACAAAACTCATTTCAAATCATGTTTGTTGTGTAGATCCTGCGTCGGAAGAAGAGAAATTTAATGAGGAATCGTCAGAGAGCGAAAGTTTTGACGATGCAGAGAGTGATGAAGACTTCAATGTCAAACACACGCCACGCCAATCGAAACCAAGACCAAGTCAAAAGTCAAAGTGTAAGATAACGCAAAAATCATTAGCATGACGCGTAAAACATTGAAAATTCATCTTCATGATTTTTTTATAGCTGCGAAGCCGGCTTCTGATATTGAAGACTGGAGCACATGGTCGTCACCGAGATATTCCACTCGTGAAAGGAAGATCAAGAGTTATAACGAAGATCTCATGGGATCAGATTCATCTGACCTTGATATGAAACTGGAAGCTTCAACACCAATACCAGAAGTTGAAGAAGGTGAAACCATAGAGAGCATTCACGATCACCGAAGAATAGAACGACACGGTATGTAGCTTGCTGGGCAGATCAATGCCAAAAATCTGCCATCGTTCTGAAATTTTTTCTTTTTTTTCCTATGCAGAGGAAGATCAAGATGACATACCAGAGAGGAACATTGAGTTTCTCATCAAATGGAAAGGGCGCTCACATCTTCACGATTCCTGGGAATTGTTTTCCAGTCTCACAGATTATAAGGGCTTTCGAAAAGTGGAAAATTATATCAAGAGTAATATTTATGAAGTTGCTCGATTTAGGCGACATCCCGATACCACGAAAGAGGAAATTGAGCAACACGACATCAATATTGAGCGCAATCGAGCTGAGCTTGAGGAATGGAAGACCGTCGAACGAGTCATTGGCATGCGCGACGGTGTGGCTGTAGATGATCGAGGGTTTCTGACCACCGAATACCTTTGTAAATGGAAAGGTCTGAGGTACGACAATTGTACCTGGGAAGCCGCAGACCTGATTGTAAATGACTTTCAAGCGGAAATCGACGCGTTCCTGGATCGAGACGCCAGTCTCAAAGTTCCTTCCAAATCCACTGTTATAGGAAAACATCGCCCTGCGTTCAAGCGTATGCAAGAACAACCTGAATATATCAAGGGTGGAGAACTTCGCGACTATCAATTGTTAGGTGTGAATTGGATGGCTCATCTTTGGTCACGTGATGAAAATGGAATCCTAGCCGATGAAATGGGTTTGGGCAAGACTGTTCAGACGATCAGTTTTCTCAACTATCTTTTCCATGAACAAAGAGTATACGGACCATTCCTGATTGTGGTTCCACTTTCGACCTCTGAAAATTGGATGCAAGAATTCAGGCAGTGGGCTCCTGAAATGAACGTCGTTTGTTATATTGGAAACCGACAGTCTCGCGAAATGATCAGAGCCCACGAATTCTATCAACAAGGTGGTGTCAAACTCAAGTTCAATGTTCTGGTCACGACTTATGAGCTGGTCTTGAAGGATCGGGCAGAACTTGGAGGCATCAAATGGCATTATTTGGCTGTGGACGAAGCTCATCGACTAAAGAATTCTCAGTCACAGCTACATGAAGCTCTACAAGGGTTCAATACCAGTAACCGTCTTTTGATTACTGGAACACCACTGCAAAACAACATCAAAGAATTATCTTCCCTTGTCAATTTCTTGATGCCATCTCTAGACATATCGGAGTGGGATGTAAATATTGATGAAAAAGACGACCAAGAGCGTCAAAAAGAAAAGATTGGTCAATTGCATACTCAACTCAAGCCTTATATGCTTCGAAGATTGAAAAAAGATGTAGAACGTTCGTTACCAAACAAGACAGAGCGTATTTTGCGAGTGGAACTGAGTGCCATGCAAATGCACTACTACAAAAGTATCCTTACGAAAAATTTTGCTGCATTAACGAACGGTAACGAAAAGCAAAAAAAGCAATGGCTCAATATTGCTATGGAACTTAAGAAGGCCAGTAATCACCCTTACCTGTTCCCTGACGCCGAACCCAAGTCAGATAACAAGGTGGAGTTACTGAAGGGCCTTGTAACAAATAGTGGCAAGATGGTGCTGTTGGATAAATTGCTTACCCGACTGAAAACGGATGGTCATCGTGTGCTCATTTTCTCTCAAATGGTCATGATGTTGGATATCTTGTCGGATTACATGTCTTTGCGTGGACATCCATACCAACGTTTGGACGGAAGCATGCGACCTGAGGTGCGAAACAAGGCGATTGAGCACTACAATGCGCCCGACAGTCCTGATTTCGTTTTCCTATTGTCAACTCGTGCTGGAGGAATGGGTATCAATCTCGTCACGGCGGATACTGTCATCATTTTTGATTCAGATTGGAATCCACAAAACGATCTGCAAGCTATGTCGCGTGCGCATCGTATTGGTCAAACTAAATCGGTCAACGTCTACCGGTTTGTTTCCAAAGGCACCATGGAAGAAGACATGATTGAACGTGCCAAGAAGAAGATGGTGTTGGAATACCTACTTATCAAGCAGATGGATACGTCTGGTTTATCGTTGATGGATAAAAATGCCGTGTCGACCGATGCTTCTAAAACGTCTGGCAAAGTTGGTGAACTTCCATTCAACAAGGAAGAGATGTCAGCCATTTTGAAATTTGGTGCGCAAAAAATGTTTCAAGATGAACAAAATACCCAAAAACTCGATGACATGGATTTGGATGACATTTTGGCTCGCGCTGAACATACTGAAACATTGACCGGTGAGGGTGGACAGTCTCTTGGAGGAGAAGACTTTTTGGCTCAATTCCAAGTTGCCGATTATGGTGGAACCGATGACATTAGCTGGGACGATATCATTCCTGAAAACGAGCGACCTGCTGCTCCCGAAGATGAAGCGACTAATCTTGAATTTTATGACCGAGCCGCCAAACGCAAGCAATACAACTATGGTGAAGCATCGGATGACAATGAATCTGTGCACGGTGACGACGCTGCCAATGGTACCAAAAAACGCAAAGTAGCTCGTTCCGCGACCAAGAAGAAATCAGGTGGTGTATCGAATGTTTTGAGCGAACGCGACTTGAGAGCAGTGATTCGTGGATCCACCAAATTTGGCGATGCTAGAGATCGGTATGATGAATTCGTATCCGATTCTGATCTTGTCAACAAGGACGCCAGCTTGGTTCTGGAGGCCAGCGACGATTTATACCAATCTTGCCTAGCCGCTGTACGTGAACATGTGAAGCAAACTCGCTCCGGTGAAAACGGGGCCGATAGTCCGGATGTACCTAAGCCTGTGCTAACTACTAAGCACAAGGCCATTCTAATAACATGGCGCGACATCAATAGCGTGAATGCTGGTCAAGTGGTTCAACGAGTGGACGACCTCAAAGTCTTGCATAACATGTTGAAGGACAATGCTCAACTTGCCAAGTTCCGCATCACCATGTCATTGAAACCTGTTACCAGTTGGGCATGCCAATGGGGTCATCGGGAAGATTCAATGCTACTTGCCGGTATATATAAACATGGGTTTGGAAGTTGGATCAAGATTCAACAAGACGAAGCGTTTGGTCTTGGTGAAAAGTTCTTTTTGATGAATGATGATGAAGATGGTACAGACGATAAGAATAAGGCAGTCAAGAAGAAGGGTAAGACCGAAACCAAAGCTCCCAAGGCAATTCATTTGGTGCGTAGAGGTGACTACCTACTCAAAACCATCGTAGCTGATCAAGAAATGAAGCAAGCTGCCGCAAGTCGTCGACGTAGCAAAGCTGGTAGTTCAAAGCCTAGCCATTCACCGAATATTTCAGCATCCAAACCCAAAAAGACTGCATCCACCACTTCTCTCAAATCATCCCCCAATCCCAGCTCATCCCCCTCTCTCAAGACCAAGTCCCCTAAACTTGAAGTCCAAGATGCCTCCGAAGATGCAGCTTCAGGCTATGAGAGCATGGACGAGGAGAAAGTGGCCATGGTATTGAAACCCGTCAAGCCCAAATTGGTACGATTAAGGGATCATGCTATGAAGTTGAATGGTTTGGAACGATCTGCGCTTATTAAAGACTGTATTGGAGCGATTGGAGACCACATCAGTCATGTTGCCAATAAGCAACCTTCCAGTGGAGCCCGGGAAAAGCTTTCAAATCACATGTGGTGGTATGCCAAACGATACTGGCCATTCAATAAGATCAAGCATCAACAATTGAAAACCATTTACGATAAGCTTCAAGTTACTGGTTCAACCGGGTCACCCTCGGTTTCTTCACCTAGATCTGAGCACAAGAGTTCTAGCAAGCAGCATTCACAACGAACATCGTCATCCCTATCACACCGGGACCACAAACGACGGTATCGCTCGGATGACAATAGTAGCGATGAAGGTGGAAGACGACGCGAAAAGAGTTCTTCCTATCACAAGCGATCGAAAAATGATCGCTCTCCAAGTCGAGAACGTGATCGAGGACGTACACAGCGAAGAAGTGTGAGTAGCTCAACAAGTCCAAATAGACACAGACAAAGGAGCTCCAGTAGACGACGGAGATATCGAAGTAGATCTCGCGATAGGTCAGACTCACGATCACGAGACCGACGGCGGCATGATCATCACCATACAAAAGACAGAGACTCTCGACGGCAGCGTTCAAGCTCTCGGAACCGGGACGATGGCCGTCACCGTAGATAGGGCATTGTGGTTTTTTTTTTATCTCTCTCTTTCTCCTTTTTTTTTTTGAAAGCGAAAAGAACCAAATAATAAAATGGGTGGTACGATTGGATATTTAGCAATGATAAGTAGAAAAACATAAGCATAAACTCGCCTTTTTAGAAGCATGATGGCAGGCCTTGTCGCGCCACAGTTGTCCCTGGGATCCTTTGAATTAGCTGACGCGTCTCGTTGGGCAAACCGCCACAGCGATCGCCACATAAAGAAATGGCCTACGTCAGCAAATTGGCTCTCCTCCAAAAAGGACATTCGGTCAGGAAAGGAAAGAAAAAGAACCAAGTGCTTTTTATTCAACCACCATGTCCATCAACATCAATATAAAGTCTTCAAGTGATAAGAAGTTCGTCATCACTATAGAACCTTCGAAGACCATACTTGACCTTAAGGAAGCCATCGCAGCCCAAACGGATGTGCCAGCTGATAGACAACGTCTGATCTTTTCTGGCCGAGTTCTAAAGGATAACGATCTGCTGTCGGATTACAAGGTTGCCGATGGAAACACCATCCACATGGTGAAGGGAGCTGCTCCTAATCAACCCAAAGGTATGGTATTTATTGAGGAGGCGACACAGATTACGATGGACTTCCGTTTGAAGCATTCCGACTTCTTTGTCAGCCAGATCTCGTTTTGCTTACATACAGTTTTCATTCTGCTTGATAGATACCTCCAGCGCTTCGGCTGGCAGTAACGCCTCGGCACCCACTAACACCTCGACTACAGCTCCTCCCACATCACAAGCATCCGTCCAGTCACCCATTACTTCTCCCTCTGCTACTCCAGCCAATCCCTTTGCTGCACTTGGCGGTGCAGGCGGAATGAACCCTTGGGGTATGGGCGGTGGTATGGGAGGTGGTATGGGAGCTGCCGGACTAGGAGGCGCTGCTCCCGATCAAAACATGATGAACCAAATGTTGCAAAACCCCATGTTTGCTCAATACATGTCAACCATGCTTCAGAATCCCGCCGTCCTGGATTCGATTATATCAACCAACCCTCATCTATCCAGCATGGGTCCTGAAATACGGCAAATGATGCAATCTCCCGAATTCCGTCAAATGATTTCTAATCCTGATACTATTCGTCAAATGGCTCAGATGTCCTCTGCCATGCAAGGTATGGGAGGCGGCGGCGGCATGCCTCCTGGCGGCGGTTTTGGCGGTTCTCCATTCGGCGGTATGGCCAGTCCTAACCCATCAGCAACAGAACAACAGGGCTCGGCTGCTGCTCCTCCTTTCAATCCCTTTGCAGCCTTCGGTAACCCTATGCTCCAACAAAATACCTCGGCTCCAACTGATAATCGTCCTCCGGAGGAACGATTTCAGGTGCAATTACAGCAGTTGAATGAAATGGGTCTGTGGGATGCTGCAAAAAATATTAGAGCTCTGCAAACTACCAATGGTGATGTGAATGCTGCTATTGAGATTCTCTTTAGCGGTGGCAACATATAATTGAACTCCTTTTGTTTCCTTCTTTCCAATAATATACAACGTTCCCCTTCTTCTTTTTTTTTCTTCATATTTCCAAACAAAAAGAACCTACTCTTTTCTCTCTTATTATTTCGTTGATGGAAAACCTGCTTGTCTTTTGAACCGGCTTGGCTTACAAGAAACCAACAAAACGTTTATCCAACTATTTTTTTACATTCGGGCTTGTGAACTGTTCGATAGGTGTTGTACTTTATAACATAATTATTATTTTTTTCATGTCCGTCCATTGGTTTTCAGGTCACGGCATGTATTGACCCAATGTCTTCATCGTGCTTATGGGAAGTATTCAATGCAATGTGCTTCACCGTATCAAAGTCAAAGGTACCTTGCTTTCTGAGTCCTTCGAAGCATACGTAAGGCAGCTCGGCCCATTCTGGCTATATATGACATTTAGGTACGACAATAAATTTCCAGTCCAAGCTGATGATATAAGAGAAGCAGAGAGCAATGAAGCATGTATTTAGAACTGCGCATGGCAAATAATTAAGAAGCACTTCGTGTGAACGAATGACTGATTACACTACAGCCATTTACGCTCAATCTGATGACGAATACGTTGACGATCCTTTTGTGTGTGTGTGCAGCATGAAAGATAAAGTAGGTTACACGACACGTAAAGAGGCTATGTGAGAACGTTGATGAGGGCGATTATGCGTCCCTTTGACAAGGCTATGTCGTTTTGTATACCCTTCAATCGATTATAAATCCTCATACTGATTGATCTCTTTTGGCTGTAATGTAATGTAACGTAACGTAGCGTAGCGTAACACGCATTCCACATATTGCGTTTCGCCATCCATGCCAGGTGGCGTGGCCTCGTCCCTTTTCCATCCCTCAGCGACAGAACCATTGTGTCCCTGTGGAGATTAGCGGCGCGTGCCCACCATTTCTCCGCCCCATGTGTTGTGTGGAAGTGTCTGGATCCTCCTTCCACTAGGCTCTTTGCCATGTACGGAATAGCGAAGCGAAACAAGTACCACCGTAGAATGGCGTTGAAATGTACAATGTTTGAAAGAGCCGATTGAAAAAAGGATACATTTTATGTGTCAAAGATTTTGTGAAAACAGAAACTTTGAAACTGAAATGAACTAGAGATGTCGAAAGGCTCTCTAAATATAATGGTTGGCTCATATAGCACGCTATCCATTTATTATGGGAAGTATCGGTTGTGGGTATATAGTGAAAGGTATGAAGTTGCAATCTAAGAATGAGCAGCGGCGGTTTTCCATGGCGTTCGGTCCATTGGACACTGCTCCTGGCTGTTAGGGGCGTTCAACCACTTGATTAAGCAATGCATGTGAAATACATGGCTGCATTCGCCCCATATGAGAGGGCAGCCATCACCTGGTACGGTACATGTTGGGCAACAGGCATCGTAGGCCACTTGACATATACCACAAACATCTTCATTTTCCACGTCCCAAGACCAGTAAGCCGGCACGGTCCATGTGTTTACTTTGATCTTCATGGTCAATGACAAAGGTCGAGAGCGCGACCGTCCCATGCGGAGGAGTTAGAAAAAAACCCTGGCAGGCGGGGGACTCCCCCCATCAATGTCTGGCAATGCCTCTGATTGGTCCATTTGGCCCATTGCCTGAACCGAGTCCAATGAGAACAAGGTGATGTATTCAACGTATGTAAATTAAGCATATGATGAAAGAATGTCCACGTTCCAGAGCGCCAAATGATCTTCACTCGGTAAAACGATGTGGTTTTTTTTTTTTTAACGAAAGCCAGTATGATTATCATACTAAACCGATGCTCTGCCCCTCGAATCAGGATAGAAAATTTCTCTATGAGAGCTCTGCCTAGACAACGTGTTGGTCAGTCTTACTGGTTAAGGAAGGTAATTGACCCGATCTTAGGACATCGAGACCTGTGCTTTTTACTGCGCTTTGTACCAACGTCAATGTCATACTAAATTTCATGAGTTCCACTGTTCGTTACGATATTCCGGCATGACACGACTATGACCCTTTGCCCTTTTTTTCTTTTGTTTTGTAGCGCCGGCCCCACCGCCCAAAAAAATTTTCCATCATTTTTTTCATCCACCGAGAGAACGACGCCCGCTGGTCAGGGCACAAGTTTCATAAGCACCGGAGGGCTAAATGACAGATTAAGCTAATAAATGGGGGGTCACGAACATTTGCTTTTGGTGGACGAGAGGACAGTTGACCTGGACGCCATGGGTGGGCACGCTTGGCTGACGAAACCAGTGTAGAGAGAGAAACGGTGGCTGGCTGCGCTGAATCACTGCCAAGCAAACTGCCCAACTGAGCTTACAATTGTTTAACAGCCATTTTCTTTTCAATATCTCAAATGAGGGAGAGGAATGGCCTCAAGATGCACGCCATAAAAAAAAAATTCAATCCTATCCACTGCAAGCCATCTTCTCAACCCATCCCACTTGTTCCAAGTGGTGGAGAACCTGACACATCTTTTAATAGAAGAAATAGCCAAATTCAGACGCCGTGTGGAATAGTTGAAGGAGGGGGGGGGGCCACTTTGGGAATTATCTGTCATGTTCTGGAAGGGTGGATATCACTTGAAGTTTGCAGTGCGTTGTCCGTCTAGATCTCCACCGTTATGCACGAACCGAGTTCCAGGGCCAGATGGATACACCCTTTCTCCCGAATTTACTCTGGTCGACCAAGTGGTACACTCGTTCCAAATGTCCTACGATTTTGCCACACTCTGTTATGCTCATCCTGTTTGCTATCGACTTAATGAGCATGATGTAATGGAGAAGCGTGTGATTGTTTCTCCTTTTTGTTTGCATAGCCTATGGGGGACATCGAGTGTTGCTTGACTGGATGGCCCCTACTCCCCCCAAAAGTGGCGCGTATGAGAGGGTGCATGCTGATGGACCCTTTGCTATGGAAATTCCATACACCCGGATGTTCCGCTGCTACAGGCAGGATTTTTGGGGAATATTTTGGTTGTTTTTTATTTATGTCGAATAAACATCCAATGTTTGTTGAAAAAAAAAGACTCGCTTCAACCGATGCCCGCAAAGATAGAGTTAACATGACGAGAGGAAAAGTACAAGGTATGAATGAGTGAGAGCGTTATGACTAGGTGGAATGAGGTGATGAAATTATAATACAAGCAAGAGAGGGTAACTGTAATAACAGAAGCAGAAATATGTACATCAGGGAGTGAATCGGGGAAAAAACGAGATTAAGGATGTGCAAAAAAAGAAAAAAAGCGTTTTGGGTGAAGTCGGGTAAAAGTGACGGCAGCCGATCTTTTAGCGAGCGAAAGGAAAATTCGGGATATGTAAACCAAGGCGAGCGATTTTACTTGGAAATGAGTTGTTCGCGGGAATCTCGTGTAAGAACGCCATTGATGGTCTTCTTCAGTATATCCACAGCGATAGGTTTACTGACACATCCATTCTGCAATAAAAATCATGTAAGTGGGTGGGTTGATTGTAGGTAGGAAAGCGAATGGTATTGTATACATACCATACCAACATCGTAATAGGCCCTTTTCCACTCGGCAGAGTCATTGGTAGTCACAGCAACAATGGGAATAGAGCGGTTGCACGCAAGCACATCATATTCAGCTGTTGATTGTCGGATGTGACGAGCCGTTTCAATGCCATTCAGAATAGGCATGTCAATATCCAGTAATATCAAGTCGTAAGAATGTAGTTTGAGTAATTCCAAAGCTTTGACTCCACTCTTGGCCACTTCCAAATGCTCGACCAAATGGGCCATGTGTTTCCGTAACGTCTGAGACAAAATGGCGAGGTTGATCAAATTGTCATCCACCAACAACACTTTCATTCGTCTTCTACAACTGCTGGAATAATTGTATGGTCTAAACACAGGAGGTTGATACAGTTCACGGCGCTTGTACTTTAGAGATCGTTTGATGCCTAGAGCAGTAGGCTTTCGAACCTTGAGGGCAGGAGTTGATGGCGGAGAGGGTGGAAGTGATATACATTGATTCATTAACACTGGAGAAAACTCTTCAGGAAAATCCAAGGGATGGCTTCCTTCCGGTGGAGTAGGAAGAGATGAAGTAGTGGGAGACAAATGAAGGGTTGCTGGCTGACATAGATGATGAAGGACCTTTGCTGATGGGTCTTGTGAAGAAGAGAGCTTGAACATTGGCTGATGATGAAAGGCTCTTGATGGTTGAATTGATCCTGTATTATATAGAGCGATGGAAAGGGAAGAGAGAGTGGGGCCAGAAGAAAAAAAAAAAAGAGGCGATTTGATATATAACCCAGGAAATCGAAAAGGTTCTCGATCGAGTCCAGACTCCAAAAACCGCTTTTGGCTCTGTCCCCTCATCTCTCCTCTAACACCCCGCCAACTCTCCCCCCATTTTTTTTTTTTTTTTGAAACGAAGATCACTGGTAGACAAAGCCTTTATCATTTTATTGGTCACTGCCTGAAAAGTATGCCAGGATACTGTTGATGACAACCACCATGGCGACATAACTCCACAATTTACTGCCCAATTGAACGTGTGGGTCTTCTGAGATGACGTGCTTGGGAACCTGTGCAGTCAGGTAGTGAGTGAGTGAAAGCTATTCCATCCATCCGGCCCAGCCTTGTCAAAAAATAAAAAAAAATGATGCAGCTACCAACATACCTTCTGGATAAGTCGTTTACCCGACCGTCCACCATTCCAGCCGTTCGGATATATGAAGTTGCTCGAGATCTCGTCCACTTGAGTCTGATTCAAAGAGTTAGAACGAAATGCCGCGATCGACTGCAGTGTAAGGGCTCATTATTTACCAATTGGACGGACATGAAGGTGAATGGGCAATTAATGCTTGCAATGTTTGGCGTCGCTGGAGACGGCCTTTGGCTTTCAAATCACCTGACTCAGCGTCGTTCCATTTTTGGGCCTTTGGTACCTCCAGCAATTCCAGTTTGTCATGTTGAATGAATGGAGTGTGAGAGTCAGCTCGACTTAAATAAAATCATTTTCATTTCATTCTCTTGCATAGTTCCTTCGTTTTCATTCCATTCGTTCATCTCTGAAAAATATGCTGCACAAGAACCCCACGGTCAAAGTATTTTCTCAGTCACAACCGTCAGAAAAAGCCAGCCCAGACGCCCTGCCAGCTGATATTGTCAATGCTATAGAAGTTGACCAAGTAGATACTGGTTTATACACGTCCCGCGAATTATGGAAGCCCTTTGGCGCTCGTGGTGTGTTTGGTGGTCAGGTGAGAGCGCATTGATAAAAATAACCAAGGAGCTCACTATTAGCTAATTATAATACAGGTAGTGGCTCAAGCCCTCCGCGCAGCCGCCAACACGGTTGACGCATCGTTCTACGTACATTCTATGCACTGCTACTTTATCCGTGCGGTAAGATAGCGTCCGCCCACATGATGCTATGTTTTTTTTTTAAAAAAAAATCCTCAATTCTCATCGTTTCTCCTCGTCAGGGCGATAATGATCTCCCCATTCTTTTCAAGGTAGATCATTTACGCTCGGGTAGAAGTTATGCCACTCGAGTGATCAAGGCTACTCAGAGGGGCAAGGCTATTTTTACTGCCAGCGTGAGCTTTGCTCAAGACGAACCTGGTCCTGTTCTTCATCATCAGGTAATGCAGGAGCTATCATTATGCATTGTGGCCAATATCATTCATTTTAACCTGTTGCATCATCATGAAACCAGCCTCAAATGCCTTCAGTACCGCCACCTGAATCTCTGCGTACGTGAGTATGAGTGCATTTTTCCAATCAGGTTATGGTTGTTTCGACCTCCTACAAGCATAACCGGTTTAACCGTACCCCCTTGTTTCATACCATTTTTTAGTCATGCGGAAGTCGTATCCGTAATGCTGGAAAAGAATAACCTTAGTCAAGAAGAGCAAGACCGACTGCTTTTAAGAGTACAGGAGGTCAGTAGAAAACCCTAAATGAACCATCCATTCTAAATTTAAGACCTCCCATTGCTTCAAACTGAACCGTCTAACTTCTCACAGACTGCAGCTTTGGATAGCAGATCTGTTGTACACAAGTCAGGCAAACAGGATCGTCAGGTTGGTTTTTTTTCGACCAACGTATTGGGAAATCGCTCAATGTTTATCCCTTTACTGTTTCGTAGTATACCTGGTTGAAAACTCAAGGACGTTTGGAGGATGATGATCGTACCATCCACGCTTGCATCGCAGCCTATGCTTCGGATAGAGGGTTCATTAGCACAGCCGCCAAAACACATGGTATGACGGGTAGAGACTTTGGACTCATGGTTAGTTTGGATCATCAAATATGGTTCCATGCTCCTTTTCGAACCGATGAATGGTAAGTCCTTCGGCTTTATACTGAAACTTTAAAAAAGTTTAAGCGCTGTCTTAACAATTCAAATCCCAACCCAACGATCAGGCTATTGTACGAAACTACTTCCCCTACGACGAACAATGGCCGTGGTTTGTGCATGGGCCAACTATACACTCGTGACGGCCGTTTGGTTGCCACTACAGTGCAAGAAGGGGCATTGCGTTTGAAACGACAATCAAAGGCTTGATATTGGGCAGCGCAGGAGAACATCGGAACGGTTTCGAATTTAATAAAAGAAATTGTATATTACGGCGAGTGAAAAATCGGTGTACTTTTTTTCCATCACATTTTTTTTGTCCTCTCTTCTTTCGTGTTTGCCAAGTATGATTTCAAGTGTGTTGAGAACAAGTGTGCTTCGACACGTCAGAACAGCCACCTGTCATGTTGCTCGTCGATCAGCTTCAACCACCGCTGCTACCGCTCCTACCAAGGTGTGGCCTTGGGCCCTGGGAGCAGCTGCCACCGGCGGAGCAGCAGGCTATTACTATGCTGGCCAGCCCGTCAAGGTTAGTGCGACCCAAGGCAAGACTCAAGCAAGAGAGAAAGTGAGCACAAAGACCATCAAGGAAGCTTATGAGCGGCTACAGAAAGTGCTGCCTGCACAGGACGTCACTGTTGACGAGGAAGCACTACAGTTCCATGGTTTCACCAGTAACAGCTACCATAATGAAGGCGCTCCCAACATTGTGACATTTCCACGAAATACACAGCAAGTAGTTGAAATCGTCAAGATCGCGAATGAACTAAAGTAAATCTCGTTTCTTTTCTTTTCTTTCTGTAGCCAGCTCATGACTAACGCGCGCACCTTCAAACTCTCTCCACACCAGTGTACCTGTCATACCTGTTGCTGGCTTAACAAGTCTGGAAGGTCACTTCAGTGCTCCGTATGGAGGAATTTGTATATCATTTGGAGAGAACATGGATAATATTGTAGCCTTTCATGATCAAGACATGGATATTGTCGTTCAACCAGGGGTTGGCTGGGAAGATCTCAATGCTTTCCTCAAGCCACATGGCATGTTCTTCCCATTGGATCCTGGTCCAGGGTAAGGCGCATAGATTGAAAAAGTGGGAGAGGATTGGACAGTGGGTACTGACAGTGTATTGGCTATAGCGCTTGCATCGGTGGTATGGTAGGCACTGGATGCTCTGGTACAAATGCTGTGCGATACGGAACCATGCGTGAGTGGGTGCTAAATGTGACAGCCGTCATGTCGGATGGAAGTGTCGTCAAGACAAGACAAAGACCTAGGTAAATCAGCGACGGCTGGCTTATCATGACCTCACTTACCTTGCTATTTACAACTCACATCCATTATCCAGGAAATCATCGGCAGGTTACGACCTTACCAAACTGTTTATTGGCTCGGAAGGCACATTGGGTATTGTGACAGAGATTACACTCAAACTTGCCACCATCCCAAAAGAAACTTCAGGTAAGAAAAAAAGTGGATGTTCCTGAGGAGTTGGGGTTCCAACTTCGCTCTGCTCAATTTGGAAATTCATGGTTTTCAATATTCCAGTGGCTGTTTGCGATTTTCCCAGTATTCGAGATGCTGCAGCAGTGGTACCGGAAATAATGATGGCTGGCATTCAGGTCGGCGCCGTAGAGCTACTGGATGATTTGATGATGAAAGCGATCAATATGGCAAACCCTCGCTTGGGATACGAAGAGAAGACGACGTTGTTTTTCAAATTTTCAGGTCCAGACAAAGCCCAGGTTGAACGAGACATCACACTTGTGTCTGAGATTGTCAACCGACATAAGGGCGGTAAATTCAAATATGCCAAAACCGAAGCTCAGAAGGACGAGTTATGGGAGGGGCGAAAGGTAATGTTTCCAAAGCCGTGAATTCCATGTCCCCCTTCTCACTCATGTCCCCCCCCCCCCAATAGGCGGCGCTGTGGAGTTCTGCATTGTTGAAACCGGGCTGCTCAATCTGGACTACAGATGTGGTGGTGCCTGTGTCTAGACTTCCGGATTTAATCGAGCACACCAAAGACGACGTTGCAAAATCTTTTCTACCCTGTCCCATGGTCGGTCATGTTGGCGATGGAAACTTCCATGTCTTCATTTTGTTTGACCGGGATAGCCCAGAAGAAACCGCTGAAGCCAAACGCATTAATTCCCGATTAATTGATCGTGCCATTCTTATGGAAGGTTCTTGTACAGGTGAACATGCGGTAGGGATAGGCAAGAAAGCCTATCTGCCCAAGGAGTTGGGCGAATCTACTATAGACCTGATGCGCACTATCAAGTATGCTATTGACCCAAATGGCATCATGAATCCTGGAAAAACGCTTCCGGACAAGGAATAGACGTTATAACGATACCCTGGCAAGGAAACGGAGTGAAGGGAGAGCCTGGCCAGCGCCACAGAAATCCACTATATCCGAATTTTATTGGTGTGCATACAAATGTTTCATTGGACCGTAATATAATATAATCACTCTATGAACCAATCATTGCTTTAAAAAAAATGTCCCTTTTACACAGAACCCATTATTGGGTAAGTGGAGATGCTAACACTACAAGGTCGTCTTCACGTACAAATATTCCACGTTGAGAATCCGTCTGAAAATACCGTTGGCCATCTACAGACCCGTCATTTTTACCAACTGCAAGAGAGAGAGAAAAAATGTGTTCAATGCCAATCCATAATGGCCGCCTCCCGTTACCAAAAATCAAAAATATCTAGCGCTTACCTCGACTATCAAGTTCAACGCCAACCCACGTTCCATCTTGCCCGACCAGTTTACCCAAGTAACGAACATGTCCTTGAGTAGGGAGAGGGCGTCTGAGTAATTCAACGCGGGCACCAATGGTAATGGGGAGGTAAGTACTCTCATCATCGTCACTTGAGTCACTTCCAGCGGAAAGACTCCAGCGATTGCCCCTTGATTTCCGAGGCTTGGAGTAACGTAGTGCAGCCGGTTGGCGATTAGGTGAATGGGACCGTGTCGAGGATCTTGAACGGTTGGGTGATCGGGTCCTTGCCGGGGTTTCGGGTAAAGCGAATTTCAGGCGTGATTGGCGAGGAGCCGATGTGGTATCATCACCGCCCGTTTCAGTACTCGTTGATTCAATAGGTAACAGAACGTCGGTCAATGAGGAAAATGATCCATCGGATGAAGGTGGAGCATGACGTGCCTGACGCCTCTGACGACTTTCAGTTTCCAGTGACATAAGATCAAGCATAGCTTGAGGTTGATTTCGAACCTTGGGGATGGTCAAAGGCTGCGATTGATAAGCATGAAGTTGCGGGGTAGCATCAGAGGAAAGCGACCTTTGCACATTGGCAAGTTGTTCAGGCTGGCTTAGATCCACTTCATCACCTGTTGAATTGGGTCGCTTGCTTGCGCTATCTGTCGTATCTGTGTGGTTCGACGTTAGTGGAGGTGATGTTGGTCTCTGAGTGTTGGAGTTGGATCTTGATCGTCTTAAGCCACCAAGAGAAAGGCGTCGTCCATGGGTGGACGATGATCGTATTGAGCTTCCTTTCACCTTGGAAGGCTCTGTATCGGCGGCTACTTTGGAGGATTTTGAATAAGGCTTGAAGCTAAATAGGTTCATGAAATCCGAGTCCATGGGTTTTGAAAGCGTTCGATACGGCACACCAATATCTTGTGGAATGAAAGAAAAAATGGAATTCGTCATTTAGTAAAAATATTGGTTCTGCCCCAATGCTGCATTCACGGTGCACACAAATGATCCTGCCCACTCCTTGTCAAAAAGACCTACCTTCAGCCATGGTCCGTAACACCTCCTTGTCTAGATCCTTGAATCCATTCTGTGCCTTAACTCCAACCCATCTTCTCTTGAGATAAGCAACAATCTTGGCACGGCTAGCATCAAGCACCTCACCAACAGCGATGTTCTTCACTACCTCTTGACGACCAATTAGGTCTCGTACAATGCCTTGGTACAGAACGCCAGCATTGGCATCCTGCATACCCTCATCCAACACTCTGTTCAACAGAAACTCCAAAAAGTCGCAAGAAAATCCAAATCCGATGCCATCCACGCACGATAATAAAATAGGGTATTCGACGCAGAAGTAATCAAAGTTCATGGCCACTAAGAGGGCGGTTTGATGGATGATTGGGTTTAAAAGACTAAGGGTAGCGATGGACCAGGTGGGGAAAGGATCGGATGCACGCAATTGAGACAAGCATAAATGCATGGCGTGGAAAGACTGGATGGCATTGTGTTTGGTGATTCTTTGCAATGTCTGCGTATTGATGTCGCTTACAAGAGCCGAAGGAGATACTTCTGTTCGCACCAAAAAAGAGTTGCTTCCAGTGTCCTCTGATACAATACCCAATGAATTCACCAATAGAGCAAATGGCTTTTGTGGCCATAACTTTGCAATACCTTGGATAGGATCTGTATAGAGGCGAAGGATGGTGGGTCTGAGCTTTGGCACAGAAGCAACCACCTTATCAGAAAAGGATAATACTGAAGGTAACAGCAATTGACAGTCGGCACATGTGCATTTGAACTGATCGCAGATTTGAGCTATCTCATGCATGGCCAAAGCACACGTAGTATTGGTTTGACCAAGGTAATCGGCCCCGCGAAACACCTTTTGCATCAACCGGAGACCAAATTTCTTTTGTGTTAAACGTCCTGCCGCAGTCGAAGCGGTTTTTCGAATAGGAGCGGTGGGGATGTCGAGGCTGCTACTATAGTAATATTGTAATATACAGCCGAGTGACGCAGAAGTGAAGAGCTCAGGTGGAACATGAATGGTAGGACTTGATGCTTCCTTGAATTGAGAGTTGAATAATGCATTAAAGTAGGGAGATTGAGCCGCTAACATGAATCGATGCACGGAGTATGATGTGTTGTCTGCACTAGACACGGCGATAGCGGGGACGTTTGCTTTGGATGGTATATTGGTGGGAGCGTCGACAGCAACCACCACGTCAACACAAATTTGATCCTTCCGCATACGACTGATATCATTCAACCATTGTTGGTGATCACCGGTAACACCTTCCTCAATGATCGGTAACAATTTGATTCCAATAGTCGATTCCAATTCCATCACTGAAGCTCGTATAGCCGCCGCTTCGTCTGATCCCAACGGTGGAGTTATTGGCGCATTCACTTTATGATCACTTTCATCCGATACTGAAGTGGATGTGGAGCTGACTTTGGAGTCCGTGAGTGAAAGCGCTGACAATTGTATTGAGTCGGACTCTGACCATGCCACAAACGAGGCGGTATACCAAAAACGTATGATCCGCTGCAGCATATCTACTGGTATACAATCTGCTTGTAAATCCACATGTTGAATTCCTTCTGATGCAATTGGTAGAAACTTCGTTTGAAAATCTCGTGGAGCTCGCGTTTTTATTATTGCTTATAAGGAAAAATGCAAAAACAATAGAGTTTAGTAAAGAAGGGTTCGTTTTGGGTCATACAAAAATGAAAGAAAAAAAAATCATCCTCCTACCGTTATGCGCCCATACTTGCACGTTGTCGCAGCGAAAGCAGACATCAGCGAAATAATTCTGAGGATGATCGACAATGTCGTGTAGTGATTTTTGTAAAATGGGTGGAGGTTTTGGGAACATGTAAGGTTTGACAATGAGAAGAAGAAAAAAAAAATTATATTTATGGTAACGGAAACCAAGCAAGCTTTTTTTTCTTTAGGTTTATGAAGCAGTGTGAGTCTCGTTTTTAGCCACCGTTAAAGCTTGAGAAAGCCTGTGAAACCTCTTGCTTGGCCGGAACCGCCTTTGCCACCTTTGCCCGGCCAATAGAATGCCTCAAGAAATTCTGGAACAGCTCATACGCCTCACGCTCTTCTAATCACGACCCCTGCTAATACATGCCTCTCGTCATATAGAAGAGCCGATTTCCATGAACACTGAGTACCAGAACAGCAGTCATGGATGGGAAGCTTCCATGGCATTGTTACGGCCTTTTGTCTAGCTAACATGGCGTGTTGTACTTTATTTTTAGCAATGGTCGATGTTTGCCTTCTGCATTTTCCTATAACTTGACTGTTTTGAAATAAATGGTTACGCTACATGTGTTGAAGCGGACCCTGACAAAGGGCTAGAAGGCACCATGCCTGTCACAATAGCAACGTTGATATGAGTCGGATGTAATGGGCCGTCTGATGTTAATTTTACAAGTCCGGGACGACGCTGAGAATCCCCGGACAATGCTAGAAAGATATTTTTGTCTGCGAGAACTGCGCGTCCCGTCCAGATGAGATTGGCTAGGTCTCGTATATATGTTGCAATTTCGACCACAGTTTTGCATGACGTTATCAAAAGCCAAAGGCAGCCCAACCAAGCAATACATATTTTGATGAAGCATTATAACTCCAAGGTTCAAGTACAGTTTGAAAGTGTATGCAGAAAATTCTCGCTTACCCGGACATGGATGCGCGCATGTGCGATAAGCTATTTTAAATTACTGGTTATTCTACGTTGTAGACGCTGTACACTTAAACATGTTGGGGCTGACTGCAAAGAAAACAAATAATTGGACGACACGACATCACTTAGTCATTACCATGCCCTTTTATTTTAGACTATTTTCCTCACAAATGTGTCTACAAAATTAAAGCTATAGTGAGCCGACAAAAGAATAGATGATTCGATAATTTGCGTGTAGTGTATGGCTACCATTTGGTGAATAGAACTTTTTAAAAACCTCGATAAATCCAAGTCATATGAACCATAGCTTCTCTGCAACCGTGGCACAACAGCAGTTGACCTCAAGATATCGTAGGTTACATCTTTATCGATTTCTTGGAAACGGAAAAGGGCGTTCAGAATGGCATTGTAAGTTCACATCAGGTTTAATGTAATGTTAAAGGGTGAAATATGTGTACAAAACATATTTGTGCAAATTACGCTTTACCCTTTACCGTTTTCATTGCATTGTCTTGCTTGTCCAATCATCCTGTTCTTACTCCCTACCTGCTTATCGTTAATTACATCTCCCACTTTTTTTTAGTAGGACAAATTCATTCAATCATGAAACATATCATGATGGAGATACGAAACTAACCCTGTCGACACCTCTTTGACCATTATCAGTCCAAGCTCCATAGCTTTGAAATACACGTGACCAACGGACCGAAGCTTTTGGGTCATCGCGAACCCAATTGGACCCCAGCCAGAACAAAAAAGCACGTTTGCCCACAACCGTTGAATGAGTGAACAAGAAAAGCTGGAGAAACGCAGGCAACGACGGCAGCAAAAGATCATGGCTGCTGCCGGTGATCGTCTTAGTCGGATAACTGGTACAGCATATCGTATGTAATCTTTCCAAAATGGAAATCTTTGACTTTTTACCTCTGTTCCATCTTGTCACTAACCGTATTGCGCAATGTTCCGGATGCAGCTGATCGATTGACTCCTTCACCAGTTCCATCTCCTTCGAACTCGACTACCTCCATTAAGAGTGTACAAAATATAGAAAACCAAAGGGTTCGAGCTAGCTCACCGCTGGAAACGTCATCGTCCACCCCCACCAGCCGCAACTCACCGGATCCAAATGTATTACAGCTTCCTCGCCGTGGAAGTCACCTTGACCCTGATGATAGCCTGGGAGCCCCTCCATCCTCCGCATCTAGCAGTCAGTTGGCAGAACATTTTCCTGGAGAAGACGAAGCCAATGCACGCATATATCAGGATCAAATGGCGGCAATACAGCGTATGATGGGTATGGGTGGACCTGGCTCATCTCCGTTTGGTGACATACCTGGTGCACCAGGCATGTTTGCTGCATCTTCATCGCAACAGGATCCCATGTCCTCGTTCCCCTTCAATCCTGCGATGATGGCGGGTATGCAGCCGGTTCAAACAACGCCTGATACGACTGCCAAGTATTGGACACTGGCTCATTTTGTCACCATGGCAATGCTGGGCATTTATGCTGTCATCACCGAGTTCAAGACAAATGGGCGCTCTCATTTTGCAAATCTTATTCTCAGCAAGGAGCCTGACAGTCCATTCTCCTCTAGTTTGGCGTTTGTAAGTACCAGCCCGAGAAATTGGTCACAACGGCAAAAGCAACTTTTGTATGCTAACCACTCGCCTCTGTCTGCACAGCCCTTGTTCTGGTATTTTGTAACGCTAGAGTTGATATTACAATCTTCCAGACTATTTTACCAAAATGTGAGTACGGATGAGTAGAGGTTATGCACTGTGACTTATGGTTTTCTGAACGATGTATGTATGTTTAGGGTCAGCCACCGTCGTCTTCCATGCTCGGTACCATAGCCGGATTTCTTCCCCCACCATTTTCCACTGGCATCCTGCTGTTCTTGCGATACAGTTTGATATGGAAATGCCTCGTCAATGACTGTTGTTTGCTCGTGTTTATCATAGGCATGGCTCAGCTCGCATCTGCCGTTTTGGGCTGAAGAATTAACCTGGTCTCCACCACCACAACAAAAAACAAATGTAGAAAATGAATTTGAAATCATAATAATAAAGCGCCGGTCAGTCTAGCCTCGCCTTATAATTTCTTGGATCGGATCATCACCGAGCGTACGAATGCTGCAAAAAGAAAGGATGTATTTGCAATTGGGGTGTGTCTATGATAGTAGGTAAATGTTGTAAACAGGTAAGAAACAATATACAGGATGAGAAAAAGCGATATCTATGCGGCAATTTCCATAAGTTGTTTGCAAATGGATGATGATTGCTGGCGAGCGAGTTCAATTGTTTTTGTTGATTGATCAGCTAGAACACACAATGTTAGAAAAATGTGTGATGTGGAGAATAATCAGGGGGAATAGACTTACCGAATGATACAGTCAAAACAGGCTTTGTAGCAGCCTCAGGAGACTTGATAATTTCATATTCAACAGCAGGATTGTTGTACTGAACTCCAGGCAAGTCTTCCTTGATGAAGTGTCTAGTATTATGAAAAGCGTTAATTCATGTTTAACGGAATGGTGGGTGCATATTGTACTTACCTTGCACCAGCGCACTCATTCTTGCCCTTCGTGGCCAAGGAGACCGAGATCTTGGTGATGTTGGGCGAAAGCTTTGCTGCGCCAAGGCCGGATTGTAGTCTTGAGAGTATCTTTTGAGTTGACATGATCTATGTGTCAAATGGACCCTTTGTGGATTGGGAGTTTTTTTTTTCTTCTGCAGTTGCAGAAGGCAGCCAGTTATGTCACGCACACAGACACTTTGAAAATTATCATAAAAATAAAATAACTGAGCCGTGTACAATGATATATTCTCAAGGCATAGCAATACTATTAACTCTAGAGCCAGTTACTTGAGAAAATAAATTAAAATGATGTTATCGTCTATTGATGTAGATACACTGTAATAACATCGATGGCCTTTGTGGACAGCATACTCAGTCGATTTTTCCGCCGTTACTGTATGTAGCTGAAAAGTCTGTATCACGCCAATCCAGTTAGAGTGGTACACCACTTTGATGTAAGATATGCACGCATAGCAACGCCGGAAGAAAGGAGAAGGAAGCAAGAGACGGCTTTATTCAACAAAAGCAGAGCTTTTAATAAAATTGTTCAAAGTTCCCAGTACCACCGAAGGTTGGGAAAACGGCTATTTGAGTGGCAATTGTGGTTATTGCCACACACACGCACAGCTTTTTTTTTTTTTTTTGGTTCTCCCTCACCTTCATCCCTTAGATGCAGACACTGATCAAAGACAGACCACGATGGCATCTGCTATTCATGGCTTTCCTTTCGTCAGTTGCTCTACTCCTCACCTTGAACCATCTGTCTAGCTTCGATCCTTCACCACTTCCATCCATTGCACCTGGCCAAAACTTGAGCATTCTACTGTCTAATGCAGAATTTGACTGCAACGCTTGCGAAAAACCAAATGTGACAGAACCTAAGCTGGCTTGGGAAGCTTGTTTGGACAGAGGTTCTGCCCCTGAATACTATATGTCGATTGTCATTGTAACTCGGAGTGACGACTACGCTGGTGACCAACGGCATCGACTACAAAATATGATTGATAGCACTTACATTTTGGCTATGCGTACACGTACCCGCATGGAGCTTTTGATCGTTGAATGGAATCCGGCGATAGGAAGACAGCGAATCAAGGATATATTTAGGCAAGTGTCATTTTGAAAAAAAAAAAAAAAATGGATGTGGAATGGCCAATACTCATGAACAATATAGGTTCAGGAGATCAGAGTACTTGGTGTATAGAATCATCAGCGTCCCCAAGAAGATCCATGACACTCGTCCTAATATCGGTAACATCCCATTACACGACTATGAGGGCAAAAACGTCGGAATTAGATTTGCCCGCGGGGAGTTTATACTCTGTACAAATCAAGGTTGGTTTGGCATCAATGTGTGAGGCTGGCCCAAAGTCCGTTGTTAAGAGTAACCCCGTTTTCTCTCCTGGTGTATTTAGACAACATCTGGTCATGGAATATGCATAATGCTGTGGCATCAAAGTCATTTGTGCCCAACATGTTTTATTCCCAGTATCAGGACAGACACGATAAGTAAGTATAGATTGACATGTTCGAGGCTCTATTTCAAGCTTAAAAAGCTTATTTTTATCTTTTAATCCTAGTCATGCCGACCATTTACCCAAGACGCTTGTCCGCTTGCCATCCTTCCCCAATGATGAAAAAGTTTTCAATGCTTGTCCCATCAATGCTTTTGGCTACGGTCAGTTTGTTATGCCTACACCCGAGCCTATCACCATGGACAACTTTTTCAAAATAGGACAGCACGCTGGTGACTTTATTCTTGGTCATCGGGATACATGGCGGATCCCGCGAGGATTTCGTGAGGCAGGAGGAACGGCGTGGATTGATATGGAGTTCCTCATGACTGCGCAATGGACATTCGATATTCCCATCACTTTTACCTACAATACCCTCTCGTGTCATCAAGATCATGCCAATGTTTGGGAAAACAACCCCGGTGCTCAGAACGATAACACCAAAGTGGATCTATCCAAAATGCAAGCCAAAGAAGACAAGTACGTCAACGAACGAGGTGAATGGGGCCTTTATAACGTTAATATCTGGGAGATGGGTCTTGAATGTGCCGCATTCCGAGGAGGCTCTGGTGTTTTGTGATTGACAGAATAGCGTAGCGTAACGTCCAGCCATCCAAATCACCCATTTGTACAACACAACTTGCCATCTTTCACTTTTCATCTCCGAAGATCTCCTCTCCATGAGAGCGAGCGAACGCATTTCACAAGCAATTTTTTTTTATGTGACTTATTGGCTACCGCATTTTTTCTTAACTCTGAATACTAGATCTAATACTTGAAAAGAACATTGCATTTTTCACTCTAATAATAAAACAAATGTATCAAGGTAGGATGGAGTCTGAGCGCCAGCCAGTGTGGACTTGATCAGACGTTACTAGGAAGAAAGATCCAACTTTATGACATGTCGACAGGTGAGTGTCGTCCCTTAACTACCACACCCTTTTCCTCATTATTTCTGCAATCAATCCATACCATACTGTACATTATGTATAAACCCATTTTTTGTTGTTTATTTTCCATGTGGCATGGAGTACCGTCCACACCCTTTACAGGTACCAAAGCGAAAAAAAAAAAAATGGATCATAGATATGAGGACTAGTGAGAACAATGTCTTTGGTTCATTTGTTTGATGATGCGAGAAGTTTATGTGATGACGGTAGGGGTGTCACGACCAGTGAACTCCTTGAGTTGAGAGATGGCCAAGGCCTGGTCAATCAAAGGCTTGAGAGCCTTTTGAGTATCGGCGTCGTATTCGGCGGCATTATTAGAGTACTTTTCGACATAAAGGCGAACAGTGGCGCCTTGAGATCCAGTGCCAGACAGACGGATGATGACACGAGAGCCGTCCTCGAACACAATACGGACACCTTGGTTGCTAGAGACACTCTTGTCGATGGGATCATTGTACTCGAAGTCGTCGACGAAGGCAATCTTGAAGTTACCAAAAGTCTTGCCCTTAAGTTCTCCAGACTTGATCTGTCCCTGAAGGCGTTCGACCATCTCATTAGCTCCCTTTGACTCAACCTCTTCGTAATCGTATCTGGAGAAGAAGTTGCGTCCGTACTGCTTGTAGTGGAGCTGCAAAATGTCGTGGACACTGGTTGCCAATTTCTGCTTGTTGGCATAGGCGATGATGCTCAACCATGCGATAACAGCCCAGAGACCATCCTTTTCTCTAATGTGATCAGAGCCGGTACCGAAGGATTCCTCACCACAGATAGAGCATCGACCAGCATCCATGAGGTTACCAAAGAACTTCCAGCCGGTAGGAACTTCAAAGTGTTCCAAGCCTTGCTGCTTGGCTACCAAATCGATAGCTTGCGAGGTGGGCATGCTTCTTGCCAATCCGTTGACACCGTTCTTTTGGAAGTAGGGAATAGCAGCCTTGGCATAGTGGGCAATGATGGCAACACTATCACTGGGAGTAACGAAAGCACCTTTTCCAATGATCATGTTACGATCACCATCACCATCGGAAGCAGCACCAAAATCAATGCCTTCCTTCTCAACACGTTCAACGAGGTCATGAGCATAGGTCAAGTTGGGATCAGGATGACCGCCACCAAAGTCGGCAAGGGGTTTGAAGTTCATGACGCTGGATTCAGGCAATCCAAGTTCCTTAACGAAAAGATGGTATCCATATGGGCCAGTGACACCGTTCATACCATCGAATAGAATACGATAGTTGGGGTTGGACTTGAAGAACTCGCGAAGAGCATCAAAGTCAAAAATGGACTTCATCAACTGGACATAGTCTTCAGTGCTATCGATGACGTCAATGGTCATATCACCCACTTTGGTGGATCCAATGGTAGTAAAGTCGACCTGCACAGATCAGTTTAGAAGCCTGCTCACAGAGCTCGAATCCCATATTCATTTGGTCTTACCTTTGGTATATCAGCAATATACAATTCCTTGATGGTCTTCGTGATTTCATAGATCTTGTTAGTGACGCTCTCAGGAGCAGGACCTCCATTGGAGACATTGTATTTGATACCAAAATCATTGTTAGGACCTCCAGGGTTGTGAGAGGCAGTCAAGAGAATACCTCCAGTGGCCTTAAACTTTCGAATCAAGTTGGAAGCAGCTGGCGTGGAGAGAATACCATTTTGTCCGACAATCAATTTGGAGACCTGGGGAAGGATAAAAAAAAATTTACGTATCGATTAGGTAACGCGCGCCAAACCAATTTTTTTTGTCTATCCGAGAGACACTTCTCCCCCATCGATCTGATTTTCCTGCAGAACGCTTGCTCTTTTTTCCCAAAAAACAAACCGTCGTGAAGTCTCCCACGCACGTGGGCGTAACGGTTATGCTACGGGCGACTACCAAACTAGGTTGTTTTTTTTTCTAGCCCACCCCTCTCAATTGTGATCAGCATACTTACACCAGCACCAGCACTCAACTTGGCGATGATTTGAAGTGCCTCAGGAATGTAGTAACGTCCGTCGCCTCCAATGACGAGCGTTGCACCTTTCGCACCACCAGGTTCGGGGATAGCTTGAAGTGTAGCCTGCACGAAGTTTTCAGTGTAGTTTTCTTGTTGGAAGACCTTGACACGCTTGCGAAGACCCGAAGTACCAGGCTTTTGACCTTCGTATGGTGTTGTAGGTACAGTTTTCACGTTAACAGACATGTTTGCAAGTAAAGAAGAAAGAGAAAAGAATGACGAGCGCCAGGTTTGTTCCCTACAGACGGTTTAAACCCCCATGGCGGAGTCTCAAATGGGGCTTGCAAACACGACCAACCGGTAAGCCCATACCACGCTTGACGGACTGGACAACTGCCTGGCCGGAAGGGATCGACCATGATGGTGTTATCATCTCACATCAGTTGTGCTCGGTTCAGTTTGACCATCACCCGCTTTTATAACCATTTGCTATAGCCTGTCAATAGCTTTGGCAAAAATGCTTGATGCTCCCACGATGGGCTGGCTATCCCAAGCAAACAAACTGGCCACTATAGTTTAAGTCAATCGACGGCGAAGTCTAGTGTCAACAATGGATACGACTATCGGTTTAGATCATGGAATTATCTAGAGCCAGCAACCATAATAAGAATATTTTCCATAACCGGCACCAACACCGTAAAAACCTATAACTACATAGCCGATACCGGTGCGATAGTCCTTTGGTCAGCACCATCTGCTTCATTGTATGCAGGTACCTGGGTAAATTTACCTACTAAGCGGTTTAACGAAATTCTTCGTTGCGCAGTCCTCTCGCTTGATATCGGATTCGCTGATGAGGTGATATGTAGAGCAGTCACATAGGAATCTTGTACACACTTTGTGAGAAATAGAATCCTTTGAGTGCATGGAACATACCGTAGCTATCGATAAAGTGCATTGGGTTACTAAAAGTCTTTTCACATCGACTGGCTTCTATCAACGTCCATGTACATAGACTACAATGATGGCCAGAAGCGACACTGATGAAATCGTCGACACCCCGCCCTACGGGAGCCCCGGTATCATAACCCGCCATCTATCAAACATAAGTGTTGACTAAGAGCTTAATCAGCACCTATATGTCTATTATGTTTCATTTTATTCATTCCAAAAATTGATAGGTATCTAGGAGGAGCACTTGATAGGTTTGAGGATATGGACACACATTGAAAGGTTGGATGGTCGAAAAGGTTGGGGCAATTGGAGATGTTAGTTAGACACAGGGGAGCGATGCTGAACGTTCTATTGGCTAGCGGACATTGTTACATCAGCAACAGTCAGCCAAGATGACGCTTCAGCGGGCGTTAAAGTGCTTGGTAAATGTTCCGTATGGTAATAACGGTACTATAAAAATATAATTTCCATTAACTTCCCCCAACCGACATCTCTCTTCTACTTCATTTAACATGTCTGTTCTCGACCAAATCAAGCAATTCACTACCATCGTCGCCGATTCTGGTGATTTCGAAAGTAAGTATACGTCGCGACTACACCGACAGTCCTCAGTTCAGCCGACTTATTTTGACACTTTTTTTTTCTTTAGCTATCGCCCAATACAAGCCCCAGGATGCTACCACCAACCCCTCTTTGATTTTGGCTGCTGCCCAAAAGGAATCTTATGCCAAGTTGATTGATGAAGCTTTGCAGTTCGGTAAGGCCAAGGGAGGGTAAGTTGAGCCATATTTTCATTATCGGGAGAGGCGGAAAGCTTGTTTATGCAAGGATGACAGGGTGGACTTGTAATAAGGACAGTCACTGACATTTTCCCTTTGATACAGTTCCTTGGACGAACAAACCGAGTGGGCTTTGGACAAGTTGCTCGTCAATTTCGGTAGCGAGATTCTCAAGATCGTCCCTGGTCGTGTCTCCACTGAAGTCGATGCTCGTTTGTCCTTTGACAAGGATGCCACCATCGAGAAGGCTCTTCGTCTTATTGCTTTGTACAAGGATATTGGCGTTGCAAAGGAGCGTATTTTGATCAAGATCGCTTCCACCTGGGAAGGTATCCAGGCTGCTCACATCCTTGAGACCAAGCACGATATTCACTGCAACTTGACCCTTCTCTTCGGTTTCGGTCAAGCTGTTGCTTGCGCTGAGGCTGGTGTCACTCTCATCTCTCCCTTCGTTGGTCGTATCCTTGACTGGTACAAGGCTTCCACTGGTAAGACCTACTCTGCCACTGAGGACCCTGGTGTCGTCTCTGTCAGCAACATCTACAAGTACTACAAGGCCCACGGTTACAAGACCATTGTCATGGGTGCTTCTTTCCGTAACACCGGTGAAATTGAAGAGCTCGCTGGCTGCGATTTCTTGACCATCTCTCCCAACCTTCTTGCCGAACTCCAAAAGGATAACAAGAAGCTCGAGCGCAAGCTTAGCCCCGAAGGTGCCAAGAACGAGAAGATTGAGAAGGTTTCCTTCTTCAACGATGAGAAGAAGTTCAGATGGGAATTGAATGAGGATCCCATGGCCACTGAGAAGCTTTCCGAAGGTATCCGCAAGTTCGCTGCTGACGGTCGTAAGCTTGAGAGCACTCTCCGTGAGCGTATCCAAAAGTTGTAAATAGCCTCTTTGTGACTGGCCTAGGTGCTACGGGGTGGCTATCCCCACTTTCCACTGTTACACTGGGCCTGTGGTCGATCATGTAGAAATTTCCACCCTTTTTAACTCGTAAAAAAAAAAAAACTCCCTCACTTACATTAGCATGAAAAATGCACAAAGGCACAAATATGCACCCAATAAATCCCAACGTAGGCTGTAACATGGTGCGTCCATGATATCCCAAACAAAATTCTCACTTGATTTACAAGTGACGTGAAGCCAGGGGGGCGCGCGAGAGAGCCTGGGAAGAACAAAGTGGTAACACTCCAAAATGGTAAAGTAGTGTTACGGTTTCTATCCCTTACTGACCTTGGCAGATGGTGTGTCACCTTTGGAAATTACTTTGCAGCAGACATTACGCCAACGGGCTTGACACTCTTTCCATTATGCGCGAAGGTGACGCCGATCCGGGGTACTACCGATGTAAGTATCCCCTTAAACGCATGACCGCTCGAGAGACGTTTCATAACGCACTGCCCACCCCGCAGTTAACGCAGCACCTGTTCCCCCCCCCCCATTTAGGCGGTGTGAGTACAGTAAACACCTGATAACCGACTATGGGAGTGATAAGCGATTTATCTGCACAGATAAGACCAAATTCAGCTCGCTGAAAATACCTGTCAAAAGCGCGGGGAGGGCAATGTTTTACGATGTGATGCGGGTAGGTCACAGGGTGACGGGCAGGATAGAAATACGCTGAGTATAGTCAACGTTCGGTTGAATACGATATGTCAACCGCTAACGCTGCTTTGACTTCGATACATGTTGATAGCCGCAAAGCAAACCGCGCAAACCTGCCTCCCCCCCAGTTGGCTTCCTTGCACGGAGATTCATCTCGGAAAGTATTTCAATGCCCAGTTGCCTGAAATGATTCACTACTTTGGTCAGTCCATCGCGCCACAGCCACTGGATGGTCCAAAATCTGTGGGGTACAAACAAACGGGACACCTTATATCCTCACTGAAAAATAAAAAACGTCTTTTTGACAACCAATCCATGGTAGCAAAATCAACTCCTTGACCATGTCTACGCTACTTGAGACCTCCTAAATGATTTGACGTGTTACTTTCTACACATTGCAGAACCATCATAACCACGCACAGTAAAACCAGGCTGCACATGATCCCCGCAAATTTCGTGCAGGTTGCACCAAGCTCAGGTTGGGGGTGGGAGGAGGCCAAAGGAGTTCTTACCCTTGGTCACACTTGGTCGTTTTGGCCTCTCCAGTTTCCCACATCCGTTTCCTATTTATTTATTCTCAGCTTTTTTTTATTTTTTGCATCCTCTCTCCCTTTCTCTTTTTCTTCTACTTTTTTTTTTACCTGTAGTTCTTTTTCTTTCCGTCGTATCGCCTTGAAAACAGACAGGGCCTGCCTCAACTTCCATCCAGTGTTGACCGTGCAATGTACAAGTACAGCAACTGCATGGTGTTGAGGTTGCCACTGGAGATCCTCTGCCAAATATGCTCCCTTATACCCATGACGGATGTCACTCAGCTTTGTCGAGCGTCGCCTAAACTTGCTCAACTTATCTACAACATGCCTCACCTTTGGCGAGAGATCACCGTAGCCATGCAACCTCTCACTAACACTAGTCAGGCGCTTGCCTACAGTCAAAAACAGACCAGTAAGGTCCTCAATGATATACCCGATCGACTTGCTCAACGCCTGCTTTCAACTTTACTGTCTCGAGAAGCTCGTAATGGAATCAGAACCGTCACCATCATTGATCATGCAAAGTTCTTCTTTCAGCAAGACGACTCACGATTACACGAAATGATGCAGCTTGTGTTCAGACAATGCCCCAACCTTGTGCATTTTACACTACAGACATCGTCCGATATCGACTATTATTCCTTGATCGACTCCTTGAATGAAATTCCACCGTGTTCAGCACCTAAACAGTTTCAGCTACCGCGGTTGTCTAAATTTGAACTAATTGAAACTCATCGCCCGAGGCCTTTGTTGAACACCATCGTTTTGGCCGAGATACAACACGCCCTCTCCAACCTGACTCCTCATCCAGCGTTCTCCCAAAAATCATGCAAAGAATGTAGAGAATACATTGGTTACCAACAGCCCATGTGTGCACAATGCCTGACCTCACAACCTGAAGCCATACGGTGCCCTTTTTGTCACTGGCAGTGCGATGACTGTGGCGCTCATTTCTGCGACGGTTGCCAGAAGAAGGAATTAGTTGAGGTGCTTCTTGCAGACTATCACGGGGACACTTTACGTTACAATCACTCTGAACATACTTCTTGTCCACCGTCCAACCCTTGCCCAAATGGCAGTGGGTCGTCCAACACTACTCTGCTATGCTCTCGTTGCGTCCAAGCCCACAAGTGCAACAAATGTGAGATGTTATTTGCATCTGAAAATCTCCGGCACTGTGACATTTGTCAACAACAGTCCTTCTGCAGCTCTATCAGTGATGAATCGTTGACCATCCCTGAACCAACGCGGGCAGTACCGCTTATTACGTCTGTACATACTATTTATCGAGATACCCCCAGCAAGCCGACTCTGCCGAGTCATAACCTTCATCAGCTCACCACAGCGAGGCGTCATTCAGCCTCTCAAGATAATCATTCTTCAGAAAGTAGCGACGAAGAAGACGAAGACGACGAAGACGATATGGGATGCTGCCGATTCACTGAGAAATTCATTCGATGCAAACAATGCAAAATGACAGGATTCTGCACGCAGTGTCTCCCGCAGGCACGGGAAGGCATACGAAATTGGGTCACTGTTTGTCCCACTTGCGATGAATTTATTTGCCCACTCTGTGTTGCTGAAGGTAGATTGCCTCTTTTCTTTGCTCCAGGGTATGGCACCTCAGCTCATACCACTTGATGGAAACCCTCATTCAGCTATTTTTCTTTTCCTCTCACGTTCAAAAAAAAAAATCTCTCCCCCCAATGTGGTTCTCCACCTTGATGAAAATGGGAACCTACCCACGACCTTTTTTTTTTATTGTAAAACTCTACCTAACTTGTGTTACTTGTAAAAATTGGGATGGAGTACACTCCTTCGCTTTTGCTTTTGGTTTTCGATCGCAATTACCTAAAAATAAAATAAAATGCTTTTAAAAAAAAAAAGGCGGTAGTACATTTGTAAATCCGCACGCCGATCTCTTGGAACACACCCCTCATCTTCCTTTCTTAAACTCGAAAGAACCTTCTCTCCCATCATCTCATTCTAAACGACTTACAGCGGGAAGCATCATCATACAAGGACTCTGGAGAGATAATGGTTATTTCCAGCAATGAAAGCCAATATATGGAATGGGGGCGGTACAACTGCGCATGGGACAGGGCACACAGCATTTGGTGGGTGCACACGGTCCCGGTGGTATGAGCTTTTGTCTGTGCAGAGCGAAGTAATGTCACCTGACCTCACCCCTGTTGTGCTAAATTGACTGTATGCATTAAAACTAACTTTCAAACTTTAAAAAGTGTAACATTTTGATGTTCTGACAGTGCTGCGAAGCTCCCTTACTGTACCATGAGCTTGACGTCTCAATGATAGAACCCATGCGAGCCATGATTTTGTAGCTTGAGATGTAAAGTCCTTACGAAAAGATGCGTCAGGGACAGGTGTTATGATATAGTAAAGGAAAACAGGTACCATTCCCCAAACGTTGCCAGTTTCTAAAACATTTAATTAGATACATCATCCTTGCGCTGTATACTTCTATAAACATCAGAGCTGAAGGACCCGGTAAAGTACGCAGAGAGGGTGGCGTGAAGACCGACTCAAATCCAGCAGAAGCTATTCCTAGATGCAGCTTGGATTTCGATCTATCCACTCGCCATGGCCAATTCTTTTTGATAATGAGAGCCACCCTTTTGGACTTTTCTTAAGATTTTATGGCACCCCTACTTTCAGCTACATCACAACCATGAAAGGGCATTTGGATCAACTCTGTTTCCCTGTGTTCAGATACTTAGGTATGGTTATCGGTCTGGTTTACTTCAAAAGATACTGTTTGCTATGCAGATGGGCTTGGTGAGTGCACAGAATGCGGCGATAAATGCATCGTCATGGAAGCTTCAAGTGAAGCAGTGGAAGAGGATGTCGCGCACACCAGAGACGACACAAAGAAGATCTTCCAAACTGCTATAGAGATATTAGTAGCTCAACAACTGAAACTTCATTCGTCAGGGTTAGAAATGAAGTTACAGTCCTTTCTCAATTTGGACTTGATTAATCATCACGAAATTGACATCAAGTATACTTTGTGTATGATAATAAACCACTATGAATACATTCGTGCAATATCTCTTACACGTCTCGACTGTCAACATCACTGTATACGTCGAGAGGATGAAGCCAGAATTTAGTTGAAAAAGCATATATACAAAGCTGGAAGGGATTACAATTGACTACAACTAGCACTTATGTCTTCTTAAAATATATTCATACAAAGTTTACAAGTCTGCCTATCGTCTGTTCTCCACCATGCTTTCCATCACAGGCGCTATTTCACAAGGGATAATAGAGAAGACGAGTTTATATACTATCTCATTAAGTTCCAGCCACCTCCTTCTTATTCTGATAATTGCATAAATCTTCTTAAAAAATCTTGGGTAGTTCTATGTACTTCTGGTACCTTTCTGTCAAACGTGCCGAAAGTACGTTGGGAATAGGCAGACCACGAAGATTTGCTAGTGGGGAAAATGATGCTGCGTCACAGACATCACGTGACACGGATAAAATCTGATATCTTTTGACTCTGGGTTTCTACCTTTGACAGACTGGCTTTGTAAGAAATTTGCTGATATATAAATCATCCAATGCTCTCCAGACAACTTCAGCGTAATATCCTAAAGGTTGCTGCTGCTCCTTCTGTCCGATTATCATTGGCCAAGCAAGCTCCCAGAGTTGTTCTCTTCTCGCTCAGAACTTTCTCCAATACCGCCCAAAAGCAGAATGCCTCTACTGTAGAGACCCTTACGCCTAACAGCGGTAAGCCGCGCTTCTCCGTTATTCCGCCATTACCTTGCCTTGCCTATCCATTCCACTCATTATCTCTTCATGTTACCTACTAGATTCCCTCGGATTCGAGACCACGGCTATAGAGAAGCCCGGTCGACCTATTTATCTCGATATGCAAGCCACTAGCCCTATGGATCCTCGAGTCCTGGATGCCATGCTCCCTTACTTGACCGATTTATACGGTAATCCTCATTCCCGAACTCACCAGTATGGCTGGGAAACTGAGAGGGCTGTTGAAGAAGCTCGTGAAGTAGGTATATCTCAATGTACATTGGTCCCTTTCGCGTGAAACTCACCATTATTACCGCTCTACAGCAAGTAGCTAAGCTCATCGGTGCCGACCCCAAGGAAATCATTTTCACTTCTGGTGCCACCGAGGCTAACAACCTTAGTCTTAAGGGTGTTGCCCACTTTTACAAGGGCAAGAAGAAGCACATCATCACTACTCAAATTGTAAGCGCCCCACCTTCCCTCCAACCCCCTCTACTATGTACTAATCCCCTTCTTCACCGGTGATAGGAACACAAGTGTGTTTTGGAATCATGCAGAGTATTGCAAGAAGAAGGTTTTGATGTCACCTATCTTCCTGTTCAACCCAACGGATTGATCGACATCAAGCAATTCGAAGAAGCTATCCGCCCTGATACTTCCATTGTCTCCATCATGTCTGTCAACAATGAGATTGGCGTCATTCAACCTATTGAGGAAATTGGAAAGATTTGCCGCAAAAACAAGGTCTTCTTCCACACCGATGCTGCTCAAGCTGTCGGCAAAATCCCCATGGATGTGAATGCCATGAATATTGATTTGATGAGTATCTCCGGCCACAAACTCTATGGCCCCAAGGGTATTGGAGCCATTTATGTTCGCCGTAGACCCAGAGTTCGATTGGAAGCTGTACAAAGCGGTGGTGGTCAAGAAAGAGGCATCCGTAGCGGTACCGTGCCTACCCCCTTGGTTGTCGGCCTTGGCGCTGCTTGCAAGATTGCAACGGAGGAGATGGAGGTATGTTAGAAAAAAAACTCAACTTTGGAGATTCATTTGTGTGGCTGGGGGGTTTCTGTGACGAATCGTGTTTCCGCTCGATACACGTAAAATAATCGCATAACGAGCGAGGAATCATTTTTTCTGGCCCTATTGTGGTCTGATACATGGAATGATCTTGTCCTCGCAATGAATGTTGTGCAGGGGTTCTGAGACGTCTTCTTTGCATGCGTTACAAGAGTATTTTTCTGGAGTCTTGGAACAGTGACTTATTTTCATTCTCACACTTTTTACAGTATGACGACCAGCGAATCAGCCGCCTTTCAAAGCGCTTGATCGATGGCATCCAGTCCAAGGTTGAACAGGTTGTTCGTAACGGAGATGATGTGCACACTTACCCTGGTTGCGTCAATCTTTCATTCTCTTATGTCGAAGGCGAGTCACTCTTGATGGCTCTCAAGGAAATTGCTCTCTCATCTGGATCTGCTTGCACGTCTGCCTCCCTTGAGCCTTCCTACGTCCTCCGCGCCCTTGGTGCTGACGATGAAATGGCTCACAGCTCAATTCGTTTCGGTATTGGCAGGTTTACAACCGAAGCAGAAATCGACTATGTGATTAATCATGTGGTTGGCCATGTTAACAAGCTTCGTGACATGTCACCTCTGTGGGAGATGGTAAGTGAAGAAACCGAATGAATTTGGATTGGCAGCGTGAGCACGGACTCAAAAAAATTGGCATTTACAGGTTCAGGAAGGCATCGACCTCAAGTCCATTCAATGGAGTCAACACTAAACGCCACGTCCCCCTTTCACTAAACTTGTACGTTTTTTCGAGAAGATGAGGGGAAATAGGCTGATATCTGTATCACCACAACGTGGTACCATAGCTTTTTGCTGGCATGTATGTTATTGATTAAGTACAATAAAATATAAAGAAAAAAAAATGATAATGAAAAAGAAATAAAAAGTAAAACATACTATTTTCAATTACAATACAAATACGCTTGAAAGATGAGAGAGAGAGAGTGGAATGGGGGGATATACTTTGTACATTTATCTTTTTAGGAGTTTTTCTTCATTTTTGGGGATGCTTAAATATGGAAAATGTTCTTCCTTACAGTGGAGAAGAACCCTTTTTTGACATGCGCGCAACCTAGGGCATAAATTCATGACTGTTGATGCCCCGATGAACGGGTTGCTTCGCATTCACCTTCTTGTACAGAGGTTTTCCTCTCAAATCAAATAGGTCGCCTCCTGAAGCTGCAGTAGAAGAGGATGAGGATGTGGTACTTCGCGACAAGCTAGGGGGAACATCAGAACTCTGGCGTACAGTATGACTAGAAGGTTTAGCCTTTTTTTCCTTATTGAATCGAATAAGGCGTTGTAGTTCAGATACCCATAGGGTCTGTTCTTCTCTTGATTGAGTTTGGAACATATGCTTGGTTTGGACAGAAATGGTGGAACCACCCGTGCTCAGGAGCATATTGGGACCGCCTCCCATAGACATGGTAGAAACGACTTGGCTTTCCGTGGCAACCACTTCGAAACAATGTGAACGCTTATTGCTTTCAGCGTTGGAAGCTCGTGCCACTGCTGTCGAGAGGTCCATTTGTCCGCGGTAGGAGATCGTGCCATCCTTCATTAGACGTCCATACACGAGGACTTCTGAAAAAAGCAGCACGACCCGCGGCTCTGGGTTTGATCCATCCGCATTCATGAATTTTGAGAGGTCACCACGTAAATGAAGCCTTCGGTCTTCATTCATCAGAACAGGTGATTCACGTAGTTTTTGGAAGATTTCGAAAGCATCACAAAGTTTGCCAACATCTTCAAGGCTATCACAAAGGAAAAAAAAAAAAAAAGGAAATAATATGCATTAGATATTTTGTTGTGCTCGTCATTTGTACAACCGCCAAAACACCGTTTGGCGTGATAATCAAATGTGTTACCTTCCGGTCATATCGATGTTGAGAGATTCAAACTTGGCTGTGCACCGTAACATATGGGCATAGTCAGGATGGAGAGGATCGGTGTTTTGTGCCAAAACACGCAAAGCAGGGGCATAATATTTCATTCGCTGTATCGGTGCCTTGAGAATATCGAGCAGAGTAATATGTTGTTGAGGCGCATCTTGCTGCCAAGTCTGAAAAAAAATTTCAGGAGGTAAATTTCTCACCCATAATGAGTAGTAATTCCGGGTAGTGTCAAATCTCACCTCCAAAAGTTTTTTAAATGCATTGGATTTCATCAATCTCTCAAGCGTCATGATGGACGCTGAGAAAGATTGTATTCGCTTTTGAGTAACCATGGCAAGTTTGGGTAACTGTGATAAAAGACACATGTTAGTATAAGGCATCCAGTGGATAAGTCTTGCTGAGACATATGCTTACAAACTCGCGAAACACATCAGATATAAGTTGGGTTGGCCCCCAGATACGAAATCGCTCATCGAGCTCGTCCAAAAAGCGATGATGCGTGGTCAGAATATCTTGATGAAGAGCAAATAAAATATTGACTTCTTGATCGGTGCAAATGATTTTGTTGCTGCTCGACAATAACCCGCCTCGCTTAGACTGTTGTTGTACTTGTATCCGCATTTTGTTCTCGAACACTTCCCGGCCATGTTGTAGTAAAGCAATGTACGCGAGTTCAGATTGATATATGTCTTGAATAGATTGCTCACGGTCGCGGTATCTGACTTCGACCTCATAAAAATCCGTCTCTACTTGATCGGCGAAATCATTGTAAAGGTCATCGATGATTGACATATCCTCCATAAGTTTCTCCTGCATACTAGAATTAGATCGGCTGAGAGAGTCGGCTGAACGGAGAGAAGAAAAAGAAAGATTGGATGAAGATGTATTAGACGGAGCGTCTTTACTTGTTCTTCGCAGCATTGTAATTTATAGGAAATTGGCGAAGCTGTAAAAGAAAAAGGCACCCAGGAAAAAAAGGAAGAGAAACACAAATGTAGGCTTTCTGTGTTCAACTTTAAAAAAACAAGACGTAGACTTCCTGGCAGACAGTCCCCCAAATACACTCCGCCTCCTACCAAATGCACAGCTCTTTACTATCTTTCTTTACCCACGACCGACTTTGTACGAGTTACTGACATTTTCTCCGAGCGCCTCGCGGGTCCATTAGGATGTTCTTCTGGACCCTGATGCTCAATATCATCCGACACCTCATTCACTTTCATACTTGTAGATCTTTCTAGGTCGAGCCTTCCACCCGCCTCCGCTCAACAAAGCCAGCCCATGTGAGGTTACAAACTAGGTGCATTTGAATGTTCGGACTCGAAATTTGCCTGCAATCTAACAAGCGGCTACAGTAGGAATAAACAAGCTGAAACAGAGCTATATCAGGGGGTCTGTCGTAATATGACTTGTTTACGGTCAGCAGATGTCTACTGATAGACAGGGTCTGCTCCAACAAGGAAATCTGCGAGGGTTGTACAGTGGACCATTATGTTGACTTGAACCCTGACCAAACCTACCTTATCGCAAAGTGAAGTTGAACCCTGATCAAACCAACCTTATCGCAAAGTGAACTTTAGGGTGAAGTTGAACTCTGACCATACCACCTTATCGCAGCCAAAACAGTTGTTTTCCCGCATACCATTTCCTCATAAAGAGGAGCCATGCTTTTTGGTTGGTGAATCTATTTTATCGGAGAAGTAAAAAAAAGTAAAAAAAAAAAAAAAAAAGTGATAGCCCCGATTCGAGTGTGTGAGCTGGATGAAAGAAACAAAAGTCAAAGAAAACCGAGAGCTCACATCGTCATGTACGCTTTGTATCTGCACATGAAGCACAGACCTCCGTATCGTCGCGCTGTAACGTTACAACCACATCCTCGTTTTTTCTGCACCAATTTTCATCATGGTGAACAAACCCTCCCTCCCGCAGCTGCCGGAGAATCAATATATTGCAAACCATGGTGGGGGGCGTCTGCTCACCATTGGGAAAAACTTTACAGGATGAGTAAGGTTGTACGGATCACCAAAACAGGGAAGTGGTGTGTAGTGAAGGCTGAAGAAAAAAAAGCGCTTCGATGTTGAAAAAGATATGGCGTTGCATATTCATCTTCGTGTCTGTTGGTTGGTTGAATGGAAAGCCTGTCATGATGCTACAAGTACATTTGATGGATGGCAGCCGTGCGCGGTTGGATCATAAAACGTGGTTTTTCTAATGTGAACATTAGTCAGATAGAGGACTTTGAATAGAAGGAAAGCCATAGCACTGAATCAAACAGTTCATTGGCTTCCATCATGGGCTGGGTGAGCCTCCCAAACCACTTTTTTTCTTCTTTTGTACTTGTTGAGAACGCGCACACTATCCTAATGCGCGGTATCACCGTCAGGATCCTTCCTTTATTGTCCAAATCGATCACAGACCCTATTCTTATCTGACGTTACTAATTACCATTCATGCCATTCTCGCTTGACCGGATCACTTCTTCTGGGCGATGTTACTTCCAATGCGCCATATTGCAAAACTTAGTTTGGCATGTTACAAGGTGCCACGAGACGAGCGAACCCTCGAAACGGATGGAGTCACGTTGGTAATAGAAGAAAATTATCAGGGTTCTAGCCAGGCGCTCAGGGCGGGCGTCTCACTAATTCTTCCGTTTTCTGCTTTTACTCCACTCTAGCCTGCTTTATCTGACCTTGGTGCGCCTGTGCGCGGTAATAATAAACTTTCACATTATCATTTTGCCTTACCTTTGTCGCAAATAATGGTGTCACCAATACGCCCGCAGTAACTTGAAACTCTACTATTAGACAAGATCTGTTTGGCCGGGGGTTATCGACAACGTTCTGCCGTAACAACGCGTTCCCACCCTGCAATAACGGAATTTAGGAGGGTAATGCGATCTTGCACAGATATACGGTTTGTGGAGCTAAGGTTTACAACCGCACGATAACTATCGAACGTTCTGGCCCAGGTATGGCTAAATACAATTGGCCATTACTTGCCGTCTATGACTTTGTTCTACTAGCACTAGGCCTATCACTCGGTAACATTGTTATGTGGCCAAGTCATGAGGCAGACGCTGGCTGATACGAGTTTTATGGGCAGTTACTGCTGCAGTGGTGGTCATGCTGCAGGCTTCATTGGCTGGTGAGCCACAAAAATTTCCCACTCGTGAATTGACCGTGCACCGAGTACAGTACCTTTTGTTCGCTGGAAATGTCCACTCTTTCAATATACAGAGGATCAGAATTCCTAGCCTCAGGCATCAGCCATGATCTCATGAGGTTTGTCAAAAAGGTCTCGGAAGCCAAGAGCAAGGCAGTATGTACCACGTTGATATCTTTGAATCGTTTTGCAACCATCAGTCTCGCCTATTTCGCTGACAATTGCAACCATTAGGAGGAAAGAGATCATATACATAGTGAACTAGAATACATAAAGTCCAGAATAGGTTTGCCAGACGTTTCTTCGGTAAGTGGTTTCCTCCTTATCGCTCCACCTTCAAAGTCAGCATAGGAACACTGAGTTTTGAAACGCGACCGTGCCTGTTCTGTAGTCGAAAGTGAAGGAGTATTTGATTCGGCTTATTCACTGTCATATGATGGGATACAATGTGGATTTCGGTTTGATCTATGCTATCATGATCACACAGAGCGGAGAGTCCATAGCTGATCGACGCGTTGGATATCTTGCCTCAACGCTGTTCATTGAAAACGACAACGAATTGGCCATCATGCTGACCAACACTCTGCAAAGGGTATGCCCGCATTTTATGATTTCGTCAATAGTGTGTCAGGTTTAAATCATGGATTTTTGTTGTAGGACCTACAAAGTGCAAAGTTTCAGGACAGGTGTGCAGCTTTAGTGGCCATTAGCAACATTCGACAGCAGGAAATCGTCAAAGCAGTAGTGGATTTGGTGATAATCAATACGGATTATCAAAAGTAAGTTCAGTCATTGCTTCTGCAGCTTGGTCTTCGCCATCTCATATGAATACCTCTACTTTATCTAGAGAAACCGTACGAAAAAAGGCATACATTGCACTGTATTGGCAGCTGGAAATAGACCCACAGTTACAAGATCAGCTTTTACCCATCTTAGAAAAGGGCCTGGTCGATAAGGATCCAAGTGTTTTAGGTGCAGTTATTGGAATATGGAGGAATCTGATAAAGGTTAGCAGTGGGCCAAAGCATATATCTGATTGCCTTTACATTCGAAATGAACCTAAGATCCATGTCAGAAAACACCAGCGCTATATGAAGAGGCTTTACCCGCTATCATCAACCACTTAAGGTATATCCTTGGTGGAAAGCTACACAAGTCTTTTGACTATCATGGAACGTCGTCACCATGGGTCCAGATGCACTGTATCGAGATCTTGGAAATCGTGCAAAGTGCTGGACTGGGGTAAGTTGATAACTAAGTGTTCATTGTTTTGAGCAAACTCAGATGCTTAAAAGCGTCCACACCTTACATTCAGGTCTACCAGTGAAATTGCGCAGATCGTCATGGACACTCTGCGTGCCGCTGAGAAAGGAGTCGATGCTTCATTTGGTATGTCGTTTGGAAACGCTCATTTATTCCACACCAAGGCATTCAGCTCATTGACAAATCCTTCTTATCATCTTAAGCGATTATATACCAGTGCGTTCGAGTTTTGAGCAAAATCCCATCGCACTATGTTTCCGAATTCATAGAGGAGGGGAAAGAGCCTTTTCGGGCGGTACAGCGGTTTGTGGCAGCTCAGAATCATATATTGAAATATTTGGGACTACGGTGCCTGTCATTAATGGACGACGAATTTTGGAATGAAGAGTGGCGCGATGGCAAAGTCATCTCGGAGGCTATTGCCATATCGAATGGAGATGAGACCTTGGTCGATGAGGTAAAGTACCATCGAGCTATACATACCATTCCTACCATAACTAATGATATATACCCCCAGGCAATGCACCTAATAGAGCGCATTGCGACGAGCGAGGTTATCTTTAACATTCAGGAAAATTGTCTGATCGCCATGTCAAGCTCGGCACTGCAAGGCACGCCGTTTCACGCCAAACTCTGTGGGTGGTATGCAAAGCAAATTGAGGATCATTGTACCGACACCGACTGGTACTTGGAACTTATGTTGCAAGTTATCATTGAGTCTGGGAGATCTCTACCAGAAAAATATGTTGACGACTACTGCGCTCGGTTTGGATCAGGTAACGTATTCTCCAATCAATTGTAGATAAATGTTTAACATGCTTTGAACCATTACAAGTTTTGCAAACATCCCACTCAATCTCGTTGGTTTATCAGCGATCTATGATGATATAAATAATACACAATTCCGCACAAAGGCCGTCGACATATTTTACAAGCTGCTCAAAAGAAAGAATTCACCAACCATACCCAGACCGCTTCTGAAAATTGCTTTTAAGGTAACATATTAGTTTCAAGCCTCACATTCCCCCTCATCGAACCAATCCCTTAACACCTGACAATAGACACTTGGTGAAAATACCCATATAGCTGAGCAGGAACCAATTGATATAATTAACCAGCTAGAAAAATGGCTCCTGATCATCAAAGGTAGGAATGGCAATTTTTTTCAAGGCACAGCCCGTATCAAACGTATGCCGATATTGACTTTTCTCATGTAGACGATGATGATTTGATCGTCTATAATGTCGTTATCCTCCATGATTGTATTGCACGTGAAAGGATATGCCCAAGCAGTCTCATTGACATGGCTAAAAAGCTAAGAAGGTCAACAGTACTTGAAGTTCAAGAGGTAAGATATTCTCGCCCGTATATGCTGCTCTTCTTAGGTGTACAAGGCAATGACCGTTAATTTCAGGCTTGTTACCAACTCTTGAAATTCATTGAAACCTTGGATTACGACCAGATAGTCGAAACTAACCCACCATACCTTCACTGGGACAAGCCGGTTGGTTTTTTTTTTTTTTGCTATTTCTTTCTTATCGTGAACCTGTATACTGCATAGAGACACTCTAACTTTCATTTCTTACAACATTTAGATTACCGCTAATCCTGATCGCCCTACGAACAATAGATATCCCGAGAGCAACTTTAATGCTTCTTCATCAAGCAGCATACCATCTTTAGGTTCGTTGTCTTGAAAATCAATACCAAGCCTTTGATTCCTGTGACATTCAATTAATACCTTATTTCTCTGTCAGGCTACAAGAAGTCCTCATCGATCGGTCAGCTGTCATCAACTTCATCCAGGGGTGAATCAGAGGAGGAGGATTCTCAACATAGAAGGTTGAAGACATCAAACTCCTACAGGTAAGCATACCTAATTACAATGACGTTTTTCCAACTGTTTCATATCATCATCACCCACAACTATGATTAACTCCACAGCATTACTGCTAGATCGCATACCAACCAATACGAGGCTCGATCAATACGTAGCGATAAGGCAAATCCAAATGTAAGTCGATGCACATCACCTTATATGCGCATGTACCGTTATTAATCTTTCGCTGAACAGACACGACCGGATGATCTCATGAAGAGCTTGATCGATCTGGAATTATCAAGCAACGATTCCCAAACATCAGAAGCTGCACCACCAGTAAAGCCACTCCGCATCACCACATCTCAGTTTGGAAAGCTTTGGTTATCACTGCCTAAATATGAAGTCAAGTTTCAGCCAGCACATGTGTTCGTTACAACAATGGAAAAGGTCGCGGAATCGCTGGAAACGGACGTAGGGCTTTGCGCTATCGAAATCATTGGCGAGGAAGTAATAGCGGCAGGCGATCTGGGTGTTAGACGGCCAGCTTTGGCGCATCTTCGCATTGATGGCGAGGGAAATGTTCTTTGCACTGTGAGATCCACTAACCAACAGGATTCTGTGGCGCTTCGGGAGGTCATAGATCAACGCCTCATCTAATTTCAGTTTGGAGGTTTAAATCTCGTTATTTATAAGGCGTTTCGTCTCATTTTATGTGAAACAAACACATGCCTGCCATTCATTTCTGTAAATGTATTGACCTCTCCTTAATAAATCCCCATTGTGTTGGATTCAAATCCAGCATACAACGATGAATTTTATGAATGATGTTGGTAAGAACTGCACTTTAAGGGGACGGGTGCCGCCCATGCCCATACATTTGATTATTGCATGTGTGTAGCATAAAGCTGAGGTTGAAAGGGAAAGTGGTGTTGAGGACGTCCAGTGACATAGCGATGATGGCTGTGGCCTTCGGGGTGATCGAAGTCAGTCGTATCCGCCGCTACCAGACCCCCGCCTTCTCCACTCCTTGCATGGGACATCTCGCAATGTATCACCGGCATCTTCCAGCATGGATTAGGTTTTTTATTTTGTTTTTGAATAATTAGAGAGATAGACACTAGGACACCCAATCATTTGGGAAGTTGAAGTAATGGCTTACTTGTAGCGAAGGGATTTCACAGCCATTCGCATTCAGACACGCTTGGATAAGGCCCTTGCCTTCCCCCTTGGCCACCAGTGGCTGTAGCTTGGAGGTTGTGAATGTGTATACCAGCCCTGACCGATAAGAAATCATTGGGTTCTCCATCGTAAATACACTGATGCTAATTTTTTTCTCGCTCCAAAGTGCCCACTAATCTTACCTGTCTCTGATACCACCAGTAAAAATACCTGGGTTCCAGTCAAGGTTGCCAGTTCATAGGCCTGGGGGGGATCATGTAAATAAAATGATGGGCATCGTCGGTGTATGCAACATGATGCTAAGACGCATGGTCGAAGAGCTGAGTAGCATCAGAGCAGAACGGCGTACCTTTTTCATGATACCGGCTTTTCTTTTTGAGAAAGTGATTTGTCGTCTAGATTTATCAGCGATATACTCTATTTTGATTTTGCGTCTACCTGATCTGCGATCTGGGGCAACGTCTTGAGCATAATCGTCGTCTGTAGCGTCCTCGGTTCTTGATTCTCCAATATCATAGTTTTGGATGACTGAATACTGGCCCTGCATATCAGGTGATGGGAAGGGATTTCGGACAGCTGTCAATTTAAAGCCAATAGAACCTGTGCATTCAAAGCAAAAGAAAGTAACGTAATGAATTGTCTAGTTGGAATTTACGTAGAAAAACACCCATAGCATTTGGTCTCGACGCCATAGCACCTTGGAGGGGGTCCTGTCACTCAATCAAGGGCCCCCTTTTTTTAAACACTGATCTACACAATGGCTTAGGTGAAGTTATTTCGTACTGGTCAGAACAGGATATAAATAATACCGAAGGTTAGACTGTATTGCAGAACACAAAACGTATGGTATGAGTATCTGATGGGTATGAGACATGTTGAAAAATAGCAGGGAAAAATTTGTGCGCGGAAAAAGAACAAAACAAAAGAGAGATACGAATGTGGGGATACAACAGATAAGTTTTGGAGGCAATCAAGGACAACTGTGAGAGTAAATTAAATACACTGTGACATTTACAAGAGACATTCTTTTCGTTTGAAAGGAGGGTTGAGTATGACTTTTCTCCAATTGAAAACACATAACAATGAATGGTCCGACGTAAACGCTCAAAGTTTACATGGCAGTCTTTCTCTTCTTTTGGCTGCGATCGATACCATCCGCTTCATCAGACGTTGTATTCTGCCATTGGCCATTAGAAGATTGTCCGTCTTGTAACTGTTCCAGTGGCAAACTGCCTAAGAAGTTGGTAAATTGTGGGGGGAATTGGGCAAAGTTGAAGAATCCAGTCGGTAAAGACGAGGCGCCAGCGTTTTGAGAATTGCTCGATTCTGCATAATTAGTATCTGTTTTGGAAGACTGGTCCTGTAACGCTGACTCGCTGAGCTGGCCCATGGCAATGGCAGGTAGCCCAAGTTCACCTAAACTTCGAGGTATTTGTCCTTGTTGGATCCCGTGATGACGCTGTATCGCCTTCAGGTGGGCACAATATTTATCCAGCATATCATACAAGCTCTGCTTTGAGAATGGTTTAGGTAGCACATCGGTCATTCCACTCCCAATATATTCCAGGATATCGCTGTCAGTTGTGTTCGAGGTCATTGAGATGATCGGCGTCATGGTATCATACTGTCGTATGTTGCGCGTAGCTGATACTCCATCGAGATTAGGCATGACAATATCCTATAAGTTCGCGTTAATAGAACATTCTAAAAATTACGTTTACGGTTTGGAAGACAGAAACAAGACTAACCATAAGTACAATATCATACTTTTCGAGTCCAAGCTTGTGCATCGCTTCAACGCCATCTGCTGCAACGTCGAATGTGCAACCAAACACTTGTAGTAGCTTACTACTCAAATTACGGAAGACGGAATCATCGTCGACCAATAATACTCGAGGTGGCACAGACCACCCGGGCACATACGTTGTTCGATGGACACGAACTTTACCATTTCCAGCTCCACTGGTGGATGCCACCGAAGTCTCTTGACCTGAATTGGATGAACTGAGAACAGGGTATCCAAATGTTCCAGGAGGTGTATTCTTGGGAGCAAGATGACCCACTGTCACCACAGTCAATCCATCTGCCGTTTTTCGTGGTGCTGAAGCTCCAAGATTTATGGTTTCGGAACTTCCTCTTTCAGGTAGCATCATTTCAATGGGCGGTTGTGACACGTTGACGTTCGATGCCCAGTTGGAGCTACCTGTCCCTGCTGCACTGGTAGGAAGCGAAAATGGAGGTTCATTGCTCGTTTGCGAGGAGGACCCTTCTTCCGCTCCAGTAAGCTGAGGAACGTCCGAACTTGTCGATGGCCACCCAGAAAGCTGTTGTAAACTTTGAACTCTTTGTGACAAGCTGCTCATTTGTTGTACACTGGCTCGAGCTAAATCCGAATAAGAGTCAATTAATTTCTGTGCCTGAGCAGAAGGTAAGAATGGCGCATCCAGAGCTGCTATCTGCTGGCTGATAGATGAACCTGAGCCTTCGATACGTCGTTTTCGCTTCGTTTGTTCACGTTCTGTGATAGGTAAGACAACTGTCAGCTTCAATTTTTTTTTCCAGTAAGCAGGGGTGTTCAGCCATATACTGAAAAATGCGTCATACCTCTTTCTTGATGGACCATATATTGAACCAGATTATGAAGTAGATTATCTTGAGCAGCCATATTTTTCTTGAAGCTCAAAACTTCATCCAGTACCACTCCATAACTTTTACTCACGCCTTGTAAATAGTTGGCCATTTGGTTCTGCAATTTCTGTAAATAGTCGACCTGTGTCTGAATTTGCTGGGTGGCAACTTTCCAATTGCCTGCTAATTCTTGCTGGTTATCCTCACCGTTCGAGGATTCCAAACCGGTATTTGATTGGGTATTATCATTGTTATAAGAGGTTGTGGCATTGTTGCCTTTTGGCCCTTTAGCTGGGACTTTTCTTCTTATCAGTTCCAGCATTTCCTTTTTGTTGTACTGAAACTTGGGATGTCGGAACTCCCATGCCTAGTTAAGAAAGTCTAGGGTTACTACAAAATTTCAACCCGCATTAATACTATAGCTTACTCTACCTGATCACCATATGGCTTATTGCCATCGTCAGCGTTTCTGACCTTGTGAAAATCGTACTTGTTGAGTTGCCGAACAAAACTTGCAAAGTTGGAGTGTTTAAAGTGTTTGGGCAAGATATTTTTTGCAAATTCATTAGGTTCTTTGACTACAAAAGAATCTCCATTGTAGCCCCAGGTCACAATCTCTGAGTAAGAGTTGTCCTCCAACATTCTGTACACGTAGAAAGCGAAGCATTAGTACGAGGATCGTATAAAATAGTATAAGAACGCATAGGATGTATTTTAATCATGTCGTTGGTGCGATGGGGTTCGTTGGTGGTAGGAAAAGATTTTTCGCTGACCCAGCAGCATGTCTAAGGTCTCGAGGTGGGGTTTGCTTTGACTGCTGATTGGCGATAAAGAGAGTTTGACATGAATGAGCAAAGGCTGAATCTCGATAGTAACAAAAGGCCGTGGGATGGCTATTACGCCTTCTTCTGTGGTTTGTTGAATAGTATATCTGTCTCAGTACTGTTATTTCGTATGTTCGTGGGTGGTTCGGTCGAGCAGGGACGTAGGATGGTGAAGTGCGGGTCGAGGATTGTGAATTTACCTGAAGAGCTTCTTGACAAAATCTGGGATACCAGAAGAGCTATTCTGTGAAGTGGACGTCTCATTGGAGAATGCATTATCGTCCTCCATTTGGAACAGAAAGCTTTGGGACGGGTTGATTTGGGAAATGAGAAAATGAAGGGAGCAGATGTCCTACCGAAATGAGCGTGCAACCCGATTTCGGCCCTCTATTCATCAGACAGAAGTTTTTATGAAACAAAATAACGTCTCAAATTTTTTGGGCAGCCATTTACCATGTTTCGCAGTCATTGTTCCAGCTCACTCGCTTCTCTGTGCCTCTCTCCCATTTAACCAGCAAACAATGGTAGAAGCATTACTGGAGAGAGAAATAGCTAAGCTCAAGAAAGAAGCCCAGGAAAAGGACGATCGCATCAAAGCCTTGGAATTAGCTGCGTCAGACGCGCAATCGGCAATCACCGGCCCGTCACATGCTCTAGCGAGTGTTTCGTTCAATGAGCTCGAGGCAGGCCTTCCCAAACTTCGTAATGGTAACTTGAGTATATGAATAATGAGAAAGAAACGAAATGTTAAAAAGTGCTACTAACACCTTTATCGATATAGCACTTCAATGCGCAATTTGCACCGAGCTCTTCACTGAACCTCACACTGTTGACTGCGGTATGTGGACTAGGCCGCGCATAGTCAACAAATAGACAAGAGTTAACGTTTTTTCCATCAGGACACACATTCTGCTATCAATGCCTGAAGCAATGGCTACAGATCCGAAAACAGTGCCCAACCTGCCGAAAACCCTTAACGCGTCACCCGATGTTGTCGTTTACTGTTCAACATCAAGGTAAGAAATCTCGCACATGATGCTGGAATGACGTTGCAGAAAGCTCATGATATATATCTGCCGCAGTTGAGATATACTTGGCGCATTTTACCTCGAAATCGGAAGGTGAAAGCTATCAGAAACGTGTTGAAAATGGCAGGAACGTGAATGACCCGTGGCAGAACATATTTCGCAAGGAACGAACCACAACATACCTTGAAGATGCTGAAGACGATACGAGGTAAGATTTTTCTCAATCCTTCACAATGTCTTGAATAGAAAATTAACTTTGGATTTTACCTCTAGGCGGTGTCCTGAATGTAATTGGGAACTTGTTGGCCAGCAATGCGTCAATTGTGGGGAGGTATATCATGATGCACCCGATGATTCAGAGGAAGGAGAAAGCGTTAATACAGGAGATGAAGTCGAAAGCTTTATGGATGCCAATGAATCCGATCAAGACTTTATTGTTGATGACGATGTCGTAGATTACGAGGATGCAGACTCTGTTGATGAAATTCTTGACGCGGATGCTGGAAGTGACACAGAACATGAAGATGACTATGTTATACCAAGTATACAAAGGAATAGACACTCTCGACGTCCTGCCGTCGTTGTGAATCTTTCAAGCGATTCCGAGAGCGAAAGTGATGGTGCGGATAGCGTATCGGCAATGACAACCAAGCGTTCGGCCCCTTTCATCTCATCGGACGACGACGACTTTCAATTGCCGCTCAATCGGTCAAAAAAGCGAAAGACACAAGACACTTCCAAGAATAGGAACCGAAAAGTCATTGCGTTAGATGACTCGGACGACGATGAAGCTGACCTTCCTGGGCCTAGTGACAGTCAAAGAGTCAGGGAATCCAGCGCAGAACCAGCCATTGATAAAAATCGTACCAGCGATGAAGAAGAGGAAAGCTCTCAAGGGACAAACAAGAAAAGAGCCATTCGAGATACCAGCGACGAAGAAGAAAGCGGTTCTGAGATTGATCAACGTGGAAATTCATCACATGAACTAGACAGCGAGGAGGACGATGATGATCTCAAGCAGGGACTACTTGAGCTGGATGAAATGGCTTCCAAAGAAGCTACTAGTCACCAGAATGGGAAGACAGCCAAAATCAAATCCAAGAAGAACAAGAAGAGCAAAAAGCATAAACGGGATAAGCACGTTTCGAAAAGTGGTCAACGAAAGGGCAAAGGCAAAGCAAAGGCGTAATTTATCAATTAGAATAATACCTTCATGTATACAAAATCCTTGTGCTTGCCTTCAAATTAATTTAAATCGTGGCATTATGTAATAGTAACTTTGTACAGAAACATCAACAACATAAATTTAGTGTGAAATCATCTTCCTATAAGCAAGCGCTTGGGTTCTTGCCAAGGGGTTTTCAGTCGCGACGGCCACGTGACCGATGATTACACCGGCTTGGTTGCGGAGTAGCGAACAGGTGTCGCCATCCATACAAACTCTGGCCGCTGTAGCAGCTTCTTTGACGAGTTCAGCATGTTTGAAAAGTCCCTGACTGACCTCATTCGAGGTATCAGAGCAAACAAGAAGAACGAACAGAAATATATCAGCGCATGCTTGCAAGAGATTCGCAACGAGGTCAAAGCCAACGACATTGATGTGAAGGCCAACGCCATTGCCAAGTTGACCTACGTAAGTGATCAGATAAAGTCATGTCTGACAGCGCATCCACCAACGTTAACCGTAACGAACAACTAGCTTCAAATGTTTGGATACGACATGTCATGGGCATCCTTCCATGTCGTTGAAGTCATGTCTTCTCCAAAGTTCCTGCATAAGCGAACAGGATACCTTGCCGCCGCTCAATCATTCCAACAAGACACCGATGTTCTTATGCTATGCACCAACTTGACCAAAAAGGTAACGTTTTCTCGAGCCTTGTTTCGCTCATGCTACTAATTTCCGTATACTTTTACTGATATGACAATTTTCTCCATCGTACAGGACATTGCATCGCCCATTGCGCTAGATGTCAGCGTGACAATTAACGGATTGTCGCACTTCCTTACTCCTGATCTTGCGCAAGTGCTGTGTCAGGATTTGGTTTCCATGTTGAATCACTCTAAACCCTACATTCGAAAGAAGGTGGTCTTGGTGCTTTACAAGGTGTTTTTGAAGTTCCCGGACGGTTTGAGATTAAGTTTCCCGCGCCTGAAGGACAAGCTGGAAGATCCAGATCCATGTAATTATTCATTGTTTTTGATGATACATGCGTTGGCTTTACACATTATTAACCGATCTGCCTTGTAGCTGTTGTTTCCGCTGCTGTTAATGTCATTTGCGAATTGGCGCGAAAGAACCCTAAGAACTACCTTTCATTAGCTCCCCAATTGTACAAGTTGTTGACTACATCTTCCAACAACTGGATGCTTATCAAAATCATAAAGCTGGTAAGATGGGGAAGTTTTTTTTAATATGTACATCGGTTAAGACTACTTTTTGACCGTGCATTCTCCCTTGTAGTTTGGTGCTTTAACACCATTGGAACCAAGACTCGTCAAGAAGTTGTTGCCATCTATCACATCGCTCATTCAAACCACACCCGCCATGTCTCTTCTTTATGAATGTATATATACTGTTATCATTGGTGGGTTCTTTGAGCACGCCGGAGATGCCGCCAACTCACTTGCCGCCACATGTGCCAACAAACTTCGTACTTTCTTGGAAGACCCCGATCAGAACTGTAAGTCAATCGAATATCATAGCGTCGTCAACGACACTCGACTAAAACGTTTTATCTCATGTTCTGTAGTAAAATACATCGGTCTCTTGGCGATGGGACGATTGTTGGAAACCCATCCTAGACTCGTGGCTGAACACCGAGACTTGATTATGGAGTGCATTGACGATGCTGATTTGAGCATTCGCTTGAGAGCACTCGATATTGTTGTTGGCATGGTGAGCGCACACAGGATTGAGATACTCTTGTTATGGGTACGTGCGTACTAAATAAGTATCTATAGGTCAACCGCAAGAATCTGGTTGATATTGTCAAGCGCTTGGTGGCACATCTTGTTCCAGCCAACGATGCAGATGGTGATCCGTCTTCATCTTTCCCTCCCCCATCCGCAGTGGTCGACCCACAATATCGAGCTGATATCATCCATCGTATCATCTTCATTTGCAGTCAAAACTCGTACCACAATGTGACCAATTTTGAATGGTACATCACCATATTAGTTGGCCTCACCTATGTCCCTGATGTCAGCGTTGGGGATCTCCTGACCAGCCAAATTATGGATGTAGGCGTTCGAGTAAAGAGCGCTCGCGAATTCAGTGTCAAACAAATGGTATTTATATATTTTTTCACCTGCTTGTCGATAACCCAATACGCTAATTCTTCGGCCACTCCTTAGTTCCGAATTTTATCCGACAAACATTTTTATGAAAATGTGAATCTTCGCAACTCTAACATTGACGTGTTATATGCCGCAGCTTGGATTTGTGGAGAGTATTCAAGGTAAGGCTCAACTCGGTGTCCTGTGATAACTGGGGCTTGTCACTTACGACTTCGTCCTGTTGTAGATTTTTGGAAGATATACCAGCTACCCTTGAATGCATGCTCAACCCAGCTGTCATTAAGCTGCCAGCCTCGACACAAGCTGTTTTTGTCCAGAATATCATCAAAATATATTCCTACTGGATCCAAAGTTTGGCGGAAGATTGGAACTTCGAGGTTCAGTCTGAGTTTGTCAAGATAACCGAGATCATTCAAGAGAAAATTTTGATGTTCTGTCGCAGCGCCGACCTTGAAGTCCAAGAGAGGGTAAGTTTATTCCTTTCACTATCCGCCATTGCCAAATGTTATCAGCATCTGACTTTTAGTAATAACAGGCAATGAACGTGCGCGAAATCTTCGCCTTGATTTTGGAAAGAGTACCAAACGAGCCTGCAGCTAACGGCATGCACTCTGTCCTTGCCGAGATGCCAAATCTTTTCTGCGCCTATGAATTGAACCCTGTCGCTCCAAAGGCGCAAAAGAAAGTGCCTATCCCTGAAGGACTGGATCTCGATCGATGGATCAACGAGCCGCTTCCAGAGCTAACGGATGACAGTGATTTGGAAGATCGATCATTAAGCACGCCAAGCATTGAGTATGAATCCAGCGAGAAGGCAACTAAGCGACGGAAAAAGGGAAGAAAAGTCGAGGTTGACAGTAGTGATGACGAAGATGAGAAAGTCAGAGTAAGCCGAATGATCTGGGATATTGAATGACATATGGAGGGTGTATATACTTACCCGCATCTTCGTGAACCTAGCGGCGGAATGCCAGGATGGAGGCTCGCAAAGGGGATCCATTTTATATCATGTCTGACACCAAAGCCAAATCACCAGCCAATCGACTGGATAACGATATAGATGATGTGGATTCCATACCGATCGTGAAACTAACCATGGATGACTTTGACCCAGGTAAAGAAAACTTTCCTATGTGCGTGCGTATTCGAAAAGGGAATCAATTGCTAATCTTACCTCCCATCATCCAGTCGGTAAGAAGGGACAAAAGAAGACAAAGAAATCCAAGAGCAAATCCCGACGAGCTGCTAGTCCGCCACCACCACCGCCAGTTTATGCTGAAGAAGATGCGCCAGAAAACGCTGCACCAGACTCTGCTGACGAAGAAGAAACAAAGAAGGGAGCCAAATTGGGCAAAAAGTTTACGGCTTATCGAGGGAATGCTTCATCCAACGTCTTTAGCTCAGAAGACGTTAGCTTGAACTCTGTAGATCTCTCACAACCTGTCGGTGAAGATGAAAAGCTGCCCCAGCTTCAAGCTTACATGAGTCCTGAAGAGGTACAGCGACGAGAGCAGATGAGATTTAAAGCTGAGAGGAAGGCTGCTCTTGAGAGCAAAGCATCGGAAAAGGTATGTGTGGGGATGAAGTTACTGCGCTTTTTTTTTTGATGAGAGATATTCTGACCACTGCTATTTTAGAAATTAAAAAGCGCTGAAAAAGCACACAAGTCATCGAAGAAGAGTACTAGCAAGTCTGAAAAGGTTGAATCTGGTAAGAAGAAGAAGAAGTCTTCTAGCAAAAAGGTTAGTGTGTGGTTTGCAGACAAAGACGCAACTTAGTTCTTCTTTACTGATGATTTCTTGGGCGGGCGTTATAGAAATCTGCTGTTGAAGATGAACTCAGCATACCTTCACCACATGATGATGGCATCTCTGCTGTTTCCGTTGACGTTGAACAACCATGGGGCCCAAGCTTAGAAGCTGCGTTCAACAATGACGATCTTGAAATTGTAAGCAAACATCAGTAGCTTCCCATCATAACGTTCCATCCTCTAAACATAAATCTTATGCAGATGTATGGTATTAAACTTCTCACTCAACAAGAAGGCGACACACCTTGCATTGAAGTCAAATATGTCATCACCAACAAGTCGTCGACTTCTACTTTGGAAAACATTCAGTTGACACCAACAGAGTCAGTTGACTTTGAGCGTGTTGACAGCGACAATGTTACCAGCAGCTTGACACCACACGCGACGGCTGAAACAAGCTACCGATTCAATGTGAAAGCGGCACCCCAACAGTCTTTGGCCATGAGTTTCCAGCTTCAATACGATGCAGAATCAAGCCAAGCAGAAACGTTCAGCATAGAAGTCACAGTTGCGACGTTCATGCTTGAAAATGCACAATTAGATCCATCTGGATTTGCCGACATGCTAGCCAGTAGAGGTCATGAATTTGGCCACCGAAGCTCAGCAACAGTGATACTTCCTATACCCAATGACAAGCCCGTTGAAGAAGTATTAATGCAAGGACTAGAAATGATATCTCGAACCACCCGGTTACATGTGGTGGAGATGGTGCCAGGAGCGGCCTCCTTGTACGGTAAAAGTGTTCAAGGAATTGAAGTTGCAGGTCTGCTCAAGTACTCTATTACTGGTGAAGAAGAGGACCAAAGTGCAGCGATGCGACTGGAGATAAAATGTACTGATGGCGATTTTGCCGATGCCTTGGCTGCCAAAGTCTCCAACATGTCTTAGATAATTGCCCTACATTTCTTTATAATAAACTCGAATACCATATGTCCTGCATGAATTTGATTTTTATCACAAGCGTATAGTGAGGGTTTTGAGGTAGGTAGGAACTTCAAACAACACGTCATGAATGAAGCCCAACAAGCTGACGTAAAACTCCTCAAAATCAGTGTTCCACCCAAACCGACGGTTTAGCATATCTTTTCCACGCAACCAACTAATGGACGACGAAAAGATTACCAACTTTTGCGCAGTGACCAGCTGTGATCCCGATATTGCTCAATCATATTTGGAGGTATAGTGCGCAGTTGAATGCCATGGTAACTGGGCTGTCAGAGATTCACACATGCCCATGCAGGTGTCCGAATGGAATGTTGAGACTGCACTGTCACTTTACTTTGAAAACAGTGGAGCTCCATTAGGTCCACCACCAACGATACCCGAATCCGACAATCCTTATTCACAGTTAGGAGAGGATTCTCTTCCTGATACGTCCGATGAAGCATTTGCAAGGCAACTGCAGGAAGAGCAATACAGCAATGAACCCAATGTGCGTGCCCCGATTGCGCCAACCACCGATGTTCTCGTCGGCGACGACGCCTTCACTTCCCATTTCGACAGACGTGCTCGTACGTACCATCACAAGCGTTGTATACCGACTGCTTTCATCTGATATCGCTCTTTCCCTTTTAGCTCCAATTTCAAGACATCCTGTATTCAATCAAGGTGACTCGTCATCGTATGCGCCTCCCGCCCCTGAAGCTTTCCGGAATTTTGTGACTGAAATGGAATCTTTGCAAGGTACGATGGGATAGTGTATTTGGAAAGGAGCAGCCAGCCGCGGGTGATCTGGGAAGTACCCTTTTGAAGTTAACGCCTTGCTGTAGGTGGAAGGTCGCAATCACCTGCTTCGAGTGACAAGACGAAACGGTTAGCGGATTTGTTTCGACCGCCTTTCGATATTATGTATCAAGGTGATTTTGAAAATGTAAGTGAAAGGAGGTACAAAAGCATCTCAGAGCCATGGACAAGAGTCATCGATTAATCCACTGTCACCCACAGGCACGCAACCACGCCAAAGAGAACCAAAAGTGGCTACTTGTCAACATCCAGGACCCTACTGAGTTTTCTTGCCAAGTCATGAACCGAGATCTTTGGAGCGAACAAGCAGTCAAAGATGTGATTAAGGAGTCTTTCGTCTTCTTACAGGTATGTTAATAGATTGCATAAACAGGAATTGGACGATCTACATCCAGATGCGGCAATTTATCCATCTTTCTTAGTATGGACACGAAAGTGCCGAAGGAAAGAGATACCTCACATTTTATTCCATCGACAATTACCCCCATGTTGCCATTATTGATGCACGAACAGGTAAGCCGGTGTCTGGAGGCTCTCCTGAGAATGTATGGGCTGCTGATATTTTGTCGGTCTCGTAGGCGAAAGAGTGAAATCATGGAATACTCAAATGTCCGCAAGCGACTTCTTGATGAATGGTATGAATAAGTTGTCATGTGCAAGCTAAGGCATTGTATGACTCCAGTGCTCAAATGTGTATCTTTTTAGTGACTGAATTCCTGGAAACCAAATCCAACCAGAAAACGCCCTCTACAAAGCGACCAAAGGTCGTCTCTGACATGACTGAAGAAGAGCAGCTTAATGCCGCCATAGCAGCCTCTCTCGGTAGTAGTCACAATGAAGGTGGTAGTGGAGCAGCGGATTCACCTGTAACTGAAACTCAAGAAACCGAAGTCGATGAAGAAATTGCTGAGGAAGAACGACAAGCATCCATTATCGACACCATAGAAGCTATTAAACGTGAAGAAACAACCGACCTCAAAAACTCCACTAGGATTCAGTTCCGACTAGCAGGTATAAATTGGGGAATTCTCAACCAGAGATGCAATACACGTACTGACATTATGTTTGTTGGTTTAAAAAGATGGCTCACGTATTGTTCGAAGATTCAACAAGACGGATCCCGTTCGATATGTATTTGAATACGTCAAGGCTGAAATCCCTGATGCTGACACACGCCCGTTCGAAGTAAGTTTTCACAGCCAGCGATGTGCCCCTGTACTTACGCATGCTCGTTAGAAGTTGCTGATCTTCTTTCTCTCCCCTTGTAGCTCATCTTCAACCGTCGGCAGTTGATAGATTTGATCGATAAAGACATTAAGGAAGCAGGGTTAGAAAATGCAGCTGTTAACTTTAACTTTTCATAAAGCTGTTTGGGAATATCTATTTCTTTTTTTATTACACAAAAAAAAAATTCGATACGCTCTCTCTTTCATCTCACCTGTCCGCTCTATATCATGATTCCCCCCTACACATCCAATACACAATTTTAAATTACCCAACATAGCTGTTGCTCATTGTTGAAAGCCCAAGTGTCACCAGAACAGCCCGAAGCGAAAAAGGAAGAAGAATGTCAGCGAAGAAAAAACGGCCAACACAGTTGCTCATGCTGATCATCATCAAACTTGCTATGCTCCTATTTTGGATAGCAGGGGCAGTTCCATACGCAACGTTTCAAGGAGATCAGCACAACGACTTGCAAGACAGCATGGTGAATTGGGATGGTGGTTCGCTTATGTGATTTTCGATGGCAAACAGCAAAACGTCAGGGGCGTGCTTACCCCTACTAAGAAAAAAAAAATTCGCATGGTTTGAACAGTCCCGTCGCGCCTATAAATAAGGGCCCCATTTCGCCCTGCTCGATTTTTCTTTACTCGATTTCAATTTACTCGCTTCCTCTCGTACGTATGCTTTTCCATCTTACCGTTGTCATGTTTCTATTTCATTGACTCGTTCCCATAGAGGTCGTGCTTGATTTCAAAGTCACTTTCCCGCGCCCGAAAGGGGTGCGTTGGGTCTTTTCCCTCTCCGGTGTGGTCGACGTCTCCGTACGGTGGGTCGCCCGTGGGGATGGAGGTTTCTTTTGCCGCGTGCTGTAGGCTGACTCTGCCTCCTCCATCCCCGCCGGCGGCCCGCCCCGTCTTTGGAGGTCTTTTCCTCCTCGGCTTGCCCTTTTAAATAAACTCGGTGGTCTTTTTTTTTGGACATGACATCCCAAAAACAACAATGTGTTTGAATGATTTGCATTATTTGTTTGTGGATTTCCTCCGAGCTGGGCTGATACTATGCCCAGCTCGAATTGGTTAAACAAGGTTTTCCAATGGTATGATGGTTGAGAACCAAACTTGTCAATGTAAATGTCTGCATTCAGTGTGACCGCGTGAAAAGTTGCATGGATGGACGCATGCTCCCAAACTGGGATGGCTAAGAGCACCACCACCATTGACTTGCAATGTTTAACAATGTGCGTATGCTTATCTCGCAGCATTGACTGCAAACAGTCCAGACACTGGATGCACCATCTGCCCCGTCACAGCTCAAACATGGCACAGTAATAATGAAAATTTTCAGGTAAATACAATAAAATAAATGAAACAAACTATACACGAAGACATTGATTTCAGTACATAACATAATGTGTCTTGGTCCTAGACATGGCCAGGTTGGTATTTGTTGCTTTCAGTGGGCTCAATGACGGAGCCCAGCTCTTGCCACTCGCCCTCAGGCTCTGCGCCTGTGGAAAAGGTGGACTTGAACCGTGGCAGCGATGCAACAGTGAAGCGGCTTCTATTATAGGAGCTTTGTGAGGTACGATCTCTTTTCTTGAAGCAGCCGCTGAAAAGAGGAGTAAGCCAGAAAAAGTATGTATTGACGAATTCCATGGTGGTTCCAAATGCCAAAAAGTAGAATAGTGCGTCCAAACTATTGCAAAGGGAAAGGGAATCAGTACCATGATCTTTTATGGTGCTATCTTTGATTCAATAGCTGTCTCAACTTACACGCCAATGAAAATGTTTATGCTAGCGTTGGATAAAGTGGGGTTTCTGTAGAGAGTAGGGTAAGTATCGGGTTGCAGTTACGGTTGAAAGTGAATGCTGTATCACGAACTGTTGATCATCTTTGTTACTGGCCATATCAATAACAGCTTGCACTGCGAGATTGAAAAAGACAGGAGGTTAGGACTACCAACTAACATAAATGCTTAAAGCTCGAAGAACATGAGTGAATCACTTACGGTCCAACCAGAAAACCACTACGCTAGCAATAACGCTGCAGCACATCATACGAACAACGATTCTGTCATAGGCGATATTAGTTGAAAAAGGAAATAATGCATCAGTGTGAGGATCGAGTCGTACCTAGACTGTAAGGCCTTTTCGATTTCATTAGTGGCGGTAGGAGAATGGCGGAAAACTTTAATTTTATGTCGAACAACGGTGAAGGTAGTGTGAACTAATAATTGAAATTAGTGAGAATCAACCAAGACGTATCAATCCTGTTTGCAGATGAGTTTCACGTACACATTAATATCATGCTAACGGCGTTGAGTGAAAACTGAGCATATATAATGACAGCTGAAGAAATCAGGTGGCCATTGACATAACAATCAAAGTATTCAAAGAGTCTGGGCGATAAAGGCAGTTTAGTTAAGCCCGCCACCAACATGAGGAAGTCAAAAAAAAAAAAAAAAAATTGGACTTACGTCTGAGCGTTGGTATCGGGCTCATGGATGTGTTCCCAAACGAAAACCGGTATACTGCTGAGCAATGAGAGGACAACAGTGATCAAAATGTACCACCAGAACCAGTCTCTATCCGCATTGATGTGAGGTCTATGAACTGCCATCCAGAGATTGATACAGAGCCCCAGAAGTAAGACGGATCGTGCAGTACTAATGGATTGGAACGCATATGCAGTAAACTCGCACACTCCATCAATCACAAACGCTGTAGTAGGTGTCGCCAGGATTTTCGATGCCTCTACACCCAAAAAGATGATGCTGTTGATATCCGACAAACATTCGACAACGTATAGTGATATGAGTGTTCTATGTTTTCCGCTCTGTTTGAAAAAAATTGCAAAACTTTAGTCCACATATCGGAGTGGAGTAACCCCACTATTTATATCGCCGAGCTGCACTTACTCGTAGTGCTGGATACAGCAACATTAGCATTAAAACAAGTGACAGTATTCGAACTCCAAAGTAAGTCGAAAAATAGGTTTCCAGATTCATTTTTTAAAAACTTGGTGTCGTATTATATGGTCTATTCTTTGTTGGAAAAAAATGATGCCGACATAGCGTTCAGGTTTAGAAAAATGTATAACCTTAACGGTGAAAAAGGAAGAGAATCAAAGCTCGATCGATCGGTCCAGATAGGAGTACAAATAAGCAAAGAAAGAAAGAAAAAGGCTTTCTCAACAGAGACAGGGCCCACCGGGTTTATATATTTATCAGGACCATTGCTATAGACCTCCATAAAATCCAGTGGCGTATAGATTGGGGGAACGTCCAATAATCTATGGCGCGTAGTTCTGCAAACTTTTCGGAAAAGGTAATGTGGTTCGAGAGTTACAAGGTGATAGGGTTACACTTCACTCGCACAAACCCGCCATTCCTCCGACCAATCGTGCCTTAACACTTAAGATGATATGTGGGCAAGTGTAACTAATGTGGTTGTTTCATGGTGTTCTCACGGATTCAGTGAAGCCATGTTCTCATGGAAAGGCGCGGAGAGAAAAACATATCGAGATCCCTCTACCATTAATTTACATTTATGTATCGATGGCTTCGTTCGGCTGACAGCCATCACGGTATGTGTACCAAATGTTTCACTAATGGTATATTAATCTCCACAGGCAGCAATCCATCTCAGTTGCCCAGACCTGTGATTTGGCTTACGCTACAGTGTAATAAATAACCTTCCTGAAATGAGGACCAAAAGACCAAAAAATGCCAAGCAAGGAAACTGAGGCTGGAAAATTGGGCTTTCTCTGTTTTTAAAGGCCAGCCAGCGATCACAGTGCCTTCAACATCTGGCCGGTTCAGCACAGACGTACCACCTCAATACTTCTTTCCTAAGGTATGATACCAACCGTGACATTTAATCAGTTTTTGAACACATGATATAGTGTCTCCATCCTCCTCATTTATTAATCCACTCTTTCTAAGAATCTTTTCTTCAAGCATCAAATAGATGTAACTCTCTGACACAGGTATCCCCCAAGCAGTCGTACATTGCATTTAAAATTGGTCTCGAATGGCTTGGCTGCCAATGACTCCATTCCAGATAGCAGAGACGGCGATGACAGCATTGGTAGTCATGAAGCCATAGAAACGGCCGTTACCTAAACCAGTGGCGTTCCAGAACATACCAAAGTTACCATGAAGGACACGGGCAACAAAGAGAGTTCCTAATAGGCCATGAATGGCTTTGGCGTTGGCACGGTTGGACTCGAGAACAGCAATCAAAAACTAAAAAGGTGGGTTAAGTAGGCAATCGGATAAACTACGGCTTCACTTGATGTGTTGGAGTTCCAAATGCACTTACCAAGGCAATAGGTACATTCTCCAAGAAGCTGATGAAATAATCAACATCAATACGAAAGTCGACCCAAATTCTTCATAACATAGCATGAGTATCTTACTTTGCTTGAGCTCTCATGGCAGTGCGCAAAGACTTGTACTTTGTAATTTTGGCTTCATCGGTTTCGCCTGCCATAATAGTGCGATTAGTAATTGATGCCATATGGCGTAATGTCCGCTACCCCAATCATTGACAGCCTGCAATCCGCCTACCTTTTTGCAGGCATGTAAGTTCTTCAAGAGTGCCGTCACCAATAGAGACCTTGGCGCCGATGCGGGTACGCACGACGCGAGATGTCAGATAGAGAGAATATCTAAGGGAAGTTTCACAAGTGTCAGTATTCACTCGGCACCGCGACGAAACATGTCATCCTCAATTACCCGGCAAACAGAGGAGCCCAAGCGGCAGTGATAGGAAGAGAAGGAACAGCAAGCATGGTGATTTACAGAAAACGCAAGAGAAACTAGAAAGGTGGTTTTATATTTTCAAACGCTTATGCGGCGTTGGCGTCGAAGACAGTCACAAGCATCCAGGGGTTTCCCTTCCAAGTCGCAGCTTAGAATTCATGAGTCAGAAGCAAAGACACGTCGTGGCCTCGTCATTGTGTGAAGGGCCCACCCCCAAGGTCTGAGTAAAGCTTGTCAAAACACTCGCCACGACCCCAGCTTTATTTGGGGCGAAAGCGTAGTTTACGGTGGCTGGGACTTTTTGGAAACACTTGGAGCCTTCCCAATGTAATAGAATTTCGCCATATCACTATAAACTTCTACTAGAGCAGTAAGAGAATTGTCAGCCATATAAAACACTGTCATTGTCTTCTCAATCATTCTTATTCCTTCGCAACTTCACAAATTGAAATATTATTACTTTTTTTCAAACCGTATGGAAGGACCATCTAGTCTGCTTTTCCCCCGCAATCATGCTATTTCGCCTGGTTGATAAGGCAGAGAAGAAATTGTGATAACTTGTAAGGTGTATTTTTGACTGATTTTACTGTATTTTCAAACCTAATGGGAAGATTTAACTCCAACACTATTTGCGCAAGGTGGTTTTTCACATGTTCTTTTTATTTTACATTCAGACAGTGTCGTGCGTAGTCTCTTTATACATATTGATTAATCATAGAATGGATAGGATGTAGTCGGCTCAAAATGGGTAGGTATAAGTGGGTATCAATTTAAGTACTCAAGCAAGGCTATCGGGTGGACTGGCAATGATCAGACCATCGGTACTTTCCAGACCGAAAGCCTCTTCTTCAGACTGTGCAAGAGGTACAAAGCGTTTCCGTTTCCTACTTATCTCGACAGAGGAATTTGTCAAGAAATTTCCTAACTGTGCGACTTTCTTTGGTATTGACTGCAAGAACATGAGGGGAGGCAGCAGCACAGGATGCAGGCATATTACTGCAGCTCGTAAGAAGAGCCAAATGAATGGAAGGCAAATTGCAAAAGAGAAAACCATGATTATGATATCAACGGCTGGTGCTCCATCGTTAGACAGTGTAGCGTAGTCCAAGTCATATGTCGAGTAAAAGCACGGTATAGTAGAATTGACAGTGTATAGAGTATTTATGTCGGCGTCTTCCAGAAAGGAGACGTGAGATTCGCCCAAAGTACTTGAGCTCGACGGTGTGGTATAGTTAACGTGAATGGCCCATGAATCACCATTATCGCCGCTGGTGATAGATGCCCGCAGGATTGTGCAGTTGGTAGGCCCGAGATGAGTGATCTGGACTATATGGTTTCCTAAATCCCACATGCCTTGTGCATATAAACCGATAGCTAAAGTGAATATGGCACAGAAGAACAGGAATCCTAACAGTATACCCAAGGAATTGACTATGTCTTTGATTGTCTCGTTTAGCTTAACCATGATAGAGCAAAAGAAAGATACCAACAGCTTAAACCAAATATCCCTTTTTAAGTGTATATCCAGGCTGTGCTCCCGCAGCACCAGGCGCTACGACTAACAAGCTGAGTCGATAGAATCAAGTCCTTTCATATATTTAGCATTTTGAAAGCTTCCCTTGGCTCGGCATAGAACGTACGCGCTACCTTTCAAAACCTGTATCGTTTCCATTTCTTCCGAGTAATCTGGCCAGCCGGCTTGCCTACACTGGCTGGTTGGTAGCACCTGCTTTGTTTGGATGGCGGGTAAAGTGATCCGGAGTGGCTGGTTTTTGCTTGAAAGAGTTTCTGTGTTCATCCCGTACTGCGTGGGCTTGGCTGCATGCTTTATTCCTGCGTGATTCAGTTCATGTAGCAGCTAAATATAACTGAGCATTAGTATGATGACTCTGTACATTTGACCGTCTTCAACCTAATTTATAAGCTGCTTTCCATTAGCTTGGTGAACAAAAATACACCTGCGCTTTACATGAGAGTCAGCGAGATCCACCGTGCGCGCAAAAAGATCCATCGCTAACAAGAAACCCCATCTGCTTTACTATGAATAGCTTTTCATTCTTTTCATTGCACCACTTTGCTTTCCGTAAAAACAGTACCTCTCATCGGTGGCGTCAACTGGTCCACTCGACGTCTTACTTCCAGGTCGCACTTGACCCAACGTGTATTACCCACAGCACTCTACACTGTGACAAGCTGATGAAAAGCCAGATTGATGTTAAAGCCGAGGTTTAGAAGCATACCGACATCGGTAAAAACGTAATCTGCACCAAAGTGATACTTTAAGCGTGACAACCTTTATCTTTTAGCAAAGAAGTTGGCCGGTCCTTAAAAAAGCAATATTACAGCTTACCTGAGGACTGCTGGGCAGGAACCCAATTTCCTAAATCGGCATTTCCCTTTGACTAACGCTGGCCGCCTTTGTATTCGAGGCCTCTAGGCATGTGAGCTATTTGCACGATGATATAGACGAATCAAAGAAAGGGTAATTGCAAAGAATTTTACGTATATTCTGTCATTTATTTTTAAAGAAGCATGGAGGAGTCGTATGTGTACAACGCTGTATAAAGTTGTCCACATCTAACCGCTGGTATCCCAATTGAAATTAGCATTTTTCCACATCCAATTGACCAACCAATCTGGCGTAATGTTCATCAAGTAAGAACCGATGATGGTGAACCAAGGGAACATCAGGACTTCTTGTCGCTCGTCCAATGCTCGCTTGACAATTTTGCCAGCGGAGTCAACATTCAACTGGAAAGGAATTTTTTGGTTGTTGGGAAGATTTTTCGAGGCGTCTTGCACAAGAGGGGTGTCGACAAATCCTGGACAAATGACTGAAACGTCGATGTTGTATGGCTTCAGAACCACTGAAAGATCACGACCCAATCTGTAGACCATTCTCTTGGAGACAGAGTAGCCTGTGACTTGAGGAAAGATGAAGAAAGACGCAAGGGAAGCTGTGATAGCCAGGTGGCCACGCTTGCGTTCCTTGAAACGATCCAACAAGGGAGTGATGGTGTTAAGCACTCCCATACCGTTGACCTTGATGACCAGATCCAGTCTCTGCTTCAACGTGCTCTCTCTCTTTCCAGACGCTGTAGGCGTTCCCGCCATGGTGGCCACAACGCCAGCGTTGGCCCAGACGAGATCGATTCCACCTACTCTGTCGTCTACATCCAGTAAATACTCATTCATTGCTTCGGCGTCAGTTACATCGATGACCTTGGTCTCGACTTTAACGCCGTTCTTTATACAAACATCAGCGACAGTGGCTAGTCGTTGTTCGTTCAAGTCCAACAGGATAAGGTGAAGACCACCAGCCTGCTCGGAAGCTGCTCCCTTGTATTTAGGATCGGTGACATATCGCAATGCAACATTCTCGCCGATACCAGACGCAGCACCTGTAATGACGATTTTTCGAGGTATAGGCTTAGCTGCCAGGAGTCTTCGTGATCTACCGGTAACGTGATTGATCAATTCCAGAGCAAGAGCAATCAAGCTCGCAGGAAGCACGACAGCCGAAGTGTGGAAGATGGTTAAGAGTGCTAACCAAGGCGCAATGACTTTGTTCTGTTGAAGGACCATATTACGAAGGAATAATAGAAAGAAAGATGCCGAATGGAATTCTGAACTCCACTGAATTTTATACACCATCTGGGAGCACATGCGGTTCCCTCAGTATGTAAGAATAAAATCAACCGATTAGGCAAATGATGAATTTTGTGGAACTCAGTCTGGTTGCTGGGGAAGTGTGAAAAAAAAATTTCTGCTGACAGTCTGGGGGCAAAATAATTTGACAGCTGCAGAATTATTAGTTCTGATGCGATTCTTTATGGGCTTGTATTCTCAACTCTAGAATTACATATACATAGGTCCTTCCATGAAAGTACCGAGAGTCGGTTCATGGCGTAATAATTTCGAATCTTCGGCTTGGCTGGGCTGGGTCCATCGAGAGGAGATTTTGGTAGAATGCGAATTAAGTCTAACTGCTGGCGATAAAACGTTAGTATAAATTGTGCTGGTGACGTTCAAGTATGCCATAGTATATCAGCTTACTCCTCGTTTGACAGTGAACTTATCACGTGATGATTATCTACCAGTCGCAAGCACCATCAAGATTTTGAGGGTGTAGCGTATAACAAATTACCTACCTACTCGTTCACACTGTGTTAAAAAGGTCCAACAAATTCATCGCCTTTGAGCCATCCAACACTATCGTTTCATGTTGAAAAATTGGCCCATGTAGGACACATACGAACAAAATATCGGGATTCTCCAAAGGTAGCATTCAATGATAAGCAAGATTTAGCTGCTTATGCTCAAGAAGTTCCCGAAGTGGGAAAAGGTGCCGTTCGATGTGCATGGTATAAACAAATTGAGTCATTGGTTAATGCGTCGGTCACAAGCGAAACAGAAGGTTAAAGATTTTTGGATCCAAAACCAACCCCTTCATAAAAATTTTGAGTTTGTATAGTCATCTCTTACTACCACCATCTAATGAACTTTACGGAATCCGAAACTTTCTCTCTAGGCAGGCTTAGAGACACACTCATTCGCCTGGAGGACACCATTATCTTCGGTTAGCTTCTGTTCCATTTTGCCCTTATAGTCTTTTACCAGTCACCGAGAGAAGGTGCCATTGCAATGAACTGCCCATTTGAAATGAAGGCACCAAACCAGCTCAACCATCCCTTGAATCCTCTTCAACCGGTCGATCCTACTTGACTTACCATGTTCGAGATTAAATTGGCTAACGGATTACATTCTTTCTCTCTTGACAGCTCTGATTGAACGTGCTCAATTTCATCTAAATGAGTCAATCTATCACAAAAACGCTCTCCAATTCAACGGAGCTACCGGAGATCGTAGCTTCCTCGAGTATTTCCTTTGGGAGACCGAGAAAGTTCATGGTAAATTCAGATCCATGAATCAAGCTATGTGCTGTGACCATTCCCTTGCTAATGACTGTAAAATCTATGATATATGACTAATTTAGCCAAAGTCCGACGCTACTCAAGGTAGGAAAGCCTGCAAGGCGATCAGTACACAAATAGCCCATGTCACTAAAATCCGTAATGCCGTAGTCCTGATGAATACGCATTTACATCCCCCCTGCCTGACCCCATCCTGCCACCGCTGCAATACCCCGAGTTTCTAGCTCCCAACAAGGTTAATATTAATGACAAGATTATGGATGTCTATGTCCACCACCTCGTCAATTCCATCTGTCCGCCAGGAGACGACAGCAACTATGGTAGTGCCGCCACTAAGGATATCGAGTGCTTGCAAGCATTGAGTCGCCGTATACATTACGGTAAGTCGCTAAAGACATTTCATCGTAGCATTTCTGGCTCAAATTTGATTAATATTACTATGTAGGCAAATTCATTGCTGAATCAAAGTTCCGTTCCAATCCTGAAGAATACACTCGTTTGGCACTTGCTAATGATACGAAAGGAATTGACGAGCTGTTGACTAACAAGGAAGTCGAGATCAAACTACTTCAGCGTTTGCGTCGGAAGGCTTTGGTGTACGGTCAAACATTGGATCAAGAAGATGCTGGTACTAGCACTCACCTTAAGATCCCTGTGGATGCGGTGGTTGACTTGTATGAACGATGGGTCATCCCCTTGACCAAAGTCGTCGAAATAGAGTATCTGTTAGAACGTGGTCTTGCATGGCATGCCCAACGCCAAGTCCAAAGTGAAAACCAGAAATAAAACATTTATCATGTACTCCTTTACCCAAATGACACTCAAAGATAGATAAAGTGTAGAAAATCAATGTTGGCTCATTCATTTTAATTTTAAATGGATTTTTACAAGGCGAAAGGATTGTAAGGGCTATGTGCAAATGTATAACATAAAAAGATATTCTGTATATACATGAAAGATTCCAGGAAATTTTAATTTAGAAACTGTCCCTCAAGGATAGCGCTACGCATGGGACTGTCCGGTCGCTTTTGCGAGGCAGAAACCGCATTGAGTACCTTGTTCAAAGGAGGAGGCTCGGAGTTCACTAGTGATGCCGGGGACTTCTTGCTTGAGATAAAGGTGTTTCCAGGTCCTGGTGGTGACAGCGCTCGTTCTGGTGAGGGTGGGGGGTTTAACGGCAAGTATAAATTGAGACTTTGCCGCGACAAGTCACCTACCAGTCAGATCATTTATGTTCATTCCCCCGAAGGATCCAGAAGCATGTTGGTTTTCTTCTTGTACCTGTTTTAATAAGGGAGTTCAGTACGACCGTAAAAAGGATAAAACAAAATTTCTTTGGTAGAGAGGAAAATGCTGAGTGGTGTGAGCGAGCCGTTGAAGATGTGTGAGAGCGACGGAAACTCAATCATGGAAAAAACGAAGCCAAACTTTTCAATCCAGGTGTGTATGCAGTAACGAGACCAATAGTAAACCCTGTAGTGGACATATCGTGTGCGTTAGGGTGTTCGAGACTAATCAACTTGCAAATATAATTGAGACAAAGACGTGACCTATTGTCGGGGGGTCCTCAAGAAACTTCAGACAGGTTGTGGAAAAACTGAGAAAATCCAAGGGAGAAAGGTAAAGTAGAGAGAGTATACAGTAGAGGAGAAATCAAATCGAGAGATCAAAGCTAGGCTGATATGCTGAAATTATTTGCTGAAGGGAACGATACAGGTAAAAAACTTGAAACTTGAAACAACTTGAAGCTAAGCCAAATTACAGGACGCGCTAACAAAACGAGAGGGTCGATTTAAGGTAGCAGACAGGCGGACAGAAACTGACAGACGACCTAATGGAAATACTGAACAGTCGAACTAAAGACGAAGAGACACTACCAGAAGATACGCCATAATTTCCGAGTTATAACCAAAATCCGATGCGATTCAATCCAGTCCGATCCGATCCAAATGTCGTTGATAATAATAATAATCTAATGTGGATGATAGAAAATGGAAACAGGTCGTGAATACTTACGGACAAACCCTTGATGCTGTTCCAGCTGGAGGACATGACAGGGAGCCTTGAGAAGGATCCGATGGAAGAACTATGACGACGTGTATGATGAGAACCGCTAATATTGATAGGAGATGTGGGTTGAAATGACATTTATACTGAGAATAATAATGAGTGAATGGGAACGACTGGCAGGAACGGGGCAAAAGGATGGTGCATAAGATGGAAATTCAGAGCACTTATATACTGCCAGCGCCCATAGCTTCGTCAGTCACGAGAGCAAGTCACACGGGTCATAGGATCCTCAGTCATTGGCAGTGTGTCGAACGCCCTTCACCGAAAATGGACATGACACACTTGTTCCATAGTGTAAAGCAACACCATTAGCAATCAAATCCAAGCGTCTAGACAGATGAAATTGGCTACAATGTAACGGACTATCATGTTCAGTATGTCCAAAGCTGACATCTTGAAACTCTATGTTATCTAGTGTCTGAAAATCATCCAAAGGCCTCCTTGGTCCCTAGGGCAACAACATTCACAGCGCCCACCACCCTTGTTTACATACATCTAGCGGGGTTGCTTCAAGAGCATTTGAAGGTTACGCTTGCCTGCTTGCATGATTTTTTCATAATTTTCATTTTACAATCCGTGGGTGGTTATTTTGACATCTCCGAGCTGTCAAAATGCCGTTATATTACAGCGGGTAGGTGTAAATGGCATGAACTTTGTCAGGTTGGGTCTGAATCATAACCACCTGCGTTTGAGTCAAGCCATGTCAGGTGGTGTCTATGCGACATAAATATTTCCCGAAGGCAGTAGTGATATATAAGAACTCTTGTTGATGGCGTTGATCTCCAGCTCGCATGAACCTATGATTAATGTAGCTGAATAAGGAGTGGTGACGCTCATTCATGGTGTTGAATGGAAGACTTTATCATAAAGAAGGATGTTTATGAGAGTACGCCGAGTGTAAACAGCAACGTTGCTGCTGGGAAAGATGGTAGCAGAACATGTTTCCCAGCTGAATGAAAGGCGGAGTTTGTAACCAACCCAGAGGTTATTAAATTTTTACAGACGGCTGGATTGGTCAATCGATCTATAACTGCCATGCCAAGTATTGATCAAGAACGACGATTGCTGCCCACCTATGAGTATAAGCAAGATCTGATCGATGCTATTAGAGAGCATAGCTTTCTGGTTGTTATCGGAGAAACAGGTAAGCTGCTTTGATCAGATCCATTCAACGTAAACCAGCTATTCATAGTCAGTTCAAAGGTTCCGGTAAAACAACCCAAATTCCGCAGTACATTCTCGAGGAAATGCCAGAAATGAAGAAAATAGGTGTGACACAGCCAAGGTACGTAACATTGGCTTTGAATCGCGAAAGAGCCCTGATGCTAATCCGTCATGGCAACCAGGCGTATCGCGGCAATCACCGTCAGTAAGCGTGTCAGTGAGGAACACGGTACCCCGCTTGGAAAAGATATTGGATACATGATACGGTTTGATGATCATACATCGTCTTCAACTAGACTCAAATACATGACGGATGGTATCTTGCTTCGAGAGGCGGTTCAGGACCCTACACTCAGTCAGTACTCTGTGGTGATAGTCGACGAAGCGCACGAAAGAACCCTAGAGACCGACGTCCTCTTTGGCTTGTTGAAGAAAACGCATCGTCTGCGCCCAGAACTTAAAATCCTCGTCATGTCTGCAACACTGGATGTTGAAAAATTCTCAGACTTTTTTGACGAGTGTCCTATCTTTGAAATTCCAGGCAGAACATTTCCTGTACAAATCATTCACCACCAGAGCATGAAGATCAACGCCTTGAAATCCAATTTCGTTTCCACCGCGGTTGAAACGGCATTTTATATTCACACCAAAGAAAAGGCTGGCGACGTGCTTGTGTTCCTGACTGGCCAGGCTGATATCGACCGAGCATGTCAAGAGTTCAAAGACAAGTGCAGTGAATTAGATTATACTCGTGACGTTAAATACTATGACGTGGATGACGAAGAGCAAGTCAAAGATGTCTCCGTATACCCCTTATATGCAAGTTTAGAAACAATGGAACAGAGAGCTGTCTTTGAGCTTTCACGCCGTGGAAGCAGGAAAGTGGTGTTTTCAACCAACGTTGCTCAGGTAAGAGTTTGACGGACTTGTGTCGTGCAATGCAGGCTGACCACTCATCTATGACTATATTTCTCTATAGACCTCTGTCACTATACCAGGCATCAAGTATGTGGTAGATTCAGGATTCGTCAAGGAAAAGTCGTATGACCCAAATACAGGCATGGATGCATTGTTGGTTACCAGTATCAGCAAGGCAGCAGCTACTCAGCGCGCTGGTCGCGCTGGTCGAACTGCACCAGGCAAGGCATACCGGCTGTACAGCAGTGAGAGTTTCGAGCATTTACCGGACGATACCATTCCGGAAATTCAGCGTAGTAGTTTGCTCAGCACGGTGTTGGCTTTGAAACGGATGAATATTGTGGATGTATTGAATTTCGAATTCATTGACAAACCGGACGAAACGTTAGTGATGAAGGCACTGAGTCAGTTGTTCTTACTTGGCGCGATCGATCACCATGGTGTCATTACGGAATTGGGCAAGCAGATGAGCCAATTTCCACTGTCCCCTTATCTTTCAAGAGTCATTATCAGTTCAGCCACGGAATACGAATGCAGCGAGGAAGTCTTGACCATTGCTAGTGTGCTGGCTGGAGACAACGACTTGTTTCGAGCCCCGTCCCCTCGACAAGGGGAAGACTTGATTGCCGAAGCTGAGAAATGCAAATTGAAGTTAGCGCATCACTCTGGCGATCATATGACGATACTGAACGTCTGGAACGAATGGAGACGTAATGATGAATCTCGTAGGTGGTGCCGTGACAACTGGGTCAATCAAAAGGCACTAGCCAACGCAAAAAGTGTGCGCAGCCAGCTCATCGACATCGCGAACCAGCTCAAACTTCCCCTGGTGCGAACTCGCCGTATTGAAGTCGAACGTACCAGTGGCAAGAAGGAGGGTCGATCGAAAGAAGTTGTACGTGAGGTTGATGCGGTGCCTGTCCTCAAATCATTTTTGACCGGATATTATACCAATATCGCTAACAAGGCTTCTGGACGATCTGTTTTCTCTCACTACGCACCTGATCAGCATTTGGCTGAGAAATCCTCGCACACATCGTCCGCTCTGGTGGCCCTTTATCTCCATCCGTTGTGTGCGCTTTCCGATATGTTTGATCGCAACAAGACTCGATACTCTCAGATTGAATGGGTCATGTACATGCACGTTACCTACACTAATAGAGCGGTCATGAAAGGTGTCAGCAAAATCCTGTGGGACTGGGTACGTTCTGGCAAAGGGCATGAGCGAATTCGTCAACTCGCTACAGCGCACCTCAACGGCGTAGACAAGAAGAAGCTTAATAAGAAGCGTAAACAACTTCTGGATGACAGTAGTGCACAGGCTTCGTCGGTTGAAAGTAGCGACACGGACGCTGGCACAGGCACCGATGCAGAACTAGAAGAAGATAGAAGGCGATTACGAAAACTTGAAATAGATGATATTCGAAAGCGTGCTCTTGCTCGACGTGGTGCACAATAACATACATAACTCATCCTTACATAGACTATTTTTTTCAGTATATTATTGTAATTTGATTACAGTTGACATGGTTTGTGTTTTAAAAAACCCGTTTCACTGTGAATAGACTAAGTGATAAACTATATGATTGCAAAACTGAAAAATCATGTATGATACAAGGATTTTCAAATGACAAAACGGGGTCATCATAGTACTATATAGGTCGCTTCCATAGCGAAGGAGGGAATTGCATCACCTGTGAAAGTAAGGGTACCCAAGTGGACATCGGTAAAAGAAACATATGGCCAAAAATCGATGTCTACCGTTGAACAAAAATATCAGAATAAAACCTGAAAGGTTGATATTAGTATGCTGCATTCAATCTTTTTTCCCTCCACCATCATACGTACTCAGATAAGGATGATTTGGAGCTATGCCTGTGGGCCATCTCTTCAATAAAGTGCTTTCGAATCACATAGGGTCGAGTGAAAGAGTCGGTGACGACCCTACAGGCTTGGTGTGCTGAGATAGCGGTATTTCGTACCATGGCGCCTAAAGCATGTCTGCTAACGATCATGCCATCGACGAGAGGGCCAAAAATCTGCAACCAAGGTCATATTAGCCTACGCTAGCCAATATCGTTCACTGACCATTACTTACCAAGGCATTCTCCTTTAGACGTTGACTGGCCACAATGGAAGCCGGATTATTACCGACGCTTGGTATCGATATTCGTATCCAGTACAGACCATCGACAGCGCCGACCAATGGGTTGATGAAGATATACACCATGCTTTTTGAATTGACACTGTTCATTGTCTTGATACGATGAGCAAGCGATTCCCAGTTCGTCATGTCCTCAATCCAAATAATGCAGACGTGATCATCTTGAGTGACTTGCTGGTGTAATTTGGGTAACCGAGAGACAGCGCCCCATGACAAGTCGCCTTCCTTGGGTTCGTGCAAAAAGTAAGGATTATGGAACACCACTTCCACCATTCTGTCAGCATAGTATGGGATAACATCGCAGATAGCAGAATCAACTTTGCCTTGGTATCCATGGTGTTCTGATAATTTGACCTACGGCGGAAAGTAAGTATATAGCGAACATACTTACTTATACGGCTTTCAACCCTGCCAACAGAAGCAATGAAAAAAATTTCACTAACCGGCCAGCCTAAACTGTACAAGAATTGAAGATAACTCTGACTCAACTCTGGCGGCTGCTCCACTAATTCTTTTTCAGTAGCGTTACCCGATTGCGCAAAGTAGGTTGATATGGAGATGCAATCTCGTCTAGAAAACGTTGTAAGAAAACGGTTGCTCACGCCATTAAGAAAGATGCCGTACTCACTCATTAAGCATATCTAGCATTTCCAATTCTGAAATAAGAGAATCCGTAATACTCAATGGAATGACATTATTCCTGTTCTTAGTATGCAGGAACCCGAGCTGTGACATGAAGAGTCTCTCGCTGGGGGTTTGATCTATAGGAGAATGGCTCGATTCAGGCGCGGCTTTGGGAATTTGGAGTGGGTCATGATGATCGATCTCTTGTTCTGCATGTTGCTGAAGTGTGGTGATCTCAGTCATGCGTTCCAATTCAGCCTTCTTCTCCGGTTTACCGATTAATAGTTGCTCAAGTGAAGGCAGTGCCATCCAATTGACAGCGTCAGCAACGGGTATACTGGCATTCGATTTGACCAAATGACCATTATTTAACGTTGGAGAAGAGCCAGCTCGTACCAACAGATTGGGATTGTACTTTGGTGAGGAAGATGTGCTTGATGAAGATCGCGGAGTGGCTGGGCTGACTTTGCTAGACAAATCTTCGTATCGGAGGCAACTGGTCCATGAGTATCGCCCAGTGGTATCTCGACAAATCAATACAATAGCCGGTGATTTCGGAGATTCACCATGGGTTTCTACAAGATCGCTGATATCCATTAATCCAGCAATGACCCGACCATCCAGCAAAAAGAGCTGAATGCGTTTCGCAACAGCGCCTTCCTCATCGGATATCGCATTGGACGACTTGGATTTCTTCCATGCCTTGATCATTGATAGATCGTCCAGTAAAGTCGATGTTCGAGTGGGACCAACCTGATCCTTCCAAGGAGGAAAGTTCCCGAGCTGGTTGACAAATTGCGACATACAGTACTCAGCTGCCATCTTGACAGCAATTTCTTCCTTTCTATGCATAGCCATTCCATTTTTGTTAGTAGCTGATGTTGCTTTGTCGGTATCATTGCTTTGATTGCCGCTACCGCCTTTACTGGCTCGATTAGGCAGCTGGAAAAGCTGCTTGGTAGGGGGAAATCCAGTATCGCGCCTCTTCTTCTTCTCTTGAGATCCTTCTAACTGGCTATTAGTTTCAATTTCTCGTTCGAATATGGTTATTCCTCTACTCAAGGTTGCAATCACAGCATGCTGACAATCACGATCATCGACTATCCATTGCCCGACCATGACCCAACGCATCATGCAGTCGTACGCTTGTACAACCAGAGGGTATTTTTGAGCCTACAAAAAAAGAGACAAGAATGTTTGAGTGGATCCTGCCAACATCTGGGCCCTGAATATAATGTCAGAGAGCTTACCAAGTTTCCTGTACTATTTAGAGTGTCTGCATAACGACACAGTGCCAGTACCAATTCCCGAGCGACATTCTATTGAACGGCATCATCCATTCAATATTCTGATTGTTTGAAAAACCACCTGACTTTGTCAAATACTTACTTTACTATCGCGTTTGACGTACTCATACAAGCCAACAAAATCCATTAAAACGTCAAATGCCACCAGCGTCACATCGGAGCTCAATTGCATAGTTAGAATCTGAGAAGCAGAATTAGCTCACTGCAACAATCTTGTACGTTTGCCACTTTATATCTTACCTTATCTTGTATAAGTTTGACAACCGTCCCAACAAGACCAGGGCAGAATGGAACATCTTCAACGACATAGACATTAATGAGATGCAATAGATATCTCATATTATATGACGAAGTTTCAGTCCGAAGCGACATTAATAATAGCTCTAATATGTAGTACTTGAGCTGAGATGCCGATGGTAAGATATTTGTACATGGTAATGAAGGCAACAATGGCTACGGTATCCCACCAACTAGCCAAGGAAAAATTGGGAGTGTACTCACCGATGTGAACGCAGGCTGCTGGCTTGATTGCTGGGCATACAAGACCTTCATCTTTATAATCTGTTAGTCACAACCAAATCACCCACTACCAAAAATGTATAAGCTTCCTCACCAATTGGGACACTAGTTGTTCCTGCTCTCCGATCATGGACACATTATCTGAAGCGACATTCAAGCCTCTATCCCAATCGGGCTTGAGACTGACATTTTCAAAGTGATTCGGCAGGCACATAATAGTACTTGTTACTTTGATGGCAGCCAGTCGAAGTTCGTCTACAGATATGACATTACGGTACTCCGGTTGCATTTTGGGTAAAATGGATTTGATGCCAACCACAAAGTCTGGAACCATGAGTCGCACGCCTTCTAAGTCGGTGGCGAAAAGTTCTGTCGAGTTCATCAGAATGGTTGGAAGACATGTGTCTGAACGAAGGCCAATGGCCAGAGCAGCATAGAAGCGTTCAATGTATAATCGTAGAAAAGGAACTCTGCGTTGGGGCTTGCTGAAAATACGACAAAGAATTCCGTAGGCTTCTGCACGACCTTGCTGGTATTCAGCACTTACTTGGGGTGCCGAAAAGCATGCATCAAACAACCAGCCTCCAAATATGTGAAGCAAAGTGTTGCCATCTGGCGGTGACGGCGTTTCAGAATCAGGTAAGGGTACTTGTCCAACCGAATGGAAAGCCTCCACGATCCGACCAACACCCATGACTGCCAAAGCAAAGTTGCCAGGTGATAATTGCCAGGGATTGGGAATTAAAAATAGTATTCTGTGCCACGCATAGTAGACGAAATCTTGAGGCAGATCCAGTTTAACGTTAAATCCATTCACTGCAATGTTCACTACAGACGTTCCTGCTGTGGGTCCATACAAAAATCGGAGAGTACGGTGGGTAAGCGATAGTGCCACTGAACTCCATTGCTGAATGACCTTGGGCCTGTGCGTCCATCGAACAAAGCATCTCTACAATGATGAACAAGGGTCAGAATTCTAACCAAACAAGTGAACTTGATCACGCTCCACGAACCTTTATGATATCCCACATCTCTACATCCCTCGTCTTCGACCGTAACCAAAGCTCAAACAAGACCTAATTATGAAATTAAAAGAAAATGTATGAGAATTTCACACCGTATTCTATAATGGCCCAACAGTACTCACTCTGAGTAAATGATCACATAGTTCATCACCCATGACAGGGCCATTGCGTGTTCCATCGCTCACTCTTTCCGACAACAGAGAATCGGTGATGCCTAAAACAACCTTCAATAGCACCGACCAAGTTTCTTCAGAAAGATCGAGCGTTCGACCAGCCATGGTGAAGACGGTCAGGACTTTTTTGCATAGTTCTATATGGCGTTGCGTTAGCTGAGCAGCGGTTTCGCGCGTGATGGGAGGTGGACTAGGCGCAGCCATGGGTATGGTGATGAGGTTTGCCGCTCCTGGCGCAGGCACAACCGTTGTTGTGGTATACGTGGCGGTTTTGCTGGCACCAGAGTGTGGTCGTGGAACTCTAGGACGAAACAATAAAGAGTATTGATGAAAGATGATTTGAAAGAATTCCTGCTCCAAGCCTTCGCGAGACACGGCAGCAGGCCGTTGATTCGCTTCGAACAACCACTGTGCATAAATGTTGATGTCTTCGGATGTGATCGTCATATCTTCCAAAGGCAAATTGAAACCTTGTCCAATGACCTCCATAAACCATTTCACATGGGCTGGCGATGAAAAGATGGAAGGATGAGGAGCTGCTTTTCCAGCTGCTGGGTGTAAGTATGAAGTGATCTCGGATATCAATGTCCTTCGCGTTGATACGGGCAAAACATTTAATATATTAGTTTCTGGGAATGGGTGAGGTGGGTTAGTGAATGGCTACGATTCAATGTAGCGCATTATGGTGCTTAAGTACGTACGAGCGTCATGCTGCAAAAGATGCAACTGAGCTATCCAGTCCAAGAACATTGCAGGTTAAAAGCGGACGCCGCCGCACGTTAACGGATGTCTGTGAGTGCGATTTGAACTATTTTTTTTCTGCTTATGGTACAGTGGTTGAAACAGACTTGTTCCAAACAAACGAGTGGTGGTGTACAAGGCGGTATTGGCGATTGTCACTGACGCTAAAATGATCTCTGGTGGTGAATGACAAGGTGAATTTTGGGACAACCGTCTGAGCAAGAACTTACTCAGAAAGCTCGATTCTGGCTGCTATTGGCTGAAATCACATGCCCTGCTAAAATTGAAATATCAGGCAAGAACTTGGTAAATGGACAACTAATTTTGTCTCCCTTGTAAGCATCAATGAAAATCGACCATACGAACTGAGTGCATGGCTGGTCCAGCGAAGGTAAATCGTTCATGTCAGCTGTGGCTATTTTCTATAGCCACGCTACGTCGCTGGCTGGTGCTGAAAAGGAAGATCGACTCCGCATTCTGGCAGTGATCTATCTCCACGTTGGATTTGCCATACCCCGCCTGCTTTGAGTAGATTAACTAGTTAAAAATACTAGAGGTCAAGATGTTATGGTTTTTAATGCCACTCGTATATTAAACGTTTGTTGACTGATCACATCTCTATTGGAAAAGCACTAACATAATGGCGTGCTAATCAGCGATAATTAGGCAGTTTTTAGGCTGAGACGCTTTATGCATCTAGACGAGTCGGTGTGGGTGCAATCATGCCTGGCCTCATGCTTTTACACTTATCTTAAAGTAGCGGCAATATCTGAAAAGTATCTGTATTTCATGGTTACATCCAGTCACTGATAAGACATTTCCCCTTACCGTCAAACAATTCTATAGAGGTATAACTGCTATCGATGTATTTATGTTCATCGCAGTGGCATCGTAAGGCTGCTTGTGACTAAATGGATGACGGAAGATTTGCAACGGATGGTCGATAAGGCAGTGCTGCCAAAATTACCGCATTACAAAGGTCGCACAAAGCGATCAGTTGCACGTTTTATCATACCAGCGAAAGCCATCGATACAAAATGGACAAAACAGTCTATTGGCAATCTAAAGATATCAAAAGATAACTTATCAGTCACTCACTCTATCGTCTGACTCGTTACAGTACCACCTGTGACAATCCAACATAGTTATTAGTTCACGCATCAAATGGTACATTCATCCCTATCACTATCTCCGTAAGCTGAACCAGCATCGACCTTAATATCAGCTCCTGGTTGATCCCGAAGGACCGTGCTTGGATAACACGTTGCAAGTAGCCGAACCTATCAATGGTTCATAGTAGCGGTCCTATTTTGAGTTTCAAAAAAAGCAGCGAATAAGGGTAGTGTATTAGATATTTATTATCAATTTGTTTTTTGTTTTTGTTTTATGTACATTAATTTCGCATTAGCATTAAAAATCTAGTGTGGTGGTTTGCAAGCTGGCTTGAGACAAGTTGGCTTGCGATGAATAATTGAGATGGATTGATTATGAAGGATGGGGTTTCAAGCCGTAGGGAGATTTTAGTTGGACTTGCTGGTGTAGAAAAGGACATCCTTGCGACATTGCTGAACAGTAGTGTAAGCAAAGACACCGACGGCGGAGGCAACGACGACACGCTTTCCAACTTGAGTGGCAGAAACGTTAGCAGCGAGCTGTTGAGCAGGACGGGAGAACAAGACCTTGAACATGTTGTGAAGAAAAAGAGATGAGTTGTGTGGCAGACACGTTCTGCGAGGGAGGGTCTGGTATTTATTCAGAGCAAAATATTTTTTTTTTTTGTTCGATCAGACCCAGCGGGAAAATAAAGAACGGCCAATAAATGTGAAGAGTGGGACTGAAAATTGTGGATTGCTCATACTTTCAACCACAGCCGCCAATCGATTTGCCTCCCTGGATTACCGACTTGACACGTCCGACGCTTCCAGATCCAACAATGGGCTCTGGGAGCTTCAAACAAAATTCAAAAACGCACTAAACACTCCTCGTGAGAATTGCCTCCATAATTATCCATCAAGGATAACTTGAGTCTTGGCAATGGAATTGCTGAAAAGCTTTTCGTTATGCCACCAGATATACATTGACTTAGCAATCGTTATCGATATCTGCCATATTTTAAAGGTGCGCGCGAACACTATTTGTAATTCTTTTCCCTTTTACAACTATGCTGCGAATCACCCGCTCTGCACAATGCTGTATCGGCTGGCAAAAAACTATTTTTATACCAACAATGCTTCTGATTCACTACAATGCTAGCTTTTGTCCAAATGAGTCACTTCCAATTTGCAAGTCAGAATATCTTTTAACTCCTGAAGTACTAGAAGGCCGATCATCGGAGTATATACTCGTTCTACAGCTAAACACCGACTGGGGGAAAATAGTCGCTTTTCATGTTTAGCAAAAAAGCTTAGATATCGCTCCTCGGCAGTTGCTGACCGGAATATTTGTCCCCAAATGGTAATTAGAAGCTGCACCCAACTTAGCAGCTAACCCATAACAACAACCAAAATGCCAACTTACAGTGTTTCGTCCTTGGATAGATCTTTTTTGACACCGCTTGAGCCGGTTAAACTCTTGCTTTGAAATTATTTGCCCGCCCACCAAGAGCTTTGGGGTAAGAAATTTTTGTGCCATCTAACGCTTAGTGCTGCCAAAGGACAACTTGTACCATATCACTTCTCTTCCCAATCTCTCTCCACCCAGCTCAACTCTTATTTGATGTATCAAAGGTTATTATTGGCTTTGGAGAAAAGTATAATAGTATTTAGTTATTAACGTGGAAAGATTTAAGGCCTCAAATACAGCCATTTAATCTAGATCATTTGGATTTCCGCAACAGAAGAAAAAGCCCTTCTTCTTCTTTGGCTGGGCTTGTTGCCCAGTGACATCACTCCTTGGAGCTTCAGTAGGTTGAGTCGGTTGCTCGCTTGCACTATTTTCTAATGCTTTGCTGCCATTGTTGATAGGAACATTGACATCTGAATGTGTACTACTTGTCACCGTACGTGCTGCATCTTTTGCTGCAACTCCAGCTCTTCCTGAACTGGGAGTTCCAGCACCAAGACCAGATCCATCAGCACCAGACCCATTCGTACCAACACCTGAGCCTACATCAGTATAGCCAGTACCAGTGCCAGGGGCAGTAGTGCTAGGGCCTAAAGGATCGGTAGTGCTGGAACCTAAAGTGCCAGAACCAGTAGCGCCAGTTGTGCTAGTAACTAAAGGATCAGTAGTGGTAGAACCTAAAGTGCTAGAACCAGTAGCGGCAGTTGTGCTAGGACCTAAAGTGCCAGTACCATTCGTGCCAGTACCATTTGTACTAGTACCAGTAGCACCAGTACCTGCTGCAGCGGTACCAGCTGCAACGGCACCAGCAGTGACCGCACCTGCGCCGGCAGCTGAACCCAAAGCTGAACCAGTACCTGTATTAGACCCACTTGCAGAGTTGGTGCTTGTCAGATTATTGTTGGGATCAGTAGAGGTAGCTACGGCGGAAGTTCCTTTACCACTGGTTGTCAAAGCATTGCTGTAGCGAGAATTGATTCAGATGATGTTATGGAAAAGCGTTGCAAATATAGAGCGAACTCTTACGTTTTTCCAGTTTCATAAGTGGTCATTAACTTGGCAAATGTTTCTCCCTGTTGCTTTGCAATGGCCAACTCCTTCTCACTTGGCTGGCGAGATCCATCTCCATTTGCTATTCATTCATCAATGAAAAGCAGTGAGATGAATGTTTTTATAAACTCATTCATCACTTTGTACGCTCATGGACTTACTGATTGTGCCTGCACCATATGCTGATCCACCGACGACCTCAGTGGTATCAAACATGGCTGGGTTGGCAAACCCAAAGGGAACGTATATCATACCGTGATGAGCGAAATATGTTACGGCATTTAACGCTGTCGTCTCTTGACCACCATGCTGAGGGGAAAAAAGCTCTTTCAGACCACGCTTCTCCGATTTCTTCTTTGCTCTCAACACAATGTCTTACCTGACTAGCAGTGGAGAATATCGTAGCCACAAACTTGCCTGAAAGCGCTCCAGTTGCCCAAAGTTTACCACTAGCGTCCAAAAATCTATGTATTTCGCAAGAACAGGTTTAGTCATCAAAGCAAAAACTATTTGCGTGACTCAGTCACTTACGCTTTCATCTGTGCTGGAAAAATGCCGAACCGTGTAGGCAATCCAAATACAATGCCATCTGCTTCTGTCAACTGATCGATTTTAATGACCGGAATGTTGGGCTTGGGAGGAGCGTTCATTTTCGTGAGCACTTCGTCGCTGAGAGTCTCTTCAACTTGGAATAATTGAACATCAACACCGTTCGCTTCCAGACCTAGTTATCTCCAATGTGTCAACTATGGGTTATCACAGCATGCAACGATATATGCAAGCACATACCTTCTTTCACGGCGGTAGCCATCTTGTATACATGATGGTACAACGTGTATATGACAATATACACTTTCGGCATGGTTGGTCAAGCTATGTTGAAATCAAGGTGGGGGAGAAAAAAAAGTCTCACCGGAAGGGAGCGACAACTAGAGTTTTATATGACACCCATCACTTTAGTGACTTCACTTGGGTCAATTAATATACCAGCCTCCCATTTACACGCTAGAAAACATCACTTTTTTCTAGCTTTTTCACTAGAGAAATTCATTTCCTTCTCGAAAATTTATTTTCGCCTTCAATTCAACTAGCTCTGAATACATCCAAAGGATCTTCATCACATAAGACAAAGCTTTCATTACGTCACTGTCGGGCGTGGTATTCGTTTGCATGAATCGCCCCGTTTTACGAGAATCAGACGAGTGGCTCGGTCTCTTTTGACTATCACAACAATTGTCAAACAGCCAGCAGAATGGAAGCTGTCAAAGTTAGCAATGAAGAAAATGAGCATTACTGTTGATTTAATATACGCCGGAAATTTTAGTCGAAATAACAATTGGAGACATCGGCTCCATGGTGGATATTCTGGGGTAGACCATTGGTATGGGTTTTTCGCAAGTCGATCTGTCTTGTTTGGGGTTTATAAGTTCGGCATTCCAATTGAGTTTTTACCTCTTCTCTTTTTCTTCTTTCAAATTCACTCAAAGTCGCATATCACCTTTGAATTTAATTCAACATGCCTGCTACTGTATACATCGTTATCTACTCTCTGTACGGTCATATCTACACCCTCGCTCAAGAAGTTCAAAAGGGCCTTGAAGCTAGCGGTGTAACCACCAAACTCTTCCAAGGTAAATTACATGACTGTCACATTGGTAACCCACACATCGTATTCATCGCTCGTCCCCAGTTGCCGAAACTTTGAGTGATGATGTTTTGCAAAAGATGCATGCTCCTCCTAAGCCTGCCATTCCAGTTATCAAAGTGGACGAGCTGACTGAGCCCGATGGCATCATTTTTGGTATTCCTACTCGATTTGGTACTATGCCTGCTCAAATTAAGGCGTAAGTTTCGAATGACAAACAGGCAAGCCATTTCCACTATCCTGGCTGATGATTCTATCGATTATTTAGACTTTTGGATGCCACCGGTAAGCTGTGGGCAACCGGCGCTTTGTCTGGAAAGTTTGCCGGTACTTTCTTTTCCACCGCTTCACAGGTAATGTACACACTGCACGACTAGGAGTGACAGTAACACACTGGAAAAAATTGACGTTTGGATTTTCATGTAAAAATTACAGCATGGAGGTCAAGAAACAACCGCATTGACCACTGTCACTTATTTCGCCCATCATGCCATGATCTATGTACCTTTTGGCTTCGCCAACGCGCACCTTTTCGACAACACTGAGGTCATTGGGGGTTCGGCTTATGGCGCTGGTACGATTGCCAATGGCGATGGCTCCAGAGCCGTCAGTGACAAGGAGAAGGAAATTGCTAAAAACCAAGGCGAGAACTTTGGCAAAGTCGTCGCCACCTTTGTGAATGGACGAAGTACATTATAAGAAATTTGCGAACCACTAATTAATTCATTAAATTGCCTTGCTTCATAAATCCACTGTATTTAAGACTACGCACAGGGCTTGTTGTTAAGCGGATGTTATTCCGCTCTTCAAACATTTTGTGCACCTTAACGGAGATGTAATTGAAAGAATAGCGCCAACTTTATTCTCTATTTTGTTTGACAGACAATGGAAGCGCTAGCAAAGAAACATCACAATAGGTAGTAAGAAAGGTCAATTCCATGGCTAAAAGGTGATGACTGGGGCTTCCGTCAGATGACCTTGAGCAGCTGCCTTGTTGATCGAGTGAGTGTTTGACAGCAGAGCCAATCATATTGTCAAGGCGAGAATAATATAAGCTTTTTGGGTGCCTTTTGCTCTTTCCCGCCTCCCCAACCCCATTCACCCCGCCATCTTACTCAAGGGTCATGTCCACATCATACCCAGAACATGTACCTTTTGACCCTGCCAGTGTTGAAAGTATGCCCCCTGCTCCAGAGCTGCACCAAGCTGAAGATCTGGACACCACGTTTCACGCACCCATCCCAGACGGAGAGCTAGTTGATATCATACAGCAACATCTCATACTCGGCAGCGAACCATTGACCTTAACGCAATCACAAAGTCCATTTCATAGGCCAATAAGCGTAGCTTCGCCTAGGATTGACTCTGACCGCAATGAAATTGAAAGTGTTGTCACCCCTTTTCATTTGCCTGGAACAGCCATGACCAACGATATCTACAAGATGGCCAACGATTTGGTCCAGCGCAACCTCTTGAGGAGATCTAGATCTTTAACGGATGTAATGGAATACCGAAAGCAACAGCTTCACAGCGATCCAGCATTGCAGAACATTAATAAACCCGGTGGATTTCGTCGTTATTTTGTACATCAGCACGGCTCCGATACACCTTCGGAAGATGGCTATGCTTCGCCATTACAACGATACACCTCTATGATGGATCACGATATCGATAACCTCAACCCACCTAGAGAATTCAAACGAACCCGACACTTTCTAGAGTTTCTGGCCATGGCACATATTAGTATTTTTGACAATTTCGCAGGCGAGGATCTTGAAGATACCGACGACGACGTACCAGTGAGTGATGAAGAACAAGCTCGTCTCTTACCTGTGCGCAATACGCAGGTGGTTGCTGGATCGACCAACGAAAGAACTCCGCTGTTGCGAAGAAAATCCTCTCATATGGGTGATAAAAGTACGGCCTCAGAAACCAAGGCGATCTTCCTTTTACTGAAGGCATTTATTGGCTCTGGTGTTCTTTTTCTGCCTCGCGCGTTTTCCAATGGTGGATTGCTGTTCTCTTTTATTTCCATGTGGGCTATGGGCGCCATATCCTTGTTTTCGTTTTTGCTCTTGATTGAGTGCAAAGACCATGTCTCTGGCAGCTACGGTGATCTTGGTGAAGCACTCTATGGACCTTGGATGAGAAGGCTGGTACTTTTTTCTGTGTCTATTTCTCAGGTAAGCTGTTCGTTTCGGTATATAAGTTAGACAAAGCAAATCCTCTCGTTATTAATACCGACAACTTTTAGATGGGTAGGTTTAAATATTGAGAATGTCAGCCTACTGTAGCCGCGCTAACGATAGGTGTGAGTGTAGGATTTGTGGCAGCAGGAACAACATTCATAGCGGAAAATGTACAACAAGTGTTTACAGCTGTGAGCCATAATGCTATCCGTCCATCCGTCGAGAGCATCGTTGCTATCACCGCCCTTTTGATGATCCCCCTTTGCCTCATCCGAAACATAGCCAAACTTTCGCTGAGTGCTGTAATCTCGGACTTTCTCATCTTGTTTGGTCTTTTAACCTTGTTATATTACGATGTCTTGAACCTTTTCTTTACCAAGGATCCCGAACAGGAACACCGCATTATTACTCCAGGACCTGGCATTTATTGGTTTTTCAACAGTGCGCATTTTTCAGTGTTTGTAGGCACATGTGTATATAGTTTCGAAGGTGTAGGTAAGTACCCTGATTATTGAACTCTACCGTTTGATACAAGTCATCGATGCAGCAAATAACCCTTAATTCATCTCTTCAGGTCTCATTATTCCTATTCGTGATGCTATGGCACGCAAGGAACGCTTTCCTTTTGTGCTCACGCTCGTCATGTTCTTGGTCGCATGTATCCTAAGTGTCATTGGAAGCATGGGTTACTTAGCCTTTGGCTCTGAAGTACGGACGGTTGCTCTTCTCAATCTTCCAGACGGACCATTGATCAGCACCATTCAAGCACTTTACGTTATCGCCATTCTTCTCTCCAACGTTATCACGATTTTCCCCTCTATTCGTATCATCGAGCAAGCAGTCTTTCAGTCAAAGACAGGAAAATATAACATGGCCGTCAAGTGGCAAAAAAATACGCTTAGAACGGTTGTCGTCATCGTCACTTGCCTCGTTGCGTATGGAGGAGCATCTGATTTGGACAAGTTTGTCAGGTAAAGCATTTGAATAGATGGCAAGGTGTCTTTTTAAAAGTGACATGAACTAATATCCTCAACTTTTTCTGGCTGACGTGAATAGTTTGGTCGGCTCCGTTTGTTGCTGTAAGTTACATCTTTTATCGTCCACATCTGTTGGTTGTTCTTTAAAACGCACCATCCTAAAACCTTGTCTTCCTTTCAGGTCCTTTGTCACTCATCTTCCCACCCCTATTTCATTTGAGAGCGGTGCCTGCTCTTCCCAAATGGCGATCTCTCGCCGACTACACTTTGATAGTATTCGGTACCGTTGTCATGTTCTTTACCATGTACAGCACCGCCAGTCAATGGGCTAAAGGCTCATAATGTAATTAGCGCGCAGTCATTTTCTTAGTTTTGTTACCCCCACCCATCCCCTCTTTTTTGGCAGTCTCTCATCCTATTACTTCTTATTAATTGTTCACTTCATTATTGTAATCGATTTTGATTTTTCTCTCAAATAAAAAGTATGATTTAATAAACATGGGTCTACATAGGGAGGAAAACAGGCCATGTTATTTCTATTATTCTGTACAAGTTGAGGAACAGACTAAGGTTTGGTATATGCATTAAGTCTTTTTTTTTTTTTCGAGGCGGTGGATCAAGCCACTTAGAAACACATCAGTGGGGTATGTGCAGTACCTCTTGGGTATACTACTAAGGTAGCGACAAATAGTCCGACGGTAATACCTATAACCAACAGATGTCAGTTCATGGGGAATTGAAGTCAGCGGTAGGAGAAGGAAATCTATACTTACCGATGGCTGACTCAATCATGGCCAGTGCAAAGTATGCGCCCTGACCACCATTGACACCAGTAGTGCTATCGCTGAATGTACCCAGAGCAGCCTTCAAGCCTAAAAAATTACCACAAATCATATATGATTAGACTCTTGTCCTCGCCATGCGTGCTAAGCGAACACTGTGAACTCACCTAAACTACCGGGCACAAGAAAGAAGACACCGAGCAATACGGCATCAAATGACATTTTGCCAGTGAATTTATGCATCAGATTACCGAGTAAACCGACAACAAAAGCTGGAATGAATTGAGTAACTTGTTGAGGTGCGGATGTCCACTTTGTCAATGAAAAATTGACGACATAGCCCATGGTCGAAACGAAAAACATGGGTATCCAACGATTGGGGCGAGCTTTGAGGTATATGGCATAAGAGAATGCGAACAGCGACACAAATAAGAAGTTGTACCATTGCGAGGGAATGTTCCCAGTACATTCTGAGGTCGAAGCACTGGCAGCCGCCGGGTCAAATGTAGCCCATAGACCGGATCCCATGGATATTCCATAACCCAACAAAAAGCAGTACACAATACTGTAAACCATTCGAACTACGCCGGATATAAGATTTCGAGACGCTAACTCAATGATGCCCGAAGCGATGGTGTATCCGGGCAACAAGATGACAATAGCGCCATAGGAAATAGGCGCAAAGCAGAATCCTTGTCTCCACGGTGCTTTTTTGAACAAGGTCAAAATATGTCAGTCATGAGCGAATGTTTGAATCCAATCTGTCAAAATGGAAACTTACCACGTGCGATAAATCCAATGAGCATGGACATTGTAATATCCCAAATAGGACCCAATGACTGAAATCGACCAGCAAACGTTTCATAAACGGATAGAAGTGCTAAAAAAAATAGGAGGAAAATTGTCAGTTTGCTGGATAATCCTAGTCTGAGTTCGCGACTTCCAAACTACGTCATTTTCCAACCGATACTTACTTCCTAAGGCAGCAGCAACGCCAGCATCCTTCCATTGGCCGCCAAAGAACATAGTGCATGTACAAAAGCTAGCGGCTGCATACACCAAGGGATTTGTCCAACGCGGGTAAAAATCTTTTTCGTCATTAATGGACTCGATGAATTCCAAGGCCTCGTCCACCGTCACTTCACCGTGAGAGACTAGCTTCTCCAATCGATAAATTTCTCCCAACTTGTACATGTCGTAACCTTGCACCTGGCGAATAAAATGGGTCTCGGTCTGATGCGTGGTGGTGTCCAGGAAGTTAAGCAACATGACGTTGGGCAAGTAGACATATTCAGCGTCGACACCCAGCGTTTTCGATACTTGTTTCATAGCAATTTCGAGTCTATGGGATGGGCATCCATACCAAATTAAAGTTCTGGCCAATTTTCGAAGAAAATCTTGCTTTTGTAGAATATTAGCTAGTTCAAACGTAATACGAATACGGTCTTCTAGTGAAATGGGTTCGAATTGCGAAGCTGTAGTAATCATGCTGTCAACGGAGGAGCGTCGCGAAATGGAAGCGGGATAGTTTGCTGCCTTTCTCTTGGCGAGTGATGGAACTAGATGGTCAGTGGTGGTTATAGTCGACAACCAACTTCCTGGTCGATGCTTTAACTGCGGTCGTTCTTCCCCATAACCATCAATTGGATCGGTCTCATAGTGGGTTGGTAAATTATAAATCGAAGCTGGACGTTGCTTCTTCTTTTCCAGTTTCTGCTGCTCCTGTTTAGCTTGTTTCAGCTAAATATATCCATCATGGTGACAAAGAAATAAAAAAAAAAAGATGGGAAAGGCAAAAGTCAATATCTTATCTATTGCCTGGAATGTTTGAAACTACCCTCTATAATCAAAAGTAAAGGGTGGTTAGACGAAAAGCCACTGTACCTTCTTCTTTTCCTTCCGCCTTTTTCTTTCCTCTTGACGTTTCTCATGTTCTCTGTTTCTTTGTGCTTCGAGCTTCATTAGTGAGGAAAGCACACTGCCGCCTCCGGTGGGTGCCATAGAGTTGGGACCAACTCGCTGGCTAAGCATTCGGTCGACTAATGCGGCTGATTCAGCGACATGATCTTGGTAACTGGAATGACGTTCTTCGACTTCTGGTTTTTCGAGGGCGGCTTCGACTAATGTGTTGGCCGAGTCTCGGCGGTCGATGCCAGGAGCGTTGTAGTCATCGTTACTTGACCGTTCGGGAATTTTCTCCCGATCAAGTTCGTCTTGAGCTTTTTTCAAGTGATAGTCTGTCAAATCCTCGTCTGAGAAAGTGAATTTTTTGGATCCAACTGTAGCAGGCGTGGTGATATCGATGGCATCATTCCGGTTGTCGGTGGTGGTTAATTGCAGTTGTGGAAGATGTGGCATGGAATGAGAGTGCGTCATGTATGGACGCAAATGGTTCTCGTCGCTTTTCGGTGATGGTGAAGAATCCATTTGATGAGATAGAAACAAGTTGGAAAAAGACTCAGGTTCAGCCGTCTTAATTAAAAAAGAGAAAAAAAAAATCGGAGCTGAATCCCAAGACAGGACGACTCCGAGCGTCCCGGAGTTCAATTCATTATGTCTTTGACGTCGTTTATATAAAGGTGGTATATAAAACTCAAAAAGTGAAACTAAAAGTACAAAGTATTATTCAAAAAGCATATCCTACATTCCTCCATTATACAAGTTATATCCTCCAGAACCGCCCTGCCTGCCATCTACGTTACGGAACATGTTGTTATTATTTGACATGGGACTATGAGGGCTGTAAGGGTGTTCATCGTCCGACATCATCGAGCTGGGACTGGGGCTCGGCGGTAAGGGAATTTCATATGGTTGTGGCGAGTTGAGTGGCGATTGGTGAGATTGATCGTACGGCCTAGAGATATTCAGACCTTGTGTCTGAACGGTTAACGGTGAAGCGGGCCGACTATTGGACCCTAACTGCTGTTGGGATTGAAATTGTTGTTGCTCTTGTGGTTGAGCACCATAAACATTATAATAAGCTTGGTGTACCATGGAGTTAGCAGAGTTTGAATCAGGCGACGTGATAAAGATGGGTGGTGGTTGTTCGTGCTGGTCAGTGTACACTTGCTGAGCCTGAAAATCTGGGTAAACGCAGTGTTAACATCATTAAAAATAGATACACAGCACACAGATCCTTACTTATAGGGCCAAACTGCTGTTGTAGGAAGGCAACCATCCCCGTAATATGGATCTCTTGCGTGCTTTGACTCGCTTTCGTTTCTTTCAATTCCTGAGTAGCTCGGTCAAGAGCAGACTGCAGTTGCGTCAATTTACCCAAAATTTCATGTTGCGCCTGTTGCATCTGCAGCATGGAACTTGATAAATCACTTGCGTCTCTCCTACTAGTTTCTTGCTCCATCGCCTTTCGCTTGATCCCATCCAAAAGGTCGGGCCGATCTCTTAAGAAGCTTGGGTGTGAGAATTTCCAGATATGGTTTTCGGTCGACGTCCGTTGCCCCTGGCCTCTAGCGGTCTTATTGATCTTATGGAAACCGTACCTTGAACAAAGGAAAAAAATTCAGGGTGTCACTATCATTTCAGTTCTGACTAAACAAGCCACAGATCGAAATGGCAACGTCGTCACCGATCATCATAAAACTGTAGCTCTCTTACATGTTTAGTTGTCTCACGAAACTAGCAAAGTTACGGTGCTTGAAGTGTGCTGGTAGAACGACATTCTCAAATTCGTCCTTGTTGCATACGATAAAGGATGATCCATCATGGCTCCATGATATCAGGTTTTGGTACTGTGGATCAATCACCATACTTATTTTTGATGCAATGTTATTAACTGAGGTAGGCGGTATCGGGAAAAGTTGAAGATGAGAAAGTGAACTTACTCATACAGCTTGTGGACAAAGGTCGTATTATTAGGGCTTCTAGGTGAGTGTGGTGCATCATTTTGCAGCGTTAAACCATGCTCTAGTGAGTCAGGTAGCATGTGTGTAGGTGATAACGGGTCGTCGTATTCACTGTCTTCGAATGGGGCCAATAGCGGTGAGTGCCCGGGAGAAACCGATGACCTCGAGAGATCATGTGGGAAAATGGAGAGAGAAGAAGGCGACCCCATGGAAAACGGAGACGAAGTGGAGCGGTGTTCCATTTGGAGGCAGTTATTTGGAACTTGGTAATAGCAGATGCCGGTTGAGACCTGGAATACAGCTCCCAAGAGAAGCAAGGTGAGAGCTAAGTGGTCTATTTAAATAACCAGAAAACCCTGTGGGTCACGTGTTCCCGCCATCGAATGCTCAACTTTGTGGATTTCCGTCCCTTTTCAAGCCCAGAGCAGCTGCTTCCTGAAAAATAAAAGCCAATGCTCAGCTTACAATACCCTTAGAGGCGTACAAATAGATGAATTTAATTCTAATATTATACATCTAAAACTTTATGACGATGGAAACGAACTAGATTGAACATATCAACCCCAATGTTCTCTATAGAACATGGATTGATTTTTGGGCACAAAGTGAGGCTGCAATACTCGAAGGCGCCACAACAGAATTCCATCATATCTAACCGTAAACAGTGTTTGGCTCGGTGACTTGCGCAGGTTTCTTCAGTGTGGAGCCAAGAAACTACGCAGTATCGAAGGCAACTGCTATCATAAGGCGGTCTTCGAGAAACGAGGCATCGCTGTTCCACCATATAATATCTTCACCAAAGTATCAAGACATTAGGGTATAGCGCCAACTGATGAGGCACCCCTCAGATAATGGTGGCGCTGATGGAATTAGTATAACGGAACGATGCTATTTCTTTCGAAAAAGAAAGTTCTGAACCGTCATACGGTGCTGAAATAGGATTATGAACCAGCGAGCCTCGGTCATCCACTGCACTACACGATAAACGGCATTTTTAGCGCAAACTGAAGTAATCCCTCTGATAAGGAACGAAATGATATGGCATTATCTCAAGGCGCTGAGGATCGAGATTTTTGCACTTTAATGGAATGTGTTGATGTTTGTGCAGTATGGCTTAGAGAGCACATCTCGCAAAGCTGGAGTCAAGCGGAACTGGCATGTTGGCTATAGGTTTCCCCGGTATGACAAAAATTTCGCTTTGCGCATCAGCAAACATGCGCACCTTCAGAGAAGGGGGGAGACCAACAGCTTTTTCCGGTAATGGTATATCCTTAACGGAAAGAAGGAAACATCCAATTTCACTCAATGTCGCAGCTGATATTCTAAAAGAATCAAAGCTGTTGGGATCTTGACATGTATCGACACTTGAAGTACACTCGAGGACTTGCGCCACATGATATAGTCCTTTTTATCTCCATTCTTACCTACGTCATGACAGTTGTTTGATGTAGGACGCGCTTTGAGCTTGAAATCTCGATGCAATGCCCATGGTAATCAGAATTTTTGGATTGCGCACATCTCGTGAAGACTATTTCGCTATCCTATAATACTGAAGGGTGTCAATGAGGTGTAACGTTTATACAGTCAGGCCGGCTGAGATATCACAAGGTGAGGAAAAGAGCCTCTCCCCACTAACACACTATACTTCTTCCGAACCTGTTGTACTCTCCATTACCTTTACTGAACAAGAGTCTGTAACTAAAAGAGGCGATAGAATATTCATTGATTTCTTATGGCCCATATTCACGACGACATCAAATTAAGTCGGCATTGCGCATGGACCATACGGAATTCAATACCAGATAAAGTCAGCCCGACTGGTAAAAGTACGTATCACAAGCACCATCGAAGACTTCCAGTCAAATACACTGAGGTGTGATCTTGATCTATAGAAAGCTTCTATGAGAAAGACTATCCATTTTTTCAGTTGGTGTAATCGGTTTTCAAAATATTCAACTAATGTCCATAGAAAGGTTTATTCTGTACAGTCAAGTCCTACATTTCTGAGATGTGATTGGGATCGATCGTTTCATGTTGAGATCTGGTATACAGATAGATTTGTATCGTAATAACGGCTTGCTATGCAAGGTAAATGGGATAATTTTTTACTAGACAGTGGTTCGTATAAAAATTGTACTGATTGAAAGCGAACCACTACCAAATGGCTCAAACTCACCAGCAAGCGCAAATGCAAAATTCTCGTTCAAGGGATTGTTACTGTTGGTTATATTTAACCAAACCAGCAGAATGGCAACAGAGGGCATCATTACTTTTATGCATGTATGATGACGAACAAGGGCAGCGCGGGCAACTTTAAGTTACTACCTCGCTTTGACTTTCCATGACATCTTGGCTTTCTTTTTTCTATAACCACAATGAATATGCGTTTACAATACCGGATTTCTGAGCGCTTCCAGTCACAACCCAGCATAAAAATTATGGTGTATCGTCGTAGTTAAGAATGTATTACTCGCTACTTCGGAATGTTACCCGGGGCTGCTAAGTAAATACCTCGGCTTATGTTATCATTTACTGCGGCAAATGCGTCTGCGGAAATGCATCCTGATCCAGCTTGGTCTTCCAGATCCTGCTTCTAGCCGGATATCCACTGCGCAGTCTGTGGTCAGAAGCACGTGATGTTTACAAGTATTGCGCATTTGCACTGATGAGCACAGCTACCATTGATGGAGGGAGGTTGTACAGACAATCAATATATCGATTTAAAAGCAGGGCATTTCCCATTGTTGTATTTAGAGCATTAATAACATAGCTATTGAATGTAGCGTGACAAGCAAAATATGTTAGCCACAGATCAGATCAGTGAGCACGGCTGAGCTGGGTGAGCTTCGCATTTCCGTGTGATCTTATACTGCTCGGAAAATGCGTACAAGGCCCCTGGGCAGATCTTTGCAGGAGCGTGGGGAAATGAAGATAGCGTACTCACGTCTTGAGCGTTAAGTATGTCGGCTATATGTCGGTTTCAGTAGCATCGTCAAGTAGTCTAGAATTAACATTAACCTATCATTATACAAAAGGACATCAGCGGTCGCCATTAAATCAATGGAAAGCTTATAAAACTGATGAGGAAAGATCTATCCAATGAAATTCCAGATTCAGTGTAAGACAATATGTCTTGTGCTGGCACCAACGACAGACCAGCGACAATGGACCTACCTGTAATGGGAAGTAGCCTATCATCAAGACCGGCAGCTACGACAACTCTTATTATTCATAAGACATAAACTACACTCAATTAGCCTTTTTACGTCTCCTCCTTCAACAGCTTGTTTTCAGTGAGATAAAAGATAATAATTTAAGTTTCAGTGGTGCAAATTCATTAAAATGTCGACAGAGCTTTGAGGAGATTTGACTGGTGCTGGGGTCCAACGCAATCAATTGCGCCATGCTGATGCACGTGACCAACCATCGGAGGTGGAAAATACTCAATCTACCACAAAACGACTTCAGACATTGTTGGGACTGATTTCCTATCTTTTTCTTCACAGTCTACTTTGCTATGTGTAGATTACTCTTGTACAAAGGCAAACAACCTATCCAGTTGGCTCATGTAAGTTAAATTGTTGCAATGTCCCATGCTTTTCTATGAATGCCATATTCACGATTTCTTTTTTATTGCAGCTCTTAACTAAGCCAGCTCACTCTATTATCAACCAGTCATTCGACTCTCGATTGCGAATTGACAGAAGAAGACCGATCAATGGTAAGCAAATGACAGCCATTGCAATCATGAGCCTCACTTCCCTAACCTTGTTTTATCTGTAGGTGATGGATTTGGAGTTGGTTGGTATGAACCAGACGCAGACTCAGAAACAGCCAATACACCTTGTATCTTTACGTCCGTTACGCCTGCTTGGAACAACAACAACTTGATACGGCTTGCAGAAAAAATCAAAAGTCCTTTGGTATTTGCTCATGTCAGAGCAAGTACAGCTGGTACTGTTACCGAAACAAATTGTCATCCATTCCAGTAGGTTTTGCAATTGATGGAAACACCAGATTATCATTACGATATTAAACCTTTGACCACCACTTCATAGATACGGACGATTGATGTTTATGCACAACGGTGGAGTCGCACAATTTGATAGAGTGAGTCACTCCATTCCTTTTTTTTTCTTTTTTTTTGTGCCCCTGCATTTCCAATTCGCTGACCTGCCTTTCGTCTATAGATCAAGCGTAGACTTATTGCCACTTTGAAAGAAGACATATTTCTATTTGTACAAGGAAGCACCGATTCCGAATGGTCATTTGCTCTGTTTTTGAATTTTGTAAGCGTCTTTACTTTCTGCCAAAATGTTTGTAGCCCCGATATTCATGACAACATCCTATAGCTAAAAAATCCGGATGCCGATACGTTTGATTATGTTGAACTGAAGGAGGCTATGCTTAAAACGATTTCACAACTTAACGAATGGGCTGAAGAGGCTGGTATCACAGAAGTAAGTTACCACCCCCAGACTGGCTTACCAAAATTGCTAGTGCACTAATCAAACATTACACAGCCCTCATTGCTAAACTTTGCGGTCACGGATGGAGAATCAGTTGTTTGTGCTAGATACGTGTCAAGTGACACATTGGAAGCACCCTCGCTCTATTTTTCGTCAGGTACCAAATTTGAGAGTTATGAACCAGGCCATTACCGCATGGTGAAGGCCGATCGTCGCGAGGACATGGTGGTGGTTGCTAGTGGTATGTTTTTTTTTAGAACCTGAAACGAATGACGCCGTTGCTCCTTAATATTAACCATCGCTGTATTCAAACAGAACCTCTTACATTTGAGAAAGCCGATTGGTTAACCATACCCACAAACACAATCCTGGTAATAACCCCCAAATTAAGCGTTCTACTGTCACCAATCAAAGACAAGTACTACAGAGCAGACCCATTGGGCCGTTCTGCAGATGCACCTGTAGTGGGACCTGGCGTTCATGCCACAGGCGAAGAAGATACCATCAAAACACCTGAAAAGTCTGAAACCATCTCGAACCTCAATGCCGTATGCAACACCACACCATGCAGAAGCCTCTATCGCAACAGAGATGCGCCTGCTCCCAAGATTCCCGCAAGACGAAAGCCTTCATTATCTACAAATGAGTCAGATAACAGCGAGTCGGATAGTACGGTCTCATTGCCTGATGATGACGAAGCTGACATGGCCTTTATTGAAGGGGGACCACGCAGCCTTTACCCCAAAGGAAACGCAGTACCACGAGCACATCATTCTCGCAACTTATTTCGAGATATGAATCCTCGCAATACCAAACGTGGTACTCCGGCTGTTCAAGCTCTTTGAATAACCCACTCCCGCTTAACCCCCTTCTTCCTTTCGATATTTTGTACATACATTTTTTTTTTCTGTAAGATGGAGTCGAGACAGTGCAGACCTTTCGAGTTTCTTTTCAATATGTTCCATCATCGGTTTAACTCCATACCATTTTGTTGCCAAATATCTTCTTTCTATACCCCACAACGACACATTTCTTTATTTTTTTTGGTTCTTTTCTTCTTTTTTGTTAAACGTACATGAAGGAAAATGACTTCACCCCACTAAAATCTACCTCTTTTGGGTTTCCTTGTATCGATATTCTACAGTCAGCCGTTGGTAGCATAAGAAAAGAGGTGTCCATTTCGCATCATCTATTTGTATTGGATACAAGCTTGGCATTCTAATCTTTCTTCTGCACTTTTATCAAACGAGGGATCACTCCGGCAACCCAGATAAGTTTGTACTGGTCGCCTCGTCCTGTGAATATCTGATAAATGTATTCGTTATAGACGACATAGAAGTAAACACCAAGTCCTACACGGGAAGACACCAGAAAAAAACATTAGCCAAATAAGAAATTGGTTGTAGTTAGGGTCATAGATCGCAAGCCCTTACCAGTCATGATATGCCACAACCCATGAAGCTGTGAGACAGAACCAAGAGCAACATTAACGGTACCTCTCCAGGCTATTAATTGCTCGCAGAACTGATTGTCCACATTCCATACCAAAAAGGCGCCGAGGAAGCCTGATGCAGCTAGCTTCAGGAGGAACGAAAGCTGAGGTCTCTCGGGAGAGTCCTTTGGAAGACGCTTAACAAGTGCAGTGGAGCGGAAGACGACGGTAAACACGAGAATAGCGTAGCTAACTTGATGGAAAACAGGATTCTTGATGATCAAGTAAGACCATGTCACGAATCCAGAGTATCCAATCAACGCCAAAGGTAACCAAATACCATAACGGTTCTCTGGGTAAATTTCGAAGCTGTGTACAAGACGGTAAATATGTTTTAGCACTTTCTATGCAGAGTTCCAATTCAACCTACGCCACGCAGGTCGCAAAATGGAGGAAGAAAGATTTCCAAACTTACATGTGCCAGGTCAGAATACTTGCTCCATATATCACTAATGCCAGTGAGGAAAGGACCCAATTAATACGTGTCTTTCAGAATTGATATGATAAGGAATGGCCTCTATTGACTTACTTGGTAGTTCATCCAACAACTGCATCTCATATTGAAGAGTCATGTGAAAGCACCATCTAAACACAACACATTGGTAACAGTGACACAGAACTCGCTTCAAAGTAGGCATAGCTTACGAGCCAAATCCAATAAACATAATAGCAAAGTAAGCCAGAATGAATCTGCTAGGCATGTCATTCTGGTACGTGTTTCGAATACCGTACAGGGATAGGAAGACTATTAAATGACAGGGGGATAAATTTGTAATACATTGTATTCATCAACTAATTCACCCGATGACAACGCGTCAACTTACCAAAAACCAAGTTGGTGGTGGTGTTGAAAAACTCTGCAATGTACTTTGAAGTCCATGGGTTATTTACTCTATTTAGTCAAGACTTTGACACTACCGTGGGGAACCACTCCGTTAGACTTACTCGGGACACTACGTAGTTTTCCTAGAAAGGACGCCCAGGAACATGCGTTAGTGGAAGGAGACCTTATTTCCAACTTGATGACAACTTTGACCTACCTCGCACCAATCAATGGTCGATGTTACCGGGCCCCAAAATGGAGAATCGGAATTCAATGTTGACATTGTGCTAAAGTGTGAACCGGAGATACGATGAGCCTGTTGCCACTTTGAGCGCCGTGACTGCCAGGACATTAAATGCGGCAGGCATAATTTTCATCCTCAGGCCATGACAGTGTGTGTCCTCTTCTCATAAACCCCGTATACAATTATATGTAGGACATTGATTCTTCAAAGTCGATACACTGAAATATCAATACATAATCATTTGTAAAAAATCTCTCGAAGCACGTCCAATATTCTCGTACGGAAACGAAACGCGTCAAAGCGAAGCAGTGCTATGCAAAGATGATGCAAGCCACACACGAGAGGGAACACCATAAGCAGGTCAAACTATCATTGCATTTTACGTTATCTAGTGTAGAGGTTGGAACAGACTATACTGCCATATCATTAAATATCGTGGATGAAAACCTGAAATAGACAAGACGATTTAACAATGACAACTAAGCTCAAGAAATGAACGCCCGCCTACGTCTTCAAATTGAGCGTCTGGGTAAACATTGTATAAAGCGTAGAGTGGTAATGAAGCTGTGTAACTGACTCCTAATGATTGGCTTCGAAATCAATTTCTGTGCATGGAGGTTCTTGTTTGCTAGTCTTCTTTTTGTTAGTGTTGGATCGGAGTTGATGTCTGATAGCCTGAACAACAATTTGATAGCGTCACAACGCGATCCATCAACAAGCAGATCAGCCACAAAACGACTCTTCAAAGGCGAGAGAAGTAATGTTGGCATACTAGCTCTCAACGACAGAAATATTGGCCATTTAATGAACCTAAGGAAAACCAATCATAAAGAGCACATAACTAATAGGCATGCATTTTATTATTTCTGCTGGAGCCGTTTTTCCAGAAATGTCGATCTACCACACAGTTATTAAATGACGCTAAGCTAGCGGTTCATGGTAACTCACCAACCCGTTCATAGTCAAGTACAATTTTCAGTCCAGTTGCTATATAACAAGGGAGAAACTCCCTAGCTTAGATCATTGTCAACTCATACCCACCCATTCCATTCACTACTATACCAAGATGAAATTCCTTGCCCTTGCTGCTGTCGCTGCCGTCTTCGGAGCCCTCAATGTCCAAGCTGTCCACCCCGTTGCTGGCTGCAGACAATTGCACACCAGTATGTATAGAGTCGCACAAAGTGATAGACCATAGCTTTTCCATATTCCTGACCATTTCATTTCCCCTTACTAGTCTCCAACTCTGATACCTGCTCTTCCGTTGCCAAGAAGTTCCACATCTCCGAAGCTACTTTCTACGGTAAGTATCATTGCCTGTAATTGACAGAAATTTCTCTCAGATGCACTGATTTTTTATTTTCTTTAGCCTTGAACCCTGGTTTGCACCATGCTGGTGATCACATCTGTGACAACCTTGATACCGGCAAGAAGTACTGTGTCAAGGCACCCAAGGGTAAGCGTGCCATCGCTCGCAGAACCTCTACTGCTATCGACTCCACCACTGCAGATCTCTCTGACGTCAAGAGCAAGCTCAAGAGCGTTTTGAGCAAGGTCCAAGTCCTCGATCTCTCCGGCACTGAAGGTGATGCAGTCTCCAAGGTTGAGGTCAAGGTCCAAAGCGTCCTTACCCTCGTTACCTCCAAGACCGCCCCTGCTCTCTCCCTTGTCCAGTCCAAGGTCCAAAGTGTCCTTTCTCTTGTCCAAAACCTCAACATTCCTGCCCTCCAAGCCGTTGAGACCCAACTTCAAAGCGTCGTCGCCTTGGTCGAAAACCTTGTTAGCGGCGTTGGCAGCCTTGTCCAACTCCAATCCGTCTTGGCCGGTGTCCAGACCAAGTTGACTTCTCTCACTTCTGTCTTGGACAACGCTGGTGTCCCTGTCGGTTCCATCCAGACCAAGGTTACCTCATTGCTCACTGAACTCAATGGCTCTTCTCCAGACCTTAGCGGTGTCCAAACCGAAGTCCAAACCCTCCTCACTGAGCTCAAGGGCTATGCTGTTCCCGCTCTCCAACCCGTCACCAGCCAACTTTCTGGTGCTGTCACTCTTGTTCAAAGCATCATCCCCTTGAACCTCAACCTTTAAGTTGTTACCAATTCTTTGAAATAAAGAATATGCTATAATGTAATCATGTTTTATTTAAATACTGGTCTTGATGACCTTTTTGTAGTGTGTTGAGATGCATGCATCCAGATTTCATCACGAAAGGAATAAAATTAGAACCCATATCTTCAAAAAGCATTGGTAGGCCCTTGTTATCTCAAAAGACGCGCATTTACTATCACACAAATGAAAGACTTCATGTACAACGTGAGTAAAAATACTCCGTGGAATAGAAAAGCAAAAGGACACAATGTTCATTAAAAATGCAAGAGAAATAAAATGTTCGCATGGACAAGGGAAGCAACAACATGAGGCGACAAGAAAATGCAAACTAAACAGGCTATCAAACAACAGGTAGAGCTAGGCTAAAGTTATTTAAGGGCATCCTCAACAAAATCTAGTTCAAAAGGCAGGACCTTAAGCGCACTGGAAGCAAGGTAGCTGAAGGTGGATTCAGAACCATCTTGTTGAGGAAGATCAAAGAAGAGTTTGCGAGCCAAGGATCGATTGGACTCGACGCCAAAGTCACCGGAGAACAATTTACTGTTCTCCCAATTGTCCTTGTTCTTTTCAGTCCACTTATTCCAGAAACTTTCAACCGCCTGGTTCATAATTTGAGTGATGTTGATGTCGTGGTCCATGATCTTCATCTCAGGGTTACGGTCCTGTATTTTGGAAATGACAGTCAACGTCTCAACGGCAACCTGTCGCTCAGCAGGGTCGGCGATCCAGCGCAAGAAGTGCTCTACCATCAAGGCAAAGTTGAATTCCTCAGCTGTCTTCTCAAGAACGGTAGGTTCACGAGGAAGAACATGATCATTGATACGCAAACCCTGAGCTCTCTCTAGAATCTTCCAAGTCTTGGGATAGAAATCGGTGGGCATGCGGTTCAAGGCACCATCATTACGACGACGACGAAGCCATCTTCCAGCAGAGTTGGGTACGCAACTTGCCACCGTGGCAGAAGTCACTTCCTTGTCCTCATCCGAAACGCTGGAGAGCTGAACCACCTTTTCAATGACATCAGTAGGACCATCATTAGCTCCCTTATGAGCTTCGGTAACGGAACCCTTGTCGGCACCTATTGTTAAGCAACCACGAGAGAATTGTCAATAAATATTACATGAACGCTCCAACGACTTTTTCCACCATCTTCAACTTACCCTTGATTCCAATCAAGGCAAAGGAATCACGATATCTGACATTTTGAATAGTGGCACTTCCAAGGGACTCAATGGCAGTTCTGGCACTGGCAGTGAGGTGTTCGGTGAAATCATCCTTGGCAACAGCAATAACCACCATACCGGTATCGACCCACTCGATGAACTTGGCAAGATCTTCTGATTCGTCCTCAGAGATATGCGTATCGAAACCAACTCGTTCCAGAATGATCTTCTCAACGGGATCGATGACACAAAGGTTCAATCCACGGTTTCCAGCTGACAGTGCATTACCGTTCAACTCAATTTGAGCAAAGTTGCCGGACAAGAAACCACCGGATTGAGCCTTGATATGGACCTCGGTAGGGTTGGTAGAGCATGCAGTGGCAGATAAGGGAATAGGCAGACTCATTTCTCTCATTGCACGCTTGTCTTCAGATACCTGATCGGGAGAAGATCCGGATGGGAGTACACGTACTCTACCGTTGATAGAAGAGAGCATCAATCGACCACCGGGTTGGTCACGAACAAGGACGTTGGTATCATTGATAGACAACGTTGGTCCAGACAAGATGGTTCGCAAAAGAGACTGCAGTTCAAAGGGAGAGAGCTGCATCAGATACTCGACTGCTTCTTCTTCATTGCAGTTGTTCATGCAGCTGATTTCCTCTCGGAGAGCAATAATGATGTGATGTGTACGAAGTCGAAGAATTCCCTCAAAGATCTCTGGGTGATTTCGAATAAAGCTTCCCATGTAAATAATGATTTCCTGGACCAAAGAGCCTTCACGGACATCATCACCAGAACTGAAAGATAAGCGTCAGTTGTGAAGGACGAGAGACATTAATAAAATACGACTAACATGACACCTACCAATGCTCTTCAATCATTCGGCTGAGAACTTCAGGACCGACAGGCATGGAGATGAAGTATTCATCTTTGCCGGAACCAATGGTAACTTGCTTCTGTCGAATGACAAGATCGGTGACGTTGATAGTCAAGGAAGGCACAACCTTCTGCAAAAGACCAGCTGATTGTCGGACAATAGACCAGTACTGCAAACGCACGGCCTTGTAGTATACTTCTTGAAGTAATTCTTTGATGGTTGAATCTAAGTTTTCAATTCTAAAGCTCAAGGGTTTACATGAAACCAGATATTGCAAAAGATCTTGAAAAACGCAATAATGGAAATTAGTAACTAGTTACCACTGTTTCATGTCCACTTTTGCACCATATAACTTACCAACTTGGTCATAGAGATTGACAGAGTTGATCAAGTTCTCAATAGCTTGGTCAAACTGTGACGGGTCACCAAGAGTGAGGTTGAGCATATCGGAAGATGGGGACTCAGAGCGGTTATCCGACTTGGGAACAAGGTTAACTTCACTGACAGGAGACGCGGCATCAGGAGTGACCTGTCCGACGAATCCAGCCTTTTCTGCTATTTTTTCAGTGGCCTTCCATTCTTGTTGGCCATCTGACTTTCTAACTGGAGTGCCAGATGAGGCAGAATCCTCGTGGCTCTTCAACTTGAACTTATCTTCGGGGGCGCCTGTGCTGAGTTTCTTGAGCGCATCTGTAACAGCGGAGAAATAGCTATCCTGTTCCTCTTCAGGTCTTGGTGTCAAAGCATACTTTCCATGGAAGCTCATTGAACGCTTCTTGGGAGTCTTCAGGCCGGGAGTCTTTAATCCAGCAGGTGTGCTTGCTTGAGTCATACGCTCGTTGTAGCCAAGCTTGCGGTGGGATGAGGAGCGATATCTTGCGGCGTTGGCCACACGCAGAATGGTCTCCCAATCCAAGTCAGACTTGTTGATCAAGAAATCGAGAGATTCAATGTTGCTAGTATTGATAAGCTCAGCAAGTCTTCCAAGTCGAATACGTACACCACCGCATCTGCCAGATCGCAAATTCATAAAGTGGTTCAACAAGTTCTTGCGTGACGAATCGTTGTTGCTGGCGTTCCAATTCTGGTGTCTGGTAAGACCTCCAAGCATATCGTTTGTAAGGAGGACTGTCATTGTGGGGCGGCCAGGATAGAACCAATTCTTTTGAACGAAAGCAACCTCGCTTTCAAAGGCTGAAATAAGGTAATCAGCATCGGAATTCAAGTAGAATTCTTCATTGTCCATGAAATGAGGGGTGAACGCATAGAGCTCGCCTTGAACACGGTAAAGACGGGAAGTACCCAATGATCCGATAGGTCTGTTTGAAAAGAGGACAGTAAGCGACTTACTCCAACCCAAGTTTATAATAACACTATATATCGAAAATTTACCTCTTTGGTCTACCAGTCAATTTGAGCTTGCTGTTCATACCAAGACCGGCATACACTTCCTTGAGCGCATCAGGAGGCAACACGGTAAATGTGGGTGCAATCTGCTTCAGCGTTTGTGTTTCCAATCCAAACATAGAAAGTGTATTCTGAAGCTGTTCATTTTCGGCCAACAATACAATCTGCACCACGGTGTCGCGGTAGTCCTTGCCTAATGGATTGAAACGGCGGCCGAGGGGATCAATTTCAGCAGGTGACAACAAGTTATCATGGATAAGGCCACCCAAGAAGAAGAGAGAATTGGCCCACACCAATGGTACATTGTCATTAGCAACACGGGGTTGAGAATGAGGGTTCGCCTTTTCAGCATCAATCAAATCCTTGGGAACAAAGTACAATTCAGGGATCAGTTCAAGTCCCTCTCGTCGGTGGCTAGACATTTCTGCGGGTGATGATGTAGGAGAGAAAGACAGACGTCTGACAGGTGTTCCACCAGGTGTACATGCACCTCCGCTACCACTGAATGGAGTATTAGGAGCATGTGTATGAACAGGACTGGTAGGCTCAGATAAGAACTGGGCAAAATCGTCCATAGAAGAGGAATGCACGATCAATGGTGCAAGCTTGTTACGGTATTCGTCGACTTGGTCGTGATCACCATTGAACAGACCTTCCAAGATCAGGTATGTGAAAAAGAGGGGCCATTCAGATTCAACATCCTCAAACATCTGAAGTTCATGAGGCACATAATGAAGACGAGTAACATCTTCCAATGCATTTTGATGGCCATCACGCAAGAATCGTTTACATCCGTATTTTCCTCCCAATTTGGTGATGATCTCGTTACGAGTTTCTTGAACCAACTTTGGATCCGAAACAGCAAAGGCGGGGAAACCAATGACGGAGAGTAGAGCAGCATCGATTTCTTTTGAGTTTGATTCTCTTGGTAAGAAGCTGTGCAATGTGGTAGTATTTCGAGTCAATTCGTCAGGCAATGCATGAATCACGGAAGATGCTCCACCTCTGGCGCCAAACAGATTAACACCATTGATACACTGTAATGCGGCAACAGCCATACCGATGGACGATGAATTGAGTTCAGGTTGACCATGGTTGATCTTATTGCCTCTTTCCCAGATACCGTAGTCGGGAGTTCTATATGCGTCTGAAATTTTTTAAAACACAGACACAACAAACAATCAAGTCAGCAAATCAGTTACAGGACGCTCTGGAACCAAGCATCCACTTACTTTCGATGTAAAATACCAAGTTTTGTACAAAGTCCACTTCATCAAGAGTGTAGATGATTTGGAGTCCACTCGTGGTCATTTCGGCCAGAGCAAGCAAAAATATACTGGTGGCATCAATCTATGACGAGGAAGTTTCAGTCTCCCGATCTCGGCAGATAACGCGCCAGTCGTGTAATGGAAAGAAAGGGAACTAACCTGAAGATGACCCCATTCAAAGTCCCCTACAACAGTATCTCCAGTATTGGTATCGTACTTTGCGTGTAGAGAATGTTCTAATGACTGAGTCTTCTTGAACTGTTCAACTTTAGGTGCTTGTCTCATCATTGCAAACAGCAAGCCACGCATCAGTTTGATGACGGAATGCTCAAGTTCGTCTGCAAGCCAACCAACGTGTTACAAGAAATTCCTGAAGCCGTCTATCCGCAATGTCAACTTACATTGTCTGCCACTGTCATCGTCGACTCTACGGTAAGCCAGCGCCAATCCGAACACGGCGTAAATGGAGTAGACGTTATCTCTGTTCCAGGATGTTCAACGTCAGTATGCTCCGGTTTACTCTATCTATGCGATCTTACACATGCAACTTTACGTACCTGACCCAAGCATCTGTATAGTTTCCATGGGTCTGCAATTGAAATAAAAAAAGTTCTTGTCAATACCATGTCCGTATCACCATCGTATCGTATACCGATCTCCGCCACCATTGAAAGAGATTCAGGTCTCCGTCTTAAAACCAGGCCCAACCCAAACCCTCTCCCCCATCTAGATGCTCGCTGGTATTCTTTTTTGGGAAATTATGCTAGCCTCCTCCACCTTCGCAACAATGATGGCATAATATCACTTTCAGATCAAATAGAAGAAAGGTCCACCCTAGACGCTATCTCTAAGCCCATTACTGCCTTGTCTCGAGAATAATGCTTACCGTAATTGCAACTGAAGCTGGGATAAGTCCACTGGCAGGGTTTTGACGTGATATGATAGTAGTATCGATAGCTCGATAATAGTAGTCTAGACGACTTAAACATTCCTTTCTTGAGACAGACATTCCAAGTACCAATTCAAGCCAGAGAGAAAAAAGTGAAAAGGAAAAGAAAAGTTGCAAGTTGTGAAAATGACAATGTCAACTTCACAGGCGCTCGTTATAAAGACGAGCAGGTTGGGACCTTTTTAACAACGCGAAAATCACTGCGATAGCGAGCTTCCAGCCTGCCTCAAAAATGATGTCACGATTTGTTCCTGTGCATTCGCTTTTCCCGACCCGACCGCTTCCGCTACCATCAAAACTTCATAATTTTTTAAAGTGGAAGCTTATCTTAATAAACAACACCCAGTTGACAGTGGTCATCCATGTTAGTCAGGCACTATTAAATACCTTTGTGTGTTTCCCCTTATTTAATTGTGGGAGGCAATCATGATTTTGATAGACTTCGGTAGATGTTCCAGTCGTGCACGCCACATTCCTTTCTTTGGTTGTTAGTTGAGTTGGATCATCGATAACTTTTTACAAGTCGTTTTTATGTGAGCAACACTGCGTGGGTAATTCTCACTTGATCAAAACAAACGTCGACCATTTCTAGAAAATACCTGTCCCTTAACCCGAGCAGTGAGACATGATGTTGCTTGTCATTCGTTTTCAGCATGGGTTATGGACTTTGGACGTTACAGCGAATCTGCAATATGTATACCATTTTTTAAATCTGGAAAAATGATTTGGGTTGACGATGTTTTTAAACAGTGTTAATGGGATTCCTTATTTTATGCTGATAAAGCGCATGCTGAGGATCTGAATCGCGATATTGGGAAACGTAGACGCTGATGGAATTCACAGGGGGAATTTCCGGCATGAAATTGGGCTTCACTGTGAATCTGCCAGCTTCTGTAAATTTGCAGTCACGGCGCAACAAAACCGCACGCTCGGCACCACCATCCCTCCATTTCCAATTCTTCGCGTTGCCTATACTTTATCATCGCCATTATGTTTGGATGCATCGTCGCTGGACGCTTGGTAAGGAAGCACTTTGATTTTTAATTGAATAGATCTTTTTTTCAAAGAAATATTAACCGGTCAACGCCGTTTCTCTAGGTGCAAACGAATTTGCAACAAGTTGATGTCAATAAATGGGTATTTGAACTCCCCGATGCGAACAACATAAATCATATTACTGTCTTCTTGCTCGGTACGATACCTTTTGATGCAGGCTATGGTGCCACTGTGCATATCCTCTGGCCAAATAAAGACTGGAAGCTGCTTGGCTGGTAAGCGTAACAGAGATGTTTCGATTTAACGGCATTTTTATATTTTCTAATACCACGTTTTTCTTTGCTGTTGCAGTTTAACGAATGAGAAACCAAGCTCTATATTCCGCGTAAAGCATATGGGCAATAATGGAAACGCCAATAACGCTCAACCAGCGGACCAACAACCCATGATATCAGCAACATTGGGCATCTCCATCGAACCTTTGCATGTCATTCAGAGCCAATTGGCCTCCCTACCACCCAGCGGCGACGCCAATCAATCCACCGCACTGATCAAACCTGGGGTGAGCAATCTCTCGGAGGCTGGATTCATTGCCTCCAGAATTCTTGAACATCTCTATAATTATGTGACATCTTTCGCCACTAATAACTTGCCTATGGGCGCCATCCCCCTCTCGTCGGTGGCCGACAATGGTTATTTGCCCATGAAAGCCTTCCAGACTTGGTATGAGAACCTTGGAAAGAAAATCACCAACAATCCAAATTATTTACTAAAAGGCGATGAGATCTAGACAGCTGAGCCTTTGGGTAGGAAATAGATGTGTACATTTTGCTATTAGCGCCTTAATCTATTTTCCGTCCACGATGGTAATAATTAACAATGACAGTAATAATCAAACTTGCCAAGTAAAACAACCGTTTGTTTACCAATGGAAAATTGCATATTTTTATAGATAGCAGGAACACATCTGCTAGCGGGCAGAATTGGTCATTTAAGCTATATTAAGCGAACTTTTCCTTTCTATGTTACTTGAGGCCAGAATTAAGAGTGGGCTCATTTATTTTTTTTTTATAAATTTTTGTGGTATCAAACAAAATGTTGAGCAAGCAGAGAAAAAACGTAAAAGAGAATCAATTTAGAAAGGAGGAGGGAGCGAAAAATGCGTGTATGTTGGAAATTTGCGAAATTCTATTACTTATGCTGTACCAGCAAGCTCGTTCTTTCCGATGACGGACACCTTGAAACCGATCTGGCGAAGCTTAGCGGCATCCAAAATCAAACGACCATCGAACAAGAAAGCGGGCTTGTGCATGTTATCGTAAATCTTTTGGTAGTCCAAAGCAGTATCCTTGAACTCATCCCACTCGGTAACCAAGACAACAGCATCAGCATCGTGGCAAGCTTCGTATGCGCTGGCGCAGATGGTAACGTGCTTCTCAACCTCCTTGCGGTTGTCAACAATACCGGGCTCACTCAAGTCTCTGAAGATTTGTTCGTGATCGACCTTGGGGTCATAGACAGCAACACGAGCGTGTTCTTGGATGAAATCCTTGATCAAAGTGATGGCAGCAGCCTCACGGGTATCACCGGTGTCCTTCTTGAAAGCAAAGCCAAGGACAGCGATTTTCTTGTTCGTGATGGTGTTGAACAAGGTGGAAATGATGTGGCGAACGAATCGCTTCTTTTGATATTCGTTCATGATGACAACCTGCTTCCAGTAAGCAGCAACCTCGGGAAGGTGGAGTTGTTCGGAAAGGTACACAAGGTTAAGGATATCCTTTTGGAAGCAAGAACCACCGAAACCAACAGATGCCTTCAAGAACTTGGATCCGATACGGCTATCGCGACCGCAGGCATAAGCAACCTCATCGACATCAGCACCAGTGGCTTCGCAGATGGCAGAGAGGGCGTTAATGGAGGAGATACGTTGGGCAAGGAGAGCATTAGCAGCCTGCAAGGAAAATATAATATTAGTCCACGTCACACCACCCTGAATGTATAATCTAAGAGAAACTTACAAGCTTGGAGAGCTCAGAAGACCACAAGTTGGTAGTGATGACACGGTCAGCTGGAACCCAGTGAGTGTAAACTTCAGCAAGAGCCTTTTGTGCAGCAATACCTTCGGGAGTTTGAAGAGCACCGATCAAAACACGATCGGGGTTCAACAAATCCTTAATGGCGGTACCCTCTGCCAAGAATTCGGGGTTGGAACAGATATCGAAGTGAATTCCAGGAGTAGAGTTGGCCTCCAAAATAGTGCGCATGCTCTGGGCAGTACGGCAAGGAACAGTAGACTTCTCGACAACAATCTTGGAGCTCTTTGCAACTTCGGCAATACGGCGAGTGGCACCTTCAACATAGCTGATAATAGCACAATCACAACACCAAATCAGTAAAACAAGCCTCACCAACCTAGAACACCACCACGGACTCCACCACATAAATTTTTGTTACTAAAAAAAGATGGGCTCAACTTACGCAAGATCAGCAGCCATACCAGCACCCATTCCAGACTTCTTGGTGGGAGTGTTGACCGAGACAAAGATGAGATCAGCCTCTTGAATGGCGCCATCAACGTCAGTGGTGAAGAACAAGTTCTTTCCTCGACGTTCAAAGACAATCTCATCCAAACCGGGCTCATAGATGGGGAGGTTATCGGAATTCCAAGCATCAATACGAGCTTGGTTCAAATCGACGATGGTGACCTTGATGTCGTGGCACTTGTAGGCAATGACGGAACAAGTGGGGCCACCTGAAAAAAGATGAGACCAAAAAAAAAAGTTTACAAGATTAGATCAGGCATGGTGATCTGATATCCGAGTGAAGGTTAGGTATGAACGTACCGACGTAGCCAGCGCCAATACAGCAGATGTTTCTAACAGGCATGATGGAGATGAAAGGGGGAGATGACAAGGAGCGGACAGAGAAAGAAGTTGTTATCAAAGAAAGTGACCCGGTTGGATCTTCCAAAAAAAACATTAAATTCAGTGCGTTAAAGGTAGTGGGTCCTGAAGTTCTTTTTCATTGGCTATAGTAGTAGTACAATCTTTTCCCCGTTTTCCGCTTCCGCCATGGTGATCCCAAAATAATTGTTTGCTTCATTGAACTGAACGTTGGGGCCTCTGCTAATATGTCTGCAACTTGTTAGCTATTGAGCCACCGTTCCGTGGTGATCCCTTACAAATCACTGGAAATCCCGGTTTTTGCTCAGTATCCTGTCCGGTTCCTTCAGATAATTTGTTTCACTTCCTTAAGGACCGCGCCAATCGATAGTATACACCATTCATTTAGTCTGAACGGAACATATTTCGGGTTAATCTTCAGGCTCGAAAGACTATTTTCATACACTGGGCATTATTTCATCAATGCACTTCTGATCATCATCAATACTCAAACCTTCATGTAGTCCGGGCCCTCGATCGCTATCATCCCAAGTGGCGGTGATGATTCAGATAGGCTTTCGTTTGCAGCATGGGGTATAACCAGAAGAGTGGAGGTCCGATCGTGAGCACAACACTTTTGAGGGAACCACAGAACGAGGCAGTTAGTAACATCGACTTGCATCATTACGCATTCCTCGGCTGCCTGTCAACCCTTTATGCCACTCACATCATAAGTTTGAGATCATTCGTTAATAATGTCATAGACTTTTTTCTGTATGCCGCATTAAATCTGGCTCCTTGAATGACTATGTAGGGAATCGCTTGGACCTGGTCGTAAACAAGTTCTCAGTAACGTGGAACACAGCAGTACAAGTGTAAGTCAGCCTAATTTCGTTACACAAATATGCAATTTATTGGGCATAGACCTGATAGTTGAAGAAGAACGTTCTAAAAGCTGATTAGTGATGACAGCCTTTTCGTTTTTCGATCATATCTCTAAGTAGTCAATATACAAACCGTATCCTTTCCTTCTTACGTATAGGACGCAACTCTCGACATGATTCTATTCCCACATAACTTGAAAATATGCAACCTTTCATCGCAACGGGCGGAGACATATGGATGACATCCTAAAATTGTTCCTGATTCATTCGCTGAGTTTACGCTGCCTCTTAATTACGCCTCTCGGTTCCAATTTCTTCCACCCTCGCTATATCACGCTTCAACTGACCGAGCACCCCTGACCGTTTGCTCCATGCATTAACGGTAACCATGATAAGCACGTCAACTATCGTTTTGCCAGTAGACACTTTCAAACACATGAGCTCGTCGAAAAATCGATGGCTGTGAGGATTACTTTTTATGACATGGCTTTTTGTCTTCATGTTCACGACATCAAGTTTTTTATTTTTTGGAGCGTTTGGTCCACCTTGTTCAATTTTAACTTAATCTTTTACCATTCGTCTGTATTTGGACAAATTACTAAGAGCACCTTACTAAGTCTTACTAACTTACCATTAATATACTATACGATACATCCCCGCACGTACTTGTAAATTCACACATTGTATTTCTCTTCATGCATGCAACGTTCCTATGTCGGGCGAATGATTGCATGTCCGCTATGTCATCCTGGTATTGCAAATCTCAAAAATTCTTGAGCAGCTCAAAAGGATGTACGTCAAAGCCAGATAATAGAATGACTTCTCTTTTTAAATAACTGAGCAACTGCTAACGCTGTAAAAGATGGAAAAAAATCTTGTGCAGAAAGAATTGGTATTCATCTGAGATATACATTTTGCGACAAAGTGCAATCCGTACAAACTAGATCGTACGGCTGGTCATATAGGTGGATAGCATGCGTAACCCGAAGGAAATAGATTATACCTGACTTTTCCGGATGCGATACAAGTAGAGAAATTAACTGTTCAATTTGGCTCACAAGCGTTTTTTTACTTTTGATTTCTTAAGAGATGTTATTTGGAGGTTGTGGTGGGGCTCAGCGCAGCCGCAGTCTTCACGCCACTTGTACAATCATCCAATGTTGAATAGTCCACTTTTTTTGAAATCAAAATGGCCGGCCATGGCGAGCAATGTCCTTTTTTAATCCTGCCATCCCAATATTTTATGTCTATAGCAGGTATACTTAGACAGTTGTCATAGTCCATTTGGCTGTAGTACTCGCGGAAATTGTCTGCAACTACAACACAAAATTCTCTTTCTTGAAGAAAATGAACTCGGAATATGACCTATTAAGCAGCAAATCACAAGGGATAAGACAGTCATCCGAGGTGTGGTCGTCGGTTCAATATCGTCTTTGAGAGCACAAACAACTTCAGCTAAGCTGCGTATAACCAACAATACTCAAAAGTGAAGTATACGCGGATTTACAAAATATTATAAACGTCGTTGACGATTGGAAACGAGATCATGATAATTTTGATCCCTTTTCATATCATCTTGGAACTAACACAGGTACAGACCAGTAATCAAGTCATGAGTGACAAAAAAATGAGTATGACGATGGCTTCAACTTTCTGATTTCACATAAATAACGACATGCTCACACAACAAGATAATCGTAATGAGCGATTAATACATTTAGGCCACTGCAATACCTACAAATTGGATTGCAAATGACAAGACACTGAATATATGACAAGCATGTGCGTATCTTGTGGTGGAGTGTTGCGCAAATCTATGGGACATATAAACGAATTCCATGTACCTCTGATCTATCAAATATTTGTCAGTAACATATCTTCTGGCTTCATATCTGATACGTTTACCCTCATTATGAAGTTCCTCGTCAAGATACGTGATTCGTTCTATACCATTTCTCTTTGCGCCTTCGTAGGCATCGTCTATCTCGGTTTAATGACAACTGCTTGCTACTTCATATATACGATGTCCAAGACTATTGATGCTAATCTTCATAACGCCGTGACGAACTGTACCATATTGGACCCAGCAACCTATAGTAGGAGCAAGGGCATTTACGTTAACTACACTATACCAGGAAGCAGCTTCAACTATACGCAGTACTTGCATAATACTGACGATAGCAAACAGTATTTTATTGGCCATATAATCCCATGCTTCTATGCGTTAAATGACCATACATATATCATGGCCGAAAATGATATCAATATCGAACCCATCAGAAATGGCCTAATCGTGGTTTGCATTGGGGCCCTTATACTTGTTCTCATATTTGTATGCTTACTAGTTGCGGCTGTCGTTTTTGTTGTACATCTATTCAAGATCGAACTAAAAAGCGCAGCTCGTACAATCAATGAGCAAGTGACCAGGATTACTTCGCAGCTCAGACGAAAACTTGTTACTCAACACCTAAATGAAAATACAATAGCCAAGGCATCTACCGGGCACTCCCTGAGCAACTATACCAATATGTTGTTGGTATCTTGCAAAATGGGGATTAAAGCCACCAGATCGTGGATGAAAACTACATTTGCTCAGAAAAGATCAAAAAGTTCTCAATTCAAATACAGTTACGATGTTAAGGAGACAGGTCATCATAATTCGCAAACTGGTTGAGACTATTGCTTCAAGTCGACAGAAACAATATCTCCCTGTTCAAATAATCCATCTCACGGCGATCAAGCTTGATATCGTTTAGATATCGAAGTTTCGTCTGCTTTTTTCATTCGAGCCATGTTTTAATGAATTTTATAAAGCCTTGCTTTTGGCCTACCCAGACAAATAGAGCTTATTGGCATTTTTCATTGAGGTGCTAGTTAAATGTACAGGCGTCTTATAGGATGTATTTCTTCAACATTTTCCAAAGCTTTTTTTACGCCTTTTGTGATATTCTTACTTTGATAAAATTTGCGCCATTGCTTGTTCCTAGAAAATAGGAGATAAACGCATGTAATGGAAATGGTAATTTTGCCTTACAAAGCGAAGCGCTTTTTCCATTAGTTTCAACACACTTCTCGCGCAGATGCGCCAGGATTAACAGACAGTTTATTTATAGAGAAAGTGTTATCGACCATTGAATTCAGTGTCGTACTTCTTTCCATCAGTGCCAAACGTATCCTTGGAAGTTTCAGCCAAATTGCTGCGCTGTTTGGCGTAGACCGTAACACAGACAACGTCTTGACGCCACGCTCTACCTTAGGCAGTGTATTTTTTTTTTTTAGATTCTTAAAGTTATAGGATTAATTTTAGGCACACTACACAATTTTCATTATTGGAATGTCTATGTCAATGCCATACCAATGTAATTTCAACGCAATGTAAGCCAACCAAATACTCTAGCTGTACCGTACTACTAGCACATTGACAGGGATACTTTAAATTTTCCATATACAGTTGGTAGGAGCTTGGACTCACTACCGTTTGTGGTAATATCTGGGGCATGCGACATTTAGTCCAATATCAAGTGGAAACACATTAGCTAGACTCGCAGCCATACGGAACGCTGCGCAAACTAACGGTCTTGTAAGTGAGTGGACGACAATATGTCCACATATATATTATTTAACGATAGCTACTCTTTCTCTCCCTATTCTTATCTCGTATGCTGTAACCTTTACCATGTGTCATTCGAGTAAGCGGTTGAGACGTTTAGTTAGAGTGATTGTCTAACACCTTCTTATTCATCTTCTTGCAGAATTACTTTTCATTATTTTCTTTTTAGCATGGTCAGCAGTCATGGTATGGCTCCTGTACGGCGCCGCCCAAAGTATGGATGCAAATCTACATAACGCTCCTAGTAATTGTACTATAGTAGACACAACTGTCAACTCTGATGGTGATTCAGTTGTATACGTCAGCTACATTATTCCAGGAGAACACATCAATCGCACTAACATCCTACATAATACGGATGACAGTGGAGCATATCAAGTCAATGAAACAATCCCATGTTTCTACGCCTTGCACGATTATTCGTACGTCATGGAAACCGTTCATGCTAATGACACAGGTGATGTTATTTTCTTGATCTTTACGATCATCATGTGCATTCCATTCGCTGCTGGAGTCCTCGCAATCATTTTTGGAGCCGTTTATCATACTGGAAGAGGAGCATTGGTTGTATTGAAAGGCTTCTTTCAAGTCATTAGCGAAACTGCAACAAAAGTTTTAACAATGTTGAAGACAAAGCAGGAAAAAGCTCACAACGAATGCGATACTTCAGCATCAGACAGGTTGAAAAGAAACTCAATTTTCAGCTATTTTATAATTCCAGTAAAAAATAGCAAATTAGCCTTTGGAAACATCGTTTCTTGGCTCAAGGCAAGATTTGCATGGAATAGGCTTAATACATCGCAACAACAAGATGTATACTCTTTAGAGGACCAAGAGACTTTTACCACGCGAACTAGCTCCGACTTTAGTTTTAGATCTACCAAGAAGCTCCTTTCGTATTCAAAGAGCCTTCGAAGAGACATATCGGATCAGAATAGCATAAAAACAAACTCACTTTAAACACTTGTACATAACCGTTGAATTTCTCTATATAATATATCATGAATATTGGACTGAGGTTCAGTTAAATACTAGGTACTGAGTTGAAACTTTGTTGCTTCCTTATGATGTTATAGCTACGATGATGAAGTCAATGCTGACATACTTCGCACTTGAAATTTATGAGCATGCTTCCCGTTCCTGACTGTTCCTGAACTATTGGCGACGCTGTTATATATGAAAAGTATCTCAAAAGTTCTTAACCTAATTTCATTTCAATTAATGATTCAAGTTGGACCTACATAATATGAGTAACATGTTGGCAAAAATTTGGTCGAGGAATTGCCTTAAGAAAAGGTCATTTCGAGGTAAGCTAAGCAACTGTATCTGATGACCTTTAGCGCTTAAAGTGGTGAAAGCCATCCTCTTCTCATTGCGCAGAGAGTCGTGTGATTTTCCGTTTGTCAAAAGGACACTGGGGTTACTTATTGTGGGGAACTGAAGTTCTCTGCGTCGTTACACCTTAGATTGGACCATCTATTTTAATTGTGGCTCAGCCAAGTTCAGCTCCATTCCACCTGTCTGCAACAGGCAAAGCGGTCTTTGATCTCTTCAGCATTCGAGGAATCTCCCGTCGTGCATCATTTATGCGCTCAATCCTGAAATTCTTTTATACTAATGGTAACAAAAACTTCAAGTTGACAAAGCAGCCTAATAACGACGTGGCACGCACTTTGCACGAAAGAGCATTATTTTTGCCTTTTTAGGCCAATACTGGACATGAGCCGATGATTTGCCATACAATTGGATCTTCGAAATATTGAGCACTTCACCTCAGTGAACTGCGTAAATCCGCAGTACAAAGAAACCTATATCTTGCTTACATGCCAAAGGTGGATTGTTGACGATTCCAATTTCCAAACACCGGTCTTCTGCTTCCAATCCATATCATGAAGTCCTTCCGTAACGTTTTCTGCGGAGCGATAACCATAGTCTGCTTTGCCATACCATATCTATGCATACTCTCAATGGCAGGAACAATTTGCTATTTCATGTATTCCATCACCACAACTATCGATCATCGTCTACATAATGTTCCCACTAACTGTACCATAATGGAAACCAATACGAAGAGTAACGGTGATTGGGACATTCAAGTCAGTTATAGTGTACCTGGTAGCAGCCTTAACTACACGCAAACCTTGCAAAACACTATCACAGACGCAGTGTATCGTGTTGGTCGTACTATTACATGCTATTATGCTACTAATGATAACGCGTACATCATGGCCAACGTTGTGTCTGTAAGTGGAGGAACCATCTTCGCTTTGATTATACTTTGTATTTTATGCATTCCCCTTGTTTTCGGAGTAATGTATCTCCTAAGAATAGTTTTAGTGTATATTTCTGATCACCTAAAAGCAATGGCCAAAAGTATCAGTCAAAATCTTGCCAACTGTGCGACAAAATTGCGATCACTGTTCAAAACAGAGGGATTTGAAAGCCAAAGCGAATGTGACACATCAAGTCCCGAAAAATTAATGTCCAACCGCGACGTTGGCTATGCTTTGATGCCTATAGCAAATTTTAAAGCATCTCTGGGACATACCAAGTTATGGCTGAAAGCAAGATGTACTTTTTCCAGACCAAACACAAACCTTCACAAAGACATGTGCCAAGAATCGTTTATAACACAAGATACTTTCGGTTGTAGCCCCACTTCAACTGAGGAGCTACCGTTATATTCGAAAGACGGATGCAATGTACCTCCATAACTGAACCTTTGTATACATTTTACTGGCATAATCAAATGTAACTAAAGATCTACCTGTAATCTCTAATTTTTAATCTAACTACTTATAACACCCTTATATTTACGGTCATTCTGTCGGATAGTCTTAAAACGGCTGGGTAGACAGATCAACCATCAGCTATGGCTTACTACGAATGCGCAAACGAAATTAAGTTAGGCGGTTCCATAATAATTCAGTGTTTCCTAACTGCGTTTCTTTCTTTACACGTTTTATTTACTGCAACGGCGACAGACTCTAAAGCTGGATCAAATCCTCCACTACAAGACCATCAGCTCGAAGAAGGCTCGTCTGTATCATCCTGCACTACAACTTGGTTAAGTCACTCATCACACATACTTCAATAAACCATACATTGAGAATATTTATTGCTGGTTGACGAGTGCTCCAATTGCGCTTATCATAGGGTTATTTTTAAATGAAGAAGCTTGATCCTTGGTGCAACGTTAGATTTTGAGTCGATAACCCCCAGCCACATCATGTGGATTGTCTACGCACACTTTGAAAAAAAAAAAAAAGAAAAAAACGCACGTCTCGCCAACATAAACCCAATCCGCGTCTTTCGTTGACCCTTTAGTCAGGTCTTTCAACAATGGTAAGCTTTAGAAGGTCAAAATATTTTATGACGGACCTCTTTTTCGACGACTCCGTTGTCTTTTCTGCATATATTGCCGTGTTTATGACGGTTTGGGCGGCAGGTTCCTTCTATTTCCTCTACTCTACCGCAACCACCGTTGACAATATCCTACAAAGAGCGCCAACCAACTGTACAGTTATATCAGTCATGGCCGCTTCTAAGGATTGGAATATCCATGTAACCTACCCTGTCCCTGGTCAGCCCGATAACTTCACCGCTCTCCTTGGAAATACCAATGCAAACGACATGTACACTTTGAACCAGACGCTTTCATGCTTCTATTCCATTCATGACTATCATGAAGTGGTGCAATTCGACGATGGTTTGAGTGTGGTTTACATTGTGCTACTGATGATGGCATGTGTAGCGGGTGCAATAGGTCTCGTAGGGTTGCTCTATGCCATGGTTATGGCCATAAACTTTCTATTGATATTCTTTGAAGTCATATTATGGATTGGAGGCACTGTGGTCAACTACGTACTAGAAAAGATCGACCCCTTTCTAAAGTATATAGCAAAACCTCAGGAAGAATCAACTTCTGCGACACAGAAGCGTTCCATTTTCACCACGGCCTCTTACTATCTGACGATACCCGCTAAATACTATCAGGTGGCAGTTGGAGGAATTCGAATCTGGATTCAGGCACGAAAATCGCAACCAATGGATGCGTATGACATGGAGGAACAAGCTACGCTAATAGCTCACGGACACTCTGATTATGATGATGAGCAAACGACGGTACATAACAATCTTACTGATAAATCTGACGACGAAGACCGCCATTCCACAGGGTCTAGTACGCTTTTTGACCGATAACAGAATGGTGTCCTGCATTGACTTTCTTTGACTGCCGTGAGGCAGCTCTTCATTATACCACCAATTTATCGTCCACTCATATCACTATTTTATTCATTTTGTGTCGATGTTAAATAAATACCAAAAAAAACTGCAAGTCTTTCTCAAAACGTTCATGCCTGAGGCTGTGTTTCATTTTGGACATTTTAAGAAAATAAGCTGGCTGAATCTTTATCCAACACTATTCGCTCATCCAGCATCCACGAAAACAATAATGCTATAATTCAAACGGAATTCCATGTACATGCAGTTGTTGTTCACCAAATCTCAAGCATTCACATGAAAGCTTACAGGTAGATACAAATCTATCCCCGGAAGAAATCCAGCAATCCTTACCTTTGCGTTATGATCTTGGTAGCGGAGATTGGCCGCTTACTGCCGACGTTCCTAGCTTTGATCCGTTCCTCTAGTGATAGCTGCTTTAATGCACTATGATCAGCTTAATTCTTTATTTTTTATCGTTTTAAGTTGGCAAGGTATTAAGTTGACTCACAAATCTACAATCCTGCTTGACTTGAAGGCATGGTGGGGGGAATGTAAAAAAGCAATAATCTACAATAATGGACGCGGGAGATTGTAGCCACTTCGAGTACATTGGAACCAACAACAGTAGCATTACCCACAAGTCAAAAAAATGTTAACCGGCATCTCAGAAGTCTGTATGTACACGGAAATGAGGGTAGATGAGGATGACAAAAGGCAATTCTTCGTACACCATGTCATATAGGCAGATTAAGAACGGAGAAGTATCTTCTACCTTTTAAACGCTTGGAATGGTGCTTAGTAGCAGCCGTATCACCAACGCATCAATAAAAGAAGTAAAACTGTATCTTTTATATCATTGCTTTGCTGGAATCCTGTGATAATCTCTCGTGCTACGTTGACCATCATAAATAAACCGTAGCAACGAGATCAAATCACATACTGCAACGAAATTTTAACAACAGAGGACAATGGCGAAGATGAAGCGGTTGTATACCACTTCTTTTGTCAGATATTCTTCACGAAAAGATGTGCCTATCATAAAATGTTGCTAATGCAGAGCTTTAAATACATGTTAATGGAAGTTCTCTTTCGACCCGTTTTAACTGGCAGACACAAGTGGGTAATGGAAAAATCGGAGTTGGGATGACTATATTCGCAAAAGCAATGCTAATTCTGACGGCTTTTAACCTGTCAAGACTTCAGTACCTTCGTGAAGAGAATGTGGCTTAAAGGTTCATCGTGGATAATGAGTCAGCTGCGAGCTGAGTATGTGCGGTTAGGTAACGCAAAAGCTTTTCAGTTTTCGGTGTGTAAATGTTTATCTTTTCTCTCTGGACGACTTCTTTCTTTTCTTTCCATTGCTAATTTCGTCTGGGGCATGATATTTGGCTGGTATGAAAAATTAGGCTCTGAGGGTCAGCGTATGACTGTGTTCGCTTTCACATTGGCTGCCCTGCTAATGGCATCGTTAGCCACCGTATTTTTCCGTGGAAATATCCTCAAAGAAGACGAAACAAACAACATTGCAAAAACCATGTGCACAATTCAAGACACGCATATAACACCTCGTGGACTAGAAGTGTCGGTCAGCTATACATACACCTCTCCATTGTCATTCGAAACGTCGCTAGAAACTAGTATCCTAACTGGACTCGACCCAACCATCGCCTATATAAAAAATGAAGAGGTTGTTTGCTATTATTCCAATAACAATGCACTGAAAGTTGTGGTAGTTCCTCAAAGATATATCCCGCCAAGCAAGCTTCAGGAGAATATGGCTTTACTTCTCTTTTTGCCTCTGATAGCTGCAGTTATGTTTTGGCTATACCGGCTACTACAATGGTCTCATCAGATGATGATGTCTTGCAAAGGTTCTATTCATAGTGGCATTAGTTCGTACCAGCAAGGATATGATCTCGTGGATCAAGGCTCTGACATGACTTTGGTTGATTCTGAAGGTAGTCATCAAAGAACTAAAAACTCGTAATTCCGGTGACAGAAGATTCACCGAGGGAGAATATTTTGCCTTTGAAAGGTCGTACACCATTTGCGGAAGGAGGGATTAGCAGTGTAGTTGCTCTAATGTTAAAAACGTATGGACACACCAATGTGTATATATGTCCAACATATATCGGAGATTCACAGTACAAAGTAAACTTTAAAACGTATAATTCAGATAACAACAAGTTCAGGCCGTTCGTACATTACAATTTAAACTATATTTTAGAGCTTATTATGTCAGTTGCCGAAATATGTATGTTACTCATACACAAAATTGCGAATAAATGCGATATCATCAATTTGGAGCTGCATACAGAGCTTAAAGTGTCACCAGACCTACCATATTCATGAAAAATACCTTTCAATTTTTTTTTACAACTTGCTTGTACTATATCGTAAAATTTGAGACCATGAAGTATCTAATTTGGTACTGAAATAGTTAAAAACAATGACCTGTAAACATCGGTAACTGCATTGTTATTGGACATATGTACATTATAGCTAATTTCCAAATAAGGAAAAGCGGGTTTAGCTCAGTTGGGAGAGCGTCAGACTGAAGATCTGAAGGTCATGTGTTCAATCCACATAACCCGCAACTTTTTTTTTCTGCCTCACTATTTTTTTTTTTGGCGTAATTGAGTGTTACTTCTGGCCCCATAATGCATGAAAGCTAATTGACGGTGGAGCAGTCATGGAACAGGATGTAATTTTTGGTCAGGGCTTCAGCAACAACAGGTTCTTCACGTCCATCTTTAGATTGTACACCACAGAAGTATTCATTTATTGTCAATGGTCATAATATTACTTTGTTCAGGCATTTTCCTCTAGTTCGCTAACACATTCCCAGTCTCCAGACAGATTTTCTTTCCACAAAGTCACCTTGTTATCGCCTGACGAGACAGCAAGGATGTTACCGGACAATGACCAACTCACTCGCCAAACAACATCTGGGAATTTCTCTTGTCTGAGACTCTTCTTCACCCATTTTGAGGTTGGGGTATCTTGCGTCCAGATAAGCACAGTCTTGTCCTGCAAACCCTTGAGTGTCAGTATCGAGTGAAGAGAGAGAAGAATCAGCGAAGGACAATTTTCAAGTCCATACCTGAGAACAACTAGCAAGGTAGCTCTTGGGAAGGCCGATATTAGGAGCCCAAGAGACATCACGAACCCAATCTGAATGTCCATCTAGAGTTTCCTCTTCCTTCCATGTATTCAAGTCCTCCCTGTAATTCATTCATTAGCGACGATGGTACAATTGCTCGACCACATTCAACGCATGTCCCATCAATACTCACTTCCAAGACCAGATCTTGATCAAATTATCGCAACCAGCAGATGCAAAGCGATTGACAATATTGACGTTGGGTGCACCGCCTGTTACTTGCACTAATGATCCTGGAATTGCGGATGGGGCCCAGCTGACCGCATTGCATCCTATGGTATGGGCGTCGAAGGAGACCGTGTCCCAGGAGCCATCATCTAGATCCATAGAAGCTATGTTCACTCGATCTGATCTACATGTCACATTTCCAAAAACTATAGGGTTTCTCCGCTTACCTTTGTACTCGAGAGTTGAGACCTTTCCATCAGATGAAGCACATGCCAAGATTGGACCAAGTTCATGTGGAGCCCAAGAGATCGAATTCACTGTATTCGAAATGATGAATATTGTATAAATATCTGTCCAAAGATATCATTCATCAAAGCTAGTATCATACCTGAGGCAGTGTGAGCAGTATGTTCCTTGATCTTTGACCAGGCGCCGTTTTGTTCCTTCCATATAAAGACGCGGCCATCATAGGAGCAAGAAGCGAGGATGCTGCCAAACTTAGGGTGAGCCCAGGCAACTTGCCAAACAGGGCCATCATGTCTGGAGAATTAAGATGGTGTGAGTTGAAAGAGGTAATGCAAAAGATTGTAGGTCAGCCTGTAAGTTGATTCACCTACCCCTTCAAAGTCTCCACTAGTTGTTGCTTGTCGCCATCAACGTCAAAGATCTTGATAGTACGGTCTGATGAAGCAGTTGCGAGTCGACGCGAATAATAGTCTAGCTGGGCATCATGCTGTAAAATAATATGGGATTGTTGTTAAAGGTAAAATGCAGTCGGTAAGTATAGTGATGTGTTGTAAGGCGTAGATGAACTGTGATAAAACTTACAATCATGTCTTCATGATGAGTTTCTATGGTTTGACTAGTTGTTGCCGTCTGTTAATTTTAAAGATAGGTTGATAAGCTTGGTTCAGTGCTTGTATAAATTTGGTTTGATTTGAGCCTTACCATTGTCAATGGATGAGATGGATCAACTTAGTTTACGTGTTGCCACGAAACTGTATTTATGGGCGGAGTTTGTTCTCGTGTGTTAGCCAGCTGCTTGTCAAGCAACCAGGCATACATCAAGTCGTCCTTAAATACCGATAGAAACTTGTCGTATACACACATTCAGTGAATCACTCAAACAAACCAGTAGCAATTATGTCCATTTTATCAGATTTATTTTAATGGCGGATTGAAACGAAAATAAATGAGCAAGAAAGTAGCTCAGTTCGTACAAAACTACAGCAGCTGGCTATGAAACGATTTAGTAATAAGTGCTGGGACGCTTGGCAGAGAACAAAGCGCGGTTGCCCTTTTGAGCACGGATAACACGGTGAGGAAGAGGGAAGGTAAGCTTGGGGGTAAGGAGCTGCTTGATGTAAGGACGACGAACATCGGCGTTGGAGACCTCAGCAACGCGGATGATCTGGACAGATCTAAAGCGAGCACGGTGACGGGCAGCCATGTCCTGGTAGCAGGAAACAACAGCTTCGCAGCGGGACATCTCACGGTACTCCTTGTACATGTTGTGAGTGCCGGAGCGAGAGTCGTAACGGAGCCAGATACCGTAGTTCTTAATTTGCTCAGGACGCTTCTCGTGGATCTATAGAGTGCTGTTAGTACCATTCTCGTACAACATCATTGTGCTCCAAGAGAGAATTATCTTACCAAGTTGACAGAGACGATCTCACCAGCAGCCTTCTTGACCTTGCGGAGCTTCTTGAGGAAATACCAGAAACGAGACTTGGCAACAACATCGTTGGGAGCGAAGAGTCTCATTCTGAAGAGCTTGGGGACGGGTTCCTGCTCGGAAGGGAGCTTACGGCCGACCACCTACAATGTAGCAAAAAAAGTAAGCTTATGCACTTGCGTTAAAAGAATAGTCCAAGTGGTGACTACAAACCTGGTATTCGTTCAACTGTTGGTGATAGAAATCAATGCGTATAGAGGAATATGAAAATTGAAAGTGAAAAAGTTAGCGATTAAATTTCATCAGTGTCCCATTTCCCCAATGCTATAATTTTGGCAATGTGAATTGTACTGAATGCAATGTCGCCGTTATTTTTCGTATCGAAAAAGGATGTTTAGATATTCATTATATATGGATCGCTTTCGATGGTGGCCGTATATCGAGAGGTATAGTCGAGAAGTGGATGGATGGATTTTTATGATGGATGGAGCTTAGGGTGTCGGATGTCTGGTGGGGGGGTTTACGAAGGTAAAATTTGCGGTATGTCGATAATCCATGTACAATTGCATTCATCCATCATCTACAAGACTGCCAATAATCTGTTCTGAGAGTCATGACTACTTACGCGAGTAGCAGCCATTGAATATAGAGATGAAAGGAGGATCCGTCAGAGGCAAACCACCCGTCTGCACATAGAGCGAATTATTTCAAATTCAGTTTCGAGCCCCGTCAATCGCAACTTCCTCTGTTTAATTTCTTTGCTTTAGGGGTATGTGCTCAAATTGTATGTGCTCAAATTATAAGTAAACTTTACTTGCTTCTTTTTTCTTTATGTTCATATTGGTAAAGGATATTAAATATATACAATATATTCGTTCTTGGAAGTTAATTTTGTTAAGCTTGGGCTGCCACAGCATTTGTTGACCGTGTAGAAGAAGATGAAGACTTATACTCTACGTAGCGTCGGCTAGTCAAAAGACGAGGATGAAAATACATTCTTCATGAGTTTCGTGAAATTGTATCATCTTACCAGAGTGGACATGTTTTTTTCCTCTTTAACCAAGGTTTTATACAGTCGCGGTGGTACACATGGTAGCATGGAAGTTTAAGCGCTCTTTCCCCCATGCGATAGTCTTCCTTGCAAACAGCACATGATGGCATTACCGCTGTTATAGCAATGAGATTGTTTAGCATAAACGATATATAAGATGGAAATATGGAAAAACGTACCAAGTTCTGTATCTGTCATTGATACTTTGACAATTCGATCGTTTTCGGTACCGACAGACGCGAAAAGAGGAGGTGAATGAACTGGAGCAGGTCTTTGTATCGAACTACGTAGGACATTCACATGATTAAGAAGCAATCCTATTGTTAATGACTGCCATATAGGTGTTACTCACATATTGACGTGCTGTGATGTGTTTCCTGACCTGGGTGTATTGGCCCTTACCGAGCTATTTGTTTGCGGTTGTAGATTGTGAGTATCTTGTCGCATTCCATTATGACTGTTGATTTAAATTAAAGGTAATTCGAATAGGAGACACAGATGGATTAGCAATAGAAAGTTTCTATACCCATATTCGTAAGGTGAATCCATAGGCATCCTGTCTGCTATGACTGAAGTATAAACCCATCTGGTGGTGTTAATCATAACGACAGGTAAAGTGTTAGTAACGCCACTAGTGTTGGGAGGTGGAATATGTGAAGCTTGTCTGCGCCGTCGGCTATCATTGTTTACAAGAATTGCTTGCAGTAATGGAGAGAAGAAAACATTGGCGTCGATAGGAATCACAGAATAAGAGGAAGAGCTTCGACTTTGCTGCATGCGCAGTGCTACTGAGCTTGGGTTTCTTCTCGGCACATCGGTAAGCTGACGAAAAAAAGGTACTTAATAATAAATTTAGCGAACAAAGAGAAAATTTTCAATATCAACCTCCTCGATGAACTATAAGTTGAATAAGAGTATATGATAGCAATTAGTGAAGGAAGGAAAAAAGGGACAGCAGCTTAAGTAGAAAGCTGAATAAATAGAATATTGCAGATACCAGTTACCTCTTGGTTACATTGCGGACAAGACGGCCGTTGCCCACGGTGGTTTAAAACAATTGGTGCTTCACAATGATGACAAAAGTATGATCGCCGGGCTGCACTCATTCGTGGTAAGGCAACGTTTGATTGTTATTAGGAGAGGTGGAAGAATAACGAAAAAATATGTTGATTTGAAGGTGCTTTTTATGCCCATGCCCGTGATATACTTAGCGCGCTGTTGATGTGGCTTAATGTTGTATTCCCCTTTCCACCATGAGTATTAGCGGTGCAAGCCAAATGTATACGGCTGTTTTTATTTTTATTTTTATTCATTTCCTTCCAGACCTCAAGTCGTTAAAGGCAGATATTATACAGTTCTTAATTTCTTTATAACTAACAATTAAACATGATTGTTCGTCTCTGGACATCAGCATAATTTTTTCATCCACTCCGACATCCAGCTGCGCAAAAGAACGGCTCAGTAAGTCAAACGATACGCATTGAGATCTCAACATCAGGCCATTTTTCCGCTTACCTTGTTGAGACAAGTCAGGACATGAACCATGTCTAAAGCAGGAGCTCCATTCTCGTTTACTTGATGGAAAACATAATCTCTGAATAATTTGATGATATATCTATCACCGGTTTCTGACCAGCTAGGATCCATATCAAACCTAAAAGAAAAAGTAAGATTGCTCAGCAATGCTATCGAAAGAAAATTTCGAAAACTGATGTAGAATAGTACGTACTCTGGGCGCTCATTGATAAAGTTCATCTTCATCAATAGTCGGAAAAGGCGACCGTTTTCTAATTCCCTACTCAGCTCGCTCTCCAAGAAGTCGCTGTGACTGAAATTGCAAAAGGAACGATTTAGCTTCAAAACCACAATTAAGGAAAAGCCTGTTGATGGCAATCGGAATACGTACTGATGCGCACTGTCTATTTCGTGCAATATCTTGGGACCAATCAAGGAGATGACCTCGTCGATGGACTTTGTAGGCATGGGCTTACTCAAAAGATACAGAATGACATTCTTGAGGTCTGGCGAGTAAAAATGGCTGATATACTCAAACGAATTTGGGAGATTCTGAATTGCTTGTAGTGAATTGCATGCCAGAGCAACAATCAGTTTACCAAATGCCAATAGGTCTTCTTGCTATTAGTATCAATGAAAAGAAAGTCAGTCATGAGTGCTGGTGTGTTTTGCTGTTGATATTTGACGTCGATGCTAACCTGGAATCGAGCAAGATTCTGGCCGCCATCAAACTTGATTGTGTCTAGCACTCCACAACAATTTAATCGTATTCTATAATAGAAATGACGCCTGAGTAACCATATTCCCCATACCTCTCCCGTTACATGCGCTACTTACCTATTTTTACCAGTCAGCAAAATTTTGGTTGGATCAATCACTCGTGCAGCAAGACTGGATGAGTGTATGGCCTTCAAAGCTGAAGTGATCTGCGTGATATAGCTCCAAATAATTTTTTCTGAAATGTTCCCGCCAGTCTGCTGTGCTTCATTGCTAAAATGAGCTTGGAAAAGTGTGGTAGAACATGGATGATAGTCGTAAACGAAAATGAGAGCTAGAACGAAAAAACCAAGTTAGGTCGACACCGTGGCTGCTAGCGACTCTTTGGAAAAACCCCACTTACAGTGATCTCCAAAGGCCTTTGTTGTGAATGCCTCGCGAACAGATACAATATTGGCATGCCTTATACGCCTCCAATTTTCAATTGTGGACATTGCTAGCTCGTTCATCAATCGAAATCCTAGAAATTTAAAGTGTAAGATACCGGCTGTGCAGTAACCTAGTTTCTCTCTTATGAATGACTGCCCTACCTTCAATACGTCTTAGTGCATAGGTTCGACCATCCAATGTACACATTGCTTTGTAAACAGAAGTTGTGTGGCCAAAAAGCTGGCTGGATTTCTCCTGCTGAAAATCCAACGGATAAAGAGAATGGTATACATGCAGTTCTTGCGGAAGATTTAAATCAGGAGCTAGAATTGGGTACGTCGTAAGTAATCGAAAGTCGTCAGATTTACATGGATCGGTGTGTATTTACCCGTCTTAAGCAGAGCTTCGTTTCTTTCTGTCAGCTCTTCCCTCAGACTATCTGACATGAAGAATGCATGTATCGACTTTTGATGGGGATGTAAATTGGTTACATGCGGAAGGGGGGTGCTATACAAGTGATGTTGCAGCTAGTAGATCGGTTTGGTGAGATGTTTTCAAGCATGAATTTTGAACCACGTGGACATGTATTAGTAAACTTACTGGCTGCTGTGGATAAACTTGCTGGTTCTGATAGTAGTAGGGATCCATTTGAGTTGAATCGAACATATTGCCATTGAAGGGTCGTGCTTGCTGAGTGGCCTGTGCGGCCATTGGTGTCATATCAGGTTGCATTGGTGATGCCTAGTTGGAGATATCCTTTGTCATTATTTGGAATAACAGCATCGAGATTCAGTCAAACCGTCACTTACATCACCGAAACCAAATTGAGAGAAGTTATTGGCGAGGCTGGCTACATTATTTGGTTGAGACGCATAGCTTTGTGTTTGACTTTGCGGTGAAAAATACGGAGCATTAGGGGTGTAATCTCGGACACTGTTAAGGAAGAAATAGATGATGAGATTCCATATGCCGGATAGTGTCATATTAATGTTAGCTCATTGATTTACTTTGGATCGAATGCTTGATCGGCTTGGAAAGCTATTGAAATAAGCGCATAAATAAATGATGGTTTACGGTCGCTTATTGGTTGACATTGTACTACAACATACCAGCAGCTGAGGATGACAACGAGGCATCTAATGTAGCGGCAAGGCATTATTACCGTAAACTTCAGCGTATCGAAATAAGAATATGATTTCTTTTTACCTGGGGCTTTGGGGACAAAGACAGGAGCATCAGCAGATACTGATGAAGGTGTGGAGGGTTTGAAGGCTGGCGAATTAACGCGTAGCTTAGGCTTACTGCTCAAGGCGCGTAAAAAATAATGTGATATATGACGGATTGCATCAGTACCTTTTGGAGTAAATCACAATATGCTTAATCACCATATCACTACAATACTTACGTTTCCGGACTCTTTGGTGCGACAGGTTTGTTCTAATCGATAAAATGAGTCAAAAGGCGGTGATGAAAACGATGCTGAAAACCGGTTAAGATGCCCTTACCACATCATGGTTGAACTCACAGCCTTTCCCTTCAAATTTACAGTACCCATGGATAATGATATTACGGCAAAGTCGTTTTCCAGAAGTAGAAGCTGAAGTGCAATCAAAAAGCAAAGCATGCAGTTGAGTGTCAGGTTGAAATTCATAATCGTTATTGTTAGCTGACAAGGAAATGATTAACATACGCTTGGTGGCTACCGAGTTCTTTAGTGTGGGTGACTTTGGTGTTGTGGGTCCAGTTCCAATTTCTGATGGAGGTGCAACAATTGGAATAGCCGAGGTTGATTGCGAAGGTAATATGATCTCTCCTAAAGCATTTTGGTTCTGCATCTGTTGTTAAGATGGATAGAGGTGAATCAGAATGAAAATTGGATTAGTTAGTTTGAAGGGTTGGTGGAGAATAAAAATAGATTAAATTCTACTGATCTGCAAATTACCTTTGCATTGCTTTGTTGGAGTTGACGAGACTTTGAGTTGAGGAAAATCTTCAAGGCATGACGCTGATATTTTTTGTAGTCAGAACCCTAACCCAATAACATAGGTCTGTGTCACGACGGCAATTGGGATGAACGCTCATAATTTATGTGATATACATTGTACTTGCTTGAAAATGTACAAGAAGTCTAATTTAACAAAACATTATCATCAGAACAAAGTATAATAAAGACTTGGAAAGATAGACCAGTAGATCGGTTGCATCATTAACCTCATTGAGTCAAGCGGCTAGACAAAACGTGTAACACAGGTATCAAGTGCAATTGATGCACACGATAGAATAGCAATTGCATTAGAGAAATATGAAGTTCACATCAAGTTTAATGGAATTAAAGAAATACGTTTGACCAGAGGAAGTAGCGTGGTCAGAGCGAACGGTTATGTGATCGCCCCTTCACTGGAGTGGAGTTCAGAAATTTTATCCACCATTTTTTTGTGCCTTCACCCACAAAAACTGCATCTGCATAAACTCATCTTTAAGGATTTTGAGGATCAAGTCACTCAATTTTATTCCCACAGCAACGCTCATCTCGACGATAAAGAGCTTTCTTATATACCTCCCGGTCTTTTTAGCTGAGCTCAGCTATTCGGCCTGAATATCAGAAGAGGTGTCCCTCGACCTCCCCACCGTCTACTTCAAATAGGTCGGAACCAACAGAACAGTGTGCATCTACTAGCAACATGGGCAATACCGTATCATCTGGGCCGACATCCTCGTCTTCAACACGCCTTCCTTATTCACAACCCATCGCTAACGGTTCGTCTACCTTTCATTCCCGAGACAAGGATCGCGACTGGCGTTCACAGTACTCGGATTCCCGACCTTCTATAAGCAGTTTACATCCCTCCGCAATGGGTAGTCCATCCATCAGGAGCCTAAGGAAAAAAGGCTCAAACGAGACCCTGGGTAGTGGTCATCGTGTTTATCATCACAGTAACGCCTCGAATGTCAGTATGGCTAGCAAAGCATCAAAAGCATCTAGTTGGAAGAAGAAATATGGTGAGCGCATTCTCGACATCGGCAAACCCACAGAATTCGAACATGGAATTCATGTCGAGTATAATAGGCAGAATGGAAAGTTCATGGTAAGTTTTAAACTCTTAATTGTATGATACACAGCATTGCCTTGAACCTCCTAACATGTGCCAACTTCACTCTGTTTGAATAGGGATTGCCGGATGTATGGCAAGAATCACTGCCTAGCGACGATATTCTAAATACCACATTTATAAACCCACACCTTGTACCATCACCCGCATCCAAAGGTATAATTCGGCGTATTTTCAATTGCGCATCTGAAGAATTTCATTATCTGATTGTTTTACCGAATCGTCGTCTTGTCTGTTTAGTATCAACACCACCCCGAACAACTTCGAACCAAGCAGCTAATCAGATCGGCACTCCATTTAATGTCCAGCATAATGTACATGTTCAAGTAGATCAAAGTCGTGTCGGTTTCACGGTAAGAACAAGCGTTTCTGAGTAAAGCTGCATTGTGTCGCATTCATAAATCCCGTGTCTAATAACTTTCATCGCTGGATGCAGGGTCTACCACCTGGATGGGCAGATATATTGGAAGCATCAGGGGTACCAAAAGATGTTATCAATTCTCACCCGCAGACTGTAGCACAGATTATGCAGCTGCGCATGCCAGGTTCCTTACAGCAACAACAGCAACCACAACGACCAAAACAACCGACGACAACATCAGCGAAAGAAAAGGAAAATGCTGCAGGTGATAACCGTCCGAAAGACGTCCCAAAAGCATCCGCAAATGGTGTCGAAGAAAGTAATAAGGATGAAAATCCGTCACAAAAATCCATCAGCAAAATGAAGTCAAGAACGTCGAGTCTTCCCATTGGGTTTGCACCACCTTCTCGATCTCGTTCATCTAGACTATCAAAGAAGCAATCGATCAACGATCTAAAGTCAACTGACGATGTACAAGAAATAGGATATATGTCTGTTTCTCCAGACTCGCCGTTGGAATCGCCTCGAGGAGCTGATCAAGATACCAAACCCACCCTCACAATTGTGTCCACTGACATTAACACAAACACTGCGATTAAGGAAGACGATGAGAATCCGGAAAATACTGATACACAAGTCGACAACCCATTGGATGCTTTCAAACTAGGTATGTTTACGCATGATAATATGACTTTAATCATCAGTTGTATGTCTAACATGAACTGACAAAATGCATTTCTATGATTTTCAAGCCGATATCGTTGATTCCACCGACCCTCATGGTATATATACAAATATGACGCATATCGCGGAAGGTGAATCGGGCAACATGTATGCAGCCAAGCATTCTCTGACGAATAGAACCGTGAGTACCATTTGAAGACAGCATCGGCATGTTAGGAAGAACCTGTAAACTAAAGATCATGTATAGGTTGCGGTTAAAATTATCCCTCGAACAGCTGAAGCGAAAATGAGCAAGATTCGAAACGAATTAACGACTATGAAAATGAGCAGGCACCCTAACGTAGTAGAGTATATCACAAGTTACCTTACCGAGACTGAGTTATGGGTCGTCATGGAGTGTATGGATGTCTCTCTGGCGGATATAATTTCCATTAGTCCCGATGAGGTTCCTCATGTATCTGAGGCACAGATTGCTCGTATTACAAGGGACATTTTACGAGCACTTTGTCGTATTCATCGACTAAATCGAATTCATCGAGACATCCGCAGCGACAATATTTTGTTCAACACTAGAGGTGAAGTAAAGTTGGCCGATTTTGGTCACTGCGCGCAACTATCCGTACAACAGCCAAAACGAAACTCTGTTGTTGGAACGCCATACTGGATGGTAGGCCATATTCCATTCGTTTGAGAAGGTCATGTATATAGTTGCTAATCCCTTCATATAGGCCCCTGAAGTGATAAAAGGACTGGATTATGACGCCAAGGCTGATATATGGAGCTTGGGTGTGCTGTTGATCGAAATGATGGAAGGCAACCCTCCATATGTTGAATATCCACCTTTGAGGGTATGTGAGATCATACGTGCAGGAAATCAAACTTTGTCATTCATTCATACTCACTATTATCATTAGGCTCTCTTTTTAATCGCCTCCAATGGACTGCCACCACTCAAGGAAGGTAGTAAATGGTCCGAAAACTTCATGGACTTTTATAAGCAATGTACCAATCCTAATCCAGCTGAACGACCGGAAGCCGATGTATTGTTAAAGGTAAAGTGATCAATATAAAAACCCACTCTTTGTTACAGCATGATAGTTAATTCTTGTTCAATAGCATCCGTTCGTAACAACTGGCGTCGGCACTACTCAAGACATTGTTGCCTTGATTGACGAGACGCGACGTTTGGAGCTGCTTCAGCAGGAGGAAGAAGGTGATGATGAAGGAGAAGAAGGACAGACAGATGAGGAGACTGAGGAAGAAGAAAACGAAACAAATGATCTCACGGTAACGTCAAAGGCTGGGGAAGAGACGACAGATCGTCAGCAAATGGACGCAGGATCAGAATTACAATCCCGAAGCACATTAGAGTCGACCACGTCAACGGCTATCCCAACGATTGCCATAGGTAATGATGACTCAAGAAGTAAAGAGTCAGTCATTCAAAATGAGGAAGCTGCTAAAGGTGATGAAAGTCAACCTGTTTCATCAACCATTCAAACGATACCCGTGACGTCAGGCAAAGATGACCTGCCAGTTGATTCAACGTTTATGACTGAAGTGTTGTCCATGTTTGATGGCATAGTATCTTCCACCACTCCAAAATCTGACAGCGGACTAGGTGTAGACGATGGTAAAAAGTCTTCAAACGGTACAGAATACACGGATTCTGATAGCGATATTGAGGAAGGAGTCATCAAACAAATTCAACGAAGGACAATTTTGACCAGTGACTTAACCATTAGTCGTGTATGAGCAGATGATATGGCTTAAGTTGTTCCTACCGTTAAAATCATTCTATATGGAAGATCCTCTTCTTTTCCATTTTTTAATTCTACGTATACTAAACCTTTCAGGAATTTTCCCCCATTCGTTTACATGTAATATCTATTGCCTTAGGACCAAGGTGGCATTCGATCTAGCTTTCAGCGTATTTATTTCTACTTCCATCTCTATTGTATGTTTTTTGGTTCAGCGATTATATACTTTTTATCTATTCTTCATCTCTTCATTTTTACTACTGTCTGTAGAACTTCTCTTCACTTCTTTGTTGTATTATCATTTTTTTCCGTCCACACAACATAGCAACTTCTTGAAAGACCTTTCCTAGTATGTTTAAATCTGGGTTTTTTTTGAGGGGTTTAATTCTATTCGCTGACCGCAAAGAACACGTCGCGTCCAGTAAATTTTCCGCTGCTTTCACCAGTATTTTGCAGCCTTTTCTGCAAAGGAACGTTTGCTGTTATACAGAGCCATCATGGCCTTCAAAGGTTCCATTTCTGTAAGTACATTGTATGATGTAGGCACCAGCTTACCAGGTCAAAGCTGATTCGCGTCTTACTTCCTTCATGCTACACCACTCTTGGTATGTCACTTTAGATATCGACGGAATCAGAACTGGATCGAGAAATTAAGCGAATCTGCGCCTTATTTCAAAAGAAAGAGACGGAAGAGACATGGGAACAGTTTGATCTTGCGCTAAAAAACGTTTCAAAGTGGACAAAGGAAGGTGCGACATCAATGGAGAATTTCATTCCAGCCATCAAAACTCTGAAAGAGCCCATTGTGAAATCGGTAAGTGTCTTGGTCAGCCTGACTGACGTTAGCAAATACGATATCTAACTACATTTCGGTTATTGACAATTCTATAAATGTTTCGTAGTTATTAACAGAGCGCAGTCGATTGTCCGGAACAACCACTGACCTGCTAGAACAACTTGCCATCCATCTTAAACGTTCCTTTGAGCCATTCAATGATGGCATTTTACCGCATATCATGAAGTTATTCACACGATCCAACAAACTTTTTGTCAGCCGTTCCATCAAGTGCGTATCGGTCATCATACAACATGCAAAAATCCCTCGAGCCATTCCTCAATTTTGTAAAGCCATTACCAAGCCTGATCCGAACAAACAGATGAGAATGGGGGCTGCCCAGTGCTTGACTAGTAGCATTGAGTTCAATGCTTCGTCTGACTTGGAACATCATTTGGAGATTATCGAAAACGCTATACGAGTGGGAGCCATGGATCCAGCTCCTGAAGTACGCGAAGTCGTCAGAAAGTGCTTCGAGATGTACAAAAAGCAACTGCCTGAGCCATCAATCATGTAAGTTTACCTGCATCCTATACAGCTGACGAAGCCATGCAATCCCAGTTGATCTCATTTTGGATGATTAAACTAATATCGATTCTCTCCAGTTTCATCGCCAGTTTACCAGCTAACATTCGTAAATATTTAAAGATTGCTGGCAAGGGAGAATCCAATTTACGTGTTGGAAATATTCCTCCCTCCCATCGCCCAACAGTAATCTCGGCAAAATCATCTTCTTTTGGAGATGTTCGTCGATTAGCCATAAGCAAAAATGCCATTCCTGGTAAAGCACTTCATCGAGCGCACTCCCACCCTCCTTCAGAAACAAAATCTTTGCTTGAAGCTCCCGTACCAAAACGGCAAGCTTCTTATCACATACCGAACGGGTCATCAAAACCTCCAGCAACAAAACGCTTGCGCACAGATCAAAGCCGTCTGGCACGGCCAGTGACATCTCAAACTGCGCATTCCGACACTGCCATACCTGGACCCAATGTTACTACAGATTCTACTCCTCCAACAAGACAAGGCACCCCATCTAGCGTGACTGAAACAACCCCTCCTCCTACATTAGAATCCCCAATAGACGATCTTTTGCTGGTCAAGAATGAGAATGGAGATACGAAGCATAAGGATCAACAGAGCTCCTCTCAGCCAATCTCAAGTACCCCACCGATATCAGCCAGACCGCCATCATCCTTCAGGCGATCACGGTCAAGCTTATTATCATCAGCTCGTCGATCACTAGGAGATCCAGTTCGACCGGTAAAAAGTTATCAACTTGGTCACGGTAAGTTTTGATCACATCCGGCTAGTTTACGTAACAGAAGATTAACAGAGGATCTATTCAGATCAAAATGGTGCTACCATAATTCGCCAGTCATCAAGTAGTCCCACTACGACACCGTCAAAAACTGGGACCGAAGTGAAACTTCAAAATGACAAAACGAAAAAACCATTAGTAGCGAGCACGGAGGCTAAGGAACATGCTAACAATGCTCCAGTCATGCCATCCGCATCAAATCAGTAGAGTTTCTACGAAGTAGATAAATTCGTAAATGTAGTAGTTTGTTCTGATGCCTAATGTATTTATATTTGTCTTTCATAAACACCCACAATTCCTTTTCACTCCCGTAGTATAACAGTTTTTGGTATTAAGCTTTCTAATTTTATAAGATCTAGAGTAGAGTTTAGCAAGAAATATATAAATTATGGATAACCTTTGCATCCAAATCTTGGACTATTGAGCAATTCGATTTTCAGAGTCCGCATACACTTTTTCTTGCCTAAAGTGCAGTCACATAAATTTCAAGTTTTGAGGTTGCCAAAGTTTTGGAAGTTTTACCAGCGACTTGAATCGGCTTCTCATTGACTGTTACAACTGGGGATAATGGAGCAGAACCAGCAGGAAACCCCTTCGAGAAAGCCCTCTGTACGAAAGCCTTCTGAGAATGCTTCGGAGGGCTCAGCAGCAAATGCTGGATCCAAATCCCTTGGATCGCTCAAAACAGACACACCTGCCTCTGGACGACTTGGTAGCGTAAATGACGACTCAAAGAAAACCCGAGGTGGTGCTTCTAAAGTATGCGTTCTCCATAGTTCGAATTTATGATGCTCTATTGTCTATATCAAAGCGATTTTCTAACAAACCATCGACAGATGAAATTTCGACCCACTGTGCCCACTAAGCGAATCAAGAAGGAGCCGTAAGTGGCTAAAAGCTATTAATAATGCACGACTGTAGGAGAACCAACGTAACTGACTCTCATATTTTGGGTACAATAGAACACCTTCCATTGTGGAAAATGCTCTCAAAGCTGTGAGTCAATTGTGACAAGTTTGACTTCGCCATCAATTTGCTATATATGGATAACTAACCTTCATATTTTTATATACTTGAAAATAGGAAAATGGACATCAAGAAAGTCGAGATTCGGCTCGAGGAAGAGGGCGAGGAAGAGGAAGAGGTCGCGGTAGAGGTTAGATAAGCCAACATTGTTTATTTCGAGAGTTGGAGGGACTTGTATTAAGTTGTTCTTGCTATTACAGGTCGAGACGAGGCTGAAGCTGTTGCATCTGGCCCATTTGCACTTGGTCCTTCAGCACAGAGATCTAGAGGTCGAACATTTGCAGCGCCCTCCGGTAAAATATCGTTTTCGCAAGATGTCAATAAGACTCTGGCAACCGACGACGGCTTCGATATGACTGAAATATATGGATTTAACTCGGATCCTATGGCTCCAATGGCTGTACCCAGCAAGGCTACTATGGAAGCTTGGGAAAAGGAAAAGGAAGCTGCAAAAATGAAGAAGAAGGGAAAGATGCCCGAGAATTCAGAAGAAAAGTTTCGGGATGCCAATGGAGATATCAAAGGTAAGATTGGAAATTATATTCACATGTGGTAGACCAACGTCAGAATGTTAAACCTTGCATACCTATTTAGTCAAAGTAGAAGATGATGGTACTGGCATGAATGGAGTGAAGGATGAAGATGAACGTATGGATGTAGATAACGTTACTAACGTTGAAGATGTAAGCAAAGAGTTCGTTTCGCTCTTCAATTAAGCGAGCTCGTGTTGCTAATTCAGACGCTCTACATCTAATGATAGAATAACCTACCATTCGATGACGACCAGCTTTACTTCTTCCAATTACCCGCAGTTCTTCCTCGATTCAAACTTTCTAACCAAGAAGTAGCTAATGCTGAACCAGCCAACGGTAGTACTAGCGAAAGCCAGCCAGCAGCCGCAGATAGAAGGCAAACAAACGGTGGTGAAAAGATACCTATTCCGACTGATGCAGAGTTTGATCAAACACAAGAAGGACGCATTGGGTCGCTACTGGTATACAAAAGTGGCAAAGTCAAGATGAAGATTGGTTCAGTATACCTAGAGGTATGTGTTTTGATCTGGCCGTTTTCGTTGGTGGCAATATACTCATATTTTACTTGACTTACCTTGCAGGTGGCTTCTGGAACTGATCCAAGATTCTTAGAATCCTTGGTTATCCTTGATAACAAAAATGCAACTAGAACCAGCGCAGTTTCTGTGGGAAACATTGCACACAAGTATATTTGTGTACCTGATATCGACAGCTTACTCGTACCATGAAAAAGCATTGGTTATCCCCCTCCCTCTTGTTTTATGAGATATACGCAACCTCACAAGCAAGGCAAAGCAAAAAAGAATAAAATGTATTATAGACTTTTGAGACGGTTAATGCGCGCATCCTCCACGTAGCAACTCGTCGCACATTAAAATTTCTGAGAACATTACCCTCTCGAGACCTACAGCTTCCTTCTCATTGTGTGCTGGTGGCCGAATCATCAGCTCTACTTGGGTCATTTACATTTTGTATTATTCACAATGCTAGCTTTGGCCGTTAGTGGACTTATTCTCATAACAGTTTTTACCTATATTTACCAACTCGTCGATCGATTTGAGACAGGCGCCTCATCGATCGACCCGCCATCCCCATACTTTGACCATAGCAACATTCTCCTTGTTACAGCTCACCCTGACGATGAGTGTATGTTCTTTGGGCCAGTCTTGTGCAATCTGACAAGCAAAAGTCTCAAAAACCAAGTCCACGTGCTGTGCCTGTCAAAAGGTAATGAAACAAACACTAAGCTGAGAAAACGTATATATGCACTCGCATGCATAGCAACGTACAGTTGATTGATCAACGTTTATAGGTGATGCGGAGAACTTGGGGAATCAACGTAAACGAGAGTTAGTCAAGAGCTGCCAGGTTCTCGGGATACCGAGTTCACGCGTCAAAACCGTCGACCATCCGTAAGTATTTTATTTTGCGAAAACAGTTGGGTGGCCAAGGGGTCAAAGGGTCTGATGGTGGTAAGGAGATAGTTTTCTCACACTGTTCCTTCATAGAGACTTGCCAGACAGTATGAAAATTGAGTGGAACGCATCCCTCGTATCCAGTATTATTCAGGAGTATGTTACTAAACATGATATTCAAATCGTAAGTAGTATGCATTGTGCGTGGATTGGGCTTTGGTATATCCCATTCAAGCAAGAGAGACGATGGTCGTCGGTAGCTAAAGATGTCTATCACAGATCATCACATTTGACAACTATGGAGTATCTGGCCATACTAATCACCAAGCAGCTTACCGTGGAGCACTGTAAGTAGATGGCACATTTTTGTTTACTTCGAAACTGCGGCATTGTATTTATTTTTAATCTGCGTGTTCTTTCAATCCCATTGGCTTCTCGTAGACAATACGTAAAGACTTCTGGTAATGGAACGGTCAGCCTTTACAAGCTGCCATCGGTTTCCCTCGTGCGCAAATATATCGGGCTAGGAGATCTCCCATTAGCTATATTCAGCAGCCGCATGGTCAAGACGTCCACCCCCAAAAACAGCTTATTATTTCTGTCTTCGCCCGGACAGTACCTGATAACGCATAAAGCGATGCGACAACATAGTAGTCAACTTGTATGGTTTCGCTGGCTGTACGTGATATTTTCGCGATATATGGTGATTAATGAATTAGAAAAGGTTTCGTAAGAGTAACGTTGAAAAGCGGATCCAAAACTTTGCCAATAGGACGTCGGTTAGCTTTGTGCACTCAGTCAATTTGCATTGAAATTTTGGCGGCTGGTCTGGCTTTGGCTGGCCGTGTTTTCGTTCGTTTCCTTTTCCCTTTTCCCTTAGCTTTTATTTTTTTTCCCCCTTCCTTCCTTCTTTCTTTCCTTTCTTCTCTCCGCAAAATAAAAAAAAATTAATACTCGCAAAACACCGTGGCTGCAATCTTCCGACTAAACCACTGACACATACAACCATGACTACAGTTGAAGGTATCATCATCATGAAATACCATGTTGTATAAATATACACACTTCTTTACCACCCCATAGTTAACCGTCAAATCGTTCTCTTTCAGATCCAGCCATCAAGCGTAAATATAAGGAGCTAAAGAAGCGTATTCGAGACATTGAAGACGTAAGCAAATTTGTTTTTTTTATTTTATTTGCCTGCTAATGCTGACCGGTTGGGTGCGTGTTTTAGGACAATGACGTTCTCAACATTCGACTGACAAAAGCCAAAAAACATATTAATCGTCTACGATTAGAACGAAGGTATAATCTATTAATTCAGTCGTGATCGACACAATGACCCACGGCGACATCTTTGCTATACATTAATGGTCGTGCACATACTAATCGTACATATGTTGTTGTTGCAGTGTCCTTTTGGAGCGACTAGAGCGTTCGACCGACTACATAGATGATTCGGATAGCAACTCCGATATATCGGACAGTGGAACTCATCCTCTGGTAGGTTTTTTGCAACATGGAAATAATGGCCTAATCTCCAACCACCATCGGAAGCGGAGGGTTATTGGGACTTTACACAGTTGAAAAGTCACTTGGCATTGACTGACCAGCCTTATTTTTTTTTTTCTTATTTTCTATGACAGCTGGCTGAAATCAAATCTCGACATGACACCAAACCATCTGCATTAAGTGGATCGCAGGAGCACGGAGGACGACAAAAAGGTTCAGAACCTAAACCAGCACGTAAGAAGAAGGATCCAAATGCGCCAAAAGGCCCAGGAAACGTGTTCTTCTTGTACAGCCGTATGGAGCGAGATAAAATTAAGGATGAATATCCCGGCGAAAACCAAGGCGACCTTACTCGTATTCTTGGTCATAAATGGAAGAATTTGGCAAAAGACGAAAAACAAAAGTACTATGACATTTACAAAAAGGAACAAGAAGAATATGAAGAAGCTATGAAATCGTACACAGCTTCTGCTTCAGTCACAGGTACTCCTGGATTGGAAACTGCTAGCCAGACAGAAGATCATATGTCAATGGGCGAAGATGATGAAGAAGATATGCTGAACGAAGACGATGTTGAAACACCTGTGGCCCCAACCACCATTGACACCATCGTTGCTGACACTAATCCCACTCGTTCACCAGCTCCCGAGTCATCACTACCATCTATTTCTCTCAATTCGGAGACTAATGCAGCGGCTCTCCCACCATCCTCTCCACTGGATGAATCTTCACAATAGTTATATTCTTTTTTCTCTCCCCTCAATTCTTTTTTCACAGAACAATGATCCACAGCAATCGACAAACTGGGGTTGTCTCCTTTTGTAATTTTAATGAATAGAAGTGTACGCACATTTTTTTGTGAAAATTTACAGTATGTCCATGTAGAAATTAAATCGGTTTGATCTATATTATCATACATCCAAAAAAGAACCAGGATAAATGAATGCTGTAAGTAAAAAAAGAACAATGTTTCCGTATCGTCCACTATATCACATACCTTAAAGTGCAGAGAAATAAGGGAAAAGATCAAGCACTTGAGATCCTGCACCAAGTAATAGAATGCTCGAAGACCATCGGGATCATTACTTTCCTGGACTTCGCCTAATGACTGCAATTTTGCAGTCTTTATACAGATGGTTGGTAAATGATATTGCTATATCACACACAAGTCGCGACTAAACAGCAGGAAAATGCTATCATTACCTCGAAAGAAATATGTTCGTTGCCAAAGCGGATTTCAAGCTCTTGTCGACCCACTACGTTCTTTCGTGGCCATTGATTATCGTCTTCCCTAAATCACGAAATTAATACTCATGAAAGGCTCCACGTAATAAAACCTCCTATCTATTCATTAAAAGAATGAATAGATACCAATTCCGATTCTGGGTGATGTTGCTTACTTCATAATCTCGCTGTCCTCAATGATACGCTTGAGTTCTTTCAACATAGTTGGGCTGAGATGCACTGCGAACGGAAATAGGTTAGATCAGTATAGATCACAACGATTGTCGTTCAATCTGCTTCTGGTAAGACGTACTTTCTTTGCGAATCAAGCTGTCGTTACGATATTGCGAATTATTGGCGTATCGGCACATGCCGTCGCCTCTGAATTCAAACTCGAGGAATTCATGACCGTATCGACCGGTATGACCTGAGCTATTTCAGTCATTCAAATGAAACTTGAGTTAGTGTGACGTCCGTGATTTCAATCATTCATTCTCTTGTTAACTTACTAATAGCGCACGTAGAATTCGTCGTCTGCGCCCATGATCCAACCAGCTACTGTGAATGGTACGTTTGTGCTTCGAGCGTGAATACAATCATCAATTCTGGGTGACGTCACGGCTTTCGAAGCGTAAAATAATTTACCGCTACCGCCTCCTCCGCATCAGATATACAAGCCATTTGAACCACACAGGGTCATAGAACAAGATAGTCTTTCTTCCTTGGTATATGCATCAATATATTGTGCCTATTGAATAAGATACTGGAGGTCGTTTTGAGTCCTGTTGAGCGTTTCATGTCAAAAAGAGCCATCATGTGACTAGAAGTGGCTTAAATGTTCATCCGTGAGTCAATTGGATTTGACAACCAGACCCAATCCTCCGCCTCGTCGTTCCCACTGAAGATCTCGAAATGTCCAGCCGTCCGTCCACTTGGAACGTTCCCGCCTCAAAAGTTGCGAAGAGAGCGCATAATCCTATTCGTCAAATTGTCGATAAGCTGAAAATTGATCCCAACGCTCAAAAGCAATTGATTAGTTTAGCATTGGGTACGTTTCGTATTGTTCCTGTATCTATATCAGACACGGTCTCGAAACAGGCGTCTCTGACCAGCTTCATAAATTACTAGGTGATCCTACTGTGTTCGGAAACTTTAATGTCGATGATAGCTGTAACGAGTCAGTCATAAAGCACTTGCAATCATTCAAAGCAAATGGATATCCGCCTGCACATGGTACAGTACATAGCATTTTGTCACATCCAAGCGTAAATGGCACTGATACATTTCCCACGATAGGAACTGAGCAAGCGAGAGCTGCAGTTGCAGAAAAATTCAACCATCCCGACGCTCCACTGACGTCTCGCGATGTTATCTTGGCCAATGGCTGTTCTGGTGCCTTGGATCTCGCTATCAATGCCTTGTGTTCTGAAGGTCAAAATATGTTGATCCCACGACCTGGCTTCTCCCTGTACGATAACTTGGCTGTCAGCAGATTTATCGAACCCAGATTCTATAACCTTGTGGTAAGCGTTGCATGACTCATACAATCTATGTGAAAAAGCCACAAGGAGGTAACCATTATACCTTTTTTGCACTACCGAACAGCCGGAGCGTAGCTGGGAAGCCGATCTTGATCACCTAGAGTCTTTGATTGACGAGAACACTGCCTGCATACTGGTCAACAAGTTCGTATCTGACTATAAACATATGTTCTATTTGAATGTCTTTATTTACAAACTCTTATCAACAGCCCCTCTAACCCATGTGGTTCAGTTTACACTGAACAGCATTTGCGGGACATTTTGGCTCTTGCTGAGAAACACCATTTGCCCATTATTGCTGACGAAATCTACTGTGATCTAGTTTTTGAGGGCAACACCTTCTATCCCATGGCCACTTTGACCAAAGAAGTACCCATTTTGTCCGTCGGTGGGCTGGCCAAAAAGTATTTGGTACCTGGATGGAGAGTTGGATGGGTTACTGTGCACGATCGTAATGGTATTTTCCGCGAGGTGAGTGTTTGTTGTCATTTGCTGAGGCCAGTTTATTCTCTGGGCTAATAAGACGTATGTATAGGTTCATGAAGGCATCTTGAGCTTGTCACAACTGATTTTGGGACCCTGTTCTGTCATTCAGTGCGCATTGCCAGATATTCTTCACAACACCCCACAGGCCTTCCATGATAAGACAATTGCTCAACTTGAGGTATCTCATCTGGCCTACTTTTCATAAAAGTTTATATCAATTATACTAACAATCTTGCATTTCAAGCACAATACAAAGGTCAGCGTTGAGGGTATATCTAAGATCCCAGGTTTGACAGCTGTCATTCCACAAGGAGCTATGTATATGATGGTAGGTAATGGGTTGCTTGGCTTTGGCCGTAGTACCAATCATCTGACATAACTATTTTCTTTTACAAGGTCGGAGTCAACGTCTCCGAATTTAAAGACATATCCGACGATGTTGACTTCACTCAGAAGCTAGTGGCAGAAGAAAATGTTCTGTGCCTGCCAGGACAGGTAATATTTCTTCATTTGATTAGGGTCACAACACAACTAAAATTGGAAAGTACTGACATGATGTTCACAGTGCTTTGGTTATCCCAACTTCTTCCGTATTGTAATCACTCCTCCTGCTGATCGTTTGGAGGAAGCCTACAGTAGAATGAAGGAATTTTGTGCTAGACATCATATTTGATACAAAAAATAAAAGAAAACCAGAACTCGGTTCAGTATTGGTTCACCGGAACCGTTCGGAAATCGACGGCACCCCGGTCGTAACAAAATCTAAGCCACCCATAGTATTTTCTTATGTGACCTCTTTGAGCAAATTATCTCTTCTCACCTTTTTTTTAAAAACCCATCTCCCCACTCATCAAAAATGTCCATGCCCGCAGGAGACGCCACCGCCGGAGCCAAGCTCTTCAAGACCCGTTGCGCTCAGTGCCACACCACCGAAGCTGGTGGTGCCAACAAGGTTGGTCCTAACTTGCACGGTGTCTTTGGCCGTAAGTCTGGTCAGGCTGCCGGTTTCTCTTACACTGAGGCCAACAAGAACAAGGGTGTCACCTGGACCGAGGAGACTCTCTTCGAATACCTCTTGAACCCCAAGAAGTAAGCAACTATTCTACTGTTTCTTGTCTGTATATTGACATAACTTACTTAACCCATGCCCTCTTTTTCCTTAAATAGGTACATTCCTGGTACCAAGATGGCTTTCGCTGTAAGTTTTACGTCATGGTGTTTTCCTGCGATTTCTTTACAACTCGTTCTAACGTATTGTTTTGCACTTTACAGGGTTTGAAGAAGGAGAAGGACAGAGCTGATTTGATCGCTCACTTGAAGGAGGCCTGCGCCTAAATGGTTTCCACCTCTTCCTTTGTCCATGTACTATACGTGTGCGTTTCCTTGAGATGCTCATCCTAGACTCATACAGCACTCATGTCTTCTACCGACTAACGTAGTGAAACCCAACGCCCCCAACCTTAGAATAAAAACTCTAGTTTTTCCTGAAAATAAACCCATCCTCATAAGAATATGTGGTGGTTGTGATAATCCTGTGTTCGGAATGAGATCATTGTGGCTTGGTTCAAGATGACCATTTTGTCACAGCAGCTATCATCTTGCGCGCTCTATCTTTATGATAAAAGACTATTCACTCAGCAATTAAGACTATGGCTGCTACTTCCCTTTTACCTTACAGCACGGAGATCAGGAAAAATTGTTTGTTGCCCTTGATTCGTCCTAATCTAGCACAGGCACGAAATAGGCGTTTAGAGAGGGCTTAATAGTCATATTCATTATTTGCGATAACACGTTTGCGCGGTGACCTTCTGCGGATCAGGCCATGTAAAATAGTCAATTGGGGTACAATGTCTTTTGATTGAGGCAAGGATGATTGTATCCTTGGTATAGCTTCAAAGCCTGATAAACAATCATTGACACCATTTTCTGTAATTTACCATGCTCACTGTAGTAACTCTAGAGCACCTGGTTATAAGCCAAAGCTGCTGACTTGAAGACTAGGGAAAAGTGATGAGGAACAATTGAATGTTGAAGCGCGGTAATATCGAAGAAAAAAACGGACACCAAAAGTTTAAAACACCTAAAGCTTATATAGGGCGCTTGGCGAAGTTCAACCACAGTAGAAATAATGGCACTTGTGTGTCACGGGGTACAGCGTATGCAGTGGTCGAAAGAGACATTAGAATATTCCTGAGATACTACAATATTAAGCTATGCAGTGCCTTATTCCGCCTTCGTGACACCCGGCCATTTCAAAATAGCTTGCTACTCCTGTCCTCTCGCTAGTCACACTTTTATGCCTCTATAAATATACTGAGAAGCATTCGTGCTTAAAAAGCCGAGCTCTCTCAATTACAATTATATATAAACTGATATCCAACAGATATGCGACGGTGGTTCACATGTAGACGACACAAACCACTCTATATTGCATTGCCAATCTTATTCATTCTTGCCACCTACCACATTATTGCCAGCACTTACATTATAACCGACATTGGATACCTTGCTCGGCCCCTCTGGGACAATGTGCAAGAGCAATGGGATATAATCCAACACTACACAACTGAAGGACTATCCTTGGAACGAACATGTCAATTACATGGATGGAGTATCAACAACGAGACAAAACCAAAAATGATCGATGCTGTGATCTTTAGTGTAGAGCTGGACCTATACGAAGTACGACTGCGTGAACTATGGAACGTTGTAGATAAATTCATAATTTTGGAGTCGAATGCAACATTTACTGGAAAACCAAAGCCTTTTGTATTTGCCGACAACGCCGAGCGCTTCGCTTTTGCAAAAGAAAAATTAGTATATGCACGGGTAAATCAGCAGCCGCTTCCTCCGCACGAAGGTCCCTTTTATAATGAAGCTGCTATGAGAGTAGCTATGAACGAAAATATAGAAAAGGTTGCCAACGATGGTGATTTCATTATAATGTCAGATGTAGACGAGATACCGCGAGCAAGTACTTTGAGAACATTAAAGGCCTGCAGCGGAGTCCCTTCGCCGCTTCACCTTCAGCTGCGGAACTATATTTACAGCTACGAATTCCCTTTGGACTTGAATAGTTGGCGTGCAAGGGTTGAGCGCTACAGCAAAGGAGTTACAGCATACTCTCATGGACAACAGTCTAGAAACTTGCTAGCAGATGCAGGTAAATAACACAGTATACTCTATTGCTGAGGGTCCTCATACTTGGAAGCAAAATCTTCTTTACCATGCTTACACCAATTTCATGTAACTGCAGGATGGCACTGCTCGTTCTGTTTCCGAACAATCAAAGAATTCGTCTTCAAAATGACCAGCTACTCTCACGCCGATCGGGTTAGAGGCGACCAATTTTTGAGCAAGGATCATATCCAGAACGTCATTTGCACCGGCCAGGATATCTTTGGGATGTACCCTGAAGCATATTCGTACAAAGAACTTATTGCCAAATGGGATGGGGCTCCAAAGTCTGATAGTGCAGTCGGCTTGCCCAAGGCTGTACTGGAAGATGACAGATTTTCGTTCTTATTACCGGGAGGATGCGAGAGGCAACTGGAGTAAGGTTTATCTCATCTGAGGCCTAGCTGGACTAACAAACATGTTTTAGATAAATGTGTTTCTCCATTCATCTGACACCAAAAGCTATTATTGCCATATTCATTATCACACCATCTGTAAAAATGCTATTACAGTCTAAAAAAAAAACGATCCAATGGGATAAAGGTCAATGCTGAAGGGGGATACTATAACATAGTGGGGAATCTGTTCAATATACATTAGATATGTTTTTGTTTAATTATGCAATGTCGTTAGCACTACCACCATCTTGCTCCTGCTGTTGCTTTTAAAAAAGTAATGTTAGAATATAGGAATAACTAGAAAGACATCAAATATGACAGCTTACCAGTCGATACTCATCGAGGATATGAGCTTTTTCATCGTTCCAGTATATAAATGTCCTTCGATGCACCAGTGCCCAAACATATGGACAGAAAAATTGCTGAGAATCGAGTTCCTCTGCGTATTGAAATTTGAGTTCTGGGAATGACTTGAGACGATCCGGCGTCCATGTCCTCGTTGCTAAATCTATTATTTCGAGCACCTCAGAAGTCGACGGAGCTCGAAGGTTGGCTTCCGACACACGCGCATGGAAGTAGTTGATTATTGCCTCCAGATTGGCCACCAGCTCTGAAAGTCGTGCATTTAGCCTGTACACTGCAAACGCCTCACGTTTTAGCAAGAGCGCATACACTAGCTGTGGGTTGTCTTTGAGATGATGAACCAATATTGAGTTCATGATTTCGAAAAAGAGAGCTATCAAATCTTGATATACGATGATTTCCTGACTCTGGAAGTAGAAAAATAATTAGAGTCACCTATAGATGATGTAGTAGAACGAGTTAAGTGAACACTCACCGGCTGCTGCTGTAGTAAAGCATTGTTGTCAGCAACTCGACTGGCAATTTTTTGATAGCGCTTGGATATAAGCTCGAAGACACTGAAAAAGTAGGTCCGTTTACATATGCTCTCACTGCACACTAATCTGATGAAGTAAAGGATTACCTGACAATTCGTTGTGCTACATAAGGATGTATATCCATCATTGAGTTTGACATGTTGGCAATAGAGGCCATACAGTTTGTGTGCAGATAGGCGTCCTAAAGTTGAGCGTTCAATACATGTCAGTCGAGACAAGAAATTGAAACTGATTGGCCATAGACAAACTAAGCTTACCTTGTGGCTGGTAAGATTAACCTGAACAGCCCTCAAAAGTACCAACATGGTAAGTCCACCAAGAGTAACATTTTTTACCAAGGGTCGCTCGGTAAACCAAGTCAAGTTCGTTACATTCTAAGAGAACGAACACATTTATAAATAAAAACGTCCGGCACAACATGCTCCTTATCAAATGTGCATAAAGGTACTCACAAACTTTTGGATACTTTCGTTGAAAATATCGTCCTGACTGAAGATCAGTATAAATATGAGGAAAATATAGAGTTGTGAATAGTTGGTTTTTCCTTCAATGGATTCGTATACCAATTTGAGAATAGGTATATACTGATAGAGAGACATTAGTAGGCTACTATGAGAATGAAAGTCACGGGGAAAAACTCACAATTGTTTCCGGATCGCTACGAGAGAGAACGTATACTCTAAAGGATTCATTTTCAACTAAAAACAAATAGAACAAAAGCGTACGCTCTTCTATAGCAAGGGAACTAAGACGATGCAGAGAATGAGATTAGCGTGAGACGTTTTCCTTCACCAAGTGTTGTATAGGATTGTCCATTACCCAGCAAAAATCGTATATAGTCTTCTGAAGGAGATTGAACCTGAGGACACATATTTAACATCCTTCTCATTCTGACTACCTATCACAGGTTCTGCGAGCAAAAATGAGTCAAAAAAAGAAAAGTAAGAATAAAAACACAAGTCCATTCACAGTAAATGAATGATATAGAAAGGTACCTTGATCCCCTGAAATTTCAGCAATGGCTTGTCTATATGCACTTGCCCACTGCAGATTCTGTTCATCAGTAGTATCACCTTCTGTTTCATGTCTCTCTCCGAAACCATCTTTAAATTGAGTAGACAACAGAAGGAGTAACAACAAACTTCGATCAGCTACCGGAAATGCGTCAGCAGATGATGCGACATTCGTTTTGCCCGAGAAGAAGTAAGAGTATGCATTGTAAACAACATCTTTGAAAGAAGATATATTAGTTGACAAACATGATGCAAGACTGAACCAGAATGATCGAGCGCTTACTTGAAGAAGAAGGTGGAGGGGCTTTTTGTTCCATAAAGTTATGTAGGAGCTTAAACACGATAGGTTTTGCTTGATGTCTAAACAATTGGTAATTTGGTTAGTATTTTAGCATTGCTAGCAGATACGTTGCAATGCTTGTATTCACCCAAATTTAGTCATCAGGATGTTGATAAAATAATTATATTCTGTTCTGTCCGATGTTGACTGGTGTAGTTGAGTAGATAACAAAACAATGATGGTATTGAGAGCCTCAAGGTAAAATTCGTGTGTAGAGTAATTAGCACTATTGTTGTTGTCAGAGTCAGTATTTGTTGTGTAATTGCAGTATCAGCTGGTCCACAGGGGAGTAAGAACTTACTGAGAATCAAGCTGCAGGATAATTGCAATAAGATAGTGTAATAATTGCTCTCCTTTAGGCCGAGGGTCTTGTTCTGTTTGAGGGTCAATTTTGAGTTTTTCCATATCCAGAATCATATCTGAAACGGATGCAATCCCTGATTTTGCAGCAGACTGAGATGTAGTTGTTGCCGACTCTGTAGCTGGTGTGGCAGAAGGGCCTTTAGGCAATGGCTAAGTATTAAAAGGGAAGGGGCCAGCAGTTATAGGAGTACTAGACTTTCCAATTACCTTCATATTGACGCTTTAATTCTTCGCCACTCAAATTCCCTGCAAAATGTTTTGAAAAAACTCGGACCAGGAACAAAGCGTTATAAGCGGAAGTCGGAATTTGGCTATGGGGAGGAACCAACTGGGATGAGAAAAGTGTATCGCAGCAGCAAAGTCATGACATCAAACAATAGTAACTTACTCTATATCACCCAACTGAAGGAGCTGACGTAACTGACTGAGCAAATGAAGCAACAATACATTAAAATTCTCGGTTCTAACATTGTTCGCCGCTAAATGAATATCCCCAACATTAGAAAGTTAGCCAAGAAATAAGCTCACTAGTGTTTGTTGAGTAAACCATACCAAGCTCTATTGCCAATCCAACAGTTGCCATTTCCAGGTCGTATGCGTCTTGTCTGTAAAACATACATTCGGGTTTTAGTGATATGACACAATTTAGATAGATGAAATGAGACGTGCGCCTTACGTTGAATATGGTACTGGTAATTTCTCCTTGCACAGAAGTTTCTTCCAAGCTTCTAAATCACCTCTTGATAGGACAGAGCTAGAGCAAAGGATGCGTATGATAGTGTAGTGGGTGGCGCTAAAATATGGTTTTGACGGTGCGTGTGATGACTTTGACGGTGATAGATGAGGCTGTCTGTGAGAAACCGGATGCGTAGGAGATGTAAAGTCTATAGAGTGCCTGATGGATTGCCTTCGAATAGGAATAGATGCCGGTACAATCTTGTTTGGTACTGATGGAGGCGACGATGGTGGATTTGACATTTATATGAGGCAAAAGGCACGAGAAATTTCAGCTGGGATTTGCTAGGGCGAAATCGTTTTCTATCTTCTTTTTTTTTTTGTTCTTTCCCTCTGAACGATGTCAGGAAACAACATCAAAGTTGTATGTCGATTCAGACCCCAGAACTCGCTTGAAAATAGAGAAGGTGGTACTCCCATCATCCATATAGATGACGCTGGCGAGAATGTTGCGCTCAAGGTATCATCGTCTACCATCTTGCTTCAAAGATGATGTGTAACTAGTACCTGACAGCTTTACAAATACTTCAACAGGGAAATGACTATAACGGTGGATTCGCCTTTGACAAGATCTTTGGCATGGATACCAAGCAAAAAGACGTCTTTGACTATTCTATTCGGTCTATCGTTGATGGTACGTTGGCTTGACCGCTGTTTCCAGTGGCCTTTCCCATAACTTTACATGGCCCCACTTTATCGCGACTCTAACATTTTCCTTCTCCGCAGACGTCGTTGCCGGATATAACGGAACTGTCTTTGCTTATGGTCAAACAGGTTCAGGAAAGACCTTTACAATGATGGTATGTAGTCGGTTATCGCACCTGCCCACCTCCGTTTGTTGTACTTGCTAACAACCCCCATCCCACATTTCAGGGCGCAGATATTGATGATGAAAACACAAAGGGTATCATCCCTCGTATCATCGAACAAATCTTCCAGTCCATCATGATCTCGCCTGCCAACATGGAATTCACCGTCAAGGTCTCGTACATGGAAATTTACATGGAGAAAGTCCGTGATCTTTTGAATCGTAAGTTTCTATTGTTTACACAGCTGTGGTCAAAATATGCCACCCCAACCAAACGTGCCTCTGGAACTTGCCTTTCTAAACAATTCTTCCTCATTCTTTTATTTTTATAATCGATTCCTCTACCTGAACAACCACAGCCTCTCAAGATAACTTACCCATTCACGAAGACAAATCAAAAGGTGTCTATGTGAAGGGCCTATTGGAAGTTTATGTCAGCTCCACTGAGGAAGTCTATGAGGTGATGCGACGAGGAAGTGAAAATCGTGTCGTTGCTTCTACCAGTAAGTCTGCGATATGGATTTGTGGATATCAGCCGTGTTCACAATGCTCACATTTGTATGTTGTCAGACATGAACGCAGAAAGTTCTCGCAGTCACTCGATCGTCATGATTGCCATCACACAAAAGAACCTTGATACAGGTGCAGCAAAGAGCGGTAAACTGTATCTTGTAGATCTCGCGGGTTCAGAAAAAGTAGGAAAAACTGGTGCATCCGGCCAAACTCTTGAGGAAGCCAAAAAAATCAACAAATCATTGACTGCCTTGGGTATGGTCATCAACAGTTTGACAGATGGCAAGGTCAGTAGAACTACAAGTTTACATTTTACTTTTTGTTAGCATCATACGCCAAGAATCTAAACTAATACATCTGACAGTCAAGTCACGTTCCGTATCGTGATTCGAAACTTACACGTATCTTGCAAGAATCGCTTGGCGGTAACTCCAGAACCACTTTAATCATCAATTGTTCTCCTTCGTCTTATAATGAAGCCGAAACCTTGAGTACTTTGCGCTTCGGTATGAGAGCCAAGACTATCAAGAACAAGGCTAAGGTTAATGCAGATCTTTCACCTGCCGAACTCAAAGCTTTGTTGAAGAGAGTTAAGTCTGAAGCAGTCACCTTCCAAACCTATATTGCCGCTCTGGAAGGTGAAGTTAGCGTTTGGCGTACAGGCGGAACAGTACCAGAGGACAAATGGGTATCCATTGACAAGATCAAGAATGGTGACTTTAGCGCTTTACCTCCCGCATCTGGCTTCAAAAGCCCTATACCAGAAGATACTTCACGACCAGCAACTCCGGCAACTGTGCTTGAAAAGGATGAACGTGAAGAGTTCTTGAAACGCGAGAATGAGCTCATGGATCAGATTGCTGAAAAGGTGAGACAACCAAAAGACTATCTCTCTGAGATCGTACTGGGTGCAGCGTATGCAAATAGCAAGCTACACAATATATGATCTACATACTCGTTTGAAGGAAACCATTCGCATAGAACACTCCTCTAATGTATAACATTGTAGGAAACTGAGCTTGCCACTCGTGAAAAGCTTCTTGAGTCGATGAAGGAAGAACTTGGCATGTTCAAGGATCAAGAGCAAACTATGATCAAGGAAAATCAACAAATGACATCAGAACTTAGTGAACTGAAGTTACAACTGCAGAAGGTGTCCTATGAAAGCAAAGAGAACGCCATCACCACCGATTCTTTGAAAGAGACCAACCAAGAACTTGCTGCAGAATTGGAAGAATTGAAAAAGAACTTGGCAGAAATGAGACTTTCTCACAAGAGCAACGCTGACAGTGAGAAGGAAAAGAAAAAAGCTGAGAAAATGGCCCATATTTTCTCTGGATTCGACGCTTCAGTAAGTTCACCCTTTGAACAAATAGATCTTCCATGGCAACCATTGTTAATCATTGTTATAATAGGGTGAAATTACAGAGAAGGAGCGCCACATCCGAAATGCGTTGCACAGATTGGATGGTGACAACGGTTCAACACTCTCAATCGAAGAATTGGCATCTGTTCGACGAGAACTTGCTGAATCCAAGTCTTTGCTTGAGCAGCATACTAAGACCATCGATGATTTGAGCAGCGAAAAATCGACATTAGAAGCAAAGAAGACTGACTTGGAGATTAGACTGAATACTCTTGAAGTAGAATATGAAGAGTTGCTAGACAAGACCATTGCTGAAGAAGAAACGGCAGAGGATAAAACTGTAGACATCGCAGAAACCGTCTCCAACCTCAAGGTAGTTTTTTAAACCGGATCACTGTTATATGCATCGCCCTCAGCTGCTTACCCTACTATCTAATTATCATAGGTCAAACTTGAGTCTCAATATGCTTCTAAAAAGGAGCTACAAGAAAAAGAAGTGGAACAGCTCAAGCAAGAAGTTGAAAGAAAGAACAACGACTTTGAGAAGCTTAGCAGTGCTATGGCTGACCTTAAGGCAGCCAACGATGAACTTCAGGTAAGCACCGCGCAATATTCACAAAACTTTTTGCATTTCTATGGTTCTAACCTGGTACATTTCCTTTCTCGCGGCTAACTCTGATTAGAACGCTTTGTCTGCTCAACCTCGCCAAGGATCCTCTGACCTGACTGAGAAGGAAAAGGACATGGAGAGAATGCGCAAGTCCATGGCCCAACAATTGGCAGACTTCGAAGTCATGAAGAAGGCCTTGATGCGTGATCTTCAAAACCGATGCGAAAAGGTAGTCGAACTCGAAATTTCGCTGGATGAAACTAGAGAACAATACAACAATGTATTGCGTGCAAGCAACAACAAAGCCCAGCAGAAGAAGATGGCTTTCTTGGAACGAAATCTTGAGCAGCTTACCAACGTTCAAAAGCAGGTTTGTACATATTATCAGCTGGAAACTGTATATATTTTACGAAACTAACATTGTCTCTAGTTGGTGGAGCAAAACTCATCACTCAAGAAGGAAGTTGCTATTGCTGAGCGCAAGTTGACCGCACGAAACGAGCGAATCCAGAGTCTAGAGTCATTGCTACAAGACGCACAAGAAAAGTTGATCAGCCAAAATCAAAAGTAAGATCCCGTTATTTGTCGCTGTCGCCATCTTGAAAAGCTGTACTAATGATCCATGTAGGTTTGAAGCTCAACTTCAAGCGGTTCGAGAACGCTTAGAACAAGCTAGATCTTCCAAGTCACAAAATTCCATGGCCGCTCTTAGCTTTGGTCGCATCGCCAAGCCATTGAGAGGTGGAGCAACGGTCACTGACAGCGGGTAAATATCGTTCTTCCCTAATCAACGATGGATTATAGCTTCATATGCTGATACTAATTTATCTTATCTTTTAGCTCTCCCACTTCACCTACTGACGATAAGCGTGATCGACGTACGTCGTGGATTCCCGGTTTCATCAACAGCCGATAAGCAGAGATATTATAATATTCAACGTAGCTATGAAAAAAATTGAAACGAATACCCCCTCAGCCATCTAACTCCATAATATAATGGAGGATATCACACTTTTTTCCTCAAATTATATAAACAATATGTTATGAAACAAATGGCGCTAGCGGCATATAAGCTGCTGTATGTCTGAAAATTTTACATTACAGTTATGGCGCTACGAGAGAGCGATAAGCAGTGTAAATATGAACAAGTCAAGCTACGCTACAGTTATGATCTGGTTTTTTCTCAATTTTTGAGAAAGCTGCAGGCAAATCTTTGAGATCAGTTATGTTCCATCGGGGGCGGCTATGATTCGCTTCCGCCGGGTCGCTGTGACTACTCAATTTGAAATTGATACTGGATGAGGTAGTGCAACAGCTTACTCTTTCAACTCTTTTACAAAATGTCGTACCTAGGCGCTAAGTCAGACAAGTATGTGCGAGGCGTCAGCTTTGACAATATGACAGACAAGGATTTGCCCGATTACTCTTTCACTCTGCGTGGAAAGAGCAAAGGATTTCAAAGAACGCGGCGATCGAGAACTTTCATGGTCGCCACCGACCTCGCCAATTACAGTGAATATGCCTTGACATGGGCCAATGAGGTATGCAGCATTTTCTTCATCTATCTTCTACCTTCTCCTTCTCATTCCATTCAATTTTATTCAGGAAATAATGGACAGTGGAGACGAGCTGATAATATTGCGAGTCGTTACAGTAGATATGACCGGTTAGTGCCAAAAAAAGCCCACATTATATCTCCTACATGATCGGTGATTTGACTCGTTTTATTTTACCTCGGTAGACAAAAGAGCAAATGTACAAGCTCTGCTGCACCACGAAGAAGTCAAGGCTAGAGAAAATGCTAATGCCGTCTTGAACAAGGTTCTTGACAAGGAGACAGATATTGAGGTAAGAGCATGTCTGAATATGCCTCGATTTGTCGGGTTTCCATTCAGACGAATTTAATTTATTTATTTTTTTCTCTTTTTATACTTTAGATCAGTGTTGTTATTGAGTTCGTCATTGGAAAGGTTCAAGAGACCATTCAGCATATGGTAAGTCATGTATTACTTGGTCTGTTCGTTTCATGCGCCATCACATCTTCTTTAACACATCGCATACTCAGATTGCTATGTACCAGCCTTCTATGCTGATCGTTGGAACCAGAGGTTTATCTGATTTTAAGACCATGTTGCTAGGAAGTATATCAAAGTACTGCTTGCAACACTCTCCAGTTCCTGTCGTTGTCGTCCGACCTGATGATAAATTGAAGAAGATGAAAAAGAACAAGAACAGGTTGAGCAATCTTATGCGAATTGGCGGTAAAAGCGGCACTACATCAGAAGAAGACTTGTCAGCATCCAGTAGTGTTAGCCCCGGGTTGGAAAAAGGAATGAACAAGCTTTCTGTAGACGGCTACTTCAGTCGCTCGCGAACACCATCTCCTGCCACTTCGCCCCAGCCTTCACCAACCACTTCCACCATCCCATCATCGAAATAAATGCTTCATCTCTGTATTATTGATATCCACTCTGAAAATGTATTTATTCCGCGGGAAACCCATATTCAACTTGTAACTTCCCAGGAAACCATCGAACTGGATATGTAACCAAGGGAGGCAAACAGAGCAATCCATTTTATTCAGTCACATCGGAAGAAGTCCTTTCATTTATTTTAGTTTACACTGTTTCTATTCCTTATAGTAGTGTACGATATTGTTGAATGGCTCGATATATACTTATTCAATAAAAAGTAATGGCCTTAAACGTCCATATCGTTCATGACTCTTCTTTCTGGGATCCTCCTTCCCAATCAGCCTTACTTTCCAGCGGTGTTAACGATTGCACTTCTCCGCGATCTAACTCATATTGCAGATGGGAAAACACATGGACAGGACCCTGCAAGGTCATCAATCGGGCAGGACGGTGAAGTGATGTACTTTCAATCTACCCGCGCGGTACCAGCTGTTAAAATGCGCATTTTGTCTAATAAAGGCAAAAGTATCTGTTTGAGTAATGTTTCTTACCGAATATTAAGCGTCGATAATATTGACGAAATGAAGGACACAACAATTTGATAATGGCCAGATATTGAGGAACTACGGTGGTTTCAGCATAGTCGGTCGTTTCATTGAGTGTTTTCTCCTGAGTGTGTCGTTTTCGATTACTCATTTTTATGAAAGCAAGGTCCAGCAACGTTGTAAGCCCGTAATATTAATATGTTAGCTTATGGACACAGAGATGCAGTAAATGAATATGCAACTTAGTCTGAGTTGAATAATATACCAGATCCCCAAAAGAGTCGAAGTGTATGATATTGTGTGGAGATCGGAAATCTAATATACACCAGTTTCTGGCAGTCAGATCGCCTTCTTCTTAGCAACAGGACTCCGTTTATAATCTAGACAACAATTCCCATTCGCTGAATTCATCGAAATGTACATCGATTAAGAAAAGTTTTGGCAATATCAAAGTCACACGCCATGGGTAACGAAGGCGGGACGGGTGTCACCACAGTTTAAGGGTCCCAGGGTCTCTGCCAACCTGTGATCCACGAGGTTTCCTAGGCAATCCAAGCTCTTCAGGCTCAACACCTAAGGGGGAAGCATTCAGCTGATAAGGAAATACCATCAAATGACGAACGATGTGGACACTCACCCCAGATTTCCCAGGTACCATGGGTTTCGAATGTATCCATGGCTGTACAACGTTACAGGTATATCTACTTACATTACATTATGGGAAGCTGGGACAGAACCCAAGGTAAAATGGTAAGTATAAAAGACAAATTGCATTCATATTTCCCAGCACCAACATCTTCATTCAAAGGGTATCAGATCGCGCCAAAAATGAAACTATCCTTCCACTTGACCTTTGCAAGCTTGCTCTTTTCAATTTCTTCATTTGCTGTTGCCATCTCTGACACAGAAGTTGCTGCTGCAGGAACACGTAAAAGTCTGCAAAACGACTATGGGTTCCTAGGATTTACATACTCCAGTTGTAAAGATGCTGCTGGAACGCTCGCTGACTTTAAGCTCATGAAGAGCTTGGGAGCAAGGCATGTACGAATGTATGCCACTTGTGGAAACAATTGGTTGTCAACACTACTGGACGCGGCAGGCGCTACGGATCTGGGAGTGGTTGCTATGATCTGGTATGGCTATGACGACACAAGCATTGGCAATGAGCCAGCCCTGGAGAACCAGATTGTGAATATCATTAAGACTCACAAATACGGAAACAATGTAGTTGCTATTGCTGTGGGCAACGAGGAGTTATTCGACCACACTATCACCGCTGACCAGCTCATTCAGGCCATGGCGCGAGTGAGGACCAAATTGCAAGGCTACAATGTCCCGGTGTCGACCTCGGAATTGTCTTGCTGTCTACCCACTAACGTTGTGCAAGCAAGCGATGTAGTCATGACCAACATTCTTCCATACTTTGCAACGGATGCCACTCAAGGAAAGCACGCTTGGAAGGATGTGCTCCCTGATGTCAACAAATACCGATCCATAGATCCGTCCAAAAAGTTCTTGATCACAGAGACTTATTGGGCTTGGAAGCTGAACGATTGGAAACCCAATTCTCCTGATTGTTCTACAAGTCTGCAAGATATGGCTGATTACTGGGCTCTGTTGCAGCACCATTGCTCAGATTTTAAATCTTGGAACGCAGGTTATTTTGCCTACTGTTTCAACGAGGATTGTATGACTGGATATGGTATAACTGACGGTACAAAGGCTCGTATCCCTTGGACTCCAGCTACCTCGTGTTAGTTTGCTCAGCCATTTCGTATTTTCAAAAATTCTCTGTACCTTCGAATCGCATACTATAGCCTTATGCCAAAATTGAAATAAACTTAGCACATTTATCATTTGCTCGAGCGATTCACCTGCGTAGCTATCATCCATGACAGTTTATGTGGATCTGTGCTCATTAGCAGCAAGTTCCTTACTTCAAGATGACCTTTCATACTCCGATGTCGTTAATACGACGTGCAAAAAAATTGCCGATTACCTGGATCGAACAAGTGACCTTTTCATTACAAGTGAAACGCTGCTACCACTGAGCTAAACCGGCTAATTTGGTCGGTAGAAAATTGTTGTTTTTGTTGATATGAATTAGATAACGATATCTCTGGGACAACAAGTACATGTTCCTTTGTTCGTATAATGCTTAAATGAGGTGACCAAAATGACTATAACAAAAATTCTTTTCTATAGGAATGTAAAAAAATAAAATTATTTAATTACCAACTTTTGATGCTCATACCATACCTTCATACATAACACACCATGTTCCGGTTGCATTATAGCAATGGACTTTACATTGAGCTGACCACCAGATCTGCTATAGATGTTAGTAGCATAGTAACTTTATTCCATTGCATTCTTAAAATTTAGAAATATTTATACTGAGCATGCTTCATATACTATTTTTCCATAAACGCGACATGTTTTAACTCTTCAAATGGCACGCCAAGGTTATTCACAAGGAGTTTCAATTAAATCCAAGTATGTTCGCTACTGAGCGCTCCATGCTCTGTCACCAATTTCATTACATTCAAACAGTTAATAAAAGCTACAGATTACTTTTAGTCTGGGTTGGGCCGATGTATCAAACGTGGGTTATGAGAATTATACCTGTTGTTAACTTTCCATTTTATTAGATTTGTCTTTTTCACATTTTTTATATTTCATCATTACCTTCTCTTTCAAAAGCACGTTGGTATAGTCGCTTATTTTTTATATATTTTTTTTAAAAGGACCAATAAGCCCAATACATGGAAATAAAACAACAAATGCAAAAGTCTCGAGCCCAAATGAAATGAGGTAGATAAATATCCCAAAAAAAAGAAGGATCAAAATTGGGTGTAAAATGCGGCAAAATCAACATGATTAAGAGCCAAAATTGTGTATCCTATTTTCACGATATATCATTTAAAGCTCAATACTTCACCAAGGTATTTTCATCGAATGGTATAAAGCCACTCAGAAACGATAAAGCAGCAGCTTCGTTAAAAAAAACTCATCTTCTAACATATTGCGTAAAGCTAGACAACTTTATTCTGCTTCAGTAGTAACGTAAGATTCACAATGGAGAGATGAATGCCCACCACATGCGAGCAATGATTTCGATCTCGCGCAATGTCCAACAATTAAACTTTCAAAATCCATCCTGTACTGTGTGGTGTCATTACACAGGCTACAAATCCTCTCAATGGCAAGCAATATTTCTCCACATGAAAAGGTGTTCATCTACCAGTGGACTATCGATGTCCTACATGGACATACTACCGTCTCATCCAATGACAAAATAAAAATTAATGAACCAAGTTCTTTGAAACTAAAGTGGTCCAAATTGACCATGGCAACGCGCTCATCGTAGGTATGAAGGGATGTTATCTCAAGTATATACAACTGGGATCAATTTGTGACTTTAAGTTGACCAAAGACTTTTGTACTATAGGAGGCCTTGGATCATGATTACCATTGGATTCCCATCACGAAGTAATTTCAATAACAACACTATCATTTCATATCAATACGTATTTTTATTTATGTGAGGTGGCAGTATATCACATTGATACCAGATGAAGGCTTAATAAATATCAGAAATGTAAGTATCCCTATGGAAACTGCTCTGCCATTTAAGAGGAGTATTTGTAGACGTTGAAGCGGCCACCAGCGCCGCAAGTCTCAGCAGCATTACCCTTACAAGGCATGTTGCAGTCGGTTGAAGGAGCCGAGGTTGGTGGCATAGTATTGCCGCACCAGCACTCATTACCGTATTCGACACCAGCGTAGATGTAAGAGTTAGTAGTACAGTCAGCTTGACAACCTTCGACAGTCATGCCGGAGGCAATAGTGGCACCACCCCAGGGAAGAGTACGTGGGGTAAGAGCATCGACGTAACAACCGAGGTAAGTCCATCCATTGCTTGAGGAAGGTGAAGCTGTGGTTGTGGTGGTGGTGGTTGAAGCCTTGGTGGAAGTAGTGGTAGTCTTTGTTGCGGAAGTGGTGGTAGTGGTGGTGGTGGTGGAAGAGGGAGGTGCAGGTGAAGTTCCAGCTTCGACCAAGAAGGCAGTGATAGTCTGGCAGAAACCATTGACATTGTCGGCTTGCTTAGCAAGAACACCGTTGGCGGAACTCCAAACCATGTTGGTGGCAGCCTTGGTGTTCAAGTTGTACACATAAAGATGGCTGTTTGAGTTTTCCAAGTCGGCCATAGCGTCTTGGCAGCTCTCAGTTGTAAGACAGGTTTGATCGTAGTTGCTGAAGAAGTTGTAAAGACCAGCACCATACACGAAAACGTTGTTCGAATTGAGTGCACGAAGACCCCAAGCCATAGCACAAGTCAAAGATCCAGAAGCACAGTTGCTGAAGGTAGGATCGGCCAAGCTGGAGATAACAGGGTAAGGAACGTTGGCAAGAGGAGCAGGCTGATAGTATGGAGTTTCAGTTTGGATCATTCCCATGTAGACGTTGGAAGCGCCAGATAATTGGTACTGATACAAGACCTAATATATCATATAGGGCAAGTGTTAGAAACGATATTGTATTGATCTTACATTGTGTTCTGAAGCAGTTCCATACAACCAGACGGGACCTTGGCTAGATTCAATGAGGATACCACGACCGCTGTAAATACTGAGTTGGTTACCGCCATCAAGATCGTGATCGGCGGTCCAGGCCCAGACATTTTCGAGGTAAGCAGAGGCAGAGGAAGTCACGTGAAGAAGCATACCCGCGCCATAGCAAGAAGCAGAAGCAGTGGAAGAACCCTTTGAGCATTGTGCGGATTGCAAGTTGGTACCGACAGCACCACCGACACGGAAGTGGACGTCCCACATACCAGCAGCACCTTGTTGACCGGAAGGATCGCGAATATTCCATTCGACGAGAACAGCACCGGGCTGAGGACCTTGGGTTGAGAAGATCAAGTCAGAAAGTTCTGCTACACCAGAGTCACCGGAGTTGCCAACCTTGAAAACGGGAGAGAGGGAGTTTGAGCTCTTCCATGTGGTGCTTCCACCAGCAAGGATGGTGGACCAAGCTTCACCAACAATTCGAGAACCAGCAGGAACAGTAATGGTTGAGGTAACAACATAGTCACCAGCAGGGATGAAGATAATTTTGCAGCCAGCATAGTTGTTGATAGCAGCTTGAAGAGCAGCGGTATCATCAGTGGAACCATCACCCTTAGCACCTGCGGACTTGACATTGTAGAAGGAGCTGACAGCATATTGCTCGTACTGAGGACGAGGTCTCTCAAAGAATCCATGGGTGCCGAGAAGAACAGAGGGTTTGCTAGGAGCGCTAGGAAGGTTACCTTGTTGGAAAGTGCCAGAGCCACCTGTGGCGGTGTAAACTGTTCCTTGACCCCAAGAAGTGATAGTGGAACTACCAGTTGTACCGGCAAGAATAGTGGTACCGGCATCAGATTTAACGACAGCAGGTACGTTGGTGAGCTTAACATTATCCAAAAGCAAAGATCCTGATGTCTTGGGAGTAGATGAAGCGGAGGTATCGGAGAGTACACCAATGGGAGTGTTGGAGATAGTAGCGTCCTGAAGAAGAATGGAACCAACTCCTTGATTGGTAGCACCACCAGCAGTCATATCAATACCCTTTTGACAGTTGTTAATGTTGATGGTCTTGAAGGTCCAAGCCCAATTCCAGTTCATGTAGACAGCAGTTTGGGCATTGTTGAAGGTCAAGTTACGAGAAGTGAACTGTTGACTGCCGACCCACATACCAAATTTACCACCATTGAACACCAAGTCTGACATGTAACCACCTGAGCCGTTCTCCATCCATACACCTTGATGAGCAGTATTGGATGCAGTCGACATTTGGAATACAATGTTGGTAAGCGAGGTTGCCTGAGCTACTTGCCAATGAATACCAGTGGTGGATGCAGTTGCAGAAGTTTGTGTCAGATCGATGACAAAGTTGCGAACTTGACGGTAAAAGTTGTTGGTATTGCCATACCAGTTGTAACCGTTGCTTCCGTAGGGATCACTGTCGACAACACCGATACCAGAGAAGTTGGCCGCTGCGAGCAAAGTAGGAGGAGCTAGAGCATCACCAATCAACTGGGTGTAGTAGTATTGGATAATTGGGCTAGACACCTTGTATTTACCAGCCGGGAAGAAGACGACTGCAGGCTGGGTAGTGGATGATTGATTTGGGCAATTGTCACCACATCGACCACCAGAAGAAATAGCCAGGTTAATGGCAGCAGTGTCGTCTGTGACACCATCACCCTTGGCACCGAAATCCTTGACATTACGATAGACAGTGTAAGAGGAAGGAGCGGAATTGAATGCAGCAATACCGTTGTGGGTAATGCCTTGAATCCACATGGGAGCAGCGGTGACGGAAGGGGTCAAAGTAGTGCCTGCACAAGAAGACCCAACAGCGGCAGCAGCGCGGCTGACAAGGCCTTCATGCTTTGTGGTGGGAAGACCTTGGACACCTAAGGCGGCAAGACTGAGGGTGACTTGCACCAGAATATTAGACTTAAAGTACATGTCCGGATGAATGAAAAATAAAATGAGTTTGTAACCTTGCTTATATACTCGAACGAACTGTGGGGGTGCAAAACTGGAGCCTTGGGAAAGATGGTAAAATACCGTTCCCTCCCGGACCATTCTTTCTATTGTTCGTAGTTTACCACACTTTGGACAATTGCCCGATCGCAGGCTTGTTGGTGCAACCGCTCAGCAGCTGCCTCAGGGTAATGGCCATATGGTTGCGTAATGGGGGAGATGGCGGTCGATAAGCTGGCAAAGGAATCAGGTACTGTAATTCTGTAACAAGTTTTCCAGCCACCGTCGCACCAAATCCATGTTAGAAATGCAATAAAGCATGGGAAGTACTTTAATTTCATTTGCTTCGTTCCCCACAAAACTTACTTTCCAAAACGGTATACGGGAAATGGACATGGAGGTGTTAGACCGGTATTCAATTTTTACATCATATGTGTGCGTGGCGGTAAAAAGCTCAAGAAAGATGTAAGAACCGGTATATTGTCTTATGAATTGAGCATGGATATAATTTAGGTAAATACCATTTATCGGCAACACCAAAGTCTATTGTGGTGTCCCCCCTTTAATTTTCCTCTCAGGCTGGTTGCGCCATCGCGTAGGCAGTAAAAGCAGACAATTAGATGATTATAAGCGGGTAATGCATAGGCGAGCGTTTGTGGGAAAGAGATCAAAGCCATTACACTTGCCGTGGTGAGACGAAGAAAAATAGATTCTGATTTGCATCTGTCACAAAACTTAGTATACAGGTATTACATCGTAAGCTCCAGTACGTTCAAAATATGTAAGTGTTCCTGAACCTAAGTTTTATTTGGCTTCGATCATAACTTATATAAAGCTAAACATTCAAGGCCTAGACAAGTAATGCAACCTTAGCACATTCTCCCTCTTGCCAGCCTCGCGAGTGATGATCAGTTATGCACTCCATCCTATTTCGATGGATGGCCATTTCGGATCAAGCCACGACGGTACACCTTGTGGTCAACGTCACTCCATCTTGTTTTTGTTCCACAACTCGAAGGTCGTGCAATGCAAAAGCCGCCTAATAGAACACCATTCGGACCGCGGGGGCGCCTGGTTGTACATTGACAGAGCCATAAATGAAAATTAAATCCCGGTATATAGTTGACCGCCGCCTTTTGAAGAGCCAACGGCATTATACTCGGCTAGTTGGAATGCTGGAGTCAAGTAAGTAGATGCAAATAATGTAATGATAACGGGGTTGAGGTGTATTGGACAGAAGGTCAATTGAGTATAATACTAGTAAACCAAGGTCGGTGAAAAGCAAGGCGAATAAAGTGAATCACCGTATGTGGCAAATGCACGGTGATGAAATCCTATTAATTTCTGTTATAATTGCCACAACGATCGATGTTGCAAGGTTTAAGTTTCTTTTCATGTTATAATGTGGGCTCTGAAGGTATTTCAATACCAATGGCTTTTACTTCAAATGCGATAAACATTTCATCTAACAATATGAACGGCCAAACAAAGCAAAGAGCTCAATGGAGTAACCGGCAATCTAATGTTCATCACGTGTTCTAAGTGCAGCTTATGGTCAAGTGAATTCAACGGTTGTACGGCAGAATTTTAGGAGTAATAGAAGGTCGTGAGATGACAGTACGTAAGTATGGTAAAAATGCACCATTGTGGGGTGGCATGAACCAAAAAATGAATGGGTCGTACATGTGGACTGGTAAGCGAAGTTCTCCACAACTAACTGAAACGCGGGGACGGCATTCACATATATTGTAGGATGGTCACAAGAGTAGCAAAAGTGACTAGGATATATTAACGGCCATCTTTCTTACAAACTGAATACCGGTAATGGTGGGAACACCGGCAAAATGATCACCGGCGGGTAGATGGTCGGCCAATGCCCGTACCGTTTATATCCATATGATTTTGTAACACGCCGTAAATGCATGAATTAACTGTCAGATTACCAGATAACATCTTGGTCAACAACATGAATAATCATAGTGAGGTACTCAATGTGTTTATTCTGAATGATGAGGATTTAGTACTCTAGGTGTCGCCGATCTAGAAATACCTGAAAAGTAGGACAACCTTATTTTGTGAAAACTTAAGGTATATCAAGTCGAAATATCACGCCCCATGTGCATTTTGCTTTAAAGTGCTTCGAATCTCATCATCTTCAACAGCGCAGCAATCTGCGGTGTTTACCGAAAAAGTATGGGATGCAGATCGAGCACTGATTATATATGTGTAGTGTCGCTGTAAGCACGCCTACCTGCTGCGACCAGCTTCATCGTGCAAGAACTGGGTGGTGGTGGCCTGGTACCGCATATGGACTAAAAAACTGCATTGCCGGATAATCATGAGTCCATGAATGATATATCTTTCAGCAGCTGGGGTAAGTTTCGGTTCCATGCTTCCATGTATTGCAATTTGCAGTACAAGTGCAAATATTCTTTCCAAAATCAAGTGCACGAAAAGCATCCAGTCTTTCACGTCGAAGTGTAGGTTTTGGTGCTGGTGAGCAAAATCCAGTATTCTTATTACGCTGCTATACTATGCCGGCAAGAGGGGTGTCGTCGGTCAAGGTTCGTAAGCCAAAACAGCTCAGTTACCATAAATGCCATTGACTTTTGGAACCCTGCCAGGTATTCAGTGCTTTCGGTATTCCTAAAAAAAAAAAAACCATGGTGAAATGAGTTCTCTTGGGCAGGTAACTTACTGCCATGAAGACTGCCGGTTTGCGAGAAGCAAGATGATGGGTTTCTGAGAAAGGTAGCAAAGGTGATCAACAGGCGCAAGTAGGTACCAGGAAAGAGAAGCAAGAGGTATATCTTTAATGCATGTGTTACATGGTTATCATGCAACGTTGCGTGGTGGCGAAAAGTGCCTCTGTGTTATTTTGATAGCATATGGAATGATGTTAATACGCAGACCATCAAACTTTTAAAAGAAGTTTTACCGAGGTATAATCACTTTTTATACGTTGGGCGTTGGTTTAAATGTTAGGGAATATCGGTATATCATTTTCAAAAGTACGGTTGCGGATCTCGGACTTGATCTGGCGAATATTCTGATCCTTCGATATCAGTTTTCTTCCGCTCAAAAAAATGAACAAGGAAAATATGATGGAGCTGAAAGAGAGCAAGTGTGAGAAAGGCGATGCTGGGGAATTGCGATCGTCCGAGATCGCGCATTGTAGACACATAGCAAGACTATGTCCCCTTATTCCCCTTATTCCGAGATTACAATATGGTGTGGGTAAGAGTCACAACGTACGCGCAGAATCCGTGGGCATCCAGGGATGCCATGCGAATCGGTTAGGAGATCAGAAAGTTAGCAGGACTGTTCAGATGCTTCAGACTGCAGATGATGCGATCAGTGATAGATAGAAGTGGCCAAGCTGTCAAGGCGCGTTTGTTAGCTCTAGTCGGTGACTGTGAAAGTGGGTTCATATCGCGATACCTGATCGTGTTACGATATTGCACAAGCGCTTCTCTCAGGTCCAGACCATTGGTGTAACAGGTCGATCAAAGACATTTGTCATTCTCGTAGTACGGTCTGGCCGATAACTATTATTGCATTACATGTCAAAAGATACGATGAGATCTTTCCTTTTGCAACATGGAGGCATGTTGAGATAGATCACTAGGCTTTTTCAAGCAAAACGAGTGGATGAAATTGTGTGCAAAGTGACCACGATGTGCGATCTGCCAATAGACGAGAATCGGAGTATCCAAGCCATTGGGTGAGTGTAACTTCGGCACGGTAAAACCAATAATTCTACACTTTTGGACATAATTATCAATATGGGTTTGAACAATGATCATGAATATCAATGGGGGAATACCAGTATATTGGGCAAACATACGCTACTTCTTATACCTTTTGACTGAACAGCATAAAAAAGAATATATAAAGGGTTAAAATATATATTTTTTTCATGTCGTTCAAGAGCAGATTAATTTGGGCTAGTAACCGTAGAAGGAATTATGAGAAAAAGCAGATGAAACATGGTGGAGGTGAGGGGGTTTTTTGATTTACAAGTACATGAGAAAAAATACGATGCAATAAACTGCTTGCTCTATGGGGCAGTAGACAGTTCCACCAGATTAGATAACAATACAAAACGACGACCAAATAAAAGTATCCATTCTACCATCCGGTGACATTCTTATGACGGCCTTCCAAGAATTTGAAAAGAGATCCAGGTTTCTTGCTCCACTGATTATGCCAGTGGAAAGCAAAGGTCTGTAGCAATCGTTCAGTGGGGAATTCTGCTTCTACAAAAGCGTTGGGCATAGAGTTGGAGGGTGCGCACAGGACTGAATCGGTGAAACACCAAGGCATGACAGCCCAGGGTTTGATGCCGTTGTGTAAAAGACGACGATAAATGCGATAATACAAGAAACCACCCCAGTCGATGTTATCCTTGCGTGGAAGTGGGCCATTTGCCATCTCTGCCAGCATTTCACAGACGTAAGGTGAGTTTTGACGGAATCTCATGAAGGCACCGTTGAATGGGAAGCCGTTGGGCAAGAAGCAATCCCACTGTTGGAGCCACTCACGCTCAAAAAGAGGGCTCATGTCTCGGATGAATAGAGAGTCCATGTCAAACCACATACCACCAAACTTGTAAAGGACTAGTAATCGAATCAAGTCACCATCGAGGTATGCGTGCTTATCGTGGAAATCTAAATGAGACGATCCTTCCATGGGCGAACCCTTGGCAACCTCCTTCGAGTCGTATAAAAAGAGTTTGAAGCGTTCTGGTTGATACTTTAGAACTTCCTTCACAACCCAAGATTCCGAGAGGTCGCCGTTACTCCACAAATACAGAATAGTACTGTTAGTATCCTGTGTTGCAAAAAAGGAGCGTAGGGTTGCCAGTTGTTTGTCTCCCATAGGCACCAAATCAGCTCTCCAATACGCATGATAAATGATTTTTTCACCAGGAGCTCGAAGTGCTGGACGAGGTTGGATAGTAGCAGCGAAATCGTAACAATCGTAATCTTGCAGTAATGATATTCCAGGCGCAACGTCATAAGCGTATTCTGTGTAGCCTTGCTTGTACGAACTATTTTCAGGCAGTGAGTCAAAGCAGCCAGAGAGAGGCTCATAGTAAAGTTCATCTGCGTGTGATATCCAGTTTCTTAAGTAGACTCTGAGGTTAAGTTCTAACTGGCAAACGGAAAAGAAGATGACCAAGGCGGTCAGCAATATACCAGCCGTCCACTTTGATAAAGAGATAATCAAGCGACGGTTGGGACGTGCGACAGTAGCAGCAGATAAGCGGTTGTAGCCATAGCGAGCTTTGAAAGGCCACATTTAGCGTTTGTAGAAGGAGAAAGGGAAAAGAAGGGGGGTTTGATGATCAACGGAAGGAAATGTGTTGAAGAGGGAAAAAAAGAGAAAAAAAAAAGTGTCAAATGGGCTTAGTTCGGAGTTGTTATTGATATTCCTAATATTGAAAATTGTAACCCTGCTCATTAGCTTGGCAAAAAGTGATCGTGATACCCTGACGTCATAATTTGAAATGGCTTTATCCCTCTCGCTTAAGAAATTTCTTTCTGCGTTGAAATGTCAGAGGGTTACAGGAACAGACGAGTTTTTCGTTCGAATCGAAAAAGCAGACCATATTCGCATACTATCGACATGGTCAGGAATCGTACTCTAAAATCAGAGCATTTTTCACCATCGTACACTGCTCCGACTGGAACTGGTCTCACCGAAAAAAGTGATTGTGAACAAATTCTGGTTTTACATAATATAGCTTTCCCTTCACAAAAGAGTAAGGGATAATCAGGGTCCTTAGAATTCTTATTTTTTTGGGTTGACCTTAGAAATAGTCAATGTCGTTACAACCGACCATATTACTATCCCCTCCTAAAAAAAGGAAATCATATTCACACCCAGAAAGGCTATCGACGGCCGACAAAAACATCACACATAGACATTCCGCGGATTTTGGTACTTCGCTGGATCAAGACAATGGAGCTAATTTCGTGCCAACATTAGAGCAAGACGGCCCAGCATGCCCTCGCAACCTTGGTGGTAGAACCCGAAGTAACCTCTTGCTACACTTTAAATCAGTGTTGCCGTGGACAGACAGCGGTCTTTGGACCCCACCAGAATCTCGACGAAACTCCTCTCTCATACCATCACAGCAAAATAAGGCAGAATATGATGGAAGTAAAGCCAGAAAACCTCTTCCTCCATTCCCAATTGAAGAAAATGTAGAGAACCGAGCTGCAGAACCTGATTTTAACAGCTCGAAGGTTCGATCTGTTGGTGGACGACAGTTCCTAAACAATACAGGTGAGGAGTGCATCAAAGATCTGGACCTCAACGTCGGGCTTTAATGACTGACTGGAATTATGTTCATGGAATGCAGATGCCTTATATTCGCTACCTATTGATGAAGATGAGATTGATCGAATGCAAACAGAGCACTTTATGTTGAAGGAATTATTAAGCGGGTAAGATTTACTGAGGGCACGACATACAATTTTTTTTTTTATCCTGACCTTTAACGTTGCCGTCCATTCCCTAGTCTTTTGTATCACTCGCCCGTCACTGAAGTTCTCGCTGAAGGAGCGTATGTGTTGGACCTCGGGTAAGCTACATGTTACACGCCGACCTATTCAATATGATAACTTAACATGAACTTACCTCATTAGTTGCGGATGCGGATCATGGTGCATGGTATGTATGGTTTTCCCCGATAGAGAATATTTTCGCCCCCATATGCAAAATATACTCTCCCCCCCACTCACACTTTTCCCAACAGGAAATGGCAACACTTTTCCCAAAATCCAACTTTGTAGGATGCGATATTGCTACCTTATACCCGACATCCATAACACCCGAAAATTGTCGGTTTGAGCACTGCGATGTCACCAAAAGGCTCCCGTACAACGATGATAGCTTCGATTTTGTCATTTCCAGAAATATGGCACTGGCTGTACGGTTTGACAGTTGGCAAGATTACGTCGATGAAATGATCAGAGTGTCCAGACCAGGTGCATACATCGAAATTATTGAACTGGACTGGTAATGTGATGACAAAAAAACATTTTATAAATTATTTCCAGATCATCTTCTGATACAATTTATTTTACAGGGATATAAAGAACAAGGGGGTCAACATGTCATATTGGAATCTTGCGAGTAAGGTCTCTTTCATTTTTCAAATGCATGCATATTCAAAGACTCATGCCATAGCGCGCACACAGTGCTCAAATTGTGGAGGAAACGAGGTGTTAATCCACGGGTTGCCAGGCTATTACGGAATTATCTATCCAACATGAGCGATCTCAATGTATCCTATATCTCCATGCCAATAGGAGACTGGGGTGGGCAACTTGGAAGTTGTAGCTGGGACATGTGGAAGCGACTGATGAATGCGGCTATGCCTTTTTACATGAGTCGGACCGGGCTTACAAAAGAGGAATATGGCAGGCTAGTAACCCAATGTCTTGAAGATACCCACGTCACTCATAGTCACTGCAACTATTGGTTCTACTGTGGCAGGCCACTGAAAAAGGTGACCTAAAGTATGCGATGAAAGGAGGAGGCAAAGGAGTTCATGCTCCACTTCAGCCTCACTCCCCCCCTATCAACGAATGCTTGAGCCAAGGAGAACTCCTGAACTGGATCGGCAAAAGATTTCTTTATGGGCGTTGCAGGGTAAAAGTCACAGTTTCTCATCTCGCCATGGCCCCATGAACAGAATGGCGATCTCCACGAGAGAAGGTTGTGACACGAATAAAAAAAAAAACCATTTCTTAACATGCCGCATGTGAAGCGTGGCGCGTGTTGGAACCAGAAGATAAACCAGCAAAGCATTTCGGGTTCCCGTGTTGGGCTGGGCTTTTTGGGCTGGGCCCAACTTTTTGGGCAACATTGGGATATATAAACTGTCACTTTTCTGCCAGTCAATCACTTTTTTTTTTTTCCTCTCAATGCCATCATCTTTTTTCACTTCTTTATAAATCATCCCAATTCAATGTCTAAAATCCAGTTTGACAATGGCGTCATGATCCTGTCTGCGGTAGACCCGCTGTCAAATCGAATGAGCATCCAGATACTCCAATTGCCTCATCCTCCAAAACTGGAGCCACTGGATTTTCTATTCGAACCCACTGCTAACAGTCGAAAGCGCGTGCGCCCATCCAAAGAAACTCGAGCCATTGTAGAACGAGAGCTTATGCTAGTTCGAGCCAATTCAAAATTCACAGAGCATTTCATTCCTCCGCCTACTACCCCTATCACACCAACCCGTCCCTTATCCTCCTCTTCCTTTGAATCTGCTTTGACCTCATCAGAAGGTACTACGTGTTCTCGAAGTACCCGGCGACGTCGCCCCTCACTTGGACTTGTACAACGATTATTTGCTTCCAGTGACCCTGAGCCCGAACCATTAGGTGAGTTCGGATTTTCATTTCATGCAAATTTTTTTTTTTTCGGTCGGGTTCACTAATACCCTGAATAGAAGTGTCATGGCTAGACGCCGATATATGTGATTCCAAGCATACCGCTAGTAAAAAGTTCCCCATTCTCAAAGGTAATAGACATGTGCGGTTGATCGTAGTGTGGAATGTACAGCATAATACTCACATGGGATCATCCGTAGATCTTTTGATGACAACGAAACGTATCCGTCGGACAAAGTCTTGTACGGCTCCAGATCAATATGCATCCTCACCGTTCCGAACGACCAGTTGGTGGTCAGAGGCTCCCATGCCCTCCATGCCACTTGTTAAATAGCTATACTGTCATTTCGATCAAACCCAACGATGCGCTTGCGCTTGTTAAGGACCGCTTTCAAACACATTCACTCTATCATAGTACATATTCGCATTTATACTACCCCATACCCTCTCTTTTACCACCTTCTTTTGCTAATATGCGCTCTCGAGTAGCTTACCATGTCACTCTCTGTAAATCATCCTATGCCGATGTACTGTGAAAATTGCAAATATATACATTTAGCCATCCATCGGTTTGCTTGAATGAGTGTTACACATCTCGGCTGCGGCGTTTAGGATCCCATCCGTCCAGCTAGCTCAGCCCAAACATTTTTGCAAGGGACCTTGCAAATCTTTTTCGAGGTTCCGTTTCGAAACCGAGATTTTGACATCTCATCTTTATGCCTTGCTTTCGTTGTATGACAAAAATAGCAACCCAGGTTCCTGAATCTCGAATCAAAAAATCTCGCACTTCTGCAACTCCTCCTTCCTATCCCGGTGGGGTTTCCACAGTAGCGACAGTTCGGTCAATGCTTAAGCGAGATGCCGGTAAAGCGTGACACTCTGGAATGAAAGGAATCCATAAAGTGGCGAAAATTTCCCGTTGTTGTCATCGACACTTTGGACCGATAAAGATTGATTACTGTTTTGGGCAAGCCGCTGAACTTTGCTTCACAAATAGCCACGCCATAGGAGGTGGGGGGCAGGTTGGGGGGGAGCGCGAACATCGATCAGTGGGTAAGAAGTAACAGCACATGTAAATTTTATCTTTTTCTTTCTAGGCCTCCAGCGCACGATGCGCATGGGAATGCATGCAGCGCTTCTAAACGGCTGAAATTTTGGCTCACCCCATTTATTTAGGTCTATCTTCTCAAACGAGCATGTTTAACGAGAGATGTCTTGTAGTAAATGTTTGCCGACATACACTGAGTAAGATCCGTTGGGTGAGATACGCTGTGTTCGGACGTGATGTTTATTTATGACTACAAACCTTGCGTTATTTTTGGTTTGTCATTTTTGTATGGAGGGCAAACGTTATCAGGCGGACTACGAGGTTTCACATTGGGTTTGCTGAACTGCCTTGGGCTGAGCTGAACCTCATCGATTTTTCTCAATTGTTATCACAGACCGTAAACTAGCCTGCCGTATTTGCGTGACGAAACACCGTAGTGAAATCAGTGAGTTCCAGTCGGTCACATTCTTTCCCAGCTAAAAACCCAGCAACTGCCCGTATATTCCACCTCAGCCCAATACCTGAGTTCAACCTGGTTTGCTGCTCGCCCATAACGCGAATTCCCTCAAGTAATATCAGATGGTAACTGTCCATCATGATTGAGAAGACGTGTTAACACTGGCTTTGGTGGTGAGAAAATTTCCCTTTGCGCACACCCCTGCCCAATAAGCTTCACTGTGACCGCCTTTTCAACAAGACGCGTGCATCCGCTGAACCAGTATCAAAAGCTATGAACAAACAGAAGATGACCAGTCGCAGCCAGCACTGCCCTTTGATTTATAATACGGCAGCCCACTCGTAGTCCGAATACCTATGTATCCCCATTCTTTGCAGGAAAGATTGGTCCTATTCGCCCAAGACGTCCGTTGCACACATTACAAATCCAATTCGCCTCAGCCCAACGAGCGGGGATAACTAGGCCCAGTTATCAGCAAAATACGAATTTTCAGAGCTATTCATTTATTGAAACACGTCCTTAGCAATGGCTATAGGTCTTACTTTCGGGCAGCTACAAGGTTGGTGTAGGTAGTTCCATGGAATCCGGTATCGTCGCCTCTAGCGTCGTGGAAGAAGAAATATCCACGGTTGTTAGGGATGCTCAACTCCTCTTGGAAAAACTGAGAGATGCTAGCGCTAAGGTTAGCGTTGCGTTCGTTGTCAATGTTACCAATAGATGTAACGTGGGCGATGAAGCCAGGGTCAGTTGAGCCGGCGAAGGAGAAATGTTGAACTTGGTTAAAGGTGATTAAGCAGAGACTCTCAGGCTTGCCAATGGCTTCCGAGAATTTCTTTGATACAGTCTTGACAAAGGCGTCGAGATCCTTGGGACCGACATTGGTAGAGATTTCGAGAGAAGGCATATTGCTTGGTAAGAGGCACTGACAAGCATTCGCGGACTCAAAATCTTAAGCTTATATGCTCGTGCCCTGTGACTGTTCGCACGTGAATCACGTAATTCGACACTATATGCCCGCGGTTTTTTCGGGGGATGTGCTTCTGAACTTCTACCCATTTATTATGACGGTCTTGGACAAGTTGAAAAAATATTCTACATGCGAGGTAAAATAGGATTGACTACTATCCACTTGTGCAGTTCTGCTGTCTAATCTCTTGTAACCTGCTATATCTCTGATCAGATTGCAGACGCTTTGCAGAAACTCGGTAATACACCTTGGGGTGGTTACCTTGCGGATATTCAGATGTGGTCCCCAAGCTTTTGTAGTGGAGAGACCAAGATAATAGGTCCTGCTTATACAGTCAAGGTTGGAAACGTGGATAGGAGGTTGTTGACAAGTGCTAAATTTAAGGTTTAACAATAATGATCGAATAGATGGTGGATAAGGAAGACGACAATGCACCTACCCCTTCACAACACTTTGTAAGGGACTTTTTCTTTTCTGCATGGTCTCTTTTCAGGGTTTCAATATACATGAATTGTATCGGCTTACGCTTTGATTTCATGGTAGGCTGATGCAGCTCCTAAAGGAAGCGTCATTTTCATATCGGCACCTCCTGGTAAGTGGAATGATTTTGCACTCATAGGACGAGGGGATAGACTAAACATTTGCCATGGAACAGGTTTCAAAAATGCGGTCTGGGGCGGTCTGATGTCTGCAAGGGCTAAGACGTTAAAGGTGCAGGGTGTTGTTGTGGATGGTCGTATTCGAGACCTTGCAGAGCATAGAGGCATGCAGATACCTGTAAGAGACACTTGAAATTGAGCACCCATACAAATCCACTGTCTCCTTTTTTTCTGGGCTCTTAACGCTATTCCGCATCCATATCCTTTAGGTATTTGCGCAAGGTCATTCTATTTTATCTCAAGGTGCTTTCTTACGACCTTCAGAGATCGGCGTACCAGCCACCATGTCGACTTGTCCTGTTGTCGTACACCCAGGTGACATAATTGTTGGCGACCTGGATGGGGTAGTTTGTATTCCGCGGGACCAATTGGAAAAGGTTGTTGTCTATTGTCAAAAACACACAACCATTGACAATCACTGCATGGAAGATATTCTGCAAGGCGCAACTGTTCAGGACACGTTCAAAAAGCGTAGGGGTGTCTAGTTCTGGTATGAGTAGTATGCAGGGACGTTCCCATGCACTTGAACATAAATGAATCGTTCCGTATCTGTTATGCAAATGATTGCTTTTGGGATGAAGGCTGTTATCGGCGAGCAGCAAGGAGATAAACGTTTGACTGAAGGAGTTCAAGGGGGGTTTTTGGGATGCAGCCCATGAAAAAAAAAAGTTGGCAAGGAGGCAAATTGAATGGAACCAGAAAAGCAAATATATGCGGCGATCGAAACAGGCCCTTGACGCCGAGTCTGCGGGTCAGTTCACGAGAAAGGCAACATACGAACGTACCCCAATGGACTGTTCATGGAATGCCTGTGTTTTTGTCCAAACCGGTTTGCTTCTATTTGCGGCGGACGTGCAATAGAAAAATAAAATAAATGGGAAATTAAGGCTCACTGGGAATGTTACAAAAAAAAAAAAAAAACAAACATGATACGTGTTATGTGTACGGTCTTTTGTGGGTTAATAAATGTACAAATCTTTTGATGGTTACTTTCCAATTCACTTATTTTTATTCGCTGGTGCTGCTACACCGAAATGAGTATGAGATGTAGTGCATATCAAAGACACTTGATCCAACGCATGGCATTTCCAGTTTCAACGTTTGGTAACATTGGGGAAAGGCTGCTGCTGTGGGGTATACAAAAGTATTCTGTTCTTTCATTTTTCGTCCATTTACATATTTGATCAGAAACCCGTTGATTTTCGTCTGAACAAACTACTGTAAGGTTTTGTTTGTCCAGCTGTTGACTTTTTGTAAATATATGCAGATATGTGACGATGGTAAGATTGTATTGGTGTATCGGATGATGATGGTGGAGGATGGACTGTTTTCTTGCGGATGGCTGTCTCAAAATTATGATTAATAGCATCGGGTGTTAGCGGTGGTGATGGAGGGGATGAAGATGTTGCTGTACTATCAACCGAGGAAGCTCTCCTTTTATGGGGTCTACGCTTTCCCATCAAAGTATAATATCGATTGAAACAAGTAGCACGCTACATAAAATTAAAATGAATTAATGATCTATTGGCTTTCAGATTCCATTGGCGAACCATGCCGTTGGTAGGTACCTACCTTGCGATGGGGTAATTGAGCAGATATTTCTCCCCAAGACAATCCTTTGGCAACCCCTTCGCAGATGACTGCATCTTCCAGTTGTGAGAATCGGCTCCGTGGCTTGATGGAAGTTTCAGGCACCTGTATTGAAATTTTTCGAGGTGGATTGAGCATATCCTTTACTGTAGAAGAGAAAGGTCAACATGGATGGTCCATACCCAATTTGGGCTGGGCCCACGTCTCTTCGGTATCATTCACCCCCCGTATACTTACTTTTCATTGCACAAGTCGTTTGTTGGGAGGGTAGGACCAAATGTTGAAGAAAGGAAAAGAAAAGAAAAAAAAATCGGTAAAAGGGTTAAGCAACAAGCAGAACAAACGGGTTTACAGCTACAGTGAAAAAGGGAAGCGAATGGAAGAGAGAAAAAAGCAAATGCTGGCTTGAAATGTAAGTTGTTCTCTAATAAAAACGAAAAAAAGGGAGGTTTAAAAAAACCAGCATATGTATAATAATATATAAAATATCCCAAAGTAATTGGTAAAAAACAATGTGTTGGTGATCCCTTTGATGGCCGTATTTCGTATCGTTCAAAGTAACGCCGAAGAGGATATTGTAACTGCTACTGGAGCTGCAACATGTCAATCCTTACTGGCCCTTCCTCCGCGTGCTGACTCTCCCCTTTCTTACTCTGGCGTTTGGAGCAACTTTAATATATAATTTTTTGGGTATAGCTTTTGTTTTTTTTTTTTTCCTATCATTTTTTTATTATCATGTATTATAAAAAACACAACAGCAACAATGACACGATGGAAAGGAAAGAACAGCTGTCAAGACGGGGGGAGGGTAGTCTCCAGCAAGCGACATTTCTCTTTCTTCTTTGGAAATTGAAAAATAAGTAGAAAAATGACAGACCATGCACATCGTCTTGTCCCCTTGTTACCATGCAGGAACACACGGTAAAAGGGAAGGCAATAGTGGATATATTAACAAAAAAACAGATGCAACACTTAGACCTTGGACTGTTCCATCGCCTGTTCAGCCACATCTTCTTCTGAGTACCATGCAAAAACCAGGCTTACGAATTAGCTCAATATTGCATCCAACCTCACGTATCTTTATGGACGATCCTTCATCTAAAATGCTCTAATGCTTCATCATCAGTCAATATCGGAATGATCCGACGACTTGACTCGTCTCCCGAAATCACCCTCATTAACAAACACTGGATGGCACGGGTTTTGTTTGCACCACCCGTCCATTTTTCAGTCTGTCAAAATCCGCCATGTGGGTAAAAGCTAGCACATCTTTTTTTTTTTTTAAACTAGCATGCCACCTAAAGTGAGGAAATATATGCTGGGGTGACATCGCCCAAAAAGAAGAAGAAGGAATAAAGATTTGATGATTACACAGTGTATTATGAAAGAAAGGGGAGGGATGTATGCATAAGTGGAGGGCTAGTGTCGCCAATGTTCTATAGTTCCATAGCGTCATCATCACTATCTATATCCAAGTCGTGTTCACCGTCGTCTTCTGCTTCTTCCTCGGGTGCTGAAGCTGGAATGACAGCGTTGATATTATGCACAAGTTCTTGTGCGTGCTGCAGCATTGCTTCGTCGTCCGCCCCTGTTGCGTTGTAGATCTAACGAAGAACAACCATTAGCACTCGTACGATGGGATACCTAAGGGGGTCGGAGAGACCGTGAAGATCCCACCCATATCTAATTTACGATCCGTAAAACAAAAATAATAGATGATCAAGTCATACCTTGATGGCCGTTTCGAGACAGTCTCGTGCATCCTCCCAATGATGCTTCCTTTCCTCCTCTGGAAGATCTTGTTCTTCTCCAAGACAGTAGTATGACCATCCCCAAAGATACCAAAGATCCACCGACTGATCATTTTCCTTCTGGAGACCTTCCAAAACGTTAAACGCCTCTGCATATAACTGAACCTCCAGTAACAACTTCACAAGTGCAAGTCGGGTATCGTAAATAGGGATGGACGGATCACCAGGATCCTTGTCAGACCAAAGTTGCAAGCTATGTTCTAGTGCTGCTCGAGCTTCGTCGTTTCGAACTTGTGATAGTCTCACCGAAGCGAGCATTTGGTATACTTCGGGAGACTTGGGATCAGCCAATTGGGCTGTCTCAAGATACTGTTCACATTTCTGTTCCGCGTCCGCTTCGAAACTAATTTACAAAGAGATTGTTGGAAAAGAGTAAGTTGATGAAATAGTCATGAGGTTGCTTGATGAGACAATCGTTTGCTTGGACAAGAGAAATTTAGGTTGGAACTTACCAGCAGTCCGTCAAATAAATTTCGGTCATAGAACAAAGAGCAGAAGCAATCTTGTTGCCCAAAGTGATGGCCTCTTGTGAGACGGGATCATATGTCTTCTTCTGCTTCTCCATCAACTCGACACCCTTTTGAAAACACTGTATAGCATCCAATTCTCCAGATAGTTGACCGAGACACATGTATTTCTCGAAACCTGATTCGGGCTGCAACTGTACGGCTTTCGCATAGTGCTAAAAGGGACAAGGAAAATTCGTTAAGCACATCAGGTAGCCATGAGATGCTTCTGGCGCGAGAGATATCTCACCTCGCGGGCATTCCATAAATCTCCAAGTTCAACTTCGACTAATCCGGTCATTTCCAAAAGTTCGACGTGATCATTGTCCAATTCTAGCGCTCGTTTGCAAAATGCATATGCAGTGTCGTATTCAAGTGAATCGATGTTTGCTTGAATCTTGGGTAGAAGGTCTACCACGGTGTAATTAACCATTATTATTTATAATAAATACACGACAAAATCAGCAGGTCTTTAACATGAGTTTTTCTTTTCTACTTGACTACCTAAAAAAAAAAAAAACTTGAAAGGCAGCCAACGGTCACCAGTCACGTGAATACCATGAATGAAGTGAGTGAGGTTCTCACTCGGTGTCTTCGTCTTCATACGCGGACGGTTCTTCTTCCTCCAACTGGTCCTCCAGATCATCTAGTAGTACTTGCCGACGCAAATGACTAGATCTTTTGCTGATGTCACCTCGAACGAAGGCATCTCTTCGTCTTGGTAAGAAGCCACGAGGTTTCAATGGACTAAGAAGCTTTCTTGCTCGCATCATATTGAGTTCCGCCGTAATCATACGCAAATGATCCGAGTTAGAACGGGTATCTCTCATATAAGTATTAGTGACAGGATTGAAACGCGGTTGAGTGGTAGCTTCAGATCGACGGCGCTGAGAGGTGGGTCGTTTCGGGGGTAGTGGCATGGGTATAAGTTTTCGACCGGAAGGCGTTGTTCTATTTCGACCAGAGAAGGATCGCCTTAACCGAGTGAACCATGATTCTTCTTCTTCATTGGCAACTTGTGGTGGTGATCTTGGTGGCAAAGGGTATAGAGGAGGCTTATGATGAGTGGCGGCGGTGGGTGATTTTCTTGAAATGGAGCTGAGGGAGTGCCTTCGAGACAAAGAGTGCCCTACGCTAGATTTTCGCTTGGGTGCTTCTGGTCTTGGTCGGCGAAGTTTAGCTATGCTTGTGGTCCTCGTATCTTGCCACCGAGCATCCTCATCGTTCATAGATCGTACTTTGCGTAATACAAGCGGCGAATTTCGTCTATCGTCAGATTCTGACAGAAAGCCTTCTTCGGTGTCATCGTCCAATGCTGTGGGTTCTGAAACGGCTAAGCGCGACTGCTTGAGAGTATCAGCCAAGCGCGCTATTTCTTCTTGTTGCTTGATGGACTCTGGGTCGCTTAATGGTGGTGGCGGTACATGTAACGGTAAAACTTCAGTGAAAAAATCGGCTGATAAAAAGTTACGTAAAGCGGATGGTGTCTGCTCCTATGTAATAAAATTTGAGAGGAAAAAAAAAGGAAGAAATAGTTAAGGCATCACAATTTCAACGACGACATGAACCAATGACCCCCCCCCCCCCTTGGATCACATTTTACTTACCAGTTCTTCTTCGTCAGGTAGACTTTCTTTACTATCCACAGCCACCCAGTTTTCTACGTGGGACATACTTCGCATCGGTCGCGGTAGTGGTGGCTTAAGTGGTGATGTAGGTGTTTCTTGGTCGTTGAGCCTTATTGCCACCATCGACCTAATAGGTTCTTCCGACGGTGTATTATTGTCAGTCACTGTTAAAGGAGGTATTGCATCATCTTTTTTTCTCTTTTTTCTCTTATGGCGACCGATTAAAGGCGGGATGGCACCATATGGCTTTGGTGCTTGAGAGGTAATTTGCTTTACAAGTTCACGGTACGATTGATTACTTTGACTTGAGGACGTAGAAGAGGGGCTAGCGCTGAGTGAATTGTGGGAAGAACTCGAATCTTGATCTGTACGTGAAGAGCGGTGCTGAGGAATAGGCATAGGTGCTGTTAAACTTTGAGTAGTCATTGGGGGTGCATTGAGTGCTGCTTTCCACTCAGAAATACAGACAAGAGGCAACACAACCGGTAACAGCCGGCTTGGGTCAGCTTGACTTTGGGCTGTGACTTTGAAAATCAGTGCAGAAATGCTGTCAACACCTCATTCTCGCGGACGTTTCGAAACCTGGTTCCCTTACCTTTTTTTTTTTCAATGCATGTACCAGGCAACAAATATGGCAAACCCTATGCCAGTAAGCACGGAATTCCGTGTTTGAGAGGCTACTTCGCCGTCATCAGGCTGCCTTTGTTGTGAGTGATGATCACCATCCCAGCGATCTCCATACCTTGAGTACATTTCCCTGCGACTTTTGTTGCTGACGATCTGGTAAGCTCGATTGATTTCTTGAAACCGTCTAGTATCGCCACCTGCGGCATCGGGATGAAACTGTTTGCACAATTCGTAGTATCTATCTTTAATCTCTTTCTTGCTGGAGCTTTCGCTAACACCAAGTATTTGGAAGGGCGTTTGCCTCGGTATCCTATTTCGGCTATATGATCGATACCACAGTCTGTTTGTTTTCTTGAACATCGTTGGACTTCGACCCGCTGTTAATTGAAAGTTGTTGCGTTAAATAGTTGCAAATTCTTGCTGAGGCTAAATTGATGTGACAAGTCATACGAGATAAGGGCCACTGACAATTAGTCGGCATCAGGTGGCAGCTTTACCTGTTGTGCACACGGTGACCTAGACAGGGCCACTTTGGCAGCATTCTTGAACTCATGCTTGCTCCCATTGAATACATTGATCACATTACATTAGATTGTTTTTTGTTTGCATCTTAAAAATTTTATTGAAACAATGGTGTTTTCATTGACAACTAATGCAGACAGAAGTTAAATTGTGATATTCAGTGTAATACATACAATTGATCATTGTTTAGAGCAAAAATATCTGCATTTCTGAAGGAGTCGCAAGGTGACGTTTGTCAGTAGCTGTGTTTCATTCACGGAGTAAACCGTAACAATGATTTCGCGAAACGAAATGGGCACAATACTAAACCCTACCGACTTTAATAACTGTTTCAAGTTGGATGGTTCATACGAGGCAGCACAGCTGAGATAATTGGAGTATCCGTTGCAGCAGTACGCAATGTTTGGTGGAGGTAGATGAGAGCCAATTCATATGACTTCTGTTGAGTCTCGGTTGAGTCTGCGTACGTTCAGTATTTCTCAAATTCTTCCCAAGCACCCCAGATATCTACACGCAGACCTGAAGTTCGCACTGAACATTTTGTATTTTGTTTTTTGATTTCGAGCGCAAAGTCTCTTGGCCTCTCCAAGGTTTTAAGCCCTCCACCATATCCAAGCTTTCTACCAGCAAGACGACCAAACAAGTATATAGCAGTAGAGATAATGATGACACGAATTCCATCGGTACGGAACGCAATATTACTTCAATAATGCTCTTATGGGCTCTCTAAGCTTCCCTACTTCGTACCGTTGTCTGGGATAGTTACTGCTAATTCAACCCTAGATACGCTCGGTGAGTGCATATGAACAACTAGAGCAAGGAAACCATAAAGAACTCTGTTAATCCTGAACATTGACTCTATTTAAACATATTTTGTGCATAATATTCGAAATAAAGAGTATGTTGGAGCGTCCCTTCTCAAGGCATCTTAGAGCCTCAATTTTTTGATTTCAGTCTTTGTGCCTACACGTGACAATCCCCCACGCTTTCTTTCTCTTCTCCAGCACTATGACCAGCAGCGAATTCAGAATCGAGCGTGATACATTTGGCGAGTTGAATGTTCCTGCAGACAAGCTTTACGGAGCTCAGACTCAGAGGTATTGATGAAATCCATGAGAATTTCCATGTTTGAGTATCACTTTTTCACCGTTCTGTTGGTCATAGGTCAGTGCTGAACTTTGACATTGGTGGCCCTAGAGAGCGGATGCCAGAGCCTTTGATAAAGGCTTTTGGAGTGTTGAAGAAGGCTTCGGCTCAAGTCAATATGACTTATGGGTTGGATGAAAAGGTTGGCAACGCGATCATCAAAGCTGCTGACGAGGTAAGTTGTCTTGATCGTTGGCCGCGTCGCTTGCTTCCAATTTTAGGTCCCCGCCATTAATGTAACGCCATCGAACTGACAATAGGTCATCGAAGGAAAACTACTCGACCACTTCCCACTGGTGGTATTCCAGACAGGATCTGGAACGCAGACAAACATGAATGTGAATGAGGTTGGTGCGATATTACCTGAAAGTGATATTTTTACCACTCTCCGCTAAAGCTGTTTCTTTACAGGTGATCGCTAACAGAGCTATCCAAATTCTGGGCGGACAACTCGGCGACAAAAACTTGGTTCATCCCAATGACCATGTTAACATGAGCCAGTCATCTAATGATACGTAAGTAAAGCATATGATAGTATGCTTTTCTCATGGTCCATGTAAACCATCGGTTTTAAAGTTTTCAAACTCCCGCAGATTCCCGACTTCCATGCACATTGCTGCTGTTGTTGAAATTAATAAATCACTCATTCCGGCCATGACCTTGTTACGAGATGCCATGGCCGAAAAGGAAAAGAGCTTCCAGCACATCATCAAGATTGGTCGAACACACTTGCAGGATGCAGGTAGAGATTGCCCTGGGCGTAAAAGTTTACAAAGGCGCCATGAATCCCACGCCGCTAACCAATTGCACATGTTTCGTAGTGCCGCTCACACTAGGACAAGAGTTCTCCGGATATGTTACCCAATTAACACTTGGCATTCAGCGTGTGGAGCATGCGACGAAAAACCTGCTGAAACTGGCTCAAGGCGGTACAGCTGTTGGTACTGGCCTGAATACCCGAAAGGGCTTCGATGAGAAAGTTGCAAAGGCCATCGCCGACCTGACCAAATACCCATTCATTACGGCTCCCAATAAGTTCGAGGCTCTCGCTGCTCATGATGCTATTGTGGAAGCGCACGGTGCTCTCAACACAGTTGCGGTTTCTCTGATGAAAATAGCAAATGATATTCGGTACTTGGGATCTGGTCCTCGCTGTGGTCTTGGAGAATTGTCGCTACCTGAGAACGAACCTGGTTCAAGCATTGTAAGTTGGCAGCTGTTTTTTTTGGAAGCTAGCAGAGGCTACCAGAAGAAAAAGATAGACAGATGCTAATGACTATCTGATACTTCAGATGCCTGGAAAAGTGAATCCTACACAATGTGAAGCAATGACTATGGTGTGCGCACAAGTCATGGGTAACAACACTACTATTTCTATAGCCGGTTCAAATGGTCAATTCGAGGTGAGTCCTAGCATGTAGTTGCGGATATATGAGCACCTTATGTTCCTTTCGATGCTAACGTTATGCGCATTGCATTATTCTTCGTTCTAGCTCAACGTATTCAAGCCAGTCATGATCAGCAACTTTTTGCAGTCTGTGCGTATTCTGTCGGATGCATGTGTTTCATTCACCAAAAACTGTGTGGTTGGAATTGTGGCTAATGAAGCCAAGATCAAGGCCATCCTAAATGAAAGGTATGTGAAAGCGAAAATGAGCATACATCTCTAAGCACTGCAGCCTTAACACAATGTCCTTCGCAGTCTGATGCTGGTGACTGCTCTGAACCCTCATATTGGTATGTACAATAACCGGCGTTCCGTTTCAATTCACTTCTCGTTTATTGATTTTCTTCCTCACTCATTATCTGCGCGATGATAACACATGATGTTGTACAGGCTACGACAATGCAGCCAAGTGCGCTAAGAACGCCCATAAGAAAGGAATCACACTCAAGGAGTCCGCTCTAGAACTTGGTGTTCTTACTGAACAGCAATTCCATGACTGGATTAAGCCTGAGGAGATGATAGGTCCTAGTAATAACTAACACTGCAAATCGATAGTGAACGCAATAAAGTAGGCGACGTGTTTATGTACAAAAATCATCAATGGATTAAGTGTGAATTGTCTTATTCACATGTCGGTGAAGGGAGTGGTGTCTACCGGTGACGTATAGTTCAATCGGTCCAAGCGTTGTCGCATTTGCCTTCCAACAGGACCTCGGATAGGCATTTCGAAAACCACGCGACCTAGAGTATCCACCAACAGCTTTCGATCTTTGGGTGATGAGCTTGTGTTCATTGCAATGTCGCACATGGTTTCAAAGGTGTTAAAGATAAATGAGTCTGCGAGTGGTATCTCGGGACAAGTGGTAGCGTTGGTGATTAAGAACGTCGCTATGGATTTAATGGCTTCATGATTATATTGACAAGGTGACGCCATCACCGTCGACAAATTGGTTTGTAACAACGTAGCGATAGGATACTGTTCGTGCAAGCGAGCAAGTTGGCGTTGTAAATACCATGATAGCGAGTAGTTATGATGGGTATGGACGATGTGCTCTACAAACATACGAACAATGGTATCAGCACGTTGCATATCGTTATCGGATCCGCTTCCACGATAGCGAATATAGTGCGCTAGCTTGGGCGCAAGGTCAATGTAAGCGGGTTTCGGTTCAAGTATCGTGCGGTTGGCAGCTCGACGAATGGACCGAATCAAGCACGCTCTCAGGCCGAATAAAGTCGAGTCTGAATATGTCAAGTCAAGTCTGTAGCGGCGACTGAGAATGTAAAATGAAAAACGTCGATAGACTTGGCATACTTGGCTCATAGTCCACACATCGTTGATATCGACGTTGTCTAGAACTTGATAAATGTTTTCACTAGGCAGCGAGAGTAATATGGATATCTTCTGCATAAGACATATAAAATTGATAAGAGACAAAAAGATAGAGCAACACGAATTTGCAGGATTGATGGCTTACAGATGAGGTCATGTGCTCTGTTTTTTGTAGGGTAAAGCGATCTCGGGAAAATCAACGGTCAAAATCATATGAATCATAGTCTGCAGCTATAATATGCAGTTGGAATGCTTAAACGATGAGACGACTATGTATGAGCCCCTCTATCGTTGTGGGGGGGGGAGAGAACATGTTATTTCCCGAGGAGAAACTGTCAAGACGGAATGCACTATGTTTGTAGGTGCGAAATCTGTTTATCCGCCTATTTACTTAAATTTAGCTATTGAGATCCCGATCCTGAGGCCATGGGCCATCTTCTGCAAAGACCTCCATGGGCAAATGTGACCGCAATATTTGTCATCAGGCAATCCGCCCTTAAAGCAACGTTGATAAGGTTCAAAACATTTATAATGTATTAGGTAGTTATGCATGGTTTCTTTGGTTTTCTTTACGTTGGAAGAAACATCATTAAAGGAACGATATGATAAAATAAGAAGACAAAAGAAATATACACACAGAAGAAGAAAAAAGTACACAATAAAAAGCGAAAAGAAAGCGATATAAGCTCATTTAGAGATTACACAACTGGTGAGTTGGTTATAGTAGTAATAGAGTTGAGTGATTTGCATTTTGAGTGAGAGGGGGAATCTTTTTGGCACATTTCTGTCCTTCTATGCGGCAACTAGCGTTGCGTCTTCCCATTGAGAAAACTTTGGTACAAAGGTAGAATCCTTCTTATCAACCACCATGGAGATATCAACAGGGGTAGTCGCTTCAGTTGGTAGACTACAAATGGATTGATCATCATCTTCACTTGTAGTATCCGACTGAGTCGCGGGGCCTGCCCAGGTCATACGCTTAGCTTTGTTGGCATCAAACGCCACCATAGAAGGTGTATAAAAATTATATTGGGAATCCTTGTTTGCTGCATGTTGAACGGTCAGCCTATCTGGTGACGGAAGATGAAAATCAAAGTAGTTTTCATCGGTGCTGACCCACTGGTCACCTTTTTCTTCAGTTGGTGACGGAGGCATGTAAATACCAGAATCATTGATGGTAGATAGCTTGTACAATTGGGCGGCCGTCTTATTGCGACGGCCATGGTTCAAAATGGGAGGTACAAAAAGAGTTGGCATCTTGGGTCCACCTTTTTTTGGTGTTTCTGTGTCAATTGATTGAGGAGTATTAGTAGTAGTGCGCTTCAGCCAGAACTTGGATTTCTTTTGTTCAGGTGCGACAACAGGAGGAAGAGTAGCAGTGACCGACATGATTGATCAAAAATTAAAGCGAAAGGAATCTAATAAAAGGCGAGACGAGTGGAGAAAAAGAGAATATTTGAGTCGCAGGAAGGTTGGTCTAAGAACCCGTATTTAAAAGCTTTTTTTAACATGACTTCTTTTCTGGGAACAAAGGATGAAAAGTAGAGCCGCTTTTTCTGCCTACCCAAAAGAGGTTTCGGATGACATGCCTCTTCCCCTCCCCCCAATCTGGGTACTGATGGGGGGTCTTGCCCAATCAAATGTGGAACAGGTGCGATTGGTTTCAGCCAGACTGCCAGCATTTTCTATTTTATCGACGGACATTATGAATCTGAACCATTCATCTTCTTCCTTCCTGGCATTATGAATAAGAAAGCAAGACATATCATCATCGCAATAAACCCCACGTCGCAAGAAGCTGAGCATACCGTTGATTGGGCCATAAGTAATATATTAGATTCAAACCGCGATCAAGTCGACCTTGTATGTGCTCTCGACCTCGATGTTGATTTTACAGACGATGTCATATCCGATGTGCCAGCCATGTACGATTATCAATACCTCAATGATATGGAGCAACAGGTAAAATTTTTATTTCAATAGTTCAGACAATGATTTTTTTCAATCTAATTTGGATTTTGCCCAGATTGAAAGTCGGTCTGCCAATGCAATGAAACGGTTTGAGGGCATGCTGACTGAAAATGATATCAATGTAAAGGTGAAAGTTTACAAGGCGATAGGATCAGAACCTCGGAACATTTTGGTAGAATATACCCAAGCTTCAAATGCTGATATATTAATAATGGGCAGCCGCAATCTCACCACTTGGAAGAGGTAAAGTGAATAGTATCTGGTTAGAATTCCCATTATAAGCTTATTCTAATGAGCGTTCCTAAAGGTTCTTTTGGGGGAGCTTCAGTGAGTATGTACAAGCCCACGTTAACTGCCCTGTCATCATCGTGAAAGAATGATGATTATTGAAAATGCGAAAGAAGCTTGTTGCTGCGTCATATCGCCATAACTAAATATAGACACACCGAATAAACCATGATCAAACGTTAGCGTTTACAGCGACTACCCAAAACAAAGCATTACGTTGCTACCGTCCGTTTGTGAGCAGACGGTTGATTTTCATGAAGTTTACCTAGTCCAAACCACTTTCAAAGTGCGTAGGCGTTGATTCAAAGGTTAGGGAGTAATTGTATGGGATTTTCAGCAGGTACTGTAGCGGAACCCGGACTTAAAATTGCAAAAGTTACTTCGCGCCAGACTTGGTCCCCACATGCTTTATAATCTCGTGATTGGTGGGTGAGTACGCGCCGAGCCAAAATGCCCCGCCCAGATTGGTGTCGCCATAGCCGGACCGACCATGCCAAGCTTAAGCGGGCTGGGTGTGGATGCCGCCGATAATCTGACCACTTTTCAGGATGTGTCTCTGACCCATTTTAATGACTGGCTGTTCTATCTACAAATAATATACAAACACGAAGGAAAAAGGAATTTAGCTACAGAGCATATTTGCTCATAAAAGACATCTACAAGAAAAAAAAGAAAAGTGTCTTCTATCCAGGCAATTAAAAAAAAAGCTAGGGTATAGGGGTTGAACCACCGTTTCTAGTTAACTGGCCAACTATTTCGTTTGGCCGAGCTTCCTACCATTACATTTAGACGTCGAGAGCTAGTTTCAGCAGTTTTTTGCTTGAGAGGGGTCAAACTGGTTCCTACATCCGTTTCATCACCTGCCGAGATACCACCTTCACCAATGATGACCCAATTAATCTTGCCCTTGCGAAGTGCTTCACAGTAGTCGGAAGGGAAGTGGTCGTTGACAAAAAATGGGAACACCACGCGTAGGATGATTCGTACCAGCGAGTCCGATACCAAACGGGCGATAATGTGTCTGTTCAGCAGACCAGAAAGATGCAAAAATGAAATGGGTCGTATCGGTACGGGCTCGTTGGTCAAAGGATTGGGTGGGTATAAAGTAATGTTGAATGCAGAGTCGATAAAGACCAATGTGCCTGGTGGGGAGCTGTAGTTATCATGTGACGGTACGCGGGTCACAATGTCTGTTACAGGAGATAATGGTAAGTAACGATTTTATGATATGGTCATTCGCTCGCAGAAGATAACCCATACCATTATTGTATGCATGGTGAAAAATCTTGCTAGACATTCTAGGAGAAAATGTTTTTGCAAAGTCGGTATCCGCTATCTTTGGATGGCCGAACGTGTATAGCCCAGCAAAAATTTGCAATAACTCGGAATTGGACTGTAGCATTTTAGCTAGAAAGACTGGCAAAGAAAGAGATTTTGTTAGAGGTTTGCCATGAATAACGGAAAAAAGGCCACAAAAAGGTCGGGGAAGCTTACTTGTAGAAAGAGCTCCTCCTAAAGAATGCCCAGTGATGAATAGACGTTTTCTGCCATGGCGTGTACTTTGCCGCATAGTTGGACTATCCACAGATCGCCGATTGGGTTTTTTGGCTAGATTAGTAGCTTGCTCATCCGTACTGCTACTGTCGCTATCCTTCAGATCAGGAACCACGCCTTCATCTCCACTGTCGGCATCTCTATTAACCAAATCCATGATCCAACTCTCCGCTTGCACAAATAAATTTTGTGATCGAAGATCAACGTTCTCTCCTAGCCAACGGCTGTCGACTGGATCTCGTACGTGATGCGATAAACTACTGGTCAGAAATCGGATGATCTGCAGTATAGCCTTGATGGTCGTCCATATTGTTCGGGATATGGAAGTGCCACTAAGCTCAATGTTGACTGTCGATGAAACACCGGGATCGACTGCAGCTGCAGCTGATGATTTGCGTTTCATCTTTGGATCACCCATTGCTTCCCAAAATCCTTTGTGCACTTTCCCCATATATCCAATATAGGGCGAGTTGACCTGCGCCTTGTGTATGTTGACATTAGTCATGTAGTTTGCCATGTTCATAGGATTTGTACCGCGGAACACGAGCAAGATGTCATCATCTTTTTCGGCAATGAAAGCGCATATATTCTGGAGGACCAAGAGTGAGGAGATGAGGTATGTCAACAACAAGAAGGACGGCAAGCATACGAAAATTTTACACGCCACACAACTTACCTTGTACGCAATAGGTTTGAACGTGTTTTCAACGTCAAACCCAGCTCTTGCTAATTCATATTTGATCACCTCAACATCCTCATAAGCAAGTCGACTAGACACACCTAGAGTGTAGGCTAACGGTAACGAGTATCTTGGTCGTCGAAGCAGGTCGGAGAGAGCATTATCCTTAGAATCGGTGGCACGTTTTCGTTGTCGAAACTTTCTACCGCTTTCTAAATTACTTGTCCTTGGGATTGTATCATCAAATAAATCGAGATTCTTGTTCATAGCGTTAATAATCGCTGTTACAAATTTGGGGTGGGTGGGATCATGTGTCAGTTTGGGGCGATTGGGAGGCATGCTGACAGGTCAGTGAGCAAACTTACAATACGTCTTGCCAGTAGGATGGTAGCCTACAAATTGGCGTAATACACTTCGAATGACAACGTCGCAGCTAAGCAGAATGCAGAACCACATGAAGAAACTGACACGGATGATGGCGGATATGATGGGGCCAATAATGTAGGTGTCAGAGAGATATCTCGCTATAGGTGACAGCAATTTACTGGTCCGAGACAAAGTGCGAGCAACGACAGGTGCACCTTTTTTGATGGTTTTGTAGCCAAGGAACATGACAATGGATATAACTAGACATAGCAATGAGGTAATGAAGAGAATTAAGCTGAGCGCAGTGTATTCGTGAGCCATAAGATAGGTAGCGACGAGTGAAGGTATGGCTGACACTAAGAAGGCGATCGCAAAGTACAATCGGTTCCTTCCGTGTGCCATGGGTGAGAATGTGAAGGGAAGATGAACGGTCTGGAGAGGGAATTGATGGCGGAAGAAGAATAAAAAAAACGGAAAGGACGGTGTGCCAAAAGAAATTATGAGATGATTGAACAAATTTTCTAAGACGAATTTTTAAAATTTTCATTTAGGCGATAACTTAATGGAACATCACCGCTGGCTTTCAGTATCCTCTGTTTGATGGTTGCCAGTGTCATGGTAGGTCCAAGCGCAGTCTCACCACAAAGAAGTTCTATACCATCAGCCTGCAAGTGACCATATGCCATCTCATCCTCGGACTTCAGTCGATCGACTATGTACTGAGCGAGTTTTCTCACCCGAAGCACTCTGTTAGCTAACAGTCTGTTATGAGCGCCACCAGGTAATTCAGGCAAATTAGAAGACTCATGCGGCCGAAGCACAAAGGTCAGCTTGACGGGTTCTTTGTGGGGTGCTTTGTTCTGAAGTAGAAGATGTGAGACAATGGAACTCCAAACGGGTTACCTTTTTCAATTTCTGCCCTAGGCACTTACATAGAGGAGATAGTCCAATAACCAATTGGGGGCAACCTTTTCGATCACTTTGGCGTCATTGACAGTAGATCCAACTGTTCCACGATACAAATCCATACTAGTCGACGCCTCAAAGCTTTCTTCAGAAATAATAACCGTCGTCGTAGGAGGGATCTCAATTGTAGGAACTTCATTCACAGTGGCAGGTGTATACAAACTAGCAGTTTCCGGTACTGGAGGAACTGGAGGTTCAAGTTGAGCTTGCTTGGAGTCTGCTTGTTGATGAGCGTCGGCTGCCACACCTTTTGTTTGTTTGGATGCCATGTCGGGATTGTAAGCTCCCTGTTCAGGTGTGGACGCTGCTCGTGCATGCAACGGATTCTACTCATAACATGGTTATTATAGCGCTGATATACTCTGGTCATTTGGCTATATTTCACTTACCGACGATTGTAAACTTGATGAATTATCTGCTGACGAAGCCAAACTGCTCATCATACCACCTTCCATTTTAGCTTCGGCACTCGGTGTACGACCCAGCTTGGCCTTAACAGACAAATTGCGCAACCGCCCCATGAAACCTCCAGTGGTTGGTGACATTGGACCATTATTGGAAGTAAATGCAGCTGGCGGAGGAGCTTGTATCAACGGCGTTTGCGGTGGATTATCATGGTGAGCACCAGAAAAGTAGTCTTGTCGTTGAAATGCCGTTGTTGGTGCAGTTGCTGCTCCACTATGGTGGGTAGCAGTATTTTGACTCAGGTCCACGTTTTCAGTCGCCTGATTGGTCACATTGGTAAGCCCGTTTGAGCTACTTGCTATTGGTGCTGGCGCTGGTAAAGAAGTCACCTTGATGTTGGGTGTTTGTAGCTCTGGTACTTGTTGATTGAAATTCGGAGAAGACCTTCCGGTATGAGTAGGGGACTCATCGGTTTGCAATTCTTTAAAGTTTTGTAATTCTTCTTCTTGAACAACCAATTCCGCAGTGACAAAACCTTCAAACAAGTATCGTAACACCCACTTTCCTAAGTTGACTGGAAGATACAATTATCGTAAATATATCTAGTTGTTTCATATTTGGTGATTACTCGTATCGATGACTTACTTCTTTGTTCCTCTCGGATCTCGTAGTCTTCGGGCAAGTTCGCTTCATCAGCGTACATCTCACAATCGAAGCATGTCTGCTCATCCAAGTGAACAGTAATAGCCTATAACCACATTGATCAGTAATGCGTTACGAGTAGAAAGCGTACGAGGATAACTGTGTTATTGTATGGTTAACTTACACCAATCTTAGTATCCACAGCGCACCAGTTGGAGAACGTCTCCATGGTGTTGATCTGCTGAGCCACTTCTTCGATTGGCCGCTTGCCAAATATCTTGATTTTTTTGCACTGGAAAAAGCACATCTGTTAGCAGCAAATTCCTCTACTAGCCGATATTAGCTCCAGTGACAATACATTACCTCAACTAGATCCCACTGTGCGACTTGGCCTTCAGTATCCACAGTCAGGACATATCGACGATTGTTTAGCATCAGATGTGAGCTGAGACCCGGTTTTCCTGAAGAATAATATATGCCATGAATATTTAAGCAGTTGACATCCATCATCGAATAGACATCTACCTTCAATTACACTTTCTGGTGTGTCACGAAGTGGGATCAATGTTTCACTCGATTCTGCATCATCTTCATGATAGCTCATGGGGATGGACAGAACTGAACCAGCATACAAAGTCATGTTCTCACTGCTCATAAATGATTCCGGTAGGGGCCCTGAAAACGCAATGTCTGGTGGGGGTAGTTGGACCATGGCGCTGTTGGGTATTTCGGGATTGTACGCTGATCGTGATAACAAGCCGCGGGAGTGCTTTGGTGGTATACTCAACTAGGAAATGAAAACGGTAAATATATAATATGAATGACTGACATAGCCATCATTCAGCTTACCCATCGATTGACGCTTGAACTAGATGTAGCAGTCCATACATATCGGTCGTCTAATACAACAATCTTGGCAACTCCTCCGTTCTCCTTGAAAATACCAACGCATTCGTCTTCTCCAGATGAACCACCAGCTTCATGACTGCCAAGCTCTGTTCTAGTCACCAAGCCGTCCTTTGAGCCTGCAAAGAATGTCTTGAGCTGAGGATGATCCGAATACAGTGTCCATACTGAATCTGTGTGGGTCTCATAGGTAGCGAGACATCTAGAAGTTTTTGTTGACCAAAGTTTGATAGTTGAATCGGACGACCCTGACAATACCTAAACAAATATACAAATAAGGACATGCTATCGCCATGACCACTGTCAAGAAATCTACCAACGTACCAATTGGCCGTCATCGCTGATTAGCAGCGCACGGATATTGTCAGTATGGCCCGTGAACTTTGTGATGCGCTTTCCAGACCTTGAATCCCAAAGCCTCACAACCTGTTTACAGAAGGATCAGCATACTTTGAAAAAAGATAAGACCCCCCAATGTGCCAAACCATAGGGAAGAGGCTGAAAGATTTTACCTTTTCAGGTGAGCCAGTGGCAATTATATTCCCGTGTAAATTAGTTGCCAAGGCATAAATGGACGCTTTGGGAGATGAATCAGACACATGCCCTGATACATTAGTTAAACCGTGTTGTTGGGAGGCTGTAGAAAATGTCAAGATAGCAGAGCTTCTGGATTCGTTCAAATCCCAAAGACTGACTTTTCTATCAAAGCCCGCGCTAGCAACCCAATTTGTTGCGTCGGTCGCTGCCAAGCATTTAACAAAGTCGGCATGATTTCCAAGCGTATGTATACTATTGAAAGTTGTGCTATGGGGCTTCCAAAGCTTGATGGTCCTATCAGAGGAAGCAGATACCACTGATTGAAAGAGAAATAAGTTTCCGTTTCAAGGTTGAGGCAAAACAGGATGGGATTGGCGTTTGACTCACCGACTTCCTTATTATTGCAAAGTATAATGTCATTAACCCAATCAGTATGAGTTTGCGAAAACACACGAGGTGTGGACTTTGGTGGTGGGGAAGGCTATGTGGAGAGAATGGATTAACAACGTTAACACCTAACGGTTTCTTTAACAAGTTCTAAAAAGTCATACAATAGCCGATTGATCCAATAACCACTCTCTTCTCGGTGTGTCAGTGTCTTCTTCATCTATTTCGAATTTTGCTGCACGTTGAAAGGGCATATGCAAGTCCCAGCCGGCCACAACACCGTCTCGACCTGCAGTATATAGAATGCCGCCTTCATTTACATGAGAGTTGGGGTATCTACCAGCCGATGGATCTAAAGCCAGAGAATTGACACCTAAGCGGTGGGCAAGATCATCATTTTCATTCTTTACAACGTATGAGACCTTTCGACGAGTAGTAGCCCTCATCATATAGAGGACGTTAGGTCAACCTCAAAGACTTCACCTCAAGTCCCGACGCAACGAAGCTGAGTACAGCACTTTGCACAGCGGGTCACGTGGTGTATGATGTAGTCATTATCCTTAATGGGTCAGCATCGTACGGGCTTTTGTGCCTTTACCACCTGGAGACAAAAGCTGAAAGAGCAGCTTTCCCTTCCACTTAGATGACCGATCATGCTAACAATTTACATGTGCGTGGTCATGAAAATGACTCGTATGCAGCAATCCAGGACATCCCAATCATGGTGTCTCCGCTCTACAAGATGCCCAAGCCAGTAAGCCTTCTCCCTCATTTTACAGCTCGTAAATTCCTATATTGTATACTAATCTCCTTGCAAAGGTTGTGCTTGGAAATCACCTAGCTATTATACCAGAAAATGTGAATAATTTGGTATGAATCATTTCTCGATTGGATATAAATAGATTAAGAACTTTAACCAACGTTTTATGAACAGCTGTTGTACCCCTTTAGTCTTGAGCCAGAGGTTTCAAAAGAAGTAGAGCAATGCAGAGAGCTTGAAAAGAAGAACATTGAAAAGCTTGAGCAAAAATACCAGGAATACATTCATGATAGAATCCAGCGCCAGAAAGTGGCCGCTCGAAAAATCGCTCCTGGATTTTTAGATACAGACACCAAGATACTGACACCGAAACCGCTCAACGCAAGGGCCAATGGTTCGGTGGCAGAACCTGCAATTGAAATGCCTTCACCGAACAGCCTTTCACGCCATAATCGTTCAATGAGTGATGAGATTCCAAGTGCTCGCCTCGTGCTACCTGATCAAGGCGTTAAGGTGACCACTCACTTGCTTGAATTTTCGGACGACTAAATTGAACATATCACTAATGTTCTCTCTATAGCCCTCTACTTCAGTATCAAGCGGTTTAGGATCAAAAAAGCCAAACAATATCAATTACCTTGAGTTTGAGCAGGGGCTAGCCCCATTGGATCCATGGGATACACCTGAAAATGATATAGATGCATTGCAGGAAATATGGGATGCTCGTAGCCCCGTCAAGCAAGATAACCGTCGAAGAACTTTGAATGACATGAGTGGAACAAACCAAATGTCTTATCAGCAATCTGCCAACCATGGGCCAATGCGATCATACCAACACCAACAACAACCACAGCATTCAATGCCTCTTCCACACAAACAACCATCCTACCCCCAACCACCACCACATTATCCGGTTAACAGACCAACAAGCGGTAAGGAAAGCTTTTTGGTTGATATGTCTTTTGAAATCTTTGGTATACTGAATTACATATGTCGGTGGCGTCAACAGGTACAACCAGCCCAATACAACATAGTTACCCTCCTCTGAGAGCGACGTCACCCAATCCACCTGCTCGACCTCCTAAAGCGTTTGATACTACGCCTCCACCACCTCCACCGCCAGTGCCAGCAGCTGCTAACCAGGAACATAGCATGACTAATGGATTAATACAAGAATTGGTAGATATGGGTTTTACTCGAGAACAAGCGCAAAACGCTCTTGAGAAGAATGACAATGATATAAGCAAAGCTACCAATTTTTTGCTAGATTTCAGCGAGTGAACAGTCAGCTAACCAATCATGTACATTAATAAACTGTTTGCTCGGAATGAAACAATAGCAACAAACCCAGTGTGTATGCCGTAAGCGGTCATGTCGAATGCTAAGCGGAACGTGAAGCTCTTAAAAGGCTTACTAACGTAGGTACTTTGAGATGAACTGCAAAGCATGATTACATAACATGTACCTGGGCGGCCGTGTGAAATTATAGAAAGGTATGAAACAGAGTGATCTCTCTTTCGCCCATTCATCTAAGGTTAAATATCAAAAAAATATGACCGCTAGCTATCTATGACTCGTGATACATTGTATTGTTTCGCTGAGCCAACTCACTGCGTCTTCTTCTTCTTTTCACCCAGTTATGTCTGTAGAAATCTAAGATGTTACGAAACGATGTTTGGCAAACAATGTAGGTTCGTTCTACAACTGGTCAAGCGTAAAGGTTCACCGCTTACGATTTGTGAATAAATATGACTCTTCCCATCGAATTTAAGCCTTACTTGCAAGAAAGCGTCTGTCAATAATTATGACCTGGGGCAAAAAATACTGAGTGGGGGCTAAAACCACAGATGTGTGGCATTTTATTTTTCATTAAATTGTACTTCATGGGGCGTCTGTTGCTGACTGCTTGCATAGCCATTGGCCGTCCGGACGGGCTTTTGACAGCTCCCTGTCCGACTGATTGGCTACCTGGTAAGTAGGAGTGGCGAAAATTTATTGCCGCCTCCATTGCTCATGAGTTACGTCTTGAGAACTCAGTATTTAGCAAGTGAACTAAAGGCGAGTTCCTTTACCATGCTGCGAATGATGAACAAACGTTGGTGCGGGAGACGACAACGTGCGGCTTATGACAGGTGCAGTGGGGACCTTTATTCATACTGACAAACTTGGCAAATGCGCTCTGCCAAATTTTTGATCCCCAGCTTGCCCTTTCAGCAAATTCCAGCTTTGAAAAAAAAATTATAAACCCTTTTCAACCAACCATTGGATGAGCGTATAACATGACGGTACCTGTCATAGCCGATGGAGGGCCAACAACCCCTTCTGCGAAGGCTGCACGCCAGACAATAACTCAAGTCGCTGCGGATTTCAATACCGACGTTGAAAATGGCCTTCAGCAATCTCAAATCCAGTCGTTACTAGGTCTTCATGGACCTAACGATTTTGAACAAAAGGAGGAGGAGTCGTTGCTCATCAAGTTTTATAAATCCTTTTCCGAAAACCCGTTGATATTGCTGTTGCTAGGATCGGCAGTTGTATCGCTTCTCATGCGCCAGATGGACGACGCCATCAGTATCACTTTGGTAATGTGCAAGCATCTGCTCTGCAACTTGTACCTTTATTGCCCCATTACTGACTTGCTTGGCACGAATCTCATGTATACGCTATCATTTAATCTCTAGGCTATTGTTATTGTGGTGACAGGTAAGAAAATGTGTGGATTTGCCATCGATGCAACTACCGCAGAGTTCATGGCTATGGTGCATGCGCAGTACTGACAAGTGAACTCTTCTCCAGTGGCGTTTGTTCAGGAGTACCGATCCGAGAAATCACTGGAAGCACTCAACAAGCTTGTTCCTCATTATTGCCACTTGCTCAGGTAAGTAAAACAACTGTCCCTGCTGTCGATCCCTGCATCGCGACGCTTACGTCTAGCCAATCAGAGATGGCCATCTGAGTGCTGTACTTGCAAATCAGCTCGTTCCTGGTGATATTGTCCGTTTTAGTGTTGGTGATCGTATACCCGCGGACATTCGTCTATTGACAGTAAGTGTTCTCTATCTGTTGACCATATGGTAGCTCATTCACCAACATCATTATCAAGGCTGTGGATTTGGAAATTGATGAATCAAATTTGACTGGTGAAACAAACCCCAGACGCAAGCACTGTGAGCCTATCACCGCCAACAGCTTTGCTGAACTTGCTCTATCTGAACGTGACAATATTGGTTTTATGGGTACCTTAGTACGAAATGGTGAGCTTTGTCTTTGGTTTGGACAATACGGTGCAAGTAGCTTGATATTAATAGCCGGTTTCCTTGGTCAGGTCACGGAACTGGTATTGTCGTTGGCACGGGAAAAGACACGGAATTCGGCAAGGTTTTCGAGATGATGCAAGAGGTTGGTGATATAATAACTAAGATTATTTTGCATTACTGCATGGCGCTGAACATTCCTCCATTAGGTGGAAGACCGCAAAACCCCTCTCCAGCTTAGTATGAACGAACTCGGCAAGCAATTGTCATATCTCTCCTTCGGTATTATCGGTGTCATTGTCGTCATTGGTTTGGTGCAAGGCATGCCGTGGCTTGAAATGTTTACTATTGGTGGTATGGTTCTCAATCGATTGGCCACGTAAAATCTGAAGCCTAAAGTATTCACCGGTGAACTACCTTTTTTAGTGAGCTTAGCTGTGGCCGCCATTCCGGAAGGTTTACCTATTGTGGTTACTGTCACTCTGGCTTTAGGTGTGTTACGCATGGCGAATAGAAAGGCTATTGTCAAGCAGCTTCCTTCTGTTGAAACTTTAGGATCGGTCAATGTTGTCTGTGCTGATAAGACTGGCACCTTGACCGTCAACCAGATGACCGTGACCAAAATTTTCACCTTGCACGATCAGCAGATATTCGACTATGAGCATACGATACCCACAACTGGAAGTGAAGCTTTAAGTCGTACACTTCGCATCGGTAAGTAGTTGATTGTACGTTATTTTGGGTAGATTTTTTAATGATTGACCACGGGTTATCAATTAGGTAACCTTTGTAACAATTCCTGGATCGATGAACATGGAAAATATGCTGGACAACCCACCGATATCGCCCTTTTGGATGTGGTGATCAGAAGCGGTCTCTTAGATGAGCGTCCGGTGAGTAGTATTTGGATAAACTAGTATGTTTGGCTGTTGACTGATAATCCTCTTCGTATTCACAGACCTTCACAAGAGTTTCCGAAGTAGCATTCAACTCGGATCAAAAGTTCATGAGTGTAACATGCTCTACACCTGACGGTAGCTCGAATTCAGTTTACCTTAAGGGAGCGTTCGAGCCTGTGATGGAACGATGTACCACCTATTATGCATCAGAGAACAACCGACCAGCGCTCACACCGACACTGAAAGACACTATCCAACGCCATATCGCTGCCATGAGCTCTCATGGACTTCGTGTACTTTGCATGGCCTATGGACCTCGTGAAGATTCTCTTTGCTTTACTGGATTCGTGGCTGTTTACGATCCCCCACGCATGGGTGTCGGTGAAGCTATCAAGGATCTTGTTCAAGGTGGCGTCAAAGTGGTTATGATTACTGGTGATTCGGACGGAACTGCACTATCTATTGCTCGAAAGCTTGGAATTCCTATGAACCCGACAAGAAGTTGCTTGACTGGTCAAGATATTGAACGAATGAGCGAAAGACAGCTTCAGGATGTCATTGGCGGTATCTCTGTATTTGCGCGCACAACTCCTCGGCATAAGCTTGCCATTGTTAAGGCATTCCAATCCAAAGGTGGTGTTGTAGCCATGACTGGAGATGGTGTGAACGATGCTCCAGCCCTGAAAATGGCTGATATTGGTATTTCCATGGGCAAGAGTGGCACTGATGTTTCCAAGGAAGCAGCTGACATGATTTTGGTGGATGACGACTTTTCAACCATTTTGAGTGCTGTGGAAGAAGGTAAATGCTTGAAACAATTTTTTGTGTGGAACAATATATTGTGTCATGAACAGTGCAGCTAAAACGTTTTCTATCAGGCAAATCTATCTTCTACAACATCCAAAACTTTTTGACATTCCAGCTATCTACCAGTATTTCTGCTCTATCCTTGATCGCCCTCAGTACATTGTTCGGTTACCCTACACCTTTGAATGCTATGCAGATTCTCTGGATTAGTACGTATAGCTTGCTTCTCAGATGACCAGAGAGAAGGATTTTTTTGTTTATTCACCTTGTCCGCTTCTTCACAGACATTATTATGGATGGCCCTCCTGCGCAATCTCTAGGTGTAGAGCCTGTCGATCATGATGTTATGAAAAAACCTCCTCGGTCTCGTAGTGCACATATTTTGACTCGAAGACTTGTCATTCGAGTTCTGACGGCAGCCCTCATCGTCGTCTTGGGTACTGTTTTCATATACACCTCGGAAATGGCAGACGGTCAAGTTACCGCAAGAGACAGAACCATGGTGAGTACTATAATGGTGTGTGGAGTCTTACTGTCGACGATTGTGTTATCTAATCCGCCTACTCTCATAGACTTTTACCACATTTGTCTTCTTTGACATGTTCAACGCTTTGGCTTGTCGATCGGAAAAGAAGTCTATCTTCACGCTTGGCCTCTTTTCTAATCAAATGTTCAATCTTGCAGTTGGTGGCTCGGTGGTCGGTCAACTATGTGTTATCTATGTTCCCTTCTTCCAGTCGATTTTCCAAACAGAAGCCATCTCGCTATGGGACCTACTGAAAATCACCCTTTTGGCCAGTTCGGTTTTCTGGTCAGATGAAATCCGAAAATATTTGGCTAGAGAAAACATAGTGCTGAAGAAATCTGGCCGCACTGGACTCAAGTTTCAAAGACAATACAGTAGAGAAATAGACGGACCAATCAACTCGGTCTGATAAATCGGTGCATTTATAAAGCATGCTGTTTGACCTGGATACAATTCAGTTATATATGGACGGCTGATCGCCATATTTTGCCCTCCCCTTTTCATGGTCCTTTTTTTTTTGCTACCCATCAGCGTACTCAAGACGGTAATAAAAAACTCATTTCATTTCGCAATAGCAATTTCGGTGTCGTAACGGTATGCGATCAATGACGCGACATGGTAACAGTGTTGCGAATTTCTGTTGTGAAGACAATTCAATCCCAGATGCTCTAACAAATCATTATGGAGACGTTAGATAGATTCTTACTAGTCACTACCAGAAAAGCCTCAAATGATGAACAATTTTAGTAACATTTGTCGTATCTTGCTGGACGAGTAATGGGTATAGAATAGACTCGATTACGTGGCCATGACATACATACTTATCGGAGCGGCGTTGTATCCATAGAGTTTCTTCAACGAGCCGCCTTGGTCACTGCTCATTTGCAAAACCTACCCGATGAGATAACTGGAGCTCATGATAGCGGTGTTCATGATAAGGTATTCCACCGTTTCCGTTACATTTCGCACACTTACCAACATAGTATCAAAAGGAATAAAAATGCAATTTGTAGTTCTGTTATCGACGCAGTGGAAGTATACCTGCATTTAATTCGAAGATTGATGCACTTACCTAATATAACATCACTCCAGGGTACAAAACAGCGTTAAATTCATCTTATTTGTATGCATTAAAGATGGCGAAAGTACGTACGATACATGAAGAAATATTGCGTGCTGAAAGCTTATTATCGATACATTGCTTTTACAGGCAATTGACATTCAACCTGTGCGTTGTGGCCACTAATTCTTATGAAAAGTCTGGTGAATTGGCGGCACTGCCTTGTGATACCACACAAAGGCGTGATTTTTGGCTTTATTGTTGCAAGTCAATGAAAAAGTGCAGTATATAGTGTGGGCCATTTTTCCACTTTTAAGAATTCATTTCACTTCGAGCAATATCTGCACTTCCATGTCGTCAAAAGACTCATCGCCGCCAAGCACATTGTACTCAAACTCGGAACTGGAGAAAAAGAATGAAAAGACGGATGTTGAAATAGCCAACATTGAGGAGATTGGCTTGAAAGAATCCGTATTCGATGATCCCAACTTGTCTGAATACTATAAGCCAATTCCCGAGTATGAAGGCTACCATCGATTCGACCCTACCGCTGTATGGACTGCTGAAGAAGAAAGAGTCCTTGTCCGTAAGATAGACTGGAGGATTATGGCATGGTGTTGTCTCATGTTCATTGCCCTACAGTTGGATCGTGGCAATATAGGTATGGAAGTGCGCATTTATCAGATTTTTGATTGTAACATGGTGCTAATCAAGACTTTAACTATGCAGGAAATGCCTTAACTGACGATTTCTTGACTGACTTGGGGCTGACCACAAACGACTATAACCTGGGCCAAACGATCTTCTACATCTGTTTTTTGCTAATGGAGGTAAAGCAAACTCATAAAATGTTTTGCACGCAACCCATGCAAATGGACGTTTTATTCATGACATGTTTGTTTAGCTCCCATCGCAACTTATCAGTAAGAAATTGGGCCCTGACAACTGGATTCCTATCCAAATGACTTTGTGGAGCATTGTTGCAATGTGCCAGGTTGGGATAATGTTCTATACTTGTACTTAACTTTGGTCACTCTTTCTGATATTTCTTTAGTTTCGCCTGAACGGAAGAGCTTCTTTTTTCGCAACTCGAGCCTTACTAGGAGCTTTGGAGGGAGGATGTAAGTTTTAGCTAGAGCAGTTTGATACAACAGCCAAATGAATTGTTACTTATATGTTGTTCTCATTAGTCATCCCTGATATCGTGCTTTATCTTTCCTACTTCTACAAAGGAGATGAGCTTCCCGTACGGTTAAGTTTCTTTTGGGTATCCTTGACTTCAACAACAATTATCGGCTCCTTCCTTGCATATGGTATCCTACATCTTAGAGGCGTCGCTGGCTGGGCTGGCTGGCGTTACTTATTCTTAATTGAGGGAACAATTACACTGGTTCTCGGAGTTGCTTCCTTCTTCTACCTTCCACCATCACCCACTCAAACTAAAGGCTGGCTCCGAGGAAAGACTGGGTGGTTTACCGAAAGAGAAGAAATTATTATGGTTAATCGTGTCTTACGAGACGACCCTTCCAAAGGTGACATGAACAACCGTCAAGCTGTTGGTCTACGAGATCTCTGGAGATCGCTCTGTGACTATGATAATTGGGGTCTTTACCTCATTGGACTTTTGGCTTACATACCAGCAACTCCACCTGCTGTGTACTTGACTTTGACTTTAAAGAGTCTAGGCTTTGGTACCTTCAACTCTAACTTGTTGACCATACCGTCCCAGGTTCTGTTCATCATCAACGTAAGTATAAAAAGTTTAAGAGAACATAAAAATCAATCTACTAATCATCGTCACTCTATATGTCGATAGAACATTGCACTTTCTTATTTTAGCAGATGGAGCAAGGAGAGATCTCTCACTTCCATGATGGCCGTTGTATGGTCGCTACCTTTCTTAATCGCGTTGGAAGTATTGCCGGGTGATGTCAATCCTTGGGTCAAGTACTCTATAGTATCATTGCTTGTTGCGTATCCATATTGTAAGTTTAATTAAAGGGTTTTACGACAGCAAGATCACATTTTTACTAACGCTGATTTCTAGGCCATCCAATTCTTGTCGGATGGAATTCCATCAATTCAAATACAGTACGAACAAGAACCGTGTCCGCCGCCATCTACAATATCATGGTACAGCTCGGAAGCATCATTTCTTCAAACATCTATACGGCAGACGATGCGCCATTATATCGAAGAGGAAATAAGGTCTTGATTGGCATTTGCGTGTTTGATATCTTCTTGTTCATTGGCGTGAAGTTTTATTACATCTGGCGTAACAAGTCAAAGGCAAAAATATGGGACGCTATGACACAAGATGAAAAAGCAAACTATCTGGCAACAACAACCGACCTTGGCAACAAGCGACTGGATTTCAAATTCCATCATTAATCCCGTATTCTTTTGCACACCAATACGAATTGCATTTCCTAAAATAAATCATGTATAACATCTTAGCATCTATAACATAATTCATAAAGGTTTGATGATATGCTGGAGGTGAATTGATCTTCAGATTTACTAGTCACTTAAGCACTGAGGATAAATGTATCTAACGGGCCACCTGATAGTGACACGCTCGTGTTTGAATAGTTTCAAATTCTATGGTAATTTACTATTCTAATTTATAGAATACAGTAAAAATATGAACAACATGCAACGGAATAAAAAATGTCAAACCCATCTACTTACAATTTGAAATCTAAGGAGAGAGATGATACATTGAATAAACAGTCTAGTACAGCGACTGGTGGTAAGGAAGCGTTTTATATATTTAGCTTTCTTTTGACTATGCTGTCATGCTTAAAAAAAGGATGCGTGAAATGCAGGAGGTTTTGATGTGTGGATCTACAAGCCGGTGAATTCAAAGTGTTGGAGGTAAACGGTCTTTTTTCGTAAAATGTTGGGAATTTTTAATGGTGGATTGTTCTATGATGATCGCTGAAGACTGCGAAAGCATCATATTCTTGCTGCCGGTAAAATGGAACCATGATGGATTTTCAGTAGGTCACCTGGTATCACTCGGTACCAAGCTGACTGCTGAAAGCTGGACCTTTAGGCCAAAACATACACAAAACCACTATTTAAAATATATTTCACACACATTCAACGTATGAAAAGTTGTAGTTATGAACGACATATCACTGCCTTTTTGCCCTTTTGCAACCATCACTTTGTAGTCTGCTTTCTTGAATCTCCGACATTTTGGCACGAATTTAGCCCCTCAGTTACAAACTACCGTAGCACAACATTTCTTCTTTCTCCCACATCAAAGCATGTACGTATCGCCACCACCCAAAACTGCAAAAACCATTCTTTCCTTTGGTTTAGTTTATGTAGCTACTGCCATTGTGGTAGTCGCTATTGTAGTTTTCAACACCATATTCCTAGATCAACCATCGTATGAACCAGATCATTCTTCGTGTTCCTGCGATTGTTGGGATCGAAAATTCAAAGGAGAGTATTACGGAGCCACGCAAGATTACAAAGCCGTTTACTTCAACATGACAAGCACTACAGTTCTCGTATTCTTATGGACACTGTTTTATATATTACTCATTGAGCAATTCATTCGAAAAAGCGTTCATCATATATTAGATCATAGTGTACGGTACGACATATTGCTTCTCGCAATTATTGGTTTCTACGGAAACTACTACAACTGGTGGGCAACGTGGAATTACTTGAACGACAGTTTTTACATGATGTTCACAACTCAAATGTTCTTCAATGTCACCGAGTTTATACCGTCTTTATCACTTTATGTTCTGTTAGATGAGGATGCCAAACCATCCAAGTTCTTGATGCTTATCAGCGCCTCCGTCTCCATGGCTCATCTCTTCTTGTCTCTGTCGGATCAAGGGTGGTACCATATTGCGACGATTACCGGAAAAATCCAAAGAGATATAGCGTTTATCATCTCAGACTTAGTATTGCTTTACATCAACTTTATGGAGCTGACAAAAATGCGGATAATGAGAAGAGATGTATACTATGTTCTAGCCACGAGTGCGCTACTCATGGCTTTCTATCATTTGCTAGACTGAAGGAAAGGAAATGGGCTTCAACATCGAACGATTGATGCATATAGTTCATTCCCTATAGCCAATATGAAACGATCATCTCTGCCGTTGAATTTGCTGCTCGGTATGAATCATGACGTGCAGCACAGTTTAGAGATCTTTACTAGTCCAATTTTGTAAATGAACCGCAGGGAAATATAAGTACCAATGGAATTAAAATATATAGTTTATTACTATAGATGAAAGCGTGTTATTCTATACGTATGATGATTAATTAGGCATTGAATGAGATGGGAATTTTTTAAAAAAAGTTATTTGGTTTCGACGTCGTCACGTTGTTCGTCACTATGAAAATATGTATGAATCGTAAGTATACGTGTTATATGAAAAATAGACAAGCAAATATTTGTGATCCTTACAGTGTGCCCTGTGTAGAGGTCTCAGCAGAATCAAGAGCTTGGGTATCTTCAAGACGAGGGTTTCCAAGAAGGAAAGCAGCGATGATAAGAGGAATGGCAAGGCACGTTCCGGTTATAGTTAACAACTTTTGGGAGTGATTATAAGCCTCAATGACAGCACTGCGCTCGGGAGTGCCTATAGGGTACTCTGCGATGAAAGTGAATGGCGATGAATATGCCAAGTCAGTGAGGGAGCTGTTGATGGGGGCCAAGTTTTGGGCAAGCTGAGCTGGCAGAGTGTTGGTCCAAATGGCACCAGACACGGAGTCTAAAACAAATAGTTAGAATATTACTCGAAATTGATACCATGCAGTACGATGTACTCACTTCCAATGCCTGATCCGATTTGATAGGTTGTCAAGTAAAGAGCAGTGATGATGGCAACATGCTCATGCTTAGTAGCAGCTTGAACAAGGGCTTGAACTGGATATGGGAACAGACCACCAGCAATGCCAAGGACTGAGAAAGAAAAAGTTTTAGAAAATTGGCGAATTTACAGGTACCCCCTTTCTTTCTTTCCACACTTACGAATTTGGGCACCAATAACACCAGCATGACCGTTATCGGCTGCACTGCGGTATTTGATCATCAAGCCAAGGGCAGTGATATACAAAAATGTACCGGTGACAGCAACCCATTTGATATGGCGAATGTATCGGATAACGAAGCCACCAACGACACCAGTGACAACCGAGCAGAAGGAATATAGGGAAGTAATTCTGGTTGCCGACATGACAGATTCGTCGAAAGAAACGGAGAGCACAGTGTACAAGTAACTAGAGCGAGTAGAAATATAATAAGATGATGTCCTTGCTGCAATATGCGACAAAAGTCAAATATTCACTTACTCTCCCTGAAGGTACCAGGTCATGTTAAGCAACATAGCCATAAGTAGACCGGCGAGGATGGTGCGGTTGTTGAGCAACTTGAAGGGAACACAAGGGTGCTTTGCGAACTTGCTCTCCCAGATGACGAAGAGAGGGATACAGAGAACACCAAATACAAGCATAACAATAATGTAAGTCTGTCTCCAGTTTGCACTCACACCGCCAGCCACGGTAAGAGGAATCAAAATAAGGGACAACATGGCAGTCAAGAGAATAACACCGACGACATCCATTTGCCAAAAGAACCAGATCAGCTTTCCTTGGATGGAAAGATTCTTACTGCCAGACACAATGTCGGTCAATTTTCCATCTCTGACAGCCTTTCTCTTAGCCATAATGAGAGCGACGTAAATGGGGATACAAACAAAGGGCATGATGATGCACCACATACCAACACCTTTATGAAAAATGGTATTGAGTTAATGCATGGTTGACAGTAACTTTGCACAGGTACGTTTGTACTAACCCCACTCCCAAGTTGAGTTGGCCAAAATGGAACTTGTGACATTTCCAGAAATCCAAGCATTGATAAGAAAAGGAAGAGCGGGAATATAAGACATCAGGACACGGTTACGGGTCGAAGATAAATCGGCAATCAATACTTCGAACAGAAGCTGGAAACCGGTTAAACCAAGCTGCCAAAGGACCTTGCAATAGAAAACGAGATTAGTACTGAGTATTTTAATCTTCAACTTGAATGTGCTTCTTACCTGTCCTCCAGCATATGTCTGAATGTTCTTTGACGATGCTTCGATGATAGTACCAAGCACGTAGAAGAAGGCGGAAAAGGTAACTAGTTCAAAACGACCAAACACATCTGCCGCCTTAGACATAGGTGGTTGAGCAGCAGCAGCGATGATGGATTTTACAACATTCAGGGTAGAGAGTAACGAATGGACTTCGAATGAATTGGTGGCGGAAGTCTGTTGAAAAGAAAATGAAAAAATCATTGAGTAAATTATAACTTCATACCCACAAAATAAGCAAAACAGTACTTACTTGATAGACATAACGGGTAGAGCTATCAAGACCATATGCATATGAAGCCAGAAAGATGCCGACAAACAAAATAGTCAAACTGGTGGTGGTAAACGAAGAAGTAATAGCTTCAATTTTTCTGACACCAGGACTTCTAGAGTCCAAAGTAATCTCTTTGCTGTGAGAATGTTCCTTTTCAAAGGTCTCTCCTTCATAAGAATGTTGTTCCTTCTCAGGAGTGGTCATGTCTTCTAAAAGAGTATTTGGAGGAGAATGTGAAAAAGAAAAAGGAACGGGCAAAACTTGCTCGTAAAATACTAAAATTTTCAACTTCAGAAACGCTGCCGTGAAAATTTTTATCAGATCATCAGATACATCCCGCAATTCTAGCCATTTCAATTGGCGCGCGCTTGGAGAACCTTCAGAAGGACGCCTTCTGGACTTGCATCTGAAGATCTGATAACATACCTGGATGGCTCAATCACGACACAAGACGATGAAAGTTCGATTTTCTGTTCTCATATAGTCACTTCAAATGATTGTATGAACCTGTGAAATTGTCAAGTTACATAGAAAGTACTGGGAAAGTATCATGTTGTGAAAGTAATCGAGCCTGTGCACCCTGATTGGGCCACTTCTGGACTTCAAATAGTTTTTCCGCTCGCCAAGGCCGCCAATGGAACAAGTGGTCTGGTCCTGAAGTGGTTACATCATAAATACAAAATCAAATTGGTGTATCTTTAAAGACACTGTCGAAAGCATATATATATATGACTATCTATTGAGATTCAAGTGTCTGTGCTATGTGTTAATGGAAATTTGAAAGTCTTGGTTCGCGTATGTGTGGCTTGCTGTCAATTTTTTTTTTTTTTTTTCGAAGTCCATGCATTTCAACATCCCTTCTCCGGTTTACACTGTCCGACCCGGTGAGTTGCTAGTGATATGCCATTAAAGAATAACAGGAATACGAACAAGCCAGTCCTATCATAAAATCCACGTGCATTGTGGAATTCTGAGAGATGCGAAAGCTTCTTGACTCTGAGTTCCTTCAAGGCAAACGAGGGCAATTCGCGACAAACTTCTGCAGAATCGCTCCCGCAATTCCTCTGTCTCTATTACAGCGTACTATAAAAAACACGCTAGAGAGATCGGACGCTAGGGCTCATGTAGTCACTATTAGGCATGCTCAGTCACTGATCAGCACTCTCAACATGTGTACGTGTTAGGTAGTCTTAATTGATTGTGCACATTGACAACATGAAGGCCAACTATGTGTTGTGTTGAATGCTAGCGTCGATCGATATGTGTTTGAGTGGAGTATATAAAGTCAGTTACGTAATCAGCCACGAGTAGCTTCATCAAGGTATTGAAAAGATAAAGCCCAAGTTTAAAAATTGCCTTTGTACAGAAAGAGAAATAGCCAATGAAAATAAAATCAATGCAGATATAAGGAAGTTAAAATATGTTCATGAAATGCTAAAATAGCTTTTCATGTTTAGTGGGTGTCGATATATTGCCCAAAGTGCATTGGCAAAAGGGTGGAATATACAGAATCTGATAACACTTACACTAGGTTTTTGGCGCCGCCTATGTTTTACAAGCTGCATTTAAAATGTTGAAGCAATTGTGCTGCCACAATCTTATCCTTCCAGAATTTCCTTTTGTTTCATTTATTAGTATTGGACTAAATGGTTCTTCAAGTGATATGGAGAAGCCAATTCCATGCTACGTAGATTATTTGGTTGCCGAAGTTATATATTCGACTCTTCCACTACGACATGAGCATGACATGCTCAAGGTTACCAACAAACGTACCTTTTCTTATATATATTTAGCTTCGTTAGTGCATTTGTTTGGGAGAGATGACACCAATGATATGAAAGACGCATGCAGCTCATGGAAAAAATACCTCTTTATTGCCAAGTAACTATAAAACTAGCATCAAATGCTGCACAGCTGCAAGGAGACACAGTGGTGACATCACAGTTATCTTACCCTGGTCTGATACCGCGCAGTGAAAACTGTTCGGTTGCTTTTTTCCTGGAACCCAAACGTATCATGTTGACAGAGCATCTACTTGCATTGGATCCCGAGAGCTACCATGCCGCTACACACCACAGGCTTTTGATCGAAATTGGTAATTTGGAAGTCACCCCACGACATCTGAGTTCCTGGATAGTCGAAGACAAGTTTTACACCGGTGGCTATGTCAATATGCTTGAAACGATGCTTTCTCGTTTACCTCAAACGAAGATAACCACAACAGGTTCGAAAGATACTACAGACAGCCTGTATAATCTCTTGTTCTTTGCGCATGAAAATATAATTAGAGAGGCCAACTTTTTCCAAACCTTGTTGGCTCGTTACAACATTGCATCCGACAACGTAAAGAATATGCGCCCCTTAACGAAACAATATACAGATTTCCAACAAAAAGTAGCAGAGGAGAGTGGCGAGGGCCTTGGGAAAGCGCTTGTACTTCTTTGGGCTATGGAGCGAGTATTTTTTGACGCTTGGTCACACGCCAAAACTTTGTTGAAAGATCACCTCCCTACTGAAAACGAGAGCAGCCATATCAAGACTATCCGCGAACTTGTTGAAAATTGGTCAAATCAAGAATTCGAACAGTTTGTCGACGAATGTGCAAAGCAGGTCGACAACCTATCTATGTCTGATAAGGACAAACTTGCCGAATATGAAAGAGTATATCACGAAATGTTGGTATTTGAGCAACAGTTCTGGGATCTGGCTTATGACGCTTAGTCTGCAAATATGGCAATAAAATCGCGACTTACATTGTATAGAGTTATTACAATAGCATGGATGTTGAATTTTTTTTTCACTTGGTGAAGGTTTGCACACTGCAGAAGTTAGCCGAGAGAGTAGCAGTTACATTTTTACTAATTGCGCGGCCTACGGCATCTGATTTAAGAAAATAGTCTTGCGCCTTGATACATTGCGAGCTAATGGGTGGTCCAGTCATACCTATGTCGCTGGAGAGGCTGATGCAGAGGTCACTCATATAGCAATGCTTGATCGTCCAGATTTTATATGCAATGAGAGTTCCAGTCATTTGAACAATCTAAATGTTGTAAATGTCGTGCTTTAAAAATCTTCGTGTTTCCTCTGAGCAAAATAATTTTGAACGTTATGTATCTCCCTGTGCTTCCTGCTTGTTCAACCACAATGACAGAAGCAACAGCGACAGGAAGACGATGAGGTCCGAGCGATGAACCTTCAGTAGATTCTACAACCGTTGATGTCTTACGAACGATGTCCAGGCTAGATACGTAGCCTTCCTAGGCATACAAGTAGATGCTCTGTGGGAGAAGTGGACTTGTGTACACACTATGTACATCTTCTATCATAGCATTTGATCTCGGATTTTGAACAAGATATTTTCAAATGATATGGTCAATGGAGAGGCTCCAGAGTCCAAAATGTGTCAACTGGAGCTGAGGGCACAACAGCCTGATGTAATGATCTTTTCAATTGAACAGAGACTTTCCTTACCCCAATCCAAAGCGCAGCTGAGTTTTACCCCTTATATTATTCCCTAGTTCTGATCGCTCCCACTTATTGTTCCCTTCCAGATGACAAAACTCGCTTTTCGCTTCAAAAGTAAACTCTTCTCTCTTTACACCGACAACCCTCTTTGACCCCCCCGCACGAGACCAAGCCTCGGTTGACATCTCTATACGCATATAAATGCAAGCGTTCAATCCCTTGCTCGTAGATGGCAATTTAATTTGAATTACAAGTGCCAGTGCAGTGAACCTCTCACCTGAGGTCATATTCAATAATGCTATGAACTTGGCTCTCTCCTTGGAGCCCGTATTATTGCGACGTGTTACTCGCTAACGCTCGTAACCCTTTTAGCAATCAAAGACCCTTAAACAAAAGTATACATACATATTTTATCTTGTCAAGGCACCAGTATTTGTCCTGAAGAATGGGAAAATCAGCAATACGAGTACGGTTGATATAACAGTGAAAAACAACATTGCCAACTTCGCTAAGTCAGCTGCGTTTTCCATGTATGTGGGTTAAAAAAAGTGTTGTTATAGGCATAAAATGTCTGTAGGACGGCAAGTATGTTCAACCTCCTAGAGAAGCTATGTAGCATAGGCACATTGACTCAGATCAAATAGTGTTAATGCATTTTTTCAAACTTTTGGAACATTATATTATGTGGATATATCAAATCAGCTTATTAATTTAGGTAAAATATAATACTGTGTAAAAAGCTGTACATATCGTAGAAGTCATCTTGGTCCTTGATCCAGATACTGCTTCATTTCTCTAATGCATCGAAAATGGCATACGAGTGAAATCGCACTAGTGCTGACAGCACATATCACCAATGCAACAATGAATATGATATTGCTCAAAAGAAAAATCCGATCGAAATCTGACATTGTGAATATCAGAACAAGCCGGATAGCCAGCTCAATCAAAAAGCCGACACCCCAAACTAAGGTGATAAGGATGCATAAAAGTCGAAATGTAGGTAACTCGTAATACATGAATCTGAAAAGTGGTAGCTCGACACTTTGGAAACCAAAGTTGAACTTCTTCCGAGGACTTTGCTGCTGGGCCGCTATCATTTGTCCTTCGGTGTTTCCTGGTAGAACGCTGCCTGAAGAAGTGAACTCAGCCATTTGGATTCGATCTTCTTCTTCATCATGTGGTTGACTCGCTCGTTGGATTTGTACAAAAGACGTGTCTGCACATTGAACTTCTTGTACGTCGTATGTTAAATCCGCGGGGAGAAATTGTAAACACAGCGTATACGTCAACGGGAGCATACGATACAGCTTGCCTTTCCAAGTGAGTCGGAACGGTATGAGTGTAATGAGAAAAACGACACCAATAGCACCAGTAACAATTGACTTCTCAAGTAACAGGACCTTCGCATTTTGGCTCACTACGGCAACTATGGCGGCGACAACGAATCCTGTAACAAGTAGGAGTCCAGCTCCGTCTATCTTGAAATTTACCACGAAGCTGTAGATGACGACCAGCAGCGGAGGACATCCTGCGACTAACAAAGCCCACACCGGACTTAGTGGTCCAGTTGGTTGGCGAAGCCCAAAATATAGACCCAATGGCAGACCAATTTCAAATATAACAATGGTCGCAATGCGAGGTAAAAAGGAGAGCCCCATCTTCCGATTGGAAGGAGCAATGGTCGACATCATATTTAGCAAATCTGCTTTCTGGTCGCCGACAGTAATATTAAGTCGCCCTTTCTGATGGCTCAAATGTGATTCGCCATTCCGATCCAGTTGCTGACTCTCCATCTAAAGTCGTGCGAAGTGAGAAAGCCATTACTGAGCGTGTTGAAAGCGTGGTACAACACTGCGGGAAAATCGGTTGTCGTACTTTGGTATGGCTGTGGTTTCTAAAACCTCAAAATGTGTGAATCCTTTTCTGTTTGGATGTCCTTGATCCGACATATCGTCCACGACTAGTAACGAAGTCAGGATTATGCACGCTATTTGCTATTTCAAGTTGAATCCTGTATATATATCTGATGTGTGGCTTCCATGAAAGAAACAAGAGATCGAACGAGCATATAAGTAAATAATGCAATAAGCGACATCAATGTGTACCTTTGAACGGCCACTTGTGAATAACTGTTCTGCTACCATGACACATAACGTGAAGGAAAACCGCCTAAATCCTTTCCTCGGTCACTTCTAACAAGAAGAAAGGATTGTTAATGAACAACCAGCGGGCGTTACAAGCGATACATAGCCCATCGCATAGAGTAATTGTAAGCTAGAATTACCACAGACGTGAAAGTGGCTTGTAAAACATCTGTATTACATGTTGCCGTTTCTCGTACAGCATGGCAACTCAGCAAATGTTGGTATAGTGTAATCGTAGTCATTGACGAAGTACAGATCGTTCGCTTTATCGTAAGTTCAATCAAATAATGGTCGTCAAGGAATGTAGTGTTTACTACAAAGGATCCCAATATGTAGGAGACGTTGAATGACAGCGTGATTTTGAAATTTTCCAGAGGCCCTCTGATATTATTCTATATGTCACCACCACGTTAATCACTGCATCTTTTTGCATTCTGTTCGTAGGATCAGAGTTGTCGATGACCACTCAGTAGTTCTCCCTCAGTCAGTATGTTTGTCATTATATCAGCCCTCGCTTTTGAACAACTTCTTCAACAGATGCAAGAACGGTGAATTGATAGACATTTATGACCTCTATGAGGTATGTCTCTCTAATGCTAGGCGTTCACACTCTTCATAGCGGATATGGTTTTAAGGATGAGATCTTTCATTTTTTTATAAACGAGCATCTTCAGCCGACATTTCGGAACTCATTTGTTGAATGCGAGCAAAAAGTACAGTATCTCTTTGCGCAGCTCACTATAGTCTGATTGCCTTTGCAGAAGTTGCCATTTATGGAAATGTACATATTTTTGTCATAAAAACAAATGCCATGCATCTTCCCGTACCTTTTACACCAAATGCTCCAATCGGCTATCCATAATGTCAGCCGTATACTGGAGAGCGCGTAGATGTCGCAGGGCAAGTTTGAGTCTATATAACTTAGGCATTCACGCGAGAAAATGAACTTTAAGGCTCGTCACTAAGGTCGATGTTATCATCCATAACCGAAAGTTAACTTACCTGGTCCTGGCGTTCAAATGAGCTATCACTGAGAAGGACAAATCGATTGGTGGAGTTGATGCCGCATAGGAGTGGTCGAGTTTAAATCGTTTGTATCTGGCGATGGCGATTATGAAATAGTGGGAGAATATGACATAAGAAAGTAAAATGGTGTAGAAATAGACTGAAGGTGGAAATGAACGGAATTGAGTTGGGGAAGGGTGGAATGTAGAACGACATTCATGTCATTCTCGATGAACTGGAGGTTTTGATTAATTTTTGAAACCCCGCTGGCGGCAAGATTTTGCTTGCCCTGATAGCTTTAAGGAAACTTTCATTGCGTGATGGAATGAGCGTCAGCGAGGACATAGCGCGGGAGGGACATTAAAATTGATATGTAAAGAGATTGCCTATTTAACCATTGATTTGATTTAACGACCTCGCTACCTGTAGTACACAGTTTTTATAAGTGCTCATGTTAATAACTTACACTGTTAAGTACAGTCAGTTTTTTGTAAGCGCTAAGTGCTCATGCTCAATAGCTTGCACT